GTGAAACACCGTAAGAGCCGCAGATAACCTCAGAGAATGCAGGCGGTCAATTTCAAGGTCGCAGTCGCCAGAGATGCAGGCAAATAAAGCTGTGATTACGATGTAAAGCCTGAAAGATATAACTGACTACGACGACTGTGTTCTTCATGTGCCTCGAGGCGAGATCGTCCTGCCTCTGGCTGGGACTGACTGACCATCGGTTTCAATTCAATGTCTTCGCGCTGGGAGATTTGGATCCTACGACAATGCATCAGGTCATCCGTACAACAAACAAATGAGGTTTTTATACCTGGGGGTAGGCATCGAGACATTGACGATGTCTACTTCCTGTTCATTATCGACTGGCGGAGCGAGGCGAGATGGTCCTGCCTCGTGCTGTGACTGAAAAAAAGTCGCTGGGTTCAATTTGACTTTTTGGGGGGCGTCGGATTGGGTCCTACAGCAGTACATCAGTAAAGCCATTGAACAAGCAAATCACCTAGTGTTACCTAGTAGTAGGTATGGGAACGTTAGCAATAGAATGCTCAGATTCGTCATCCGAAGAGTCGTCATCATAGACTGGCCGTGGAACCGGTTTCTTCTCCTTTTTCTGGAACCAGCTAAGGCAGAAGAAGAGTACATATGGTCGTACTCCGTCATCCACACCAACAGCATCACCCTAGCGAAGGACAGGGTCAGTTCTCAAGAATCTGATAGAATTGCATGGAACGAACAGGTGTTGCTATTCCGAGAGGAACGTCGACGACTCGCGGAGTTTTTCGTTTGGGTTGATGCTCCTTTTTCTTTCCCTTCTTGTCAAATGACGGCCTCATGCCATTGAAAAAGGTCCTGACATCAAGCGAGCGAGATGATGAAGGGCCTCTCGCGTGAGTGAGTGGCGATGCAGAGTAAGTGGTGTGCTGATAATTCACTGGCCGATTTCGGCGCTGGCCATGAATAAATGACTAAGTAAATCAGGCGCTATTGAAGCGGGGACCATCGAATGGGGTTCAAACGACATACATTATGCAGTCCTTTAATCTGATCGAGAGTCAGGATGTATATTATATGCCCGGGGTTAGAAAACACACCTTGTTTTTGGCTCGGCCATCCTTGGAATGAGTGCGTGTGAGTATGCGAGGGAGTGAGATCGCAGTGTGGAGTAGTCACCTCGTTCTTCACGCTGGCCAAGGAAACACTTTCTGCTGCTGCGAGGACATCCTCAGGTATCTCCCATTGCGAGATTTTCTTCTCGTTGCCGCCACTGAATATGGAGCGTCCATCCACCGAGAATGCAACACGAACCACCGAATCTGAGTGCTCAAATCGGGCGACTTCTGTGCCTGTAGGGAACTGCCATAATCGAACAGTGCAGTCATTAGATGCTGATGCAAGAAGGGTGCCAGCTGGGTTCAAGACGATATGGTTGATGTTTTTATTTTCGTCATGGCCAATCCAAGGATCACCAGCCTGTTTCGAGGTGGATGTGTCCCAACAGCGGATGACAGGATCATTGCTACTACCGGCTGAGAAGAGATGTGCGTCATCACAACTCCAGGTGAGCGAGGAGTTTAATGCATTGTTAAAGCCGTGGCCGTCGAATTGAGCATGCACCATGTACTATCAGCATTGATGACAGGACCATCCACCTACAACTAGTGCCTCGGCGATGTCGTTCTTCAAAACCACTGAAAGCTGGCGATTGTCTCCAACACCTTCAGCTGCACTCAGCGAGTCACCACTGTATCTATGTCCAGGCGCTACTAGTACAACCGCCAGCGCAGGCCCTAGGACCAAACACGAGGACCAGCAGATGCAAGGATGCGAATTACATCGCAGATGCTGATACGAGCGTCACCACGAGCACTGCCAGTGTACAGCCTGAGCTCCACTTGAGAGCCCACGAGAATAGAAGAAGGCGGACGCTGCTGTAGAAAGCACTTGTTGTTTTGTATTCTCTTGTGTTCGGGACCTGTTTGCGTGTTGTTCACCCTTGGGTCGCAGCAACACGAGATTTCCAAAAACCATGCTATAGGATAGCGTACCTGAAGCGGTGCCTTTGTTAGGTCCTCAACGTCATAATAGCTTTATACAAGCAATCCGCTCTCCTGCGGACGGTTCTGTCTTACACTGTCTACAGTAACAACATCGATGAATAAACCACATTTGCTGTCTCTCTCTCTTCATTGCTGGGTGACCACAACGTCCGAAATGCTGTAGTAGAGTGCCAAGCACGAACGACGAACGTGCATGAGTTACAGTGAAACATGAAAGGGGTCGGTGTGGAGCATGCACAGACAGGAGAATATGAAAGCGGTTGGATTGGAGCGCGAACACAGTCAGAGTGGAACATGAAAGGAGGACACGTGGAGCGCGCACATGGCGACGACGCGAATTGGTTCCGCGGGATCAAACGCCTGGTCCTTAGTTATGTAGATGACGTGTTGGAAAGCCAAAAGTTTATCCATGTTTCTCCCCTTTAAAAAACACAGATATCGGCATCGCCAGAGCGGCCTTCGCCGACCACAGCCGCATGCAAGAATCACGCTCCGCGCACACGATAGACCACATGGGGAGGAAGCGTTGGCTTCAATGAGGAGCTTAGTCACTTCTGTACAACTGATGAAGGTCTCTCTGGCCACCGTCGGCCCAATGAACCCAACGCAGGACCGAACACGCGTATAACGCTGCAGGAAGAATTTCAGGAACATCGCATTCTCGTGCGGGACATACGGCGCCGCCTCCACCGTAAGACCATGTAAACTAAGTCGACTGAAAAGGGAAGCCCACCAACGACATGAGGGAATGGGTATTATGCTAGGATTTAGATCCCGACTTTACATATTGGTTCTGTCCAAATCATAAGTATCGGTTCAGCGATGATAAGGACGAACCATCGTGAACAGACGACAGATTCCTGACTTAAATAAGATCTACGACGAGACCGAAACAAATACTACTCCACATAGAGTCCTTGGCCGAGCATTTCTCGCGCTACACACTGCTGCTAGTCGACACATGCGGGCGCTGCTGGTAAGCAAGTTCAATCGAATTCATGCCGGCTGTTGCATCGAAGTTGACCTTGACCTTGAGCCTAGCATGATATTCTCGAACACCAAGGATGAGGCGTGGTCCCAACACAAACAACTGCACGACTGAGAAAATTTGAAGAACTCCAAGATAAATCTGAGTTCCCAGGGCATACGGGTTCTATAGCAATGATGAACCATGGTCACATGCACAGGTGAGTGAGAAATCGACATACCTTGGATAACGTTGGAGAGTAGTAAATGAGCTCAAAGCAAGAAACACCAACGAAACTGTTGTTTAAGGAACGTCAGCGAAAAAAGAGAAGCGAAATTACATTGTGATCGTACCACGCAAAGTAAACCATGTGAGTTCTCATTAACGCTGTGAAAACGCTTGTAATGATCCCTCCTGCCGAAGATCGTCGCAAATCACGGAAGTGTTTAACAGCAATCCAGACTGCGAGACACAGTACGAGGACTTCCCATGTAGTGCCAAGTATCCATGACACTGTGCCCAGACGTATGCCATCTCCATCAAAGCCAGCAATGCACTGATAGGTGCCGAAGAGAATATACTCCTCTGATATTCGTCAAATAAAGCTGCGGCACCGGCTGTCATCCATATTTAAAGCTTACCGGATGAAAGATGTCTCGTTACTATTCCACCAATCACTCCGCTGGTGATGTTGACACCCAGGAATACGATAATAAGACATATCAGCACCTGTCTGGCGCGCCCATACATGGCATTTAACCGGAATATCATGATGACTTCAATGATGTTTCAGTCACGTCAATATCGCCGAGGTATTGTAGCTGCATAGCTCACCGCCCAGAATTCCATTTACGACCACACCCATCCAGGTTAGTGTGATATACATCACGCGGCCTGACAAATCCAGTCAGTGACCAGGCCCGGAGGAAAACACACTCGAAGAAAACACACATCTGTGGCAGTCATTATATTGAACCGGGAAGCTGGTTGAGAAATTCACTCACCCCTACACATGAGGTTAGACGTGAATGGCAAATTGGATGGAGGTCACTCACTACATCTGTGACCGGAACTGTCGGAACATATACTGTATGCTGCTGGTTAGAAGAAACATAGTGTATGTGAGGATACATACACAGTATGTTGATGCTGGTTGTCACAGACGGTTCATTAGCAAAGCACAAATTGCTTAACCTTTGAAACGTACATAACGTATAATATTCCGAGATAGCGTATCTAGATATCGTCCAGTCAGCAAAACTTGCAATCGCACTCATAGCACAAGCTACACACGCTAAGATACAGAACTGTCATCAGGGACCAGTGCTGCCTCTGCCGCAAATTATTTGCACGTTCATTTCTTGTTCGAAGTTCTGACGTGGAACTCTGCTCACCCAAATCAATTCAACCTGTTAAAACTAATTGTTAGAAAGATGGCTGCTTCGAAGATGGAATCAACCCACTTCTTGTCCGAATGACATTGCTGGAAATACCATAAGAATGTCCGCGATTATTTCATGTTATCTTGCTTACCCCAATCGTACATCACCCCAACAGCGGAAGCAACTGTGAAACCGCAGCTAAGGTTAGATCGAGGCATGACCGTCGACTAGCTCTCCACGAACCCAAAAAATAGCTAGAAATACGAAATGAATTGATAAGCGGCCACCAACTGGGATCATTTGAGACCACTGTCATGTTATGCGAGGATGGATATGACCGAGCAGCGAACTTGATGGACGTCAAATTGTAGTAAATATCCTTTTAAGTATGACTGCCAGCTTGCTTGATCTGTTCAACTATTAGCCTCTGGAGGCTCAGGGACAAAAGTCCAGGAGAACACCCTCAGTGTCCCTCACGACATTCGCTAGCTTCAACCTGATTCAACACTCCAGGGGCCGAGTTAACACCTCGGACCAGACTTCATCTGCACAATAAGTTTGTTAAATATTAAATTGACGGCATCAACTACTAGTACTCATCTGTACTTATGCGTCAATGTTCAAGCCAAGCCCCCCTATCCTGTCACCTGTGGCGTGCGTCGTCAACCGTTTTCTCTCGCGGTATATATGACGATGGTGTTCGTGCCAGATAGGTACTACCATTCCAGCACTAAGGCCGAATGAGCACGATAGGGACGATATCCGTACTTCGTTCCTGTTTTGATTGATTTAATAAAACATATGGGAAACGGACAAACCCATTTGTAGCTAATCTGTGTTGCATCAATCTCCAGTGGTAATCTGTCACCGATCAGCAATCGCCTGTACCTTAGTTAGTGGGGCATCATGTCGTAGTTGGAGGCGGCAAAGGAGAGGGAATAAGCAATCGCATGGAAACCCAATGAAAAAACAATTGCAACCGCTCTTTCTCTGCATGATCGACCAACCACCTCCAAACATGCATACATACAACTCTGCAACATTTGAGAGCTTTTGTTACATACAATGATCCTGAACGGTGATGGTAAATTTATGTGGAAAACGCAACCGCAGATTCTTCAGACTGCGATTCGAAATTTGATGGCGAAGCAGAACTAAAGGTCTGCACTGCTACACGACTTTCCTGGAGTCGAGGGTATGGAGACATTCTGGCCAAAGACATGGCGGCTTGATCAGTCCGTTCCATGATACCCCGACGGACTTTGTGGCCGTCAAACAACGCAGCGGTTTCTTCAAGAGTGCGACCTGAAAGAAAAATAGTACACGAGAGCTCGACAAGGCAAAGAGGTAAAAATCACCTCTCGTCTCGACGATACACACCATCACGAATAATAGTTCCAACATAAGTAATCCGCAGTAAATGAGGTACTGTACGAAAAAAGGTCGATCGACAACACGAACGAGATCTGACGACTCACGTATTTCCACCCCATGACGTTCAGCGCCCATGGATTGACCAGGGAGTTGAATGCATTGGTTGAGTAGACAGCAAGGTTCTGTGCGCGACATTAGGCTGCATTGAGAGATAGAACAAAAACGACCGACCATAATCGCAAACCCCTTGGCACGAATATTATAAGGCAAAATCTCAAGCGTGTACAACACAAGCATCGACGTATACGCAAAATCGTAGAAAAAAAAGTACACAAAAATGAGCGGCACGGTAGCTGTTTGAGCTTGATTATTAGCTTGCACTGCGTATATGCATGGTTTCAAACATGCCTCTCGCAGCTACCACATTCCCGGACTGGCTAAAAACAGCGGTCGTGACCGTCCACATAGAGAAGGCTGGACAGATGATGAGCCATCGAATCATCGCCACGGAGTAGTACTGACCAATCAGCATGCCAATATTTGAAATCAAGAAAACCTTCCTCCTCCCCAACTTGTCCACCATCATCATGCCCAATAGCGCACTGGCTAAATTGCAAATCTGGACGCACAAAATACGCATCAATTTCGATCTCGACTTCTGAGAAACCATGGATGAACCTGCAGACCGCCGTTAATACCTGTTTTCGTTCGAGTCGCAGTGATCCCGCTATTGAAACGTCCGTCAGGCTACGTCCCGTCCCGACTTGTTCGAAAACGTACACCCCATCCAAGACTATGTTGATATAATATGATACCAGACCATTGCCGCTGAGACAAATATTAATACCAGTGATCCAACCAGAATGAAACAGAACACACCTCCACTGCGAGAAGATTGCGATCCATATAATGGTAAACATGCGCTGTCTGTTGCCTTGGGTCGCGAAGCACCTCAAGTAGGATTTACCGGAGGTAAACTCTCGTTCGAGGTTCAAAGCATGTCGGATTTGAGCCATCTCGAACAATACTAGAGGGTCGCGTTCGTCTCCCCCATTTGCATGGTAGTGGGCGAGGACACGCGCAGCTTGTGATTCCTTTGAGAAATAGAAGAATGTTCGGTGAATTAATTAATAGAAGGTATCCTCATGAATGCTCACCAAGCCTCTAGCCATTAGAAATCGAGGGCTCTCTGGGATGAACCTGAAGGCACTGAGTCACTTTGAGCAGAGCAAATCCCAATAGCCCTACCATATTAGCACCATTTGGATGACAGGAATAACTGCTTGAACGAATGAAGGGGCCCTCCAAGACCATGATGACGTCCCCGCTTCGTCATAAGCACCCAGGCAGATCCAAGCCGCTGTCATACATGTAAGAAACTAAATGTATAGCACTGGATGTCACATACAGATGATGCTGCCAGAATACCACAATGAATTATACAGAGCGGTCATTTTCCCGCGCTTAACTGTAATTAGAGGCGATGAATGAGATACGAGGTGGTATGACGCACATGGGTTGGATAGCTAACTTCGCTGATGAGCAAGGGAGCAGCATTGATGGAGAAAGCTATCCCTAAGCCGACTGAGAAACGGGGGATAAGTATATGGATGTCATTTCAGATGTGCATCGTACTGAGCACGCGAGCGCCAAGGAAGACTTGCAAGGTCGTGGATGATGCTTGCGTGAGAACACCAGCTAGCATGACGATCGCCCCGATGAACATGGTTGCTCGTCGTCCTAATCGGTCGGATATATAAGGAGAAAATGGAGTCCCCTAAGAGTCAACATGAGCTTGGTAGTGATCCGAACACAGTGCTACAACTTACGCTGAGGATGCCAATGCCATGTGCGGAATTGATGAATCCTAACGATCGTGAATAAATTGTTGCAGCAGAGCCGGCAGCTGCGTACCCAAGTTCATGCCCTCTGGTGTTTGGAAGTACTCTTGCCATCCGGGCAAGATCTGTAGATCTAAGGTAACCCGAGTCAACCATTGAGCCATCCACGATCGTGATAGCAAATGTTCATGACTGACCGTTTATCATTGACGAATCAAGGCCATTAAGCGTTGATGATAAAAGCGGTAATATTAAACAGATGTTTAGCATCAGAATGCCTGAGTACCGGCATTGTCAAGATTATGTATTTGGATACGCTTAACGAAGCTCATACCGCGATTCTTCCACCACGACTCCCGATGAGTGAAGTCTGTGATCGTCCATTGCGGGACTGTCATTAAGGTGAACACGTTGAGGTGGTGTGCAAGGGAACGTGAAGGTGATTGAATGACGAATTGTGGGGCATTTATAAGGAATATCAGTGCTCGGACGCACTCGGCCTGTACATTTTCGAAAAGATCAACCGTATTCCGGACCTTGCTGTGTGAACGAAGTAAGTATGAAATTATGCTGTTTGACATATTTTGGGCAGAGATGAGACGTGGCATTGCGGTGGCGAGTGCACCAATCAATCAGAGATGCGCTGGGAGGCACGGCACTATTCATTATCCCACAGCGCCTCGAGTTGTGCGCATCTTGCGACACGAGATGATCAGGAAGCTAAGACTTTCCACCCATTTTATAACTTGAAGAAGATATAACAGTGACAACCTACCTTCCTTACTACGTCGAGGTAGTCAGCGGCTGCATTCTTCACGACCGCCCTGGCCCCTCTCGCTATCGCCTTCGATGGGGAAAAGGTGGTATTGTTGGAGCCTGTAGGTTTATTTTCACCTGTCGAGCCAACGAAGTTTAACTCTCTGAGTAGCATGACGGTATGTAAGAGGTCGAGATAAATCGGCCCAGTCCATCGTCTTCATTGATGTGTAACGTCATTTCTCAGCGCTTGTTTACGTAGACGATTCAGAAGTCGGAAGTGTCGCAAAACTAAGCGCTGCTCCTTCATGCAAGCATTTCTAACAACTTCGCGTTTTCGAATTCATCATATACTTTGTCAATTGAGAATAAATGCATGTAGAGGGATGAAAAGTTCTCAGATTTAAAGGTCGAAGCACGTTGAATCAGACTGCCTCAAAGACATCTCGTACGACCAGACCAAGACCTGCACGGCTCCATTCAGCAACACATCTGAGTGTACTTCAATGCCTCGGTGTTCGCTTGTGTGTTCTGCTGGATTTCGACGACTCTCTTTGGTTTGAATGGTTGGAAGAAATACTTGCGCCGGACCCATTCAGACCCCCTGAAGGCTGGGGAACGCAGGATCGATTGCAATTATATCGCGCGCACTGCTCCAGACTGCCAGTCCGATGCGACCGCTGAACCAAGGACCGAAGGTTGTTCACAATGTCTGTTGTAGTGATGTGGAGACAGTGAAAGACAGCGTGTAGTGAGGGGTAGGTCGGTTTTCATTGCACGACTCACATTATGATCAACCCTCCGCTGGCAAAACCTCGGGTTCTTCCAACCCTGCAACATCTCTTCGCTGCTCCTCATCTTCGATAGCCATCATATCAGCCGGTGCCTCTTCCTCCCCTTCTTCCTCTATTTCTTCTTCTTCCTCCTCTATTTCTTCGTCTTCCCCCTCGCCTGGCTCACCCATTTCATCATCGACTTCCTGTTCGACCGTAGCGTTTTGCATGTCTGATTGGGACGCAGAGGATGCTACTGCTGCCCTCGGGGCAAACGTGAATGGCGGTGGCAGATTCGTCGCCTTTTCCTTCCCTTTTGATTTTGATACGACTGATGCGGATTCACTGTCTCTGGCCTTGCCCTTGTGCGAGGAACTTGCGGTTCCAGATTTACGACCCTTGTCTCCTTTTGTGTTATCTCTGTAAACTGCGCTTTGTTAATACAATTCGGAAACGAGAGGGCGAGGTCTCACTTTGAAGTTCATTCTGTAGATTCTCGACGAGATCTCCAAACTCGATCATCTCCAGAGCTTTGAGCACATCGGACGCGGAGATGCTTTTGTGCTGTTTGGACAAAGCCACGTCATGAGCTCTGAGGAGATATATCAGAATACATTGCATAAAACCAGCGGTAACACACACGTCGCCACTAAATGCAGAGATCAGCGATTCATTAAAGCATGAATATAAGACGTCTTTGCGTACCGAGGTAGTTGATGAATACAGTCGAACCCTTCACCAAAGACAACACTGTCTCTTTCTGTAATTTCGCATTGTCTGGCATCTGAAGAAACGATCAGCGCGAAGCGTTTTGCTGCAGATGATGTACGTCTTACTGCCGACTTTGCTATCTTCGTAACAATACTCTTGGGAAGCTCGAAGTTCTCGATGCCTTCTGAGACTAGATCTTGCTGAGCCTGAGCAGAAATAGGACCACTACCAGCATCTTTACGCGGCATTGCTTGGTACTAGCGACGCGTAGTAGTTGGTGTTGTGTTGAAAGCGTTGTGCAGCAGTGACCAACTAAGGCAACTTGTCAATGGATGACGTACGTACTACTGCCAGTGCAACTTGCTCTGCAACGCTGATGTGACTCCAAGTTATGTCGATAAACATTCGACGTAGGTGACTCTAGTGCAAACATTGAACCCTGCCCGCCGTATTGCTGATTCGTGTAATGAAAATCATACAGAATCCTACAGTATGTTCCTTGTTTCATCTCTCTGTCCCGTACTACACTCACCACGTTCAAACACACACCCACGAGATCTCATCGGGACGGAACAAGATCATTGAAGAACAAGAAGTACAAGAAGTCGGGTTAGCTGCGTGATCGTACTTATCTGTGTCGTTTTTCGCATGCTCGTGAACAATTTTCCATGGCAAAACTGGACGCCTGTCGCCGCCGAGTCTATCACAGCGTCCAAATGGTCCTATCTTTCTGGATTCAGATTCAAGACAGCGGCGAGCAGATTTGGTCACTTTGGGAGGCGTCTGCGATACCTGTCAGCGGTGGTTGCTTACTCACAAGCAGTGCGTCCTCATCCTCGCTGGACAAACGCTAAGTAGGATTTGGGCAAACAGATACGTTAAAGTCGGTATCTCGACCTCCCTGAACGTTATCTTTTGACCAGGTAACACAAGTTGGGCACCATTCCCCCACTAGGCAGGTCAGAATTAATTGGTAAACGGAGTTACGGTGTGTTTTGTGCCTCTTTACTATGGGCGGTATCATTCGGCCAGCGGATATGAGTTGTCCAATGCAAGTAATATTAAGCACATGTACATGGCATCGTCGCTTCCACTCAACGTTCGTTCTGTACTCTATTGAAGCATTTCCTTAGCCTATTGTATTATGACAACGTTCATACGTCGGGCCAACACCCGTACACAACCGCTGAGCCCATGTCTTGATTTGATCTTAATAGTTACCGCTTCCCATGACCTAGACATTCAAATACACGTCGACGCCTCAACTGCCCAGTCGTCCACCTTGAGTCTGCTGATGACTACGTGCTTTTGACTAGTCTCTTTGTCACAAGCTCCGTGCTGGCTACATTCAAATAATTGATCGCACTCAATACCTAAAGGTGGTCTTGGCGACTCTTGGGCAGCAGGTGACTTATGTCGCATACTACACTCGACGAAGTCCGAGGTGAAGGACAAAGGTATGAATGTCAATCGTGGAGCGTCTTTAGAGACCTGCTTATTTTGTTAGTATCGGACCATTCAGCGACCTCACCCAAGATCTTCGTAAGAAATCCGACTATCCAGTTGCTCACGGAGGCTTCGGAGATATTTGGAAATGCGTCTTAGCACGGTCCACTGAAGAGGTCTGCCGACGTGACTTGACGATATTTGGTGGGCTCTCAGTCACTAACCCTGCTTGAAATTTCTACAGAATCATGATGTGGCAGTCAAAGCCATCAGATCTTATTTCTTGGATGAGAATGATAGAGTCAAAAAAGACAAGGCAAGTACTCAAGTTTTTCTTCTAAGGAAACCCAAACATAATGTCGATTTCGTCAGAGGTTGCGCAGGGAATTGATAATATGGCAAAAACTTATCCACGACAACATCCTCCCATTATATGGGGTTGCCCTCGGATTCGGTCCGTTCACTGCCATGGTGTCACCATGGGCAAAAAATGGATCCATGACCGCGTATCTCGAATCTCATCGAGACCTAATGATACCCGATCGATTCAAACTAGTGAGTTTATATTCAACCTGTTCCAAAGCTGATTGAGACAATTCTGCCGCTAGTTGTCCGATATCGCAAGTGGTTTACATTATCGTCTGTATCCGTCCGCCATGTTGATCGACAGCCTGCTGACCATATTCTTAGTTCATTCAAGCCAAGTTGTACACGGAGATCTCAGCGGGGTTCGTCGAGACCAGCTCTTGCGATGTAATAAGCTGACAATCTTCCAGTCCAATGTTCTGGTGATGGAGAATGGAACCGCTTGTCTTTCGGATTTTGGGCTTTCTGGCGTAATATCCGAATTTTTTGGTTCATCGACCTTTTCCTCTACCATCTCCGGGAATATTCGGTGGGGAGCACCAGAGCTGTTCGCTGTACCGGAAACCCAGGATGACGCTCCAACAAATCGCCCGAGTAAAGAAGCTGATATTTACTCATTTGGCAGTATCATGTTACAGGTGCGCACAGTCCCTTTGCGTAGCTGCTCACTGAAACATCTCTTTGTTTTAGGTTCTCTCTGGGAAGGTCCCTTACTATTACATCAAACAGCAGATGCAGATCATTGTGATGGTAGTGAATGGTAAGAGACCTAGACGCCCGGAGGAGCCGAAGATCGCCGATGGACATTGGAGCATGATAGAATGCTGCTGGAGTCCCAGCAATGTTCGACCATCCAGCGAAGATGTTCTGAAGTTCGTCACGGCACAACGAAGTAAGCACAAAATTGATTGGTCGAACGGATGTTGGTGACTGAACATTCTCGACTTGCATTATTAGTGGGACTTTAAAATGCTTGTGAGCAACTTGACACACGTCAAATCACACTCGACACTGCTCGTTGCCATTCAGGTCTAAATAACACCTGTGGTACCCCGTAGTCATTGGCGCTTCGTTGACAGTGAAGAAACTACTGGATGCCGAATATAAATTCAGTCCACTGTTTTATTGTTATTGAACCAATATCGATGAACCTTGGGGCGGTGCTGCTCAAGAGCCTGCCTGCTATGATGATGAGCGCTTCTGACAGAGCGAGTCTTGTGCGTGATTGACGTCAAATGAACGACAACCAGCTCTGAAGTGCCTTTGGAAACCTTGTCGTCAGCCGATGATAGTGACCGAAGCCAGCGCTCTTCCATTCCATCGGTGGCATTGGTCCCCGATATCTGGAGACCACGACAACGATTGCGCCGTCTGATAACTACCATCCGTCCAAAATCTGAAACACCTCCGATCATCTCCCCATCGTTTCTCCACCGTTGAACGCTTCCGTCATTCCTCCCGCACGCCGTCATATTCCCGTCTGGTGAAAGCTCTAGCGCATATATGCTTCCACCCTCGACTTCCCATGGTTCTCCGACAGTCAGTCTTGTATCACAGTTCCACTTCTACATTGTGCCATCCGCTGATCAACTCACGACATCGACGTTATCGTGCAAGAACACCGTGGTAAAGCCCGCATACTGTGTCCTCAGAGTCCCTGATCTTCGCGGTTGACATTTCTTCGGCCTCCAATGTCTTAGTGTACCTCCCTTGCTATGTGTCTCACGATGAATGGTAGCAATGCACGGTACGATGGCCAAGGGCATGTCGTGTCATTGTAAGGTAGTGCATACAGGAGGCCATTACTATGAGTACATGATAGAAGCACGACTGACTTTGAGTACACCACGAGCATCTTGCTGTAGTCTCGTCATCGGACAGTGAGGATTCAGGGGGAAAGTTGGCAAGAGTACTTCAAATGGGTATTCCGTGCTGGCGCTGGCCTTTAGGATCAGCTGACCAAGTTGACAATTCGGGGACTGGAGACTGTGATTGAATCTGTCTGCTCAGGAGACCTGGACTTGAGCTCTAATGGAAAATTGCGAGGTTTCTCCTGTGGCTTGAAAGAATATCGGTCAACTCTTGGGTCATCAATCAGTGAGAAGATGACTTACTAGAAGCTGATATTCCGGATCACTTACACGTTGGCATCGAATGCGAAGCGCCCTGAGACATCGACGGACGAGATCTGGGAAACCGAAAAAGGTTGCATGGAGCTCCCTCGTGTCCGGATTTGCCTTGTATGCAAATTTCATCGAGTAGGTGAAGAATAATGACCCTCCGGTCGATAACAGCAGAAAATGTCCGAGTTCCGTAAACCCTTCAACCTCAAGTCGAGATGTACCTATACATCAGTTAGTGAATGTTGAGAATAGTGCAATTTACTCACTATTATGTTGCCAGACCATGATCTCGCCCGTAACCAGCATGATAAACATATTACCAAACACTTGAATTGAAGTATTGCGACGAGAGATGTCATGAGATACAATAACGACGACGAGGGGAAAGATCCATGTTGCCACCGTGGAGATGGCTAAAATTGATAATGCCAGACTCGGAAAACATATAGCAAAGGGAACCGAGACGCTCGAGATGATTAGGAGAAACAACGTGAGGAAGTCTAGAATAGTATTAGAGATCATGATGCAAGTTCACTTTGGGAATGTGGGGGACGATGACGGGTGAGCAAGAGAATGCAATAGGGGTTAATTACGTAGTCAAAGCTTATATCTAGGGACTCGGAACTTGCCAACGAGCTACGCTGAAAGTTCAGGCGCTTCCTCAGAATGAATCGACATCCAAATATATAAGACTTTCTTACGATGAAAGGCTTAGGGTAGACGAGGATGAGCTAGAACAAATGTATTATCTCAGTCTCGAGGTAACGGACTGCCACTGGCAATTCGCGCGATCCTAAGTGCACCATGACTCTGAATCGTCCCGCCACCGCATGCATATTACTTGTACCAGTAGCGACCAGAACGATCAACAATAATTTGCATCATGATGGCCGATTTTCGACCAATGGTCCCGGATGCCGAGCGCATGTTCCATGCAATATAGGTACAATAATACAGAAATCTATCGTGAACTGAACTGCGCTTTCTTCGACTGCACACCCAAGTACTTCAATTACTAGCTTCCTCAATCTCCTGTCTCCACCGGTTCTGGATATCAATCGTCTCTCGGAATATCTTGTATTTCGCATCTAGCAGTTTCTTCACTTTCGACGAAGCGCCAGGGGCCACGAGGGTACCAGCAGGCGTCATTTCGACCTGAATGACAACGATCAGCATCTACACTCAGAAGAATACGGACGTCTAACCATGATTTTCCACATGTCTTCTCCGGCCACGACACCCTCCGCTGCGATTCTTCCCAACATCGCTGCACCGAGAACCACAGCCTCTGAATGCGACTTGGGCAGGATGACGGGGATATCACACGTGTCTGCAAAGAGCTGCATCATCACCACATTCTTTGCCTGCCCACCGGACATGTACAGAGACGTGATGTCATGGCCCGCCGTATTGAGAGCCTCGACAATGTGGCGCGTTTGAAGGGAGATAGCTTCGAGGGTAAGGTAGTATTTGCGAGCGAGGTCGGCGATGGATGATTCCTGAAGCAATCAAGATCACTTAGCCGAAAATCAGTTCTCAATCAAAGTGGTGACTTACCAGCTCAAGACCGACGATGGAACCTCTCATTCGAGGGTCGGCGATCGGAGACCTGTTTCCTGCGATAGACATGAATAAGATATCAAATATCGAACTGTAGCTTATCTCACCATGGAAATCGGGATAGAAATGTATATGCTTCGTAAGCTCCGTGTAGGTATCAACATGATTCTCGTGGCGTAATTTTTCGAGGACGTCCAGCAAGACTACAGTTAAATGTCAAAACACTTTTGTCATCGCTCCAGCATAAAGAGCTACACGAACCAGTGTGGATAGCCTTTCCCTCTTGTTTTGCGCGTTCTTTGAGTTCAGGATACGCGGAATGAGTGGTGATGATGAAGTCAATAAGCTGTCCCGTAGACGACTGGCCACCTTCATTCATCCACCAACCAGGGAAAGCTGCATCCTGTGAGGTTGTACATTTAGGATATCGATCGATATGCAGGATGACAGTCAAATACCTTATATGGACCCCATACACCCTTTACAAAGACACCTTCTCGACTCTGAAACAACGTTTTCGTCAGTATAACGATGGATTGCGCTGGTGACTTACCTGAACAAGATGACAGGTGCTTGTTCCGGCAACAGCGGCCAAACGGTGCCGAGACTCATCGAGAGAGGGAAGTACGGCTGAGAGCTGACCATTCTCCGTGTATCGAGCGGCAACTGTACCCATCCAGCCGGCATACCTAGCACGACGCCATTAGCATCCAGATCAAAGTAGATACATTGATGGAATATGACATACGCATCGATCAGACCACTTCCAACAGCAGTACCTTCGACAAGTCCGAGTTCTTCCGCTGCCTGTCGAGACAAGCCCTGACCAACTGGGCTTCCGGCAGCCTGCACTTGTCCGTGGGCGGTGCCCATCTGCTTCCAGTTACCATCATCGATGAGTTCACCGAGACCTATACGCTCGAAGAAGTCTGGCTGCCAGCCTTTGTCGGGGACAAAAGAGCATTTGCACGTAGTCGAACAATAGGAGCGTGTGCTATCTCCCGTTGCTTTGTACGTGAAGAAATCGGGAAGGTCAAAGAATTGGCATCGGGCGAACAGGGCAGGGTCCATGTGCTTCTTGAGCCAAAGGATCTTGGGTATTTCCATCTCAAGCTGTTCGCGAAGTAGGATTAGCAAGGTATACCGGAATCGTAGCTGTCACATACACTCATGGTCCCGCCGACATAATTCAAGACAATCGAGCCAGTAGAATTGATGAGTTCAGCCTCCTTCTCGGCGCGATGGTCTGCCCATAGAATGATGTTCCTATCGCCACCCTTTCCAATATCATTGCCCTTGGTCACTGTTATCGGATTCGCGTTAAAGTCTGACACGGCGAGAGAGCAGGTAGCATCGAAGCCGAGTCCCTTGACTGCGGTCGCGGGAACGTTGGACTGTTTTAAGACTTCCTTCACCGCGATACAAATCTGCTCCCAGATATTGTTTGTCGATTGCTCGAAGATACGATGATCGTGCTGATCACGCCAGGTGATGGTATCCTTCGTGGATGACGCTTTGATCTCGCCGTTTTGTGCGACGAGGGAGGCACGAGCAGAGCCAGTGCCGACATCGATACCGATGAAGTAGGGTGTGTCACTTCCCATTGCAACGGGCGGGGGTATGGGAATGGTGGTATTCCAGGAGGGAAATGTGTGATTGAATTAAGCTGGAATTCCTATGTACGACATTTGAACTCCACACGTTGCGGTATTCGGCACGGGACATCCTATATGATCATTGCCATACCGTGGAGACGTATCCATCACAGTAGGTCAGCTGGCCAAGCTTGACGGGTTATGTGTAACATTACTAGTCGAGGCGATCGTCACTGTCGTCAAAGAAGACGATATCTTATCTACACTTCAAGTTGGCTTGGCTTTCGCAATCAATAGCGTGATTCGTGAAGGGCCGCGCATGGCAAAGCCCGCTAGCGTTGTTCTCAGTGGTCGTACTACAGGCAGTAAAATCAGATCCGAATGATTTGGATTCTCGAGGTCATTGCATGATAGTACAAATACGAGCAGAGGACAGGACGTACGTTACACCAGTACTGTTAATTATAATGAGCCTTGCCGAGACCGTCCGAATCCGGGTCCGACACGGACTTTTCCGGCTCCGAACTGTACCATGTGTGCCGAGAAGTGTGACATGCGCCGTAAGTACTAACGTGAAATCTGGAGTCGAGACCAAACATTCTAGTAGTAGCCATCCGGACGTGGACAGGTCCTAGATGAAGCACTCGAGCTAGAGGTATCTCTGCTTCCCAAAATGACTAGTAATCAACAAAAGAGGAAAAGACTTCCTACTAGTAGCTCCGGATACTAATCCTCGATTCCTCTGGGCTGGTAGCATGCATGCGTATGGTCAAGATCGTCAACACTGACATGCATTACGGTAGGTCAAGGTGCAGAGGCTCGGGGCCCGAATAATACTTAAGACTCGGAGATTTCGCGGACTCTGGCCCTTCACGAAATATTGTGACCACTCTACCAAATCATGGTTGTTTCACATCCCAATTCCCTCAGTTATCCTCCCCTTGACGGATCTCTCTTTCTCCCTGAATTGCTGGAGTTCAATGCGCAACATAACTCGGTTGTCACCTTCTTTGTCTACAACAAACCTGGCAGCAGCGATCTGGTCTCTATCTCACACCTAGACTTCTATCGAGCTTGTCATCGTGCCGCACATCAAATTAGACCGGGTCGTGCAGGCGCGGACAATGAAGTGGTCGGCATCATCGCCAATTCAGACACCCTCCTCTATCACACGGTATTCATGGGCATCATCTTCGCTGGGCTGGTTGTATGTGAATAATTTATGTAAACGAACATATCTCTGACCGCTGCTTTTTAAGCCATTCCCCGTGTCGCATCGTAATTCTGCGGCGGCAGTCTTAAGCATCATGCAGAAAACAAAGTGTCGTCGTTTAGTCACCACTCACCACTCTCTCAGTTCCCTGATCGACGGGATCAAAGCGGGTATCGTGTCTAGTGGCACTGAAATCAGTCGGCTGCAGCTCGACGAGATGCCTGCGCTGAAAGATTTGTATCCTGCGCTTGATACAGGTTCTCCAGACGAAGATTTTGTCTCATACCCTCCCCGAGCCCCACGGTCATCTCAGGACGACGTATTATTCTACCTGCATTCCTCTGGGAGCACTGGTTTGCCGAAACCTATTCCAACAACCAACCAGTCTGTCATCGACTGGTGCACAGCCCGTAAGCCACAGACGCAATGTCCGAAACAAAGTGCTAATAGAGGTGGTATTAGCGTGCATTGTCGACCACATCGGCGTTTCCGCTCCTATCCGCGTCGCTGCTGCATCGTTTCCACCATTCCATCTCATGGGTGTGATGGCCCAACTGCTAATACCCACTGTATCCTTGTGCAGCGTATCTATTTACCCACCTGCGTCCTTCCACGACCCATCAGCGGCCCCCATAATACCCAATTCCCAAAATATCCTGGAATCTGTGCTTAATACCAAATCGACCGCTTTGTGGGCCATGCCTTTCTTCCTGGAGCAATGGGCATGTTCTCCCAATGCTGTTGACATTTTGAAGACACTCAAATATGTCGTATGTCAATTTTATTTTTTTTGTTAAAAAAATGGCTAATGGTGTTGTAGCTCTTTGGTGGTGGCCCACTCGCCTCTAAGACGGGAAATGCCCTGGTAGATGCAGGGGTCATGTTATCGGTTACGTACGGCGCTACAGAGATTGGGCCCGTCACTTCTATATTCCGGAATGAGGCCAGGAAAAAGCTTTGGGACTGGCTGCAATTTATCCCAAACACCAGATGGGCTCCTCAGGGCGATGGAACATATGAATGCCAAATTCTGGTGCGTCTCAATCTGTATTCTCCCTCTCAATGTGAACTCTTCCTCGCAGACGACTCCAACATATCGGGTGTCAGTAGAGAACCTCCCAGACGTCAAGGGTTATGCTACTTCTGATTTATTTATCAAGCATCCAACGATCGAGGGTCTGTGGAAGATGTACGACTGACGACTGTGTCCATGTTCTGGCACTGTCTGACTTTATCCTTGCAGCTCGGGAAGGAAGGATGAGGTCTTGATGCTCTCATCCGGGGAGAAAGTAATACCAGCTCTCATGGAATGCATCGTCGGGACCAACCCCTATGTGAACGGCGCCGTCATCTTCGGCCGTGGACGTAGCCAAGTTGGCATCCTCATAGAGCCACGAGCAGGGCATGAAATCGACGTCGATGACGAGGCACAGGTTTCGGAGTTCAGGAATCGAGTGTGGTAAGACCCCTGCAAAATTCTATGCGGCTTTCATGTCTGAACATGCCCTTGAAGGCCCGAGATAGAGGAAGCGAACAGGGCGGGGCCTGCCTTCAGCAGAATCTTCAAGGAAATGGTACTTGTGACGCGCAGAGAGAAGCCCATGCCTCGAGCTGGGAAAGGGACCGTCACCAAGAAAGCCGCCAGCCAACTGTACGAAGAGGAGATCAATGCCCTGTGAGCAGGTACCTTCACCGATATCTGAAATTGACATTGATGGACGTCAGATACGACAAGGTGGAGGGCGGCAGAACAGGTATCGACGTGCCTTTGCCTATGAACTGGACTACGGAGGACGTGGAGAGTTGGCTCATGGTCCATGCCGCTTCTGTGAACGCTGGCAAGGCAGTCGATCCTGACACAGACTTCTTTGCTCAGGGCTTTGACAGGTGAGTTGATGGTCAGTCAAAGACTCGTGTGTTCCTGATTTCGTGCCTCTAGTCTCTCTGCGACATTCCTCAGAAACCGGATCATCGGTTCCCTTAGGTCGGCACCAGATCGCGACGTCCAGGCATCAGCACTGCAAATTGACCAGAATATCGTCTATCTGAGTCCTTCTATTCGCCAGCTCGCGAGAAGCGTCATCCATGCAGTATTGCATGGGAACAGTCCAAGCTCGGTCGATGTCAAGGCTGAGATCGAGAGCATGATTGAAAAGTATTCAGTCGGATTCAGCGCGGACTCTGCCAGAGATGCCTCCGCCACTCTGGTTAATGGACGGAGTCGAGGCAATCATGTGGTCATCCTGACAGGGTCCACGGGTGGTCTTGGTTCATACCTGCTTGCATCTTTGCTACAGCGTGAGGATGTGTCAGTGGTATATGCCTTCAATCGGTTGTCGAGGGGCAATGAATCAATTGAACAACGACAGAACAATAGTTTCGAAGACCGTGGTTTGGACATCACCCTCCTGCAGTCAGAGAAACTGTTGTATATAGAAACGGATACCGCTAGTCACGACCTGGGTTTGGAGAAGGAGTTGTATCAGAAGGTTTGTTTCATTTCCTGTCTGACTTTGTAGAAAGTTGTACTGATAAGACACGACATAGATCTGCACGTCCGTCACTGTCATCATTCACAGCGCTTGGCGACTCGACTTTAACCTGGCGCTGTCGTCCTTTGAGCCTAATGTTCGGGGAACGCGCAATCTTATAGACCTGGCATTATCTTCTCCGTGCCATCCGAAGCCACGCTTCTTATTCACGTCTTCTATCTCGACTGCCCAAAGCTGGGATAAAGCGAAAGGACCTTTCCCAGAAGAGTTACAGTACGACGCGGGCATCGCAGAGGGCCTTGGATATGGCGCGAGTAAATACGTTTGTGAAAGGGTGAGTCGTACGCTACCTCCGAGGGAAGTGCCAATCTGACGAGCACTATCCTGAACAAGGTCCTCGTGAACAGCAAGTTGCCGGCATCCTCATTCAGAATTGGACAAATAGCGGGAGGACCCCCACGAGGAGCTTGGTCGAAGACGGACTGGCTGCCGATCATCGTCAAGTCGAGTGTAAGTCTGGGTGTATTTCCGGAAGCTCAAGGGGTAAGTGTAGTTCAATGCGTCTTTGCCGAGTATAGGAGAACTCATCAATAATACGCGCGGTTTAGCTTCTGTCGTGGATCCCTACTCACGCCGTATCAAATGCCATTCTTGATGTGGCTTTCTCACAAGAAGAACCTCCCATTGCAGTTAATCTTGTGCATCCGAGACCGGTAGCGTGGGCCACGCTGATGCGACCTGTTGCGGACGCCATCTTTGATCGCAAGATAACAAGCGTCCCGATGCCTCTCATTCCATTCTCGGAGTGGTTCGAAAAGGTCGAATTGAGTGCCAAGAATGCAAGCGAGGAAAACATCCAACGCATCGTACGTGTTTTCAATTTCTGACAGAACGTTTTCCCACCTGGTCTTCCATCGCAGCCTGCTATCAAGCTTCTTGACTTCATGCGTGTCATGTCTCGATCAGATATCGCAATCAGAGCGTCTGGGGACATGCGCTCAGAAGTGGGTGGCATCACCTCGTTCGCGACTGGCGTGGCCCAGCGCGTCAGTCTGACGGTGAAAGAGCTGGAGCCCTTGTCATCGGTGGCTGCGACACAATGGGTAGACTATTGGGATGCGGTGAGGATGTTTCGATGAATGATTGCCTAGAAATGGAATTTTGTTGGGCCATTTTTAGTAGGATTTTCTGATGGGGCAGTGTACAACAGATAGTAAGACAAATTAGACGTTTGCCAATCTTCTTGCTCGTTTGAACGTTCAGAAGTCATGGAAGAGGGGGGAGCCGATCGAAGTGGTGCCCCATAGAAAAGGGACTTTCCATAGCGTACGGTGCAATGGTGATCCCTTTAAATCGTATAGGTGGTGGTGTCGTGAATGGTCGCAAAATGATTCATCTCAGCTAGTTAGTCACGGACGTCGGTAGTAGTCTCCCATAATAATGCCTGGACAGTGGTTGATGGCGCCTATAAACTTATACGGGTCCCCCGCAAGTACGAATCCTATGTACGAGAGCTAGAATGGTTGGAGACTGTAGTAAAATATGATCTTAATGCGCTTTTCCTGTAGTTTAACCAACATTGATGAACATCAGTGGAGCGGTGCTGCCCGGACCCAAGAACCTGCCTGCTATGATGATGAGCACTTCTCACAGGGTTATTCTTGAGTATGATTGACGTCAAATGAACGACAACCATCTCTGAAATGCCTTTGGAAACCTTGTCGTCAGCCGACGATAGTGACCGAAGGCAACGCTCTTCCATGTCCATTGGTAGCATTTCATAGTGACTACGGCTCAAACTCATCTGAATGTCCCTCGGCTGCCATTCGAACAGAGAATATGATAAGTTGTTGACACATTATCGTAGTAGCCATTTGGCCATGGACATTAATATTAACGATGAGAAATCTGGGACAAATATCATAGCTCTAGGGGCTATTTTACTCCTCTAGGTACTATCTGAGCATCCTAAAGTAGATATGAGATTTTACTCCGTAATTAACCCCTATTACACTCTCTTGCTCACCGTCATCATCCCCCACATTCCCAAAGCGAACTTGCATCATGATCTCTAATACTATTCTAGACTTCCTCACGTTGTCTCTTTTACTCATCTCGAGCGTCTCATTTCTCTTTGCTGCATGTTTTCCGAGTCTGGCATTATTAATCATAGGCATCCCCACGGTGGCAACATGGATCTTTCCCCTCGTCGTCGTTATGGTATCTCCTGACATCTCTCGTCGCAATTTTTCAATTCAAGTCTTTGGGAATATGTTTTTCATCCTGTTTTTTGGCGAGATCATTGTCTGGCAACATAATAGTAAGTGAAATGCACTATTCTCAACATTCACTGACTAATGTATATATTTATTACAGGTTCTACATCTCGACCCGAGGCTGAAGGGTTTGCGGAGCCCGGACGTATTCTGCTGTTATTGGCTTTAGGGTCATTATTCTTCATCTACTCGATGAAAGTCGCATACATGGCAAATCCGGACACGAGGGAGCTCCATGCAAACTTTTTAGGTTGCCCAGAAGTCGTCCGTCAGTGTCTCAAGGCGCTTCACATTCACCGCCAATTTGTAAGTGATCCGGAATATCAGCTTCTAGTAAGTCTTCTTCTTCCTCATTTACGACCCGAGAGGTTGACCGATATTCTTTCAAGCCACAGGAGAAACCTCACGATTTTCCATCAGAGCTGAAGTCCAGGTCTCCCGACGAGACGGATTCCATCGCAGTCTCCAGTCCCCAAATTGTCAACTTCGTGAGCTGATAGTCAAGGCCAGCATCACCACAGGCTGCCTACTTGAAGCACCCTTGCCATTATTTCCCCTGAATCCTCACGAGACGAAGGCCTCAATCAAAACTGGAGTGTCAGGATGTTTGTCATGTGTTCAAAGTCAGTCGTGCTTCTATCATATACTCGTAGTAAGGACCGCCTGTATCTACTGCCTCACAACGACATTCGCCCTTAGCTATCGTGCTCGTGCATTGGTACCATTCGTCGTGAGACATATAGCAAGGGAGGTACACGACATTGACGAAGCTGAAGCAACGCAAATGTTTTCCGGCCCAAAGAAATGTCGACCACGAAGATCAGGGCCTCTGAGGACGCAATATGCGTGCTTTGTCACGGCCGCGCCTTCGCGTATCTCGAACTCAAAGAAGTTATTTAGCATAACAAACTTTTCCTCAGGCTTGACCGGTGACCATCGGTTCGTTGAAGTCCAACTCGCCTCGGTTTCCGATTGCGCTGTATTGTATTCCACTCGCTGCCTTGCGTTGAGTATGCACCGAAGCATACTTCACCATGCTAGAGTAATCGGAATCAGGTGAAGCGTACAGTTGGGTATTGGTTTGCAAACATCAAACCGCCCGGAATGTATATTGCACTATGAACATGCGAATGAATGATTAGCGCTGTCTCGTGGAATCCATGCCTACCACATGCGGGATCGAAATGGTGCAAGTATCGCCACATGAACCTGCTAATCGAGGATTAGCACCGTCTTCTAGAATTGATACTAAAATTTAAATCACTTGGCCGCCTAGTTTGCCCCAATATAACAGATCAGTAGACCAACCAGTGAGTGCTGGTCAATTTGTTGGCCCCATAATTGATCACCAACCGCGGCAGAGTCAGACTGATCCAACAGATTACGGTAACGAGCTATGACTCCTGGATCTTTTGCAAAGCCGACCTTCAAGAAAGCTTCAACCATATCGCAAGCCAAAGGACCAACTCCAAAGCACAGATTTGAAGGACACAAGAAGGCGATTTGGAAATGCATGTTCTTGCACGATAACATCCACATTGTGAGTGGTTCATACAGGGAAGGCCCTAGGCGAAGGATGCGTCAGAAAGAGCGTTTCAATAGTAATAAATTTGATGAAGAGGGATTCTCATGGGAAACGTACTGGGCCTTCATCGGCGATCGCTTCTAGTGCTGCCGCAGTCCGGTTCCAAACCTCGGTTCGAACCTGAACCTTTCCGAACCGGACACATGGTCCGGTCCCAGGTTCGGCCAAGTCTCAGAACCGAACCTCTCCAGAGGTTCGAACGGGTTCGAACCTCAGAATTTTTGCGTAGGTTTAATTTCTGGAAGAGTACAAAGATCAGCATCGATTTTCCACGAAAGCATGAAAGCTATTCCCTCCTTACCTCTTTTTGTGTGTCTGATGACTGCAAATACGACCTGGGCACTGATATCCCTGATGCCCGCAAGGCGAGGGTATACGAGCTCAGCCACCTTCTCTTCCTCTGTCAAGGAGCTGGCAAGTGCGATAGCTGCCTGTTTGACCATGGCATCCGATACATGCCGAGTTCGGGAGAGGATCGAACCGAGACCAATACCAGGGAACATGTACATGTTGTTTCCTTGGCCAGGCTCGTACGTGACACCGCCATGGGAGATGGGCTGGTACGGGCTACCCGACGCGAAGATTACCTGTCCATTCGACCTTTATAAATGAGGATCATTAACATCGACCATGCTGCGAGAGCTCTGTTAGCTTACCATTCGATGGCGTCCTGATAGTCTAGCTCGCATAGCGCGACGGGATTTGACAAGGGGAAGATGATGGGACGCGCGTTCAGCGCACTCATCGTTTTGACGACTTGTTCAGTGAATGCATTCTGGAATGAAGTGAGATTATGAAAAACACGAGCATCACTGGAAGGCGTACTCTGATGGTGCTAAGGCCGAGCAAGGCGGTGGGCTTCACGTGGTTGATGATCTCAACTAGGTCAGTGAGCGCAGGACCATCGTAATCGGTACGCGCGAAGACTGTAATTATTGTTTAGCACATAGGAAACAACCCAGACATATCCTCGTACACTTCTTATGTTCCTGGAGACCTTTGCGGTCGGCAGTAATAGTCTGTTGAGAAGTCTTTGAATTGTACCAGTAGGGTAGGGAAGACGAAGTTCTTTCATGGCTGCCATGAACTCGTCCATGAATTCGTCCATCTGAAATATACGTGAGTGGATGCACGCGCGTGTGGTCTCTGGGGACACACTTCTGGACCCAATGAGCGTGGGCGGCGAACACCGATGTAAAGAGGATCATCAAGGTAGCGTTGCGTATTGGTACCCAAGTCCAGGCAAATCGGGACCTGATCAGGGTCAACTGCGATTCGCTTCACTGGATCTGCAGGCTTCTGCAGGAGCAGTGGCCGCCACTGGCCTCGAATCCTTCGATCGGCTGCGTTCGCTCATCGCAAATAGTTGGTTGTCAAGGATCAGTCTGAGAGAAGTAGAGTGCACAAAGTCGTGGAGAAGGGGTGAGGCCATGTTGAGCATTCTGTACAGTTCAGGACCGCAGCAGCACAATAATATCCCGGGCCACTAGCAGATGTTATCGAAGGAAGGTTGAAGATGGTCGTTCCTTGGTATTGGGGCAGCGCATGGACTCTATGACCCAATAGATATTATGGTAATTAGGAGGTCGCAGCACTCTCTGGGTTGAGGGGAAATCTTATTTGAATGTCGACTCATTCTGAGGAAGCGCCTGAACTTTCAGCGTAGCTCATTGGCAAGTGAATTGCTTCCGAATCAGCATATATATAAGCTTTGACTACGTAATTAACCCCTATTTCATTATCTTGTTCACCCCCCACATTCCTAAAGTGAACTTGCATCATGATCTCCAACGTTAAATTTCAAAAGCTCGTCGTGGCGTTTATTTTGATCATCACGAACGGCACAGTAATCTCTGCTTTATGTTTTCCGAGTCTGGCGATATCAATCATAGCCATCTCCATGGTGGCAACATGGATCTTTCCCCTCGTCGTCGTCATTGTATCTCCTGACATCTCTCGTAGCAATGCTACAATTCAAGTATTTGGGAGTTTGTTTATCATGCTGTTGACATTCGAGATCATGGTCTGGCAACATAATAGTGAGTAAATTGCACTATCCTCAACACTCACCAACTAATGTATAGGTACATCTCAAGTTGAGGTTGAAGGGTTTACGGGACTCGGACATTTTCTGCTGTTATTGACCGGAGGGTCATTATTCTTCATCTACTCGATGAAAGTTGCGTACAAGGCAAATCCGGACACGAGGGAGCTTCATGCAAACTTTTTTGGTTGCCCAGAAGTCGTCCGTCAGTGTCTCAAGGCGCTTCGCATTCGCCGCCAACATGTAAGTGATCCGGAATATCAGCTTCTAGTAAGTAATCTTCTTCCTAATTCACGACACGAGAGTTGATCGATATTCTTTCAAGCCACAGGAGAAACCTCGCGATTTTTCATCAGAGCCCAAGTCCAGGTCTCTTGACGAGACAGATTCCATCGCAGTCTCCAGTCCCCGAATTGACAACTTCGTCAGCTGATAGTCAAGGCCAGCGTCAGCGCAGGCCGCCTACTTGAAGCACTCTTTCCATCATTTCCCCTGAATCCTCACGAGACCACGGCTTCAATCAAAACTGGAGCTCAAAGTCAGTGGTACTTCTATCATGTACTCGTAGTAAGGACTGCCTGTATTTACTGCCTTACAACGACATTCGCCCTTAGCCGTCGTTGTTCGTGCATTGGTACCATTCTTCGTGAGACATATAGCAAGTGAGGTACACGACATTGACGAAGCTGAAGCAGTGCGAGTTTTTTCCGGCCCAAAGATATGTCAACCGCGAAGATCAGCGACTCTGAGGACACAGTATGCGGGCTTTGTCACGGCCTCGCCTTTGCGTATCTCGAACTCAAAGGACAACTTACTGGCTTCGTCATCACCACTCATACTGCGTATCCTGAAACAACGCGCAAAGCAAGTGATCATAATGCAAATGATGTGAATCGTGCGGAAGAAGTAAACTACATGCAGTAGCCACGTAATCTGTTGATTGTACATTGCTCCTAGGCAAAATATTATTGAGCTCGGGTAATTAATCGTGAAAAAATATACTCACTTATAGCAGTCTAACCATCATTGGGAGCCTCGTTCTGTCTGCCTCGCAATCCTTGGAGCTGAACACAACATGTAAGCTATTGATTGAGCAACAATCAACAGCTTACATGTTGTGCAAATGATGTGAATCGTGCGGAAGAAGTAAAATACATGCTGGCAGCAGTCAGAATACACGTAATCGATGTAAGCTGTTGATTGTACATTGCTCCTAGGAAAAATGTTGTTGAGCTCAAGTAATGAATCGTGAAAAAATATACACACTAGTAGTCAGGTCACTAACTGGTGAGACTTGACCGCCGTCGGTGTCGGCATTCTTCGTCTCATGATCTCTCTTCCGGATACCTTCCATTACCTGAAGAAATGCTCATTTGCTAGTCGCTAGTATTGATACATACACCGAATCCGCTGATGTGATACCTGCACACAGACAATAGTTAGTATGGTTCCAGGCCGAAATGATGTAAATCCGAGTCGCACCTCGCCATCCACGATTCCACAGCCAATAAGACACACATCAAATACCGGCCCAAGTACGGCGCTTGAGTTCTCTGCTGAGGTTTTGTGAAAGAGCCAGTTTGCCAGAGTGTCCTGGCAAACTGGTTCTTTCACAAAACCTCAATCGTTACCGTCGCTTTGTTGCCGTTGTTGTAAGGGAGATCAATAACGTGAAGATTGCAGTGATATTCCTCGGCACTGCCGAGGAATATGACTGCAATGAATATACGTTCGTGGGGGTAGTGGAAACTACCCAAGGGTAGAAACACTCAGACGGAAGTAACGAGTAGAAGCGTATGCGATTTGGATCAGGGTAAGAGACGATAACTTACACAATGATACGGGACCCATATAAATAGGAGTCCGTAGGCATCCTGTAAACAGTGGCAAATATCGTAAGGTGTCCAATCAGTGAGTTCGATGGATAAGCAGTATGTCTGTCAGTACGTCTAATGAGTAAGCCTGCATGCTTACAGGTAGTATGTCAGATTTTTGTAGTTCTACAGTTGTTCAGTCTCATCACCGGCACCCTCCGTCATACTATATGTCGCTCACAGCGCCCTCCGATAGTTGACGTCATAATCTTATCGTTGCGAACAATACAGTCACATGCGTCTTCGCAGCCAGTCCGTCTAGGGCCTGACATGATTCGACCCGGGTCATGCCCGGGTCATACCCGCGGGTATTTTCTTTAGGAGGTCCAGATACCTCACTACGGCCTAAGACCAGTGGATTTGCGATTTGCGACATGGAAGGATCGCCATCGAGTACGGTGTCGCAAGTAACTGTAAGACCAAGCTAGTAACATCAAAATGACTGAAGTTTGTCCATCAATATTGCCCACTCAAGCACAGTCACCCCTTTCTTCAACACCTCCTCCTTCATCTCCCTGTCTCTCGTTTCTTCTCGCAATCGAGCAAATGCACGTAGGTGCTCCTCGCGCCGAATGCCGAGACTAGCAAGTACAGGCGCTATATGAAGCAATGTCGGTTCGCAGGACGCAAGCACCATCTCAACCGATGATGTGGAGGTTGAACGAACGCCCATGACGGGCGCAGAAGGCCAGCTTCTACTAGGAAGGCTGCGTGGAGGTGAGTTGCTGTTGCTATTTGTACTCCTCGTCGGCGCTGGCTCTTGCGAAAAGGTGACTGGCTGCGCTTGTAGTGGTGAGGTTCTGGCATGCTTGGATAGTGCTTTCAGCTCAGCCATCGTGTATATCCGTTCAGAACGTGTTGGGCTTGGAGGAGTACCTCGTTTATCACGTTTTGCTTTCTTCCCATCAGGGGGCCAGTTTGCGTTGAGATCGGAAGGTGTGTATAGTCTCTCCGAGCGATATGTCTGAGAAACACTCGAGCGGCTTCTTCTGAGTCCTGATTTCAGGTGCTGTAAGTTCTGGTGGTCAACGTTATGTTCGATTTGATGATGCATCGAGGCACAGACCTCTATATCTCTGGGAACTGGCGGCGACTTGCTTCGCCACTGTTGGATCTGTTGGGCAGTATCATCGCCATTATTTCCAACCACGTTCCCGAATTCATCCTTCTCGTTCCTAGCAACAGCTTCTCTCCACATCGAGACCTTCGCTCCGCGTTCGATGTCTTTCGATTTTGCCTCTGACCCACGGCGCTTGATAGTAACGGCATTCTGTTGCCGCTTGTCTGATGAACGTACGCTCTCTTGATCGTTCAGCCCCGCATCAAGAACACGCCTCGCAAGTTCCTCGGCATAAAGGTATTCTTCTTGTTGCAGATCGGGAGCCCGTCCATAGTCGACCTCGTGTTTCTCCGCCCACTCCCCATAAACCCCATACACACCACTATATCGTGCGGCCCCATCTCCCAACTCCTCCTTGTGGACATGCACCTGCGTGACACCATCATACCGCATCTCCGACGCAGTCTCGAATTCTACGTCCTGGGTCACGGCATCAAAGTCATCATTCACGATTTGGACTGTCGTCGGTGCTCGGGGGTGTCTGTGTCTGCGAGCCACGGGGGCTTGAACGGCTACAATCTCATGGGACGAATCTTGATGTTCATCGATGAGTCCCAATCAGTGAATCAATCTTCAAACGTTGACACTCACCGCTATCTGATGGTCGATACCGCATTTCCGCGACAACCAGCGGCCTTTGGTTGTTGCCTGTAGAACCCGATGCGATGATCCTTTGTCGATGTCAAGGGTAAAGTCAGGAGCCTAGCATGTGCCACTCTCGGTCTGTTTCCGAACCCGAGGGAAACACGAGGCCTCCTGCGTTCGAGCCTTTGAATATGGTGCCTGGTTAACTCCACCTTTTGCAATGTGATCACGTAGAATGAAGCGGTCATTGACTAGAGGTGAAATGCGTCCTACACGTGTTTTTTAGAGTGTGGGACATCGTGCATGTTTGATTGATGGATGGATAGTGTTTTGGATTGAATGGCTAATCAGATAAGGATTGAGCGTAATATACAATGCGGAGAAATACATGCCGTGGTACAACATTAATAAGATGGTGCAGACATCGAAAAACACCTAGCAAATAACTAAAGCGGAAGAGGAATGTGCTAAGCCGTTGACCATTTATTTCTTCGTCTTGCTTTTTTTGCTGCTTGATGCCCCAGCTTTCTCTTCTGCCTGATAGGATGTTAACGAAGATCATCGTATCTCGAACAAATTCTCACCTTTCGTTTTGTTCCCTTTCCGTCCTTAACATTTTTGCTTTTTGATTTTGCATCGTCCGCCTTCGACTTCTTCGGCGAAGTTTTGGGTTGTACTGAGAAGAAGCCATCAAGACGACCTTGCTGCTTTGCGTTTAAGAATTTTTGTAGTTTCTCGGCACCTTTGCGGACTCTGTCCTCACTGCACGCGTGTCAGTTAGTGGCTGTGTAGGTGGAAGACCGGGCTTACTTGAATCCTTTCTCAGTGACCAGGAACTGTATAAGACCATCGATATCTGGGTCTTTCCACTCGAGCTGACAAGGAATGGTTAGATTAGTGCGTACCGGAGCAGCGATGAAGCATCATACCTCGACCTCAGAAGCCGGGACTACATCTGGTTTTTCGAATAATTTCTTTGCCTCTTCCCAGGGCCACTCTTCGGGAACTTGTACGCCTCCCTTTTTCTTCTTGGCACCATCTTCTGCGTCAGCAGCTTTCTCCTCTTTCTCTGCCTGTCTGGGGTAAAACAACCGCGTCAGAGACATGATGTTGTGCACAGCTGGAATCACGTACTTCTCTCGCAGATGCTCGACTACGCCCGCAAGCCCACCATACTCTCGTATGAGTTTTAATGCGCTTTTAGGTCCAACCCCTCTTATTGGCTCAAGGTAATCGCAGCCAAGTAGTACGCAAAGGTCGATGAACTTGAAAAACTTCAGTTACGGGATGAATGAAAGTGTCTGCAGAAACAGACCTGTGACATGTCCATCTCGAGGCCCTCGAGTGCTTTCTGGAGGTTGATCTCACTTATAGGTGCCTTCTTTGCTTCGGAGAAGGTCAAGTGCCGGTAAAGAATAGGTGCGTTGAAGGTGAGTGTGTCCATATCTTCTGAGCCCGCCGCATATACCTGTTTTGATGAGTGTTTGTATCTACAGAATAACGAGGTACAGACCTTGCCTCCCCTAGCGAGCTCTGCACATTGTGCCTCGGCTTCGGATGGCGCCTGAAAGGGTATTATGAGCTGCGCGAGGAAGTAGATGAGATGGCATACTACGATGACAGGGATACCCATGAGCCTCAATAGCCTTCTACATTCTTCGTTGTGTTCTTTTGTAACTTTGACGGTTCGTCTGGAGAGCCTGTCGACATCCTCTGCAGTGCCAGTTTCTTTAGCCTCTTCACCTTCTTCCTTAGCCTCCTCCCTCCTTTCAAAACGTTTTGAGAGCTGTGAGAAGGGTGAGGGTGATGCATTACAGAGCGATGCGATTCAACCACATACCACGCCCGACTTGAGTTCGGGAGGCTTGCCATCGAATACATACGCGGGTTTGATACCATTCTCGACTATGCGTATAGTACGATAGAAGAAACCCATCAGATGACTCGTCGTCTCCCCCGCATCGTTTGTGAGCATCTCGCCATCCTTCTGGCGAACAGCAATAAGGAACTGGTATATGGACATGGACGCGTCGATGGCGACTTTGCGTCCGAAGAGGGTCTTTATGTCGTGCTCTATGATAGCCTTTGGGGCATGCTCGGAGATGAGCGCGGTGAGTCCTTTAATTCCCATTGTTGGTTAGTTGTGTTGGCTGTTGGCGACTTGGCGTCGTGGATGGTGGTGAGGAGGCGTGTGACAACGTGCGTGTGACACGTTGTGACGCGACTGTGACACAACGCGATTCATGTGACCCCTTCTGTGGGGGTTGGTCCAATGTGTTCTCGAGGGACTTGAAGTAGGAACGATAGAGTGCACATGAGCCATTCACTTTCCTTACATGATGTGGTCGAATCTCGTCCACACAAACGCATTCGGCGCTTCTCACCTCACGAGAGCCATGACATTGACCTCGAAACTAAATCCATGACAGAAGGTGCGCGGTGGCTCAGAACACTCTATGTAACCTGCGCCTGATATCTTTCAGATGAAGCCGACCTTGGAATGAGCCAACTCATTGCTGAGGAGATCGACCTGGAAATTGCTATCCGCCAACGCCTTCTAAACACTATCGACTCTCGCATAACATGGGCACTTATGCTACAAGAGGCTTTGACTCGGGACTCGCCCACTCCAGTACCTGATGCAGCACCAGACGACTTCCAAGAAGCTGCTCTGGACGCTCTAAACGCTGTAGAAGTACCTTGTGCATTCCTCTTCGACAGAGAAGAGTCCATATATGACGAAGCTGAACCTCCCTCTCTTCGTTCATTCTCCCCTGTCGCAACAACTCAACGCGAACGAATACCTCCAAAGGTCAGGCCGACGCGTACGGCTGCAGCAAAACTTCACCCGCAGAAAAAGCTACTGTATATCCGTCTCCCCCCTTCACAGATATCTGTCGACGAGGAGATTGCAATTCTTACTTGCCCTACTTGTACTCGCACGCAGTTCAGCACCCTTCAAGGGCTCTTGAATCATGCACGACTTGCACATGGTATTGAATGGGCCAGCCACGACGCGTGCATTACGGCTTGTGCTGTTCTGGTCCCTTCCAGTGATGAAGCGGAGAAGGAACGAGTAGAGGAGGAAGGCGTTGAGGTACCTTGGGGAGGCAGCGTTGTCGGTCTACAGCGACTGTTTGAACGAGCCGTCGGTGTCAATGTACCTCCGCCTCTTCTTCTCGAAGAACAGGAGGGAGCTGCAGGCGCGGCGACCATACCCAGCACTCTTTTATCGCGCACCCTCGGTTTACATGTAGACTCCCCTGCCCTCGCTCAATTTCTCGGCAGAACCCCAAAACGAAGATGCATACATGCTTATGAGGAATATACAGATGTTGACATTCTCAGTATCGACACTGCTCCGGTCAGGCCTTCCCCCAGTTTGGAAAGCCAAGGGGTTACGAGGGGAGTAGACAAGGGAGATAATCATCCTTGGCGAATGGTTTTCCCGCATCGGAATAGAGCTCGCCCTGAACTCGATCTTGTTGTTGACGCACCCGCGCTTGTGGATGACGGTACGGAGACCACAGCCACCCCTGCGATACCAGGAAGCACGACTTCGCGCTTCCATATCACCGCTCGTGTTCATATCACAGACAGAAGTTTATTCATTTCGCCGGGTACGCTCACATTTTGCAATGCATTCATTACGGTGTTTGATCGTATCTGCGGCAGGTCGGCGGGTAGAGCTCAGTATTCCACCGTCGCACACTCACCGGTGGATGCTCAGTGTTACTGCTCCTTCTTATGTGCGTGCATCCTTTCCTCATCTAAGCATAGTGATATATTTTTGCACTTCTGCAGTCGATACCTCTGGCCTCATTCATGATACGCTTGACAGTTTTGGCAGTGGCGCCATCTGATAACACACAACGCCAGCCTTGTACTGTGGACAAAGTGCCCTTTGCCATCATAGGCACATCTTCAGAGCCATTTCTTGCAAAAGTAGTGATGGAGTGGGCTAGTGGCGGGAGAATGGAAGTAGAACATTGGATTGATGTATGTCTTGCATTGTCTTCGCGCTACTCATATTCAGTCTTCGCAGCTTGACCCTGGGAACGCAGTAAGCTCTGTGCTTGGTTCGGAACAAGTCCTCGATGTCGAACTTGACAGAGGGACGCGCCTCCTCCCTGTCCCTACCGGACCTGCACCGCCTATACCTTCCTTGGAACGTGAACCCGCAGAGATAACAAGGCAATCTGTGACTAAACTTCAAGAATCTGCAGATGAATTTGGTTATGAGAAGGTTCTACGGAGTTTATTACCAAGAGTCCCCATGACGATGAAAGGTAATTTTTCCTGTCCAGTGCATCAGCGCGCATTTCATCTTCAACTTTCTGATATGATGTTACGATAGATGTGAAGTTCCGTTCACCAGTCCAGGTGCCATATAAGCTCGTTCCCTCGCCAGCGCATCTTCTAGCGCTTGTACCTGGGAGACGGAAAGCCATCGAAGTGTGTATTTTGTCGATATTGACTTTTTGGGGTCATGTCCTTAAACTGTTCGTAGTGGGGAAGAGCCCGAGCACTGCAAGCGCTTTATATCCAGCACTCTGCCTCTGCCTCCGCAGAACTGATTTCCCTCACTGTTGGTGACGTTTATGCATTCCTAGAAGATTCGGGGCTTTTTCCTCGCCCGCCTTCGAAGCTCGAAGCTCCCGTCCCCAGCGGGAAAGCTAAGAAGGAAAAGGAGAAAGAAAAGGAGAAAGAATCCGCGCTTTCGCCGCTGGATGAACCCTGCGTCATCTGTGGTATCAAGAAACGCTTCCACCCCGCGCTCGCCGTCACGACCAAAGTGAAGAAGGAGCCTGTTTTTGACGAGACAGTAACCTGGGTTTGCGATATCGTTCCCCCGCACGAACTTGAGCGGGGTCTACGAATACCCATCATTGATTTAACAAAGATTTTTGCAGGTGGGCTCGAAACCGCCCTATACGCCGGGGAAACTCCCGGGGATAGGCTGGTGCCACCGCTTCAACCAATGGCTTCATCTCAGCTGTTCAGATCTTGGCGGCACGCTCCACGGCAGATCGTCTCGTTAAGTCCACCAGACCTTATTCTTGCTATTCATAAGAGCGTTGGCTCTTTACACCTCCCGCATTTTCCCGATTTTCAATCACCCTCTCTGGACAAGCATCGTACAAATTTAGAGGTCGAAGAGGCTTTCGCACCATCAGCGCTACTAGCCGCTGTGCTCAAACCGTTTATTTCCGTCCTCGTGCGCTCTGCAGTAGACGTTGCGAAACGAGATATTGCGGCTGCGATTGCTTCTGGTACTGAAACTAGCGGTGCTGCTGTTGCTGGACAAGGCAAGGTAGCACGGTCTAAGCGAGGGAGAAAAGTAGGGTCCGTTCTGACTCCTGGCCATGTCTTACGAGGGTTGTCGCTGCCTAATCCTGACCACGGTGGCGGGCTCGCTACGACTACTCTGAAAGATGTGTTGGGACTTTGTCTAGCGGGAGTGGGAGTCCCTTTGGAGTTCGGACGATCGTCGACGCGTGCTTTTCTCCGTCAGATTGTGGATCGGGATGGCAGTGTCGAAGTGGGGGAAACAGGCGAAGTTAAAGTGGAACCGCCGTGATCTTGATGTAGTGGGACTTGGTATTTGGTACACAACCTCTCCAAGTCCGACGCTGTGGGCGATTACTTCACGCCTTTTTTGTATATTCATTATGGTCCACTGGATCCCGTGCAAACAGATTGCACGTCTTACGAAGACGGTGAGTCTTTTACACTTGCAACACTCTGAAGCGGGTAGTTGATGTTGAAGCTCGCCAGAGTCCCCTTGCCTTGGGAGTGCTGGTCAACCAATCCTATATGTACATGTACTGCACAGTGCACATTTTTTGGATGCGGAAAACCACAAGGGCTCTGTTGGTTAGTGTTACAATCTGCGCACGTCCTTGCAAATGGGTACAGATCCGTTCTCAAACCCACATCAAGAGAGCCGATTATCCAAGAAAGCTCGCCCGACACCGACAGAAGGAGTGCGTCGTGCCAGGTGAAGAAGTGACCTTTGCACATTAATTTGGGGATCATAGCCCCTATATATGAGCCAGCAACACATCTCGGCTAATTGTAATCGATGTAATCACTTGGCATGCAAGACAACGAACCATTCACTTCTGTAGAACAGCCCAACACGAAAGCAACCATCACTCTCTCTTACATTATATATATCAGGTCCCTGTCAAGACATTTTAAGGATATTTGGACGGCATCACCTTTTGAGAACTGCGTGAGTGGGTCTTTTGGACAATACGGATCTGTAGACTCCAGTACGACGCCAACCTCATGAAGTGGTAGGTCGAGGAGATTGCCAGCGTGCTTTAAATTTTGCAAAATGGAACACAAGTGGTCGCCTCTGAGGGAATTCAGGTCCGTTTGCGGTTCATTTGTGGCAGCCCACTGAAGTCGCAATGTGAAAGTGCTTGCATTTGGTGTCTCGCGTTGCGTTCTCAGCCGGATTCTTTATATTCAGTGGTGATTGAGAGAATAAAATATCACAACGAAAAATACCAGAGGAGCAGCGTGCAATGGCCCTCTGGCTGGGGAACTGACAAATGAAGTGACTCTGCCCTATTTCACTCTACTCACAGGCTCACCCGCTCCTATTTGGACAATGGCATCAAGGTAAATATGCTATGTTTTGTCCAATATTCTGGTCATCATGGACTTTTACGGACATTTCGTGGTTTTGTACATTTGGCCGCTGGTAAGTAGTTCTGATGGAGTTTCGAACTGGAGGCAGCAGGGTCTCACCCCAGGAAAAGCTTTGCCAAAAGAATCTCGAACAACGAGAGCCCACCTGCCTTCTCGCACTCATCGGGGGCATTTAACTCCAATATCTCATCCTCACGAGTGCATCTCAACTTGACATGATCTAAAGCCGCATGTGAGTCACGGGGCTCGAGGTCAAGTAGTTTGTCCAATTCCATGTCATACTCTTTGTCCACGTCGGCGAGTGAGATACTGATGCAAATTTTCTTCAAGAGAAGGCACCGCTCGACGAATCTGACGACCCCGGGCAGTGTGACATATCGTGGCACGGGTGCCTTGGAAGCCATGTGCCCGACCATCTCATTGAGGAACAACACCTCAAGACAAGGCCAGGCTTCCGCCATTTCCATCAGGTCATCCTCGTCAATGTTAAGATAGGACTTCGTGTCGATATCCACAGACCTAAAAGCCTCGCGTGTATGGAGCGAGTCAAAAAGTATCTGCATTAGATCTGGTTCGAACTCTTGCTCGGATCGCAATTGTAGGGCAGTGAGTTTATGGGGCCATAGACGTGTGAAGACTTCGACATCTCTCCAGTCACTGATCTCCCAATCAACAGTGTCAAAGTTTTCGAAGAGAATGGAGTTGCAGGATGGGCCAAGAATATCTTCGAGATCACTGCCGGCGGGCAGTTCCGAAGAGATGTGGGTAACAGTTGAAAGTCCACCCAGATAAGTCAGGGCATCCTTGTCGATGAATGGCACGTTGACTTCACGCAGCTTCTGCATTTTTTGGATAGCACGCGATACTTCTTGTTTGAAAGGTGCAAATAATTGATGCACAATGATGGAGATTTCAAGCAATGGACAAGATGAAGGCAAAGACCGTAAGAATGTGTGTACATTCTCGGAATGGTTCGCTTCCTGAATGCTGATAGAAATCTCCTACAGACGCGGGCCAAGCAGGGGCGGGACCAGATGGAAAAGTCTACAGTCACATGCGATGCGCAATCGTCGCAAGTTTGGCATGAGCACCTTTGAAGAGTATGCAAGGGATTGGAAAAAGGATTGCACAAGATTTTCAGAAAAGTCTATTGAAAAATATCGGACGCGGCGTGCGTAGCGGCCAATAGCGGCAAGCTGAGATTCTGTGGGGATCTATGCACCTGTAAATAATTTGCGTTCTACCTTGAAAGCAAACAAAAACTAACGATGCGGTACTCTGAGTCGTCACACCCCAGCAATGTTTCTGGAGGCACTATGATCCCGCCACATTGCATGAATGGTATAACGCCGGCTTGGAATGTCCAAAGAGCATCTAATGCTGGCTCCGAGAGCGCGTGACACGTTAGTGCAAGAGCGAGGAAGGTTTGGAGAAACTGTATGATAATCGTGAATGTGGTTTTTGTCTGTGTGGATATAGCTTAAGATGTTGGAAAAAAATTCAGAAACACAAAGAGCGCGAGGCATTGTGTTGTTGACAGTGACAAGGGACATCGCTGAAGCCATTAGAAGCGGGTAGTCACAGTAGTGCAGTGGATTTGAAGGGGTGTTTTTCTCGCAGGGGCGTTGTATATCGAGAAGCACGACGTGAAAAATCCACAGGGACGCAAGGGGAAAAAGAGAAGCATAGGCGATCGGAGTGGCGGAGTAACTGAATGTCGGAATCTACATACTAATTGAGAGTGGGGAACGCCCACTGTTATTCTGTTTTATCGCGCTGGGTTTAAGGCGATACCGCATACAGAGCAGCCTAGAAAAGCTTTCACTTGGGGGGAGGGGGGATTAACCAGTCAGTACTTACCGGGAGTCATTGACGGTGAACGAGTCAGCTTCAAGCAAGTTGCTGAGTACTTCATATGACAGCATTATGTAAGCGACTCGTAAGTCCTGGACTTCGCACCACTATCTTCCTTTTCGTCTATAACGGTCGCCCTGGCCTCAGGCCCCAAAGGTCTGCCAGAAAAACATTTGCTGTGTATTGTACGTGTTCAGTAGATGTGAAGTTCCGGACACCTGTCCAGTGTTGTCCCCTCGCTGGCGCATCTTCTGGCCCTAAGTTGTGCATGGCACGCGGAGACGGAAGGCTATCGAAGTGCGTATTCGTATTTTCGTCGGTATTGACGTTTTTGGGGTCATGTTTAAAACTATCAGTAATGGGGATGAACCCGAACACTGCAAGCTCGTTATGTCCGGCGTGCCGGCTCGGCCTCTGCAGAACTGATTTTCCTCACTGTTCATAACGTCTATGCCTTCCTAGAAGACTCGGGACTTTTTCCGCGCTCGTCTTCGAAGAGTGAGAAAGACTCGACGGCTTCGCCGTGAATGAACCCTGCGTTCTTGTGGGAATAAGAAACGTTTTCATCTTGCACTTGAAGTCACGACTAAAGTGAAGAAGGAGCCTGTTTTTGACGAAACAGCGGCTTGGGTTTGCGATATCGTTCCGCCACACGAACTTGTGCGAAGTTCACGAATATGCGTCGTTCATTGACGAAGATTTTTGGAGATGAACCCTGTACGCCGACGAAACTCCGGGGGATGAACGGGTGCTACTGCATCAACCAATGGCCTCTTCTCAATTTCTCAGATCTTGGCGTCACGCTCGGCGGCAGATCGTCTCGTTAAGTCCGCCAGACCTCATTCTTGCTATCCATCAGAAAGCTTCAGAAAGTCGGCTCTTTACGTCCCCTGCACTTTCCTGAAGTGCCCTATCGCGCTCAGGGCAATCATCATACAACTTTAGAGGTCAAAGAAACGTTCGCACCATGAGCGCTATTAGCCGCCGCGCTCAAGCCGTTTATTTCCGTCCTTGTGCGCTCTGCAGTGGACGTCGCCAAACGGGATATTGCGATGGCATCTGGTGATGATCGTGTTGCTATTGTTAGACAAGACAACGTGGCGCGAACTACCCGAGGGATCGTCGCCCAATCCCTTCCATGGCGGCGGGTTCGCTACTATTGCTCTCAAAGATATGTTGGGGCTTTGTCTGGCGGGAGTGGGAGTGCCTTTGGAATTTGGACGATCGTTGACGCGGACTTGTTTCTCCGTCAGATTGTGGATTTGGATGGGAGTGCTGAAATGGGGGAGATGGGTGAAAAAGCGGAACCGCCTCGACCTAGAGGGACTTGGCACATGAAGCGCAGTGCATTTTCTGGGAAGCTGCGGGCAAGTTCTGTGCGGGCCTTTTGGTATCCATCATTGTCCTTTTGAGAGTAATTTCCTTCGAAGTTAGTGAGTCTGAAAATTTCAACATTTCGGAATGGGTCGCTCATGTTTTTTTTTTTTCATGCGCCAGGAACCGCAGTGCTGGTCAACCAATCCCGTTTTGTGGACGCACTGCGCATATTTTGGACGCGGAAAATCACCAAGGCTCTGTCAATGTTACAATGGGCGCACTCTTGCAAAGTGCTTTTTGGTAATGTATAACTCATCAGACCTCGTGCTTGATTGATGGATAGTGTGATGCAAACCGCTATCGTGGCTCCATTCTGCAGATTGGTTATTGATACTCACTAATCACCGTCATGACAGTTGATGCCATCCTACGTGGCCTCGGTCGCCACCAGCGACGTTGATCGGCATCGGCACTTTGCGCTCAATGTGGGTCACCGGTCACCACCCGGGCCATCACCTGCCATCACAGTTGGTATCGATCCTATCTTTTCTTTGGTGCGTAACCATCTGTAACCATCTGCTCTGGTCGGGGTTCCAGAATAGGATACATACACTCTCGCGTGCCCAGGCGTGCCCCTGTGCCTATCCGTTCTTGCTATCGAGCAGTATGTGCCTTTCCTCCAACGTCACTTCGTTAGCACTTGTCTGTCAATTATTTGAGGTCTTCAACGGTTGGTCACTTAGCATGGCAGTGAGTGTGCAAGTGTTGACTGAGGTTGCTGTCAACGATGCCGGGCGGGTGACTGGTTTCAAAGTTATCAATGTGCAGTACGAAATGATAGAAGTATTGTGCCAAGGCTTCTATCGGTCCGTGCTAGACTTCCTGCTTCACCGATGGATAAGAAATACATGATGGTATCCGAGGGGCACACTGGGGCATATGAGCACTCAAGTTCAAAGAACAACAAACTGGGGCTTATTGTGGATTCAAGCGACGACTTCCCTGGCACTAGCCAGATTGGAGAACTTTCAGGCACAACTTTAAGTATTGATAGACGCTCGGCAACAGTACTGCGGCACCCCAATTATCAGTAGCAAAATGTCACTCAAGCACTCCTGGCAGTACGATTGCACTACAGAACTGAAGCTCTTTTGACTGAGATTTGACCTACATTTTGACTGCGAAGGTACATTGGTAAAGCGTGCATGCTCTATACGCCACCATAAATTTTCAGTCCCACACAAGCCGCGGATCCTCCGCGTCCGTTTTTGGCAGTGTCTTATGTAAGTCTGATGGTGAATTTGAAATGCTGGTTAAAGTCACGATGCCATCATGCGCATGAACTGATGAAGACGCAAAAAACATCCGGAAGATTCCTCTCCTGGTGAAATTTGCCAGAATGCAAATTTGGATCATTCTGTTCTGATTCCCAATCAACTCCCATCTTCCACGGACCAGTACGGTATTCGGACGTTGGAGCATCGCCCTCTGCCACAGCAGCGCTGTCGGTAGCTCCGCAACTTCTCCGGACCTAGAGATCCATTCCGTTTACGGAGTATACCCAAGGCCAAGCGCTTGCGTTGCAGCCGATTATTTCATACTGCGTTCTAATCGCAATCTTCACCCTCATTCATTTGTTCGTCCCGTTTGTTAGGTCTGCAAGATGCCAGCAGACTACGTCGTCCCGCGTTTTGATAACACCCTCGGTGCTTTGCTCGTAGGCTTCGCTGTCTCTGCGACGTGAGTACTCATGTCTTTTTTTCCCTTTCGGGGCTCATTTGGACCTTGCGTTGCAGCGCGTTTGGAATGTTGACCATTCAGGTGTTTACCTACTATAGGCGTTTCCCCCAAGACAAGGCTGCATATAAGGCTCTCGTAAGTGCAGGAATGGTCTCGGGTCATGCGCGCGCTCATGATACAACGAAATCCGACCAGGCTGCATTGATATGGTGAGGCGGATGTCTCCCCTGCTAAAAACAAGGCTCACATCGTCAAGGACAATTTCTTTAGTCGATCAATCTTTCATTGGTTACGCTGTGTATTTCTATACCATCACGTGAGTGGCCTGTGGCCCATCCTTGCCTCACCGCTGAACGAACGCACTAGAAACTATTTGGATCCGCTTCCATTGGCTACGGGAAAACCTCAGTGGTGAGCACTTCTGTTCCGAGTAACGACCTTTCCTTTAACATTTTTGCTAGGACTCTTATAGTGAGGTCATACTTTCGTTCACCGTTAACATAATTAAACTTCCTTCGTATAACAGCTGCAAATGACTTTGGGTGTGAGTGTCTCCGGTGAACTATCTGTGGCATATTCATCTAATTGAAGCGTCCTTTCGCACACAGGCTGTTGTTGGTGCTATTGTCAAGGCGTAAGTGGAATAAATCTACCGGTGTGAGCATATAATTGACCTTCGGTTTCTGATAGTTGTTTCACACTACGAGTCTGGAGATGTAGGGAACTGTCTTCATGTTATTCTAGATTTTTTGTTAATATTTGCACAGTCAGTTATAGAAATTGGTGGCTTACGGGATTCTTGGTGGGTTGAACTTAATTTCGTATTTCGCCGTGCTGATAAGGGTCCTTTCGAAGTTCTTGATGGTTATTGCGCAACTTAGTAAGGGAGTTATGTTGATGTTGTGGCCGAACGTCGGACTGATAAACTGTATACTTCCCACGTCAGGCACGGCAACAGGTGAGTACAATAGCAGGTTCTAATTCAAACTATTCTGAATTGTATTCATCAGTATTTACTGTAAAATGGTTTGCATCTATTCTTTGATTGAATGCCGTCAAGTATTGATGTAGCATGTGAAACAGCTTCCAGATATCTTCTTTTGCCCATATGATAGTTTTGAAGGTACATAAATCTGTGTTTATCTATTCTGCGTTCTCATGGCGTGTAGTCTTTGGGAAGCATTTCCTTGGGCATCGGAGTCGTTACGGACATGAGCATAGCTGCCGCACTGTGCTTTTACCTTCAGAAAATGCGCTCAAGCCATACAACAACGTGCGTCTCACAAGTTTCCATTGTCATGTATTCTGATGAGTTTGCTACTCTAGTGCGGACTCCATGATTAATACGTTAATAATATATGCGGTGAACACTGGTCTTCTTACCAGGTTGGTCTCATCATTACTTATCAAAGTTTAAAGCCTGACACGTGCACCATTTTAGCACCATCAGCCTGTCGACCCTCGTTTTGGTGTGTGTGATAATATTATACCGCAGGTTTCACAAGCTAAACCGTATGGAAAGTTCAACATCATGCCGACGAACTTCGTGTTTATATGCATGTATTTTGTTCTGAGCAAACGTGAGTCACAAACAAGTCACTCTTGCATCAGGCTAAGATAGTCTTCTCCAGTGTATGCGATATCATTCTTGGCTACGTGAGCAGATTACAACACTGTTCTTAATACCTCACTTATCTTGGTGCTTAGACTCAATACCCGGAAAATTATACGAGGTCGCGGCACGGACCGTGAAGGAGGAAAGTCGACGAGTTTCAGTATGGTCACCGAGTCCATGCGGCCTTCAGTACGGATCCCCATGCAGCTGCCGATGCCAACCATTAGGGAGGAATATTGGCAGGTGCGGTGGTCTCATTATCCTGCTGGAACGTATCCAAAGGATTCACTGCCACAGGACGTTGGTAGAAGCCATGACTCGAAATTCTTAACACCAAGTTCAGTATGTACTTTTTCTCATGTGTCATTGGCCTTGTGATAACTGGTCATCTAGACAAAACCCTACTCTTCGGGCTGGTAATTTTCAACTATCATTCATCATCCTTCATGACACCTCGGCCACCTCATACTCTACGCACGAGTCGCGCCGAGTCGCGCTTTCTCATTCAATCTGGCTCTGCCGTTATTCGTCTTTTCTTTCATTCGCAAAAAGGCAGTGCCTGTTGCAGTCGGACACCCAACGTAGATACAACCGCAACTTGGAATTTTGAAGGAAGTTTGTATAGCATTACAATAAAAACGCGCCAACGTTACGCGCTGTACTTGTTTCGTTCAGCGGATACCGTATGTGCGGAATATACTGTATGGTACTTTTCGGATTGCAAGAAAGACTGAATGTACTCGATACGACTCCTGGTAGTCTGTATAACTTCTCCCGTCGTAGTAGGTTGACTCAGGTCGCGCATTGACATCGCCTCAACGTTCAACATCTATTATTTATAGGCCTCGTAAGGCTTCCGCCGATCCCAGTGACACCTGGTGGGAACGAGCCTGATGACGTACACCGTGTCTCTGCACTCGGTCCCGCTCCGTCATGCAAAGGACGGTCAATAGGCTGTCGAAGTAAACACGGTTCAGGTCCACTGTACGACCTCATGATTTCTGCTACAGCCGGTCAAATTTAGTCTGCCATCACAGTGCTCCAAAGTTCAGTTAATCCGGCGACATGGACTACAGGCGATGCTTCTTGCCGTTGAACGCGGTCACACTCTCGATTCTATGCGTTCTGGTGGCATCTCCAGCTAGCAGGCCGTCGAACATCTGGTCCCCGACTCCCCGGTGTCCTATCTTTGATTTCTCTGACCCGGTGGGCGTGCGTCAATTGGCAAAAAGAGCTGATGTCCTCAGAAATGCGTGTCCGATGAACGCCCAAAACACATTGGGCGCATACAATCATGATGCCCTCGGCTTGGGCGGAGAGTTTCACGGATTTGAGCTGCGGGTACCTGACTGTAGTCTCTGCTGGAGGTATTGCACATTGGGTCGCATCACAAGGTACGAGCGAACTTCGGACAGGCAGATTCAAGTTGGAAAGACTCAAAGAGCTTTGAATTTCCCTTAGTACTCGTCCAAAGGAGCAAACTAAACTTGGTGATTGTGGCCGATTGCATAGGACTGCATAGGACTGGTCCGATGGAACGGCAAGCCGAAATGAATCCTGAATTGAGTTTTGTGCGCTGGATGCTCTATAGCTAAGGTGCTCTAGAGCCTCTGCGGGTCGGTCATTCCCCTTGTTTTGAAATTTGGGCTCCTGTTGACACGTTCATCGCAAGGATTCGTGCCCACAAGGCTTCGAATGGCTTCGACTGCTAACTGGTCCCGACCAAATGAGTCTGGACCCGGTTGTCAGGAACTATATGTGTGTTATAGCTACCATTACCATGAGAGTGCCTATTCTCTGTCCTTCTGAAAGGCTAACTCAGGATAGGTCAGCACATTCAAATGTCGATCCTAGCGGACCCTTGCAAGTTGGTATTTCCCAGAGTTACAGGGTGGTACTTAATTTATGTTCGAGAGCACCAGGTAAATGATTAATATGTTTTATGTTTTAGTTACACGTTTATGCACATAACCCTTCCTGCTAGGTTACAATCAATAGCACGTACTCACGGGAGCCAATTCAAGCATGCTTTCAACCTTCATTTTTGGGTTGTCCCCAAGCCGTGGAATATCTGGTCCCCAATGTCCGATTCTCTGAACCGGTAGGCGTGCGTCAATCAGCAATAAGGCCTGAATGTTCAAACGAACAAGGGGATTGCCAAACGTGTAACTTGTTTCACTATCTGTTGTACACTGCCGCATCAAAAGAAAACACTACCAAAAAGGTGTATGGTCCAACAGGATTCCAACTTTATGCAATCATTCATCGAAACATCCCCACAGCCTCCCAATAGTCTACCCATGTTGTTGCAGTCACCGACGACAAGGGCTCCAACTCTTTCACCGTCAGACTGACGCGCTGGGCCACACCAGTCGCGAACGAGGTGAAGCCACCAACGTCTGAGCGCATCTCCCCAGACGCTCTAATTGCGATATCTGATCGAGAAATGAAACGGATGTAGTTGAGAAGCTTGATAGCAGGCTGCGATGGAAGACCAGGTGGGAAGATGTTCTGTCAGAAATTGAAAACACGTACGATGCGTTGGATATTTTGCTCGCTTGGGTTCTTGGCACTCAATTCGACCTTTTCGGACCACTCCGAGAATGGAATGAAAGGTAGCGAAACGCTTGTTATCTTGCGCTCAAAGATGGCGTCCGCAACAGGTCGCATCAGCGTTTTCCACGCTACCGGTCTCGGATGCACCAGATTAATCGCGATGGGAGGTTCTTCTTCTGCGAAAGCCACATCAAGAATGGCATTTGATACAGCGTAGGTAGGGATCCACGACAGGAGCTAAACCGCGTGTATTATTGATGAGTTTTCCGATACTCGGCAAAGACGCATTAAACTACACTTACCCCTTGAGCTTCCGGAAACACACCCAGATTCACACTCGACTTGACGATGATAGGCAGCCAGTCCGTCTTCGACCAAGCTCCTCGTGGAGGTCCTCCTGCTATTTGTCCAATTCTGAATGAGGATGCCGGCAACTTGCTGTTCACGAGAACCTTGTTCAGGTTCGTCAGATTGGCACTTCTACCGGAGGTAGCGTACGACTTACCCTTTCACAAACATATTTGCTCGCGCCATATCCAAGGCCCTCTGCGATGCCCGCATCGTACTGTACTTCTTCTGGGAAAGGTCCTTTCGCTTTATCCCAGCTTTGGGCAGTCGAGATAGAAGAGGTGAATAAGAAACGTGGCTTCGGATGGTACGGAGAAGACAATGCCAGGTCTATGAGATTGCGCGTTCCCCGAACATTAGGCTCAAAGGACGACAGCGCCAGGTTAAAGTCGAGTCGCCAAGCGTTGTGAATGATGATAGTGACAGACGTGCGGATCTATGTCGCGTCTGATCAGTACACCTTTCTACAAAGTCAGACAGGAAATGAAACAAACCTTCTGATACAACCCCTTCTCCAAACCCAGGTCGTCACCAGAGGTATCCGTTTCTATATACATTAGTTTCTCTGACTGCAGGAGCGAGGTGTCCAAACCACGGTCTTCGAAACTACTTTTCTGTCGTTGTTCAATGGATGCATCATCCCTCGACAAACGATTGAAGGCATATACCACTGACACATCCTCACGCTGTAGCAAAGATGCAAGCAGGTATGAACCAAGACCACCCGTGGACCCAGTCAGGATGACCACATGATTGCCTCGACTGCGACCATTAACCAGAGTGGCGGAGGCATCTCTGGTAGAGTCCGCGCTGAATCCGATTGAATACTTTTCAATCATGCTCTCAATCTCAGCCTTGACATCGACCGAGTTTGGACTGTTCCCATGCAATACTGCATGTATGACGCTTCTCGCGAGCTGGCGAATCGAAGGACTCAGAAAGACGATGTTCTGGTCGATTCGCAGTGCTGATGCCTGGACGTCGCGATCTAGTGCCGACCTGAGGGAACCGATGATCCGGTTTCTGAGGAATGTCGCAGAGAGACTAGAGGTACAAAGTCAGGAAAAACCGAGTCTTGGTTGACCATCAACTCACCTGTCAAAGCCCTGAGCAAAAAAGTCTGTGTCAGGATCGACCGCCTTGCCAGCATTCACAGAAGCGGAATGGACCATGAGCCAACTCTCCACGTCCTCTGTAGTCCAGTTCGTAGGCAAAGGCACATCGATACCTGTTCTGCCGCCCTCCACCTTATCATATCTGGCGTCCATCAATGTCAATTTCGGATATTGGTGAAGGTCCTTGCTCACAGGGCATTGATCTCCTCTTCATACAGTTGGATGACGGCTTTCTTGGTGACGGTCTCTTTCCCGGCTCGAAGCATGGGCTTCTCCCTGCGCGTCACAAGAAACATTTCCTTGAAGATTCTGCTAAAGGCAGGCCCCGCCTTGTTTGCTTCCTCTATCTCAGGCCTTCAAGGGCATGTTCAGACATGACAGCCGCATACGAATTTGCAGGGGTCTTACCACACTCGATTCCTGAACTCCGAGACCTGTGCCTCGTCATCGACGTCGATTTCATGCCCCGCTCGTGGCTCTATGAGGATGCCAACTTGGCTGCGTCCACGGCCGAAGATGACGGCGCCGTTCACATAGGGGTTGGTCCCGATGAGGCATTCCATGGGAGCTGGTACTACTTTCTCCCCGGATGAGAGCATCAAGACCTCATCCTTCCTTCCCGAGCTGCAAGGATAAAGTTAGACAGTGCCAGAATATGGACACAATCGTTAATCGTACATCTTCCACAGACCCTCGATTGTTGGATGCTTGATGAATAAATCGGAAGTAGCATAACCCTTGACGTCTGGGAGATTCTCTACTGACACTCGACACGTTGGAGTTATCTGCGGGGAAGAGTTCACACTGAGAGGAAACGTAAATACAGGGACGCACCAAAATTTGGCATTCATATGTTCCGTCGTCCTGTGGAACCCATCTAGTCTTGGTATTTGGGCTAAACCGCACCCAATCCCAAAGCTTTCTCTCGGCCCCATTCCGGAACAAAGAACTAATGGGTCCAATTTCTGTACAGCCGTACATAGGCCATAGCGTGACCCCTGCATCCACAAGGGCATTTCCTGCCTTAGAGGCGAGTGGGCCGCCAGTATAGACCTACAACACCATAAGCCATACCCTGCAATGATAAAAATGAACTTGTAACGTACGACATATTCGAGCGTCTTCAAAATATCAATAGCATTAGGATCAAACGCCCATCGCTCTATGAAAAAAGGCATGGCCCACAAAGCGGTCGATTGGGTATTGAGCACAGACTCCAGGATATTTTGGGAATTGGGTATTATGGGGGCCGCTGACGGGTCATGGAAGGATGCGGGCGGGTAAATAGAAACGCTGCTCAAGGACGCGATGGGTAATAGCAGTTGGGTCAGCACACCCGCGCCATGAAATGGTGGAGCTGATGCAGCGGCGACGCGGATAGGAGTGAGAACGCCGATGTTGTCGGCAATGCATGCTAATAGCCCCCCTGTTAGTACTTTGCTTCGGAGATTGTATCAGTGGCTTACGGGTCGCGCACCAGTCGATAGCAGACTGATTGGTTATTGGAATGGGTTTCGGGAAACCAGTGCTACCAGAGGAATGTATATAGTATAATACATCATTCTGAGATGATCGTGAAGCTTGGGGAGGGTATGGGAGAAAATCCTCGTCTGGAGAGCCTGTGACAAGCGCGGGATACAAGCCTTTGAGCGCCGGTATCTCGTCGAGCTGCAACTGGCTCGTTTCAGTGCCATTAGACACGATACCCGCTTTGATCCCGTCGATAAGGGAACTGAGAGAGTGGTGAGTGGTGACTAAACGACGACACTTTGTTTTTTGCATGATGTGTAAGACTGCCGCCGCCGAATTACGAGGCGACATGGGGAATGGCTTAAAAAGCAGCGGTCAGAGATATGTTCGTTTGAATAAATTATTCACATACAACCAGCCCAGCGAAGATGATGCCCATGAATACCGTCTGAAAAAGGAGGGTGTCTGAATTGGCGATGATGCCGACCACTTCATTGTCTGCGCCTGCACGATTCGGTCTAATTTGATGTGCGGCACGATGACAAGCTTGATAGAAGTCTAGGTGTGAGATAGAGACCAGGTCGTCGTTGCCAGGTTTATTGTAGACATAGAAGGTGACGTCCGAATTATGTTGCGCATTGAATTCCAGCAATTCAGGGAGGAAGAGAGATCCGTCAAGGGGAGGATAACTGAGAGAATTTGGATGTGAAGCAACCATGATTTAGTTGGTTAAGCGTCCACGAAGTCTGCGAGTCATTTAAGTACCTATTGAGGGTGGAAGCCCGAGCCCGAGTGCACCCTGACCTCTTCACGCGTTAGCTAGATGATTCGATCATAATTATTTCGAAACAGGTATTTCCTGTGCACTTCACGAGTCGGACATCAAGTCATTCAAGTAAATGTATATGATTGACACGTACACGATCATATCATACATGCCAACATATAGATGTAGAGGCGGAAGTCCTCGGCATAGGCGGATGTTCAGGTGGACATGACATCTAATCTAATAGATCCTGAATACAGTGTTGTTGCAAATTGGCAATTGGTTTGGTATAAACCGTTCTGCTAGGTAGATAGCATGATGATAGTATCGAAACCAGACGTTTTAGGGAGTGGATAAACCTCCGGTGCAATCGGTTCTTCTAGGAACTGTGCTAGTCCTGAAAATATGGCGAGGACTCGAGATTTCCGCTGTGGCGGAGGTAGTGGATGTTGTGCCATGTAAGACGTAAATCCGATAACGGTGACTACTAAAGGGCGATGTCATCGGAAAGGATGTTAATCAGAACATCATTCACTGGGCAGATCATTGCGCCGAGGAGGTTGAACATGTCAACTCCACTGGGTTGATTGTCTTGAATCATCCGATGGGCAGGCAAAGAATGTGATGATGCTGCAGATCTGTGTGGATACATGTGACATCCCCTGTCATCCTGCCCAAATCACATTCTGGGGCGGTGGTTCTAGCCTAATAGGTGTTGGGAAGAATTGTAGCGGAGGGTATCGAGGCCGGAGAAGACTGGTGGAAGATCATGGTAAGACGTCCTGTGTGTTCTGCTGCTTGTAGATGCTGATCGTTGTTGTCGAAATGACACCTGCTGGTGCAGTACTAAGTTGGCAAGCTAGTCGTGAACTCAAATCTGCGCAAACACTGCCAAACAGTTGATATTGTGCACAATATTGGTGCTGAACCAATGCGGACCGTCCATGTACTACTTGCATACTATAGAGAAACATCGAAAAAGTACAGGCCTGGCCATATACTAGAACCTTCCTGCTACAGCCTAAGTAATTGTATACCCATCCCCTTCGATGATGCCTAAAGCTGCGGTGTTTTACACAGAAGGTCCGAAGGCCGAGAAACCCGAGGCGCGGATTCAAGATCTGGCTGCGACTGCTGTTCGCGAGAAGAAATACGCCAATATCGCAATGGCGTGTCGTGAACTTGGTATCGCTCAATACTATTACATTGTGGCTTCGCAGGAGGGTGTTACGGATCTGAATTGCGGGTGTCTGACTATAAACTTCCGTAGGCAGACCAATAGAAGGAAGACAGCTGTTCCTTCCGCCTGACTATGACTTGACATCCTGCAGAAAGTAAAGTTTTGCCCATTTCCTGACGCCGTCGACTTCAAGCTTCAATGACTACCGTCCTGTACACGCGGAGTATACTTGCTGGAGGTATTGCACATTGGATCACATGACAAGGTACAAGCGAACTTCGGACAGGCAGATTCAAGTTGGAAAGACTCGAAAGGAACTTCGAATTTCACTAGTACTCATCCAAAGGAGCAAACTGAACTCGATGATTGTAGCCATGCCGCGGGAGAACTCAGAACTACGGGGCTGCATAGGACTGCATAGGACTAGTTCGTTCGACGAAACGGCAAGCCGAACTTCATGAATCCTGAATTGAGTGTTGTGTGCTGGGTGCTCTAGAGCCTCTTCGGGTACGTAGGTCATTCCCCTAATTTTGAAAATTGGGCTCGCATTGACACGTTCATTGCAAGGATTCGTATCCACGAGGCTCCGAATGGCTTCGACCGATCCCGACCAAATGAGCCTGGACCTGGTTGTCACGAACTATGTGTTATAGTTACTATTACCATGAGAGAGCATGAGAGTATCTGTTTTCTGTTAGTACCTCTTCCTTCTGAATTTCAGGCTAAGTCAGCATAGGTCAGTCAGCGGCCTGCCAAATAGCTATGTCGTTCCACCCAGGCCAGCTCAGGGGTTTGTACCAAGTTTGTAGCATGGATATCGTCGCACCGCTAGGAATGCTGAAATACTGTGTCTTTACACAAGTCCTGACAGGCCGAGGCCGCCATTCTTCCCAACTCTGCCCCGCTTTCAATTTCGCTATGAGGGTGGCTTAGGCCCACTCTAGGCCGTGAACCCAATTCAGGCATTGTTGTGATGCACGCTCCGTAACCACGATCCATGGCAGCTTGGGTCAATTTATCTGTCGAACCAATGTCAAACGAACCAAAACATATTGTTACATTGTTACAAAAATCTCTTCACATCCAATTGTACAGTGCTTGCAACTCTTCTAAGCCAGGTTACACTCCTTCTCGACATCTGCAAGGACTTGAACCCATTTCCCCCCATGCCAAGCACTGATCTTGGCCCACTCATCCTCCTTCAGCACTCGTTTGTACCACAACACACGACAAGCAACAATGATGTCAGCGTACGAAAAATCGCCCATGATCCACTTCCCGTTACTCTTCTGGTACCATTCATACATGGTATTGTGCGCCTTCTCTAGTGACTCCCAGTCCGCGTCATATCTCGCCTCCCAAGGCAGCGGGACATGATCCATCGAACGAACTCTAACGAAGAACTTGACACTGGAGGCACCCATTATTTCCGTGGAGCGTAGGAAGATGGTCGCAATGGAAGGTAGGTTGAGGCTGGTATGAGTAGCGTCGAACGCACGGATCTGAGCTTCTGATTTGTTTGCGAAGACAGATTTCTCGGGATATGTCTTTTCAAGGTAGGACGCGATTTCGAGGGAGTCGGTGATGATGGCGCCGGTATTGGGGTCGCTGAGGACGGGGATACTGTAGACGTCCGTGCCGTCTACGCGTTTGTCCTTGTTAGGCTTTGCGCCGATAGACTTCATAGCGATAGAGATGTCTTTGTATTCGACCCAGATGGTCACAAATGGAAGACCCTTGTAGCTCATAATGAACCTGGGGCGCAACAGACCATGATCAGATACCAAAGCTTCAAGTGGCATGCAGAACATGAATGACTGACCTCGGCTTCGCGGGGTTAGGTGACCAGTAATAGCCTGGTAGTTCAGAGACGATATCATACAGGACAAGGGACTGCAACGTGGAATACTGGGACATGTTTGTAAAGTGCTACTGGTAGTATGGCCAATGGCCAACCTTTAAACCCTTTGCAAGGCTGAGCGCTTCATTCATTATCACTGAGCCATCTGAGCTTGATTGGTGCACATCAATATTTTCCGCTGGTATCGGTTCTTAGGGGTATAGCTCGGGCATGGCGGGTATGGGGGTCACGGGTATGGCGGGCATGGGACGCGTGACGAAGTTACGGTCGTACAGTAATAGAACTATGAGTCTATGACATCGTGAAGGCTTCGCAGGAGGGTGTAGTACGGATTTGAATTGAGGGTGTCTGAATATAGACTCCCGTAGGCAGACCAATAGAAGGAAGACAGCGGCTCCTTCCGCCTGATTATGACTTGCCAACATCCTGCAGAAAGTAAAGTTTCTCCCATTTACTGGTGCCGTCGACTTCAATGATTACCGTCCTATACATGTGGAGTATACTTGCTGGAGGTATTGCACATTGGATCGCATCACAAGGTAGTACAAGCGAACTTCGGACAGGAAGATTCAAGTCGGAAAGACCCGAAAGGAACTTCGAATTCCACTATGAGGAGAATGATGGTGGTGGTGACGACGAGTGGCCAGAGGAATGGCCCTAAGCATTATTTGCGCTGGCTAATTAGCTACGATTATTAGTGAATGTTTAGCCAGTGAATCAGTCTACGTTTTTTAGGATAGAGGTCTCACGTGTGTAGGCAAGCGGAGTCCCCCAGTTCTATACTCGGGGGACTCGGTCACATTTTATTGCAATCAGAGAGTCGCAGAATACAGTAGCGAAAGCTGTGAGCAATCGGGGACTCGGTAAAGAGATAGAAGAAACTAATATGCTACGATTGTTAGGGCGATTCCACCACTACCTGGAGACAAGGAACGATTGTGAGATGAAGAGAATGAACTATGTACGTGAATGAAAAGAGGGGGCACCAAGGCGCGTCTAATCTGAAGTGCATTTGGAGATTATTTGTAGCAAAAAGGGAAAGAATCGCAGTAAAATGAAGAACTTGAAATATAGCTGAGAGGCTCGATGAAATAATTACAAATCGAAGGGCATCGTAGGGAAGAAACCACCCCCAGTTGAGGTGTGTGGTGACCGCCAGGGAAAACGGGGACACCATATGTCTCCTACGTGAGTCTGTTCGTCTGCCAAGTCTGGCAACATTTCAGGTTGTTCTGCACCGTGCAGAACAACCCGAAATGTTGCCAGAATACAACGAGTTCTGTCGAATTAGCAGAATTTCTGGAATTCCGCTGTTTTATCTCCGAGTTTGAGGATTTCAGTTGAATTCCTGCAGGAGGTTTTTCCTGATGACGCTGAAGAGCTGAAATGAATTTTAAGCACAGTGTTCACAGACAAATCAAATTCAACCTACCGCGAGCGCAGGGGCAGACAAATTCTGGCGTCCCATCTTTCTTGAAATACTCATGATCCTTAACCTGTTTGAACCCATGTCATTTCGAGGGCTCGGGTTGGAGGAGCTATCACGGTGTAGATAAGTGATAGCGTTGAAAAATGAACAATACAAAGCTTACCCCCACAACCAAGTCAGCGACAGAGATATCCAGCTCCTTAAACGCAGGTAACGACTCGTACCCGGAGTCCCAACCAAGAAAATCAAGTATGTCGTTCTTCGTTTCGAAGAGGGGCTGGCAAGATGGTACAAGTAAAATAGCAGCGAAGAAAGATGCGAAACTTGAACGTGCCATATTGTCCTTCGACACAAACTCATACAACACGCATCCAAACGACCACCAGTCCGCGGGTGGCCCGTAATTTGCTGTATCGTCGTCTATATAACACAAGATTCTTAGCTATGGTGCAGTTCACTTATGCACCGCTACTTTTGTGCAAAATTTCTAGTGTCGTGAGAAAAAGTCCCAGGAACTTTCTGTCTTGTAAAAATGCTTAGATTGATGATAGGAATAAATTCTCAAGAGCGATTGTTCATTGGATGAAATCTGAGTGAGATAAAATTTCAGCCATGGCTCGAATTGGCGGTGAGGCTAAGATACCTGCAAAATTGGGGCAAAACAAGTCAAAAAGTCCCAAATCCCATCATGTTTATGCTACATTAATGCAATACTGAATCCTAAATTTACGAGCTTTCGAGCAAATTTTCGTGTCTTCAGTCCAGTCACCCCTTGAAGTGCACACTCTGTCAGCTTCCTATACACTCGAGAAAATTGTTAGCTAGCCAGTTCAGCCTCTGTGACAACTCCATGTTCTAGATACTTGAATTTAATCTGTACATTCACCCATCTATTCCAACAAGACTTGAGTTTTGAACCAAAATTGAACAGTAACTCAAGTACACTTCTATATTTGGACTAGGGTTAGGGTTGGGTTGGGTCGCCCTTCAATTTGGCGGTTGCCCCAAAGTAGCGGCACATAAGTCGGGATATCTGGAAAAATTCACGATTAGCTAACGTAAATTCTGTAAAGGGGATTCGTCTGAGATTCGTTCTATAAAAAAACAGGAATCCAAAAAGTCACGTGACGCCTTATTCTAGCGCAAGATGAACTCGAGAATTGCCGCCTGCATCGACAGAAACCTTGCTTGACCCAAACATTAAACTCAAGGAGTTACAAAGTAGACGCTAGTTGTATAGAAATGAAAAATATACGAATCAAAACATAAGATATTGCAGGGCGCGAGGAAACACCATATAAGGAGATCCGTTATGGAACGGGTCACGTGACATTCATAGTCAAGCAAGGTAACAGCCTTCGATGAGTCTCGGCAGAAAAAAGGAAGTTACATACCCATGACCATGAATGGAGCGCTGTTGAGCTTCTCCGTTAGACCTCAGAAGGACTGATACCTCCAAGTTAAGTTTGGCGTTGATCTTCATGCATAAAATTATTAGTTAGATCTAGAGGCAGTACTATCTACTACAGTCTATGAGAAATGCTAAGTAAAACTAGAGCGGAAACACGAAAAACCAAACTCGTAAAACATAGGCAAGCAATATATGTGAACGAAAAAAAAATGAAAGATTTGAGGGAGCTTGCATGTAAATTTACAAGTACGTGGCGCCGGGCACATCCGCATGGGAGGGAGCCTGCCCAGAAGTTCGAAATTTACAAAATTTACAAAATTTACCGTGTATTTCTCGCTGTCCCGCACTTTCCTCACTTTACTGACTCAAAATCACACTTTACTGGACTTTACATTAATGTATGGCAAGTACTCACACTCCCTAGGTCTCATCTCTACCTTCTCCTTCTCTCCCTCGAACTCATCCTACACAGTTGCCATAAACAGGTGCGGCTGTGTTCCAGTCATGTGACACAGCTTTCCTCCGCTCTGAACCTTCGTCACTGCCGTGCGCAACGCTGGAGGTGAATGCTGCCAACAACGCAACAACAACACCTCCCCTGGAGAAGAAGTACTACTGTATGTTATTTTTTTACTTCATGCTTCTCAGTGCTCACATTTCACAGGGCCTCTGGACCACTGCACTTCCACTCGCACCACCCATCAGATCTGCGCAGCAGCAGCTCTGCCCTATTCGCCTAGCAACTCCCTTTGGTGCGGCGCTTCATCGACGAGCCCACCGTGACCATTGCTGCCATCGCCTACGGTCTCGACAAGAAAGTTATCGGTGCTGCAACGTCCTCAATTTCGATCTTGGAGGCGGAACCTTTGATGTCTCCCTCTTGACCATTGAGGAGGGTATCTTCGAGGTGAAGGCCACTGCTGGTGACACTCACTTGGGTGGTGAGTATTTCGACAACCGTCTCGTCAACCACTTCGCACAAGAATTCAAGCACAAGCACAAGAAGGGTAAGTCTAGTGTACTTGTTTGTTAATCTAGGTGCTAATTACATCGATGTAGATCTCTCCTCCAACCCTCGTACTCTCTGTCGTCTAAGGACTGCTTGCGAGCGTGCCAAGCGTACCCTGTCGTCGGCAACCCAGACTTCCATTGAGATTGACTCCCTCTTTGGCGGCATGACTTCTACACTTCCCTCACTCGTGCCCATTTCGAGGAGCTGTCCGCAGACCTGTTCTACAGCACGCTCAAGCCCATCGAGAAGGTCCTCCGGGACTCCAAGATTGACAAGGCGAACGTCCACAAAATTTTCCTCGCGGCACTGCTCTCCCACTCGTACCACCCATCAGATCCGCACAGCAGTGGCTCTGCCCTACTCTCTCATACTTCCAATGGTTTCCACTCTTGCACCAGTTCGTGTACTATCACCTGCTCCAACACCAGGCAATAAGGTTCGCGCATTTTCACGTTAACTGTGTTGTTCCAGCTAACTTTGCCCTGAATCATTAGGCTGCTGCAGCCTTGGCATCTATCTCACTAGACTCGCCAACCAAGCCATTAGACAGCGACACCCTTCCTGTTTTTATCGATGAACGTCGCTTTGTCTCCCCCGCTCTCGCCTTCTTCGCTGCATCCGACGGCATTGTGAATGAAAACCTCATCGAACGTTTCTCCAATGAGGTCCAGGCTGCTGTGGTCTGGTGCTTCTATGGCTTCCAAATCATGATGGAGACCTACTCACTCCTCATCGACACTTACATCAAGGATTCTGCTCAGCGTTCCACCTTTGGTGAGCGCTTGGTCGCATTTGCTGCCGTCGAAGGCATCTTCTTCGCTGGCTCCTTCACGACCATCTTCGGGCTGAAGGCACACGGTCTGATGCCTGGTCTCATGTTCTCCAATGAGTTCATCAGCCACGATGAGGGTATGCACACTGGCTCATGTGCTAGTACATCGAGTTCGTCGCAGACCACTTGCTGGTGTCGCTGGGCAACGAGAAAGTGTACAGGCGTGTCTCAGACTACTCAAAGGCAAACGTCAACCACACAAATGCCAAGACCGACCAGATGTCAAGCAAAACTTTGTGAGTAGATACTATCTCTCTGGTAGGCTTCGTCTGATTATTTTGGACAGGCGTGCAGTGGATAGCCAATGAGGCTGCTTTCTGCAGCGGTCTGCTGACATCATCTGGCCCCTCTAAGATGGTTCGGTCAACCCCTTTCAAGATTTTCCGTCCTCTTCCGCTACCATCACTACTCAACATGGGAATTCCTGGGCTGTGGGAGGTGAGCTGAATGACTTCAGAGCTGTGTTGACGGTGCTGATAATTTCTGCAGCGAGTTGCTTCGTCTGCCGAGAACCGAACGCTCAAAGAGCTTGCAGCATCAGAACTGAAGACAGAAGAAATTCACGGTGACTGCAGGCTCAAGCTGCTCAGGGTTGGGATCGATGCTAGGTACCTTTGTCGTCTTTCACCTGGCTCATCAACTGACTCGTATTGACAGTTCTTGGATGCACAGTGTGTGTGCCGTCTTTCGGATCAATCACGCAGGAGCTGGGAAGTCGCCAGCGCTGCGGACCTTGTTTTTTCGACTGGGCAACCTACTCAAGCTGCCCCTGCACGCCATATTTGTCTTCGATGGCCTTGACCGCCTGCCAGATAAGGGTCACAAGGCCAGAAACAGCCCCCACTGGCTCACGCGTGACTTTCAGCGGATGGTTGAGCTATTTGGGTTTCAGTCAACCGAGGTATGCTTTGCTCACCTCTCACCTCGCAATGCTGTTGTCTCACCACTGCCCAGGCCCCGAGCGAAGCTGAGGCTGAGCTCGCTGCCATGAATTCTCATGGTGTCATTGACGCCGTGATAACTGAAGATAGCGATGTTTTGATCTTCGGAGCTCCTTGTATCATTAGACCGTAAGCATTATCTTATCTTTAAACTTTCTACCATTGACTCTTTGCAGTGCGAGAAAAGACAAGGACTACCTCAACATTCAGCTGTATACAGAGGATGGGCTCGAGCATGGTGCCTCCTTAACTCGAGGAGATCGGCTGCTCATCGCCCTGCTGATGGGCGGAGATTATGATGGGGGTGTGCCTGGCTGCGGCATTGAGATCGCGCACAAGGTTGCTCTGCATAGCAGAATCGGCGAGGCTTTGCTTCACGCATTCCTGTCAATGGCACCGGAGGATTTTTCTGAGCGTGCCAAGGACCTCGTGAAGGAACTATATTCATTGCTCGCCCACGACCCTCACCATTTCCTCCAACGCAGGTACAAGGCAGTTGCGGACCATATCCCAGATGATTTCCCACAGCGCGCGGTGATCAGCAAGTACGTGCATCCTCTCACGTCCTTTTCAGCCACCCGAAAGGCACCATCGTGGGATGTGTCTTCCTGCCAGCCAGATCTAGCGGCTCTTGCAGACTTCTGTAGGCAGCAACTGGGCTGGGATGATAGTGCCATTATCGAGAAGATGTATGGTGGTGTGTGGGAGGGTACCTGTCTTCGCACCTTCTGCAAGGTAAGCAGCTTGCTGCATGTTGACAGCCGCTAACTAGTCTTTTAGCTTCCCCGATGCTTGACGGACAGGACCGAGCTTCACCCACAGTTCAAAGTGATTGCTCGATCAACACTTATGGCATTGCGGCGCGACATAGACGTGTATAGCATCAAATTCAACTGCCAGCAGTTGGCATGCCACACTCTGGGACATGCAGCCCAAGGTGAATTCTCTGACATGTTCGTTCATGTTCCAACAACAATTCTTGATCACATGGCACCAGGGGTAGTGCCGTCGTATATTAGCCTGTAGTCTGTCTAGCACAAATGAATGTTGAAGTTTTTTCAGTCTCGAAAATTGAAAGGTGTGAAATGTGAAATGTGAAATTGTTATTAACTAGTTAGAGGCCCCTGACAATGATCTCCGTCCCGAAATTTTGAACTAGCTTGGTGCCACACTCACTCGTTCGTGTTCGCAAAGTATGGCACGAGCCGCACGACTCAAGAAGGATTCCGCGAAAGCCCCCCAGCTGCCAGACGCTGCTCAGAAGAAAGCTGGGCAAAAGACGAGATCAGCTGCTGCGAAGACGGCTTTAGAAGACGTCCAAAAGTGTAAGGAACACGGGATAAAAACTCACCTTCAGGCAAATAACACGAGGACGAACTATGCCGGGCATGTTCGGCGTGGACGGGAATGGCTGGCGAGCCATTTTGAAACCCCAAGCTGTTCTGCTGTCAGCGAGACTTGGAGGGGTGACACGTCTGAAAACTCACTCGTTCTGTTGCCTGCGACTGCCGAAATACATGCCGACAATGACGTGTATGAGGACCCAGCCTTCAAATATGCATTTGAGAGCATCCCGAACAGATGCTCCGACAAAGCGCTGGCGCTCTTCATGTCCCTGAAAGGGTTCCACGAGAACCTCAGCAAAACTACTGTCGAGAGCATCCGTTTGGCATTTAAGAAGCTGTGGGAGTTATCGTAAGTATTATTGTACACGAATTAGAGCATGCAAGCAATGGCTTACGTTTTAGAGATGGTGATACCTATCGTGGCAAATGGCACTTCAACGAGATGAAGCAGCGCTGGGAAGGAAACCCCGCTGATTCTGCAGACATTTATGATGTGCTGTCATCCATCAAACATAAGGCAAGTGCCGAGGGAGGAGATCGCACTCACTCGATGGCGATGACGAAGGACTATATGGATCGGGCGTTCCGATGGCACCAGACTGTGTGCCCACTCGAGATTGCACTACAAATGGTTCAGAAGGTGATGAGTGGTGCTCGTCCATCAGATATGCACCTGGACTTGGAAATGAGGACAAAACTTACTCGACATCTTGAACAAGTCACGTTCGCATCGAACGGATGGACATTATGGACAAGGTGAGATCTGATTAGCTTTTCCGCAGCACATGCGCGATCTAACTTGTCCGCAGGTGTTTTGAGCTCGTAAAGTTGCAAAGAAAGGATATCTCACTTGATACCACTATTTTGGATGGGGTGCTTGGCATGTACCTTGCAAACGAGACACTCACGCTGAGTAAATGCACATCATACTTCGAGATCTTTCTCGCTCACCGGAAAGGATGGCAAAAGAAGGTAGACAAGGGCCAATGGGAAGCGGATCTGAGATGTGAGTTGCTCACATTAAATCGAAGCCAGATGACTAAATGACCTCACCACTGGCAGCAAATCACTACAAGATTTATCCACGTCCCAACATGCCAGCCTGCGACAATTTCTTCTGGATGTTAGTTTGGATTAAGTGGCTTGAATCCTTTCACTACGGGCGAACTCTCCAGCCAAACGACTTCATTTTTCCTGTGATGAGTGCAAACGGTGTCGTGCATCCCGGACAGCCAATCTCTCACGATACCGTGCAAAAATGGATCAATGAGTCAACCACTGGCGCTGGCATCCGTGGTAACTTCTCAACTCACTGTTTTCGTCGGGGAGGTGCCCAATATTGGTTCATGTTTGCTCCAGTAGGCCAGCGGTGGACACTCGCTAAAGTTCGTTGGTGGGGTGGATGGGCTGATGGCGAGCAGGTATGTCTCGTGTTCTTATGACTGACACTTGATTGATGCAGCATTTTTTTCTTCTCGTTGTGTCTATTTTCAGCGTGATACACTCGTTCGCTACCTACTCGACGAACTATATGCATACAAGACTGACTACAGTGATGCCCTTGCCCCCATCTCCCGCGGTGCTGACGCCTCCCTCGCTGGTGAACAAGCTCTCATGAGACCGGCGTCTATAGAAGAGCTTCACATGGTTCATTCATCTGTCACGACAGATGTCAACAACCTGCGCAACGACATCGGATCAGTTCACAACTCACTGCGCACGCTAACCAATGTGATGGTGCAGGCAGCCTGCACCACAGCAACTGCTCTGCAACTTCAAGGTGATTCCTCCCGGCGCTTCGCCATCATCTCTGACTCTCAGGCTGAGTCATGTGCCTCCGAGTCTCGTACACGGTCACCGCGGCCAACTCCACCATACACCCCATCCCACGAAGGAGGACACCTCACAGCCACACACCGCCCTTCACCCAGAGCCGCCACCAGCCAGAGCAGCATCCTCGCTTCACAACGACCCGCCGCTACTAAAACTACCCCACCATCCAAGAACACCACCTCCCAATCCCTCCCTACCGCTGGCCTTGTAATCCCACGTGTGCCTGTCACTCGTCCAAATGGCACAACCAGCCCGAAGAGTAAGTCCTGGAAGGAGATCATCGAGCATTGGCTGGTCGGCGACCCAGACAGGGGATTGAGGACACCACTCAAAGATTGGCCGAAGGAGTGGTACCAAGGCGCTAATCGACGATTCGCGTCGAAGTACCATCAAAGGGCAACCATCGCGCTGGAATTCATCAACGAGTAAGTCCACGCTGATACTATCCCCTTTGCCTGCACATACTCACCATCCATATTTCGGCTCCAGGTACGAGTCGAACGAGTCGCGTTTCCTCGCAGCATATCCAGAGGCTGAAATGGGACACACACAGTTGCTGAAGGCCATCAACGAGGCACGCGCTGCACGAGGGCAGCGCATCTCTCGCAAAAAGTGACGCCGACTCGGACCACTCTTTTCAACTGCTACCGATATTTTTGCTACCCTTCGATTAGTACCATACTAGCACTCTCCCTACCTTAGCCCACTCATCACTAACACCACGTTCGCATACTACTTACATCCAGCATCCAGCGCGTGCAAACACGTTCCTCGACACTTCGCAGTGTTTTGATTCGAACCGCATTCTATTTTTCTTTGCTGTACTCTATACGAAAACTCACGCTGTCACGCTGACCTGCGAGGTTCAGCGAACCCGAGCTCGAAAAGGTGAATGATCGAGATCACGTGCCTGCGCTTAGCGTTTTGGCTGAGCGCCACCGTAAATTTCTCGATATAAGTACGTTTCTCGGAAAATGCCAACCTTCATCCTGCCATCTTAGTTTCTGCCTTTCGAATTGCCCGCCACCCTTCACGTCGTTTACCATAGCGATAGCATGGCTAACGGACCTGCTGCCATCATCATCATGATCTGGGCCCACCTCCATGGCGGAATTGGTGGTCGCAAGACAAAAGCCCAGACGTGTTACAGACTTCGGCGCAGAGTCTGCGCAGACTTGACACAGATCGGCCATTTTCTACATGCCCTCGGGTATTTATTCTCTGAAACCTATCTGAATCATATTGTCATATTGCCAATGCCAGTGGTTGCATCAGACACTGCCTCTGAGCTCTTCTCGGTGATCAGCCTCATCCACCATTTTGGATAGCATATTGCATTAATTTGCGTGTGCTGTGCGTGATGCGTATCACGATACCAGGAGAATCCTGGAGCTGAAGTTACAGGAGATGAATGATGATCCCAAGACCAGGACGACAGTGATCATTCTGGTCTTTGCATCTCGTTTCAAGTTAAACTATAAGTTTGCCGAAAATGTTGCAGTGTGCGTTGGTGCTATTTTCCGATACCTGAAGCTGATGCATATCTAAAACTGAGCCATTTCTGCTATATAACGATATAGATGAGCTGGCAAAGCTGCTATCCGCGCCGTCGTGCATCCCCCAGGCATCATTTTTGCCATGGCCAGCGCCACAACACACTTGTTCCCTGATACCGGCGTTGCTATCATGTCATCAGTACTGGGAGGCATTGTATACGGTGAGTATCAAAGTGATTAATATGGTCCCATACCTACTAAGCTAGTGTTCTTCAGGCTTTTCAGTTCTCATGTTTATAGGAACTATCTGGATATTCACCTACAATAATCGCATCCGGAACGTCCGAGTCAATCGGCCAATTGCTGCGGTTGCAACCCTGTTGTTCTTACTGAGTACCGCGGTTAGCTTCTTGCTCCTTGCATCTGGTGTGCATCTGCTGACCTCCCCGAAGCACACGGTCGTAGGCATAATTCAACTCGAAGTTGGGCTAGCGAAGTATCGCGACACATTCCCAGGCGCACCAGTGTCATTCTTTGCTGATATTTCCCAAATATTGGTGGTCAAGGATGTGATATACACATTGCAAACTCTGCTTGGCGACGGGGTAGTGGTGCGTTCGATTTTTATCCGCCAGATTTAGGCTTACAAAACTCGCCTTTCTGGCGGAAGATTTATCGATGTTACGTTGTTTGGCCATCTGTCTGGGTTATCGTCCTACCATGCATGATGTGGTGTGGTGTCGCAGGTCAGGATGTAATCATACTTGGGAAGTCTTGCGCTCTGATGTTGCTTTGCAGCGATTGGTGTTTGTATGGTCTACGACGTTTCTCAAGCGTCGACTAGCGCCGGAAGTGTTAAAGATGCTGAACGATGGGTCGTGGTGTTCCTTGCCTTTACGCTTGCAACTAATTTGTTCAGTTCAGGTAAGTAAGCACGCTTCTACGCAAGCGCGATGTTGAACTCAAATATGTGCAGGATTACTGGCGTATCGCATCTGGATGATCGAGCGAAAGGTCTCTAAAATTCGCACTACGAAGGGCAAAAAGCCTTTACTACGGGTGCTTGTTGATTCCGCTCTTTTATACACTGTATCGCTCTTCCCCTCACTAATATGTTCCGCCCTCTCGAACAATGGAGATCGTATAATGTTTGATGTAGGAGACCTGGTAATTTTGCTTTTTAACGCTTATCATCGAGGTTACTGATCAACATTTAGGTCGTCCCAATCATCTCTATTGCATTCTACATGGTGTTCATTCGCATTGCGATCAGTCAAAATAATCAAGATCACGTCTCGGTTGTTTGTGGAGGGACAACTGGGATATAATGAAGAAACTCGCAGCCATATTATATGCAACTTTCTTGTCGTATGTAGGATTGGTGTAGTTACCTAGCTTTGTGAAGTCATGCGTTCTTCTTCGTCTCAGACGACATGATCACACTACCCGGAGACCCCATCATCATCGCGCCTTCTTCAACATTCCATCCCGTTTCCTTCAAGCACCCCAAGAAACGAGAAAACTCCTTCCTGAGCGTCTCACGCGTCGAGAGCACCATATCCTCAACTTCACTAGCACTGGCACCGGCACGCATAGCCCGGGCGCTCCATATCGCAGCTATCTCCAGCGCATGCAGCCAAGCGCGCAATTGATCCAGCGATCCGTATCCCTCCTTGAAACATACCAAGATACTTGGTCCGCGTCGCCCCCACGTTCTAGGCTCCGCCACGAAGATCACATACGGTTCTTCCTGGAAATGCTGGAGCATCTTGAGAACATGCGACGTGCTACAGCGTGTCATCGCATACTGCACAGATACGCCCAATGAGCAGTGTCCGATGACTTTGTTGGTGACTGCATCGCGGATGCTGTTGGGAAAGTCTAGAATTATCTCTCGGTTGGATACGTCTCTTGGGATTAGGACGACTGGACGGCCGTCTGCTTTCGAGTTACGAAATGTACTCCAGAGGATGCTAGATCGTTGCCTATTAAGCGAACGAAGGACGACGCTACGCACTGCAAGATAATTAGCTAAAAGATGGCCAAAGACAAGGACGAAAAGGGCGGTGTAGGTTGATGTGCGGGTTGTGATATAAGGAACGAGGAGCGTTCCGAGCTATTAATATCGCCGCAGTCAGGTATGTCCATCATTCTAACGCGGTCAAAGGGGTTTATTTACCAAGACGCCTGTCAATGCGACTACAGTCGATCTGCTCGCGCTTTTAGCGTTCAGTTCGCCGACGTCGCCTTTGTTGTTCACGGGTGAAGCAAAGTGGTCTGTGAGCGCTGCTTTTGAACCGCCTGCGACGAGTCCGCAGAGAGATCTCATGGCCCCGCTCATACACAGCGCTACGATTTGGAGAGTCGAGCCTGATGGGAGATATGGAGATGTTTTGGAGATGGATATGGTGGTGAAATATGGGGATATGGTGTCTAGGACGATGGAGGTGTCGTTGATGACGTCTGCGAGAAAGCGGAATGTTTTCGTTTCGGGGTATAGGGAGGTACCGAAGTAATAGGCGCCTATTATGGCTGCAGGGGACGCTATCAGTGGGGTGTGGAGGGTAGATAGGGAAGCGGAAACGTACTTGTGAAACGGGAACATACGTCTTTTAGTACTGTCAGAAGGAGCGCTTGGGTTGCTGATGCTGATGCGTTGCCGACTCCAAAACCTGTATAATGGAAGTGAATGCAATTCGCATTTGGATTTTGGGGTGAACATACCTTCGAGCGCGCCTCGGGAAGCTAGTAAACCTGATAAAGAACTGCAAAATTCCTGCACGTCATTGTACATTTGATAGCTGGGGCGAAGGTACGGTCAAGTTTGAGACCATGATGCTCACGTAGCGGTAGGAGCTACTGACTGCAGATAATCTTTGCGTGCGTTTCCAACATAAGGAAGAGCTTGGACGGAGTGTTATGATGAGGTGCTCACCAGGAGTGACTGTGTTTGGATATCCAGCTGGGAGGAATATTGCTGAGACCGTACGACCCAGGGCTTGAAAGGGTTTTTCATTGACGCGGTTTCGGGAAGGCGCTTGGATATCGGTGGTGCGTGCGGCCTGTTGAAAAGCTGTGATATGAGGCGAGACTGGGAAAGCCTGCCATGGTGCGTACCTTCTTGACTTGGGCGTCAGTGCCATGTCCCACAGTGGTATAGAATATACGTCCAGTTTCGTCCTTTTCTGCGATTACTGAACCGCTGACTGCCATTTTGCGAGACTTGGGAGTTGCAGCGACTTGATGACGACTGTAGTTACCAACCACCTGGAATCAATGTTATGTTACCGAGCAACTCCAATAGCTGCTTGCTGCAAGTTGCGTTGGGGTGTGCTGATACCTCGCGAGTCGGTGGATGGAGAGATTTGAAATGTGGGTGTTGTGGGACTTCTGGAAACCGGCTTTCAACACCTGTTGTGGTGAATCAGATGAATCTCTACATTCAGACATGCCACCACAGCAGGTGTTTATAGCCAAGGGAGACCGAACAGGGCAATTTGCTCTAGTCTCTGAGCCATGAACAAGGCCTTGTAAAATTGTAAAACTTGAAACGACTGTTTGGTCTGTGGCTAGCCGCTATACTGCCCGGTACATAATACAAAGTCTGAGCCTCATCAAGCCCGGAATATGCTAACCCTTACATTAACTGCTGCTTCCCTGCAGCTGGGCCCAGGCCCATAAAAAACTGGGCATGAAACTTGTATGAAAGACAAGTAAAGGAATGACATTACATACTCATGCACATGTACTGCAATCCTTTACTTGGGATGCATAGGAAAAAGTGTGGACAAATCCGGACTCGAACCGGAGACCCCCCGCATGCTAAGCGGATGTGATAACCAGCTACACCATATGCCCCACAGAAGGGCGGCTGTTTATGGACTTGATATCGATGATAGAGGAAGTGGTGGTCCTTAGACTCGGGAGCCGAACTCTGTATGATCAGTTGAATGTCGTGCTTAAACATGTAGTGAGGACGAGATGATGGACACCGCACGACCTCTTTAAAATATACATCGTGACAACCTTGGACTTGAGCCCCATCGCGAGGGAATTCTGGAACTGTGAGATCGTGTTGTGGGATGAATCAAAGGTCCTATGTTGCCGGAGATAGCATTAAAGAATTACCAGCGAAGACCGAGGTCCAAACGACTAGGCATCTTGCTAATTTCGTGGAGGTATCGATCAAGACGGTTATTGCTACTCGACAGGAGGGTTACCACGTCCGTTCGGTGAATCCCGGGTGCACGTGAGGACCTTGATCGTGTAGTTTGGCAAGTTTGGCCACTCTGTATCTTGTCTCGATGGATGCCACACCCCCAACACCAGCTGTACCAGCACTGTCGACGACGGACATGGCAACTGTGGACGTCCACATGAAAGACGAGACTTCTACAGAAGACAAGGGAGCTGAAGATATTCAGTTAACGGAGACCGCGGAATCAGGCGCGGGTGAGGTTGGACATGAAACAACCCCGAACCCAGGTGGACCCTTACCGAGTAGTACAAGCGAAGACGTTCCAATGACGATAATCGCCTCGGACAAGGGCAAGGAAGTTCAAAAATCTAACTCGGACCCTCCTCCTGACGTCAACAGACCTCCAGAAACTATTATTACTAGAGATATTAGCATCCCACCCATATCACGTCCACAATCTCCATCAATGCCTCCTCCATCACGTCCAGCTTCTCGTCTACCACCAATGGGTTCTTTTCAAGTCCCTTCTCAGCCGAATTCGCTAGAGCGTCCCCTCAACGTCACAGACGCATTGAGCTACCTCGATGCTGTCAAAGTACAGTTTCATGACCAGCCAGATGTTTACAACCACTTCCTTGACATCATGAAGGATTTCAAGAGTGGACTGTGCGTTTTCATTTCCATTTTAATTCATTTCTCATCTTTCCACTATCTAGCATCGATACCCCAGGCGTCATAAAACGCGTCTCACACCTTTTTAATGGCCACCCCTTCCTTATTCAGGGCTTCAACACTTTCCTCCCCGTCGGTTATCGCATCGAGTGCTCCTCTGATCCCCAAAATTCCTCTTTTATCACAGTCACCACCCCTACCGGCACCATGCTCCAGTCCACCCGTGACGAGCCTTGGCATACTGCTCCAACTGTTGTACAACCTGCGGTCTTGGGTCCTGAACCCGAGCCATCCATGTACGGCATGAGTCTCGACAGCTCCTCTATAGAACCAGCTGTCCAGTACGTCCAGAAGATCAAACAACGCTGCGACGAGGGCACGTACCGTCGCTTTCTAGAAATTCTCGGCAAGTACCACAACACCACTGACGCCGTCGACGAAGTGAGCCTACTACTTTTACACTTCAACTAAATTCTAATGCATGTTTCACAGCGCGAAGTGTCAGCTGAAATTGCCCGTCTTTTCAAGGATGATCCCGATTTGCGCTCCGACTTTAGGATCTTCATGCCTGAGAAGAGCCAGGGTCTTTTTGACGAAGCCGAAGAAAGTTATCTTCCAGCCCCAACAGGACGCCGCACTCGGTCAAATACGCCACTCGATGGCAAACCTCTTCGCCGTCGCACTGATCCCCAACCACCCCTCGAGCCAACTGTCCCTCAAAAACGCAAACGCAAAGTAAACGAGCGGGACACCATCTCCGCAGCACCCAAAGCTCCTTCCAAGGTGACTGCTTGACTCCCAAAAGACAGATAACTCACTGACCTATCCAAGCTCAAACAGCCACCCCTCCCTCCTTCGCTCCTTCCACCAGACGACACACACTTCTTCGACCGGGTCAAGCGCGCACTGGGAAATAGAGAAACCTACAATGAGTTTCTCAAGCTCGTAAATCTTTTCACCCAGGAGCTTATTGACACCGCACGACTCGTCCGCGAAGCACGGAATTTCCTTGGAGATGCGGAGTTGATGCGCCAGTTCCGGGAGATCCTTGGCTGGGATGATAGGCGGGAGAGGGAGCGGTGGGTGTTGGAGGAGAGTCAGCAGCAGCAGACTTGGGCGAGGGTACAAGGCCAGGGAGGCCCTATGATCGTCCCGATTCGCCCGGGCAGAGTAAATGCGGGACTCCAACAAGGAAGCTACCGCCGAATGCCCGCTAGCGTGCGTTCACATCCCTCTAAACATTCCCTAACTGACCACCACACAGGAAGCCAACGTGACCTGCGCAGGCCGCGACGAGATGTGCCGTGCAGTCCTCAATGACGAATGGGTCTCCCACCCAACCTGGTCGTCCGAAGACGCAGGATTCGTATCGCATAAGAAAAACATCTACGAAGAAGCCCTCCACCGCTCCGAAGAAGAACGCCATGAGTACGATTTCCATGTCGAAGCTGCTACGCGCACAATCACTATCCTCGAGCCTCTCGCCGCCAAAATCGCCCAACTGCCCCCCGACGAGCGATCTGCGTTTAAACTGAAACCCAACCTCGGAGGCTCGGGCAAAGCAGTACACGCACGCGTCATCAAGAAGATATACGGACGTGAGTCGGGAATGGAGGTTCTCCAAGCGATGCAGGACGCACCGGCCCTGGCTATTCCTGTCGTCCTCAGCCGCCTCAAAGACAAGGAAGAAGAATGGAAACGCGCACAAAGGGAGTGGAATAAAGTATGGCGCGAAGTCGACGCCCGGAACGCTTCTCGGGCTCTGGACCACGCAGGGATCGCATGTAAAGCCGCCGATAAAAAGGCTCTCTCTGCAAAAGCCCTCGTAGCACAGATTGAAGCTGCGCGCGATGCGCAAGTGAGCCAGCGTGCTGCCCTTGTAGATCCGTTATTTGCGCGTGTGAGGGTGCGGCACCAGTTGGCGTATGAGGTCGGGGATACGGGCGTGCTGCAGGATGCTGTGAAGATGGCGTTGTCGTTTTTGGATAGGACTCAAGGGCAGATTGGGGCTCCTGAGAGGAGACGCGTCGAGGGGTTTTTGCGGACGTTCGTTCCGTTGTTTTTCGTTTTGGATCAAGAGGTGTTTCATAGGGCGTTTGTGCTTGGGGAAGCTGGGGAAGTTGAGATTGGGGAGGATGTGGATGATGGGGAGACGGGGAGTGTTGGGAGTGGGAGTGGCGGGAGGAAGAGGAAGGGTGGGATGGGTTCTGGTGGAGATTTGAGGAAGAAGTTGTTGAAGAGCGAGCAGGCAAAGTTGACGGGGAGGAAGACGCGTGCACAGGAAGCGGCGTCGCCGTCTGCTTCGAGACCTGCTTCTCCCGCGATTCCTGATACGATGCAGGTAGATGCTGTGGAGGAGGGGGAACGTGAGCCTGCTGCGCCGTTGCGCAAGGCATCGAGGAAGAATGTATTCTTTGGGAACACTGTTTTCTATGTGCTTTTGAGACTTGTTGAGGTGCGTGGTTCTGATTTTACTAGTTATCCATTCCTGACGTTTGTTGGTTTGACTACAGGTCTTATATTCCAGACTCCTATCCTTCAAGAAGCTCAGCGCGCGCATCGCCATTGAGGCGCCTAAATCAATGTCTAAAGCGAAATCGGTCGCTACGGCGCTAGGGATGCCTTCCCTTGTTGAACTCGCTCAGCTAGATGACCGTGCTGCGCACGCAGATCATTTTTATGATCTGATGCTCGAGTCGTGCGAGAGGCTATTTGATAACGAGATTGAGCAGCATGTATTTGAGGAGCAGATGAGGTATATGTTTGGGGTGAAGGATGCGTATCGGATATTTACGATCGATAAAGTTATTGGGTCGTTGATCAAGCAGGTGCGTCCCCTTCCTCCTCTCGTCCCCCCTCTAGTTGTGAATTTGTGAATTGTTTTTTAATGATGTGGGAGCAGGTCCAGATTGTGTTGGCTGATTCGAGGAGTCAAGAGCTTTTTGAGCTTTTGAAGCGTGATCGGGCATTACAAGCGCCGACGATTCAGGATCAACTTAATAGTCGACGGTTTGCGGAGAATTTGCTTGGGCCTGATGAGAATATTTTCCGGGTAGATTGGGTGCGCGTTTTTTTATCTTCTTGTGATCCTGAGTGTTCAATTTGTGCATGGTATGGTCGCAGCTCCCAGACACAAAAACGATGACGATCCAATTACTCGGCAAAGACGATTCGAGGATCGATGATTCGGAGATGTTGGCGGAGAGGTGGCAGGCATATGTTGATTCGTTCGTTTCGGTGCGTATTCGTTATAGGGGTTGTTATAGCGTTGGGCTGATGGGTTTTATGTTTTTCAGAGTCCTATCACGGAGGGTATATCGCAGTCGCGTGTTAGACGTCCGTTTCTTCGCAAGTGCGTAATTTCTTTTCTGCAACTCTCAAAAGGAGAGAGGCTGACCCTTCTGTTGCCAGGAACGTACCTGCATCAGCTACTGCTACTACACCAGCGGTCCTCGCGCGTAGTGCGCTCGAGACGAAAGTATGTGTCCGGACTTACCGCTTGTTTTTCGTTTCGGGTACCGAGGACTTTTTGTGGCGGATCCCATCCAAGGAGGATGCAGTGTGTGATGGACGGGAATCTGCGAGGGTGAGGCGAGAGCAGTGGCTTGAGAAGACGCGGGCGGGGGAGTGGCCTTGTGGTGTGAGTCCTGATCCTGTGGTGAAGGAGCAGACGCCGGTGCACATTCCGAAGGAACAGACGCCTGTGTCTGTGCCTATGTCTGTGCCTGTACCTGTGAGGGCGGTTTGAGGTGCTGTTGCTGGTATTGGAGGAGACGTTAGCGCGTAGCTTAGGTGTTGTGTATTGTCCATATGATTACTTTAATCTTGTTATTGATTTTTTGGAGATCATACGATCTAGGTGCTATACGCGTCTCTGCGTCTACCTGCCACAGAATCCCGACTTACCCTACCATGTCTTCCTCTGATCTCGGGACATGCAAACTCCGTGATAATCAGGAGACTGATAGAATATTTCTCGGCAAATAACTATTGACCGAACCTCTAAAGTATGTCGCGGGCTGCAGTCCCAACTCCTTCAAATCATCAGCGCACTCTAATCCTCGCTGCTCTACTCCTCTTAAAACACGATCCACATCTTTGATGAGCCGCACAAGATCAGGTTTCGAACTGATCTGTATATACTTCTTTGTGACTTTCACAAGGACGGGAAGCAACTCGTCCGCGTCCGCGTCCTGTACCCAGCGAACGGAATAAAAATTCATCCATCCACGTCTGATCATGTCCCACCACTGCTCCTTTGCGACAGACCAGCGCGATGTAACTGAAAGCTGTTCAGGTGTGATTCGGAGGAGGATACCCACTACAAGACAGGAATAGAGCTGCACAAAGGAGGGTTTGTGGCACTTTGCAATCATGCCAATGCAATGATCTACATGGCGATGCTCAATCAAATGCGGATGCCAGATGGAATTTCTCGCGAGGGCAGAGACCAGTCTGAGATAGGACAAGTCACAATAACAATTGAAGAGGGGGTCAAGATCATCATCAAGAGGTGTTACGCCCGGTCGCGGACAAAGCACGGACATGATAGCAGCAGAGAATTTGGTCAAAACCGTGTCTGCGACAATGCCATTGATCAAGGTCAAAACTTCCCGGGAATTGCAAGCAGCGCGAACTTCGAAGGGCGAGGTGACGTAAACGGTCAGGCATGCTACTGTCCATACAGGCAATGAGCGTCTCCATGAACAGATGTTGTTTAGCGGGGCTGCAGCTCACGCTCATACTGCTCATGAGCAAAAGGATGTCACATGCCGTATCGGGGTCCTTGACATAAACAACGTCGAGGTAATCCACTAGCCAGTCGAAGTCTTCTGGAGAGTGGGAATTACCTCTCAATGGAACATAATGCGCCCACAGCCAGGTAGGGTCTGTAGAGATGTCGTTTTTCCGCATGAACCATAGTCTGCCTGTAGGAACAATGTCGAAGCTGAAGCGCCGTACTCTTCGCAGCGCTGCTAGTGGATCCGCATCATTTTGTTCGGACAACCTCGCCCGTGAAGAAATCTTCCTGCACAAGTTCAGGTTCCACGCCACCTGCGATGAAGACCAGAGATATTGACCGAGCTGGGACATGCAACAGATGACATCGGTGGGATTCCATACTCGATGTCCAATTCCGACATTGTCTCCATCGAGATCACCCCATAGAGTCGCCAGGAACTGCTCCCAAAGAGAGTAAGTAAGTTGTTCCAGAGCAGAACTACACAATCACTTCGTAAGACATAGCAGAAGAATCACCACATGAGTGAAACAGCACCTTTTATCAACCCGAACTATGTCCTTCTGGTCAAACTGAACCCCGACCATAGCACAAGCAAGAAGAGTGCAATTGGCTATGATTTGAGTCGACGGAGAGGACGGAGAGGATAGTAGTCTTGATATTACTGCTATAGAGAGTTTTTCTACATCTCCGTCTACTCGCCCAGTAACAAAGTGGTAAAGAAGAATGTGTGAAAGCCACTCGGGGGTAGAGTTGGCAAATTCATTTGGATGCAGGTGTATTGTCCAGGGAAGCCAGCCATATGGGTCGGTAAATCTGGCAGTCAGGGCAAGCACCTTGTCTTGAGCTTTGCACCTCTCAAACATCTGGTCAAACAATTTAAAGTCTGTCTGAGACCCAGAGCGTGATATCGCATTGCGAAGAAAGATATCGTTATCGCTACTTTCATTCTGCATGTACGGCTGACCGGGGATGTTCAGTATTTAAGTCCCCCGTAGTTGTAGGGAATATGCTCACGCTATATGCCTGGAGAACATGTCCATGTCCGCAATACAGATGACTCAGAGCCATTGTACAAACTGACGCCTTCTCCTCCAACGACGGGACGATGCGCGACTGCACATCCACGCAACTTTTGTAAATATCATACAGCTGATGCAGCACGTCTGAGACGTCAAGATCCAGGGGCCATTCGACTTGCGGTACAAGGCGAGCAGCGGCAAAAAATACTTCAGGATCTGTAGATGTCTCAAGTAGCCACTTGATGCTAGGTGCTTCGAGATTGACGGTGGGTATGTCTGGGAGGTCAAGGTCAAGGTGATGATCCTTGGCTGAAACGTTCAGGTGCTGATCAGGCGATTGTGCTCCATAGCCCTCGACCTGTGCCGGAGAGCGCACAACCAAAGAACGCAGCCAGCGTACAAAGATATGAAGCGCGCCGAATAATGGCTGAAGACAGCGCTGTGCAAATGAGCGGACCTCAATCACAGGGTCTGTGGAATGAAATGAGTGTTGGATGTCCTATACAATAATAGCTTGAGAATATCACTTTCTAGTGCTTCATACAATAGGGTCCACCTGGATTTGAGGGTACGACACAATACATGCAGCGCACCTAATAACATAAAATGGTCAAAGTCTGTACATACGTAAGAACACTTAACTCACTGTGCGCCGATGTCCTCAACCACTGGAAATACCTCAAGGCTGGTTTGGCCATTGGGCATAAAACTCCTGCGCGTTCATTCAGATTGAAAATGAACACCATAGTTGCACAAAGAGCTTACTGTCGACGTGCCAAATGCGCAATATTGTCGAGATCGGGGTCTGAAATGGACAGGCAGGAGATACCAAAGCTGCCATCAAAGTAAGGGAATAGCACAAAAATCCAAAGACCGTGGTTGCAATGATAACCCGGGCGATGCTGTGCTGCTTGTACCACATGTTGGCGCTGAGGGTGATCCCAAAGAGAAGAAGGGAGAGCTGAAGTAAGACCGGAAATGATTGCAGGGCAGCATCAAAATACCATGTGACGATGCCTTCAAATTTCTCTTGTCTGCGCTTCCCTCGTTGCTCTGGCGAGCCGCGACCTATCTGCTCGACTTGTAGTACCCGAGCCACTGTTTTCCTAGCATGGCACCGAATGCAGCGAGCAAGCTCAGGCACAAGCTTGCATATGCGATCGCTTGGATCCTTACAGTCGACATGGGCGGCGACCACGCAGATGCTGGCGCTACGGGCTCTATGCCAGCTGCATCAATGTTGCCGAACCCGATTTGCACGAGCTGCGTGAGAAGGGCATTTGTGGTGTCGCTGGGGTCGGGACTGAGGCTAGACTCCATTGCTACGATGAAAGATGTGCTAACGGCGGAGAAAAGAACGGACTAATCGAATATCAATAATGCTTAAATGAACATACGATTGAGAAACATACGAAGACTAAAACAATGTCCATATCGCTTGTGTATCGCTCAAGGAACTCGCCGTCGTGTTCCTCTGCGACTCTTTTGTGTATCGTCCAGAAACGAGAGCGGACGTCCTTGCCATCCTTGGAGGCGATTGTAGAATCCTTGAGAACCTCCAATACGTTATTCATGGTGTCCATTCTGTAGGTATGTCGTCAATGCGAATCACTCATATTTTTTTGAGCTCACAAGTCACTTAGATTTGGCTGGTGGACTACGATATCTACCGCCTCGCTGAGACAATATGTGAGATTGTTTGAAAATGATCGGTGAGTGAAACTTACGGAGCTAAGCCGTTGGGCGAATCATTGAAAGTACCGTCCTGGTGACGTTTCAATGGCTGGAAAGGGGCGCTCGAGCTGTAGTTCACATCAGGGATACACAGAAGCACCAAGACAAAAACACTCACATCCCCGGGGGCAGCTTCACCGTCGAAGGTCCACTCATTTCTTTCTCGCTGTCTTGCTGTCAAAAGAGGTATAGCAACCGAAAGGTATAACCTACCTCCCGGTGGGTTCTACGATATGATTTTGAGGTGGAGGCTGCTCGTCGTTATGTGAGGTTTGACGCTAGCTGCCGTCAACGCTACAACCTTGCGATAGTCTTCGGGTGAGTGTGGAAGTGTTGGATGCTCCTGACGTGGGGAGGACACAACAAAGCTAATGTGATATTGAAAGAAAGATAAGAAGAGTCTGAGAGGAGTGGACAGAGATAAGTCGTGATAGCATAGCATTGTTCAACCACTGGTCTGGGCGGCTGCCAAATCTGCATAAGGCTGAAGGCGCTCACAAGCGCTCCCTGGACCTCGGAAATGAACAGGCCTCGTGTGGTTTGCCTGCATGCCGCATCACTGAGAATGCGGTGCCGAGGTAAAATTCAAATCTGAACCATCGCGGCAGCGTCAACGAAATACTGCTAGTTACTAGTAGTAGTACCTTGATTCTGATTCTGATGTTACGCCTCGGCGCTCATCGGTTCTGAAGTGGAATAACGCATCTATCATCTTCGAAGGCCTGCCGGTGCTGAAGATGAGCGCTGAGCAACGATGAGAAGACATGGACGACGTGCATGCGTTAGTGTTACAATTTCAGTGTGCTGGAGCCTGGCATAGAATATCCATCCAGCACGATAATGAGCGGGAAGCGAAGACGAAGGACATTCGAAAATCTAATTCGGACCCTCCTCCTGACGTTAACTAGTCTCCCGTAGTCAGACCTTGATAGAATGAAGACAGTCGTTCCTTCCATTTCAAGGACGTTAACAGACTTCCAGCCTGAGAAACTATCATTACAAGCATCGATATATGCCACCCATCATATGATCATGATCATGACATCCACCTATGATCTAGCTTCTCGTCTACCACCAACCATTGGTTCTTTCCAAGTTCCTTCTCAACCAAATTCGCTAGAGCATCCCCTCAGCACCATAGATGCCATTGAGCCACAAAGTACAATTCCATTCCCAGCCAGACGTCCACAGCCACTTCCTTGACAATCATGCTAAAGGATCTCAAGATTGGACTGTGCGTTTTCATTTTCATTTTCATTTTCATTCTAAATTATTCCTCATTTTCCCGCTATCTAGCATCGATACCCCAGGCGTCATAAAACACGTCTCACACCTTTTCAATGGCCGCCCCTTCCCTTATTCAGGGCTTTTCGTACCTGTGGGCTATTCCATCGAGTGCTCCTCTGACACCCAACACTCTTCTTTTATCACCCCTACCGGCACAATGCTCCAATCAACCCGTGACGACCCTTGGCATACTGCCCCAGCTGCTGTGCCATGTACGACATGAGTTCTCGACAGCTCTTCTATAGAAACAGCCGTCCAGTACGTCCAGAAGATCCAACAACGCTTCGATGATGCTATGTACCGTCGCTTTCTAGAAATTCTCCGCAAGTACCATAACACCACTGATGCCGTCAACGAAGTGAGCCGGCTCCTTCTGCATTGCTGCTAAGCCCTAACACATGTTTCACAGAGTGAAATGTCGGTTGAGATTACCCGTCTTTTCAAGGATGATCCTGATTTGCACTCCGACTTTAGGATTTTCATGCCTGAGAAGAGCCAAGGTCTTTTCGACGATGCCGAAGAAAGCTATCTTCTAGCCCCAACAGGACGCCGCACTCGGTCAAATACGCCACTCGATGACAAGCCTGTTCTCCGTTGTACAGATCCCCAACCACCCCTCGAGCCCACTGTCCCTCAGAAACTCAAGTGGAAAGTGAACGAGCAGGACACCACCTTTGTAGCACCCAAAGCTTCCTCCAGGGTGACTGCTTGACTCCCAACTCACTGACCTATCCAAGCTCAAACAGCCACCTCCCTTCCTCTCTCCTGCCAACAGACAACAGACTTCTTCGACCGGGTCAAGCGCTCGCTGGGGAACGTAAGCTCGTCAATCTCCGCACCTAGAAGCTTATCGACACTGCACGCCACATTCGCGAAGCATGTAATTTCCTTGGAGATGCGGAGTTGATACATCAGTATAGGGAGAGTCTTGGCTGGGATCCAGTTTGGGCTGCTGTATCAGGCTGAGGGCGCCACGAGGCTCCCTGGACTTCGGACATGAACAGCCTGATATGCCCAACAAAGCTAGTGGGAGAGTATTTGGTGCCCCGTTCAGTTCCGACACGAGGTAAGCGAGTATGTGCCCTGTTCCTTTGCAAGTCCCTTCTCAGCCAGTCGCTAGATATTCCCCTCAACGTCAGAGACACGTTGGGCTACCTGGCCAACCAGACATTTACATTCACTTCCTTGACACAATGAAGGACTTCACAGTGCAATGAAACGAGTTTTTGAAGAATTCGGCCTGACTTTTTTCTTTCCAAATTAGGCAACATGATGTGCAGTGTACCTTACATACTGCATTATTTTTGCCTACAGGAAGTCATCCACTGGCACTAGTAGCTGCTATCAAACCTTGTAATGTCAGGCTTCCCTCCGATAAGCATTTGGCATCTTCGGCTCAGTTGAAGGCAGTGGCGCAGCATATTACCTGTGCCCGGGTTTTACCCTGGGTTTATCGAGGAATATATATATGGTCTGACCTAGGCATACTCAGTTATGAGACTGACCATCCATCATAGAACCCTCTCCACCAGCGCATTCGTCGATGCGCCAATCAGTTTCAATAAACTGGTCGCGAGACTTTTTGAAGGTTATTGCATGCCATGTAGTTCCCATAATCATCCACTTCGGTTTATTCCTGATATACAGTTTTGACTACACAATAACCCCGTCTACCTTCTCGGCAGTTTCTCTGGTCTTTTTTGTATTTGTCTTTGGTTACACGGTACGTGTACCAGCTCATCGCCATGATCGAGGAGATAATTTTTTTGCTAGATCTTGTTCGCTGTCCTACTTATATTGACATATAAGCTCATTTTCAAGCAGCTGTTCTGCGGAGAATTCAGATTGACTGCGGTATACGACATATTGAACGCCATGTATGGATCTGGCGCCGCACTAGCTGCTCTTTGGAACCAACGAAAGACAGCCACAGTATGCCCAGAAGCGACTGTCATTCTATTCTACATCATAGTCATCACTTTTCTGGAATCTCATGCTCTTCTGGTCCTGGTACCTCTGTCGACTAACAGGGTCCACACCTTTGTAGCACCTGCACTATCGACATGGGCAGATGCCACCGTGAACACCCAGAACTGGGACTGGCCAACCATACTATCTTTGGCATCGAAATTTGGGCAATTATCTCCGATAGCTGCAGGGCTTTATCATAGTCTTCTCTATGACATTATATCCCCTGGTGCGACAGGAAACGGAACTGTGACCGCAACAGAAGTGAGCGTCACATGCTTCCTTGCACAAAATTTATCGTACGGGAGAAGTGTCGCAAACGAGCCATTGATTTATACCAACGCAACAGCAACCCTTGCTTTGGATGCTATTCCATGTAAGCTCATCGTTGACCGAGTTGCAACCGACTAATCTCTATCAGGGAAAGACCAAGTGTTATATCTTGACAGCCCGTTGATTGAGGTGAGCATGTTCGAACGTGTTTTGATGTATGTATTGAGGGTTCCAGGGCTGGCTCAATTTCCTGTTGACAACTGGGACTGCTGAAAATCCCGCGATTAACGAAACAACAGTACAAGGAACCTGGTATTACGAAAATGACGGTACGCACACTTGTCGGATAGCTAGCCAGTGGCTGACCTTGCAACAAAGTTGCTGAAAATAGCACGCGGAGCGCTATTGATTTGCAATTTGCAATGTGCAACGTATCACTACTTGGCCGAAATGTTATTGTGGATGCACAATCAAATCATTTACTGGTTGTCCCAGAAATGACTGTATCCTCTCCGCAATGGACAACTATACCAGCATTCACATCCTTTGCTCCCGAGAAGATGGTCGATGGTGGTGTGGTACGTTTTCTGGATACACATGCATTCCACGGTTGATGTTAGCAATATCTACCAAGATTACAATGCCATTCAATACGCAAAAATATTCTTACACGGGTATGAGAACCTGTTTCGACAAGGTTGACCATTACCCGTGTAACAGAAATACGTCAGTAGGAGAACTGTGCGCACATCCCCTTATTTTTAAGTATATGAATTGCTTATTTACTCTCTACAGACTACTCATGCAGTTGATCGGCATGCCCTTTAGTAGTATCATCCCCGATGTTCCCATCAATATCATGCAAGACCCGGGTGGAACCCAGCATCTCAATACAACACCATCATTCACGATTTCAAAACATCAGATGGAGGTGGCGTTGTCAAGACTATATGCAACGGTTATCTGGATAGGTCAGTATTTTCCTTCGCATGCCACGGGATGAAGACAGTGTCAATATTATACAACAGCTGGGGAGTTGGGTGATTCCGGAGGGGGTTTTCAACGGGCCAACGCTGAAGCAGAGGTAACACATTTTGTATTGGAAACACATCTTGAAGTACGTTGCTCGCTTTATCCTGCACTGCCACTATGGAGACGCTGATTAAAAAATCTATACACTAGCTTGACTATACTTCGGTAGGAGACTCTATATTCCACTTGCAATCTCAGAACTAAGAATAAAACAGAATCTCATCTCTTTACTCACCTCTTGCGGTCTTCTTGTGCTCGTTATTCGTATTGCTGCAAGAGGGATAGGACCAAGTGTAGAGTTTGACACCCTGTCTTTCATGTGGCTGGCAAATCGTTCACAGGATCTTACGGCCCAGTTCGCCAAAATTTTACACCCTAATGATCAGGTGCTCCGCAGGGCCGGAATGTTTCGAGTTGGAGTTCAAGATTCTGGTCAAGTTTTTGCGATAGATGATCTCCCAACAATAGCAGGTGCAGACTCCGCATCCGCGGAGACAGACACGAAACCAGGTGTATTTAAATGAACATGGCATCAGATTTGCGGTTACGCGAGCGCTTGCTGGCACGGAGTGAGCTCACAGATATTTTTCATCCTCAAATACGATCCCCTGGGGAGCTATGAAGGTGCCACTTTAGAATTCGTGTCCTTCATTTTATCAACCCATTGATTCATGATTTCAGAGACGGAGATACGCCGCCCTAAACATTTTGTGCAATACGGACTTTGCATGAGCTTACATACCCTCTTTGCTGTCCTGAATATACTGTTCCTTGTCGCAATCAACCACCACGACAAACAAAACCAAAACATTATGGTCTCAGCCACATCTCATCTTAAAATGTGGGAGGTTGGCATTCGCCAGGGTATACAGGGATACTACACTGTAAGCTGCAGCAGATTTGTCAAACTGTATACTGACAATACTCTGTAGGTGTCGCTCGCCACCCTCGTTTTCTTTGCTCAATCTGTCACCCTTTCCCATGATCTAGCACGCTTCCAGCCTCTTTCTTCATTGCATGACATCAGGGATTCCTGGCGCAACTGTGCTACGGCTTACTCATCCTTCAAGCGTTATACTCAATTCTCATACCCTGTTTTTACGTCTCCTGGCCTAAGGATCTTGGGCGTATTTGTCTACCTTTTTTCCATCTTAATAATTTCTCTCCTGCGACCATTCATTGTTTCGCCTTCAACTTACACATTCATCACCAATGGTTCATCATCTACACAACTCGCATGGCCAGATCCGACAAGAAACATCAGCGCTCTGGATTGGAATATGATAACTTCGGCGGCCTTGCCTTCAAATTCGACCAAGGAGGTAGTAACCACAGGGCTATCAGGAGGCTTATTGTATGATAAGTTATACCCAAACTCCGGATTCGGAGCTGCGGTTGTGAATGTAACGCTCGTAGATGCCAACTGCTCCTTGTTGCCAAGTTCGGTTTGGTCCAATGCTGATGGCTCTCCCAAAGACTTCATCGGTGCGATCCCTTGTAAGTTTGTTGATTGTTTGATGTCGCAGCTTCTAACCCCAGGTGTGCAGGGTCAGATCAGATTTTATATCGGGACGTTATGACTGCCAAGGTAGATTAACTTGAATTTTGTTATTGTGTGGGTCGTTGACGGACCTCGTAGAATTATCTTACTTTTCTTGTTACGACGGCGATGGCTGAAAGTGGAGCAGTGCTAGAGAACGCTTCAGTGTCTATGCCATGGACAACATATGACAGCAATGGTAATCACGATTCCCCTGGGGTACACCGTCATTGATCATCTTGTTTTGATTTTACTAGGGGATTTAGTATCCAGCGCGCAAGTGGTGGGATACATGGTCGCATGTCACATGTCTCTTGAGAAGCGCGTGGCTACTGTCGACGTTCAATCCAATTTGCTTCTGGATACTGCGTATAATCCGGTTTCTTCGGATAAGCAATGGACGATCTTTCCAGGGAATTCTCCCTTCACAGGTCAAAGCTTGGATTGGGTGCGTGGAACCAGCGTTCATACCCTGCTGCCTTCATTGTAGTGACCTGGCTTGTAGATCAAAGCGCCTTTCGTCGCCAAGCCGTTCGAAGGAACACCAGTGGAAGCAATATACTGGAACAACACCATTTTACCCGGGTCATGTGCAGGGAGCGGCAATGCTAGCGCGTGCGGATATGTACCCGAAAGGTCAGTTCGATATCTGTGAATATTACAATGAGCGTGAGATTTAGGATTTGTGACATTTGCTAGACTGCTTATGGGTTTTCTGAACATGACCCAGGAGCAGATGATTCCTACAAAATTCGACAATAGCACGCCCACCTTCAATTTGTCTCCACTCGAACTAGAAGGGGCTTTGTCCCAGTACTTTGGGATGATGATCTGGACGGGTAAGTTCTATATAATTTTTTTGCGACCCAGGAAAGCCGATTGTGGGCTTTCTCTAGCTGCACAGCTTGGTGGATATAGGGGAGGGTTTGACGGGGCAACCGGACGGGCTGAAATCAACCAAAATGCAATGAAGTTAATGGTGCATGTGAGTTCATCCTCCACCTTGAACCCGTTCGGTTTGATAGCCTTTATTTCAGGTTTCTCGAGTCCCATTGTTGGTGGCGACTGTGGCCTCGTTCGTTGCTCTGGTTTCGGTCTTTGCGTTGGCTGGGGTTGCTCCCAGTGACAAGAGTTTCGTCGAAGGCTTCGGATTCCTACATACAATTTGGCTCATGACACGCCTACCGAAAACTTCCAAAGTCTTTGCCTCAATTCCGTACGACAAATGCCAGAATCTACATGAACTTGGAAAGCACATTAAGGTTCAACTGGCGGACAATGCCGTGGAGGTTATTGATGAAGACAAAATATCTAAGATGCTGACGGCGAATGAACCCAGGTAAGGACTTGTAGTGCTCAGACTCAAATTTACTCACTCGATACGGTGTAGGGGGAATGAGAAAAGGGATGAAGACACTGATGAGTCTGTGCTGCTGATACCAGCAAGCGCTCAATAGGACGGAGCCACAAACGATGAAGAAGACCTGCTGGGGGAGCACAGGTAAGGAATTATATGTACTGCCCGATATCGGATCCGCTCACTTGACATCGTGTAGTGGTAATGAGCAAGTCTGCGACTTTGAGAGAGGAGACGAAGACGCTGAGGAGTCAGTGATGCTGATATTGATATGGAGTAGTAGGAACTTTTAGGCTGCATAGCGTTATCCCTGCTTGATTTTGTGCTTTGTACTTGAGATGCTTTTGGCTTGTTGTACTAGTGTACTATATCCTAGTAGGTGACTCTACTTACTATGTTTCTATATTATTTCGGCGACAATCAACGTATACTCCGAGTTGAAAGCGCTTCGAAAACGAACTCTGAGAAACATAATACTAGTGTTCGCACCGGGACTCGCATGTACAACTTGAAGTTTGTTTAGACTTTAGAACAGCCCTCCAGAAATAACTTATTACTAGAGATGATGCCACCTTCTCGTCTACCACCAATGGATTCTTTTCAATTCCCTTCTCAGCTGCAGCCAATTCGCTAGAACATCCTTTCAACGTCAGTATAGATGCGTTGAGCTACCTCGACGCTGTCAACAAGCTGTCAAGGTACAATTACATGACCATTTCAAATTCATTTCAAATTCATTCCTCATCTTTTTAGCTATCTAGCATCGATACACCACCCCTTCCTTGCTGTTCCTACCCGTCGGCTATCGCATTGAGTGCTCCTCTGACCCCAACACTCCTCTTTTATCACCCCTACCAGCACAATGCTCCAGTCCACCAGTGACGACCCTTGGCATACTGCTCCAACTGTTGTGTCATGTACGGCGTGAGTTCTCGACAGCTCTTCTATAAAACCAGCCGTCCAGTACGTCCAGAAGATTCAACAATGCACTGCAAGGACCCCACATACCGTCGCTTTCTCGAAATTCTCGACATTACGGTACCATGACACAACCAACACCGTCGACGAAGTGAACCTGCTGCTTCTGCATTCCAACTAAAACCTAATGCATGTTTTACAGCACTTGTGTCAGCTGAAATTGCTGATCTTTTCAAGGATGATCCTGGTTTGCGCTCCGACTTTAGGATCTTCATGCTTGAGAAAAGCCAAGGTATTTTCGATGAAGCCGAAGAAAGTTATCTTCCAGCCCCAACAGGACGCCGCACTCGCCCAAATACGTCACTCGATGGCAAGCCTCTTCTCTGTCGCACAGATCCCCAGCCACCCCTCGAGTCCACTGTCCCTCAAAAACGCAAGTGCAAAGTCAATAAGCGGGACACCGCATCCGCAACACCCAAAGCTCCCTCCAAGGTGACTGCTTGACTCCCAAAAGACAGACGATTCACTGGCCTATCCAAGCTTAAACAGCTACCCCTCCCTCCTTCGCTCCTTCCACCAGACGACGCACACTTCTTCGACCGGGTCAAGTGTGCGCTGGCGAACCGGGCAACCTACAATAGTTTCTCAACCTTGTAAATGTTTTCACTCAGAAGCTTATCGATACGGCACGGCTCGTCCATGAAGAAATTTTCTTGGAGGTGCGGAGTTGATGCGACAGTTTAGGGAGATTCTTGGTTGTGATGATGGGCGGGAGAGGGAGCGGTGGGTGTTGGAGGAGAGTCAGCGACGTCCTTCCTTCGCAAGTGCGTACCCATTTTCTGCAACTCTACTTTGCCCATATAAATGGAGACACATTGACTCTTCTTTTGCTAGGAACGTATCTGCATCAGCTACTGCTACTACCCCAGCAGTGCTTGCGTGTAGTGCGCTCGACATGAAAGTATGCGTCCGGACTTACTGGTTGTTTTTCGTTTCGGGTACCAAGGACTTTTTGTGGCTGATACACAGCAGGAAACTGGATCCCAGTGCTCCATCGACATCTTACCTTGACGTTGGTACACTTACATTCAACTACCTTCTTGTCCTTGCTAACCGGGCTACACAGGTCGATGCTGCAACGCCTAGAACAAGGGGGTAATGATGGGCTTACCGACAAAGGGAAGACATACGATCCATACGGTAACTTTTTTCAGGTGAACCACGTACTGTGTTGTACAAGACACATGTAACTTAACCCTGGTGTCTGATTATATATTAATTGACATGCTCGTTCGTGTGTCCGCACGCATACTTTCGTCTCCCTTCTGCAGGATCGGGACTCGGGATATGCAAACACCGTGATAATCAGGAGACTAATAAAATGTTTCTTTCGCGATAACTATTGACTGAACCTGGAAAGAAGCATGTCGCGGGCTACAGTCCCCAACTCCTTAACATCATCGCTGCACTTTAATCCTCCCCGCTCTACTTCTCTGGAAACACGATCCACATCTTCGATTAGCCGCTCAAGATCAAATTTCGATGCAATCTGCATATACTTCTTTGTGGCTCCCATGAGGATGGGAAGAAACTCGTCCGCGTCCTTGAGTTGTATCGTAAAGAAGGGATAGATTACCGTCCATGTATGTCCTATCATGTCCCACCACTGCTGCTCTGTGATAGACTCGAGCGGTATAACCGACACATGTTCGGGTGCGGTTTGGAGGAGGAGACTAAGCATATCGGGGATATTGTAACTGGTAGATAATTGGCAGCACTCTGCAATTATGCTGGCGCACCGATCTATATGGTGATCCCTGATCAGATGCGGGTGCCAGATGGAATTCCTTGCGAGGGATAAAACCAGTCTGAGATAGCACAAGTCGCGCTCATTGTTGAATAAGCAGTCAGGACCATCATCAGGTGTTGCGCCCGGTTGCGGACAAACCGCGGACATGATAGCAGGAGAGACTCTGTTCAAAACCGTGTCTGCATCATCGACAAAATCAATTGAGGTCAAAATTTCTCGGGAACTGTGAGCAGCGCGAAGGGCAGCGTGACGTAAACGGTCGGGCATGCTGCTGTCCATACAGGCAATGAGCCTCTCGATGAACAGATGTTGTTTAGCGGAGCTGCAGCTCACGCTCATACTGCTCATGAGTACAAGGATGTCACACGCCGTATCGTGGTCGTTGGAATGAACGGCGTCGAGGTAGTCCACTAGCCAGTCGAAGTCTTCTGGAGAGTGGGAATTGCCTCTCAACGGAACATCACAATCCCACACCCATTCAGGTTCATCTAGGTCCGACATATGAACGAAGGCGACGTCGAACCTGAAGTGCTGTACCCTTCGCAGTGCCGCCATTGGATCCGCATCACTGTGTTCGGATGACCTCGCCCGTGAGTACATCTTCCTGCACAAGTCCAGGTTCCACGTCACCAGCAATGAAGGCGGCTCACGTTGGCCGAGCTCGAGCATGCGACAGATGACATCGGTGAGGTTCCATACTCGGTGTCGAACTCTGATACTATCTCCATCGAGATCGCCCCACAGAGTTATCTGGAACTGCTCCCAAAGAGACTGGGCAAGTCGTTGTAGAGCAGAACTACACAATTTCTTCGTTAGACATAGCAGATGAACCACTAAATGAGTCAAACAGCACCTTTTATCAATCCGAACTATGTCCTTCTTGTCAAACTGAACGCCGATCATAACACAAGCGAGAAGAGTGCAGTTGGCCAAGATTTGAGTTGATGGAGAGGACGGAGGGGATAGCAGTCTTGATATTACTGCAATGGCGAGTTTTTCTACCTCTTCGTTCACTCGTCCAGCAACAAAGTGGTAAGGAAGAATGTGTGAAAGCCACTCGGGGGCAGAGTCGGCAAATTCGATTAGGCGCAGGTGTGGTTCCATCCAGAAAATCTCGTCATCCTTGCGCGAAAGTCTAGCAGTCAGGGTAAGCACATTGTATTGAGCTTTGCACTTCTCAGACATCCATAAAAACAGTCTAAAGTCTGTCCACCGAGAGCGTGATATCCCATTGTCAAGAAAGCCATCGCCAGTATATGCCTGGAGAGCATGTCCGCAATACAGATGACTCAGAGCCATCATACACAGTGACGCCTTCTCCTCCAACGACGGGACAATGCGCGACTGCGCATCCACACAGCTTTCATAAATATCATACAGCTGATGCAACATGTCTGAGACGTCAAGATCCAGGGGCCATTCGACATGCGGAACTAGGCTAGCAGCAGTGAAAAATACTTCAGGATCTGTAGATGTCTCGAGCAGCCACTTGATGCTAGGTGCTTCGAGACCGCTGATGGGTATGTCTCGGAGTTCAAGGTCAAGGTGAGATTGATCCTTGGCTAAAATGACCAGGTTCCGGTAAGGCGATTGTGCTTCAGAGTCCTCGACCTGTGTCGGAGAGTGCACAACCAAAGAACGCAGCCAGAGTACAAAGATATAAAGCGCGCCGTATAATAGCTGAAGACGGCACCATGCGAATGAGTAGACCGCACGCGCAGCGACTGAGGAATGAAATGAGCGCTGGATGTCCCATGCAATAATGGCTAGGAACGTCACCTCCCGGTACTTCACGCCACGCCAATGTCCTCAGCCGCTGGAAATACCTCAAGGCTGGTTTGACCATTGGGCGTAAAGCTCCTGCATGTTAATTCAGGAAATGACCACCATACTTGACAAAGAGCTTACTTTCGAACAACATGCGCAATATTGTTGATATCGGGGTCTGAAATGGACAGGAGGGAGATAGCAAAGCTGCCATCAAAGTCAGGGAATAGAACAAAAATCCGAAGACCGTGGTTGCAATGATAACCCATGCGATGCTGTGCTGCTCGTACCACATATTGGCGCTCAGGGCGATCCCAAAGAGAAGGAGGGAGAGCTGAAGTAAGACGGGAAATGATTGCAGGACAGCATCAAAATGCCATGTGATGATGCCGTCGAACTTCTCTTGTCTGCGCTTCCCTCGTTCCTCTGGTGACCCGCGACCATATCGGCTTGCCTTGTAGTATCCGAGCGACTGCTTTCCTAGCACGGCACCGAATGCAGCGAGCAAGCTCATGCACAAGCTTGCATATGCGATCGCTTGGATCCTTACAGTCGACGTGGGCGGCGACCACGCAGATGGTGGTGCTGCGGGTTCTACACCCGCTGCAGCAATGTTGCCGAGCCCGATTTGCATGAGCTGCGTGAGAAGGGCATTTGTGGTGTCGCTGGGGTCGTAACTGAGGCTAGACTCCATTGCTACGATAAAAGACGTGCTAACAGCGGAGAAAAGACCAGACTGATCGAACATCAATAATAATAAAATGAGCATGCGATTCAGAAACATACGAAGATCAAAACAATGTCCATATCAGTGGAGTATCGCTCAAGAAAGTCGCCGTCGTGTTCCTCCGCGACTTTTCTGTATACTGTCCAAAAACGAGAGCGGACGTCCTTGCCAGCCTTGGAGGCAATGTTCGAATCCTGGAGAACATCCAATACTTGATTCATGATGTTCTTTCTGCAGGTATGTCGTCAATGCGGATCAATTAGTCTATTTATTTTCGCTTACAAGTCACTTAGATCTGACTGTTGGACTACAACACCTGCTGCCTCGCTGAGATAATCCGTGAGATTGATTGAAAATGAGCGCTGAGTGGAACTTACGGAGGTAAGTCATTGGGCAAATCATTGAAAGCACCGTTCTGGTGAGGTTTTGATGGCTGGGAACAGTGGGAAGGTGCGTTCGAGCTGTAGTTCTGATCAGTGAGACGCAGAAGCATCAAGACGAAAACACTCACATCCCTGATGGCAGCTTCACTATTGAAGGTCCACTCATTTCTTTCTCGCTATCTTGCTGTCAACGGAGGTATAGAATGCAGGAAGGTACAACTTACCTCCCAGTAAGTTCTACGATATGATTTTCAGGCGGAGGCTGCTCGTCTGACATAGGAAAGATGAACCTATTTGCTCCACGACAAAGGGAGTGAAAGAAAGATAAGAAGTGTCTGAGATGAGTAGACAGAGATAAGTCGTGATGGCATAACGTTGTTCAGCCAGTCCGGGCCGCTGCCAGATCTGCATAAGGCTGTGGGCGCTCGTGAGCACTCCCTGGACTTCGGAGTCCTCGTGTGGTTTGTCGCAATGATCGCTGAGCATGTGGCGCCCCGTTACAACTCAATATTCAGAGCTGAGGCTAGCAACGAGTTGGTTCATAGAAGATAGTAATGATAGTAGACGACGTAGATGGATTGGCCGCCTACTATAATTTTATGTAATATCATTAAACCGTGTGCCATGCATCGGAAGCAAATATTGTGATCGAGAAATTTAATTTCTCGACCTCCTCCTGACTCCAGAAATCATTATCAATGCTCCCTCCATCACGTCCAGCTTCTCGTCTGCCACCAATGAGTTCTTTTCTCCCTTCTCAGCCAATTTGCTAGAGCGTTCTTTCAACGTCACAGACGGCATTGAGGCTACCTCGATGCTGTCAAAGTACAGTTCCATGACCAGCCACATGTTTACAACCACTTCCTGAAGAGTGGACTGTGCGTTTTCATTTGCATTGTAAATTCGTTCCTCACCATGCTAGCATCAATCACACCCCAGGCGTCATAACACGCGTCTCCAACTCTTTCCATGGCCACCCTTTCCATATTCAGGGATTCAACACTTTCCTCCCCGTTGGCTATCGCATCGAGTGCTCCTTTGACCCCAAAAATTCCTTTTATCACAGTCACCACCCCTACCAGTACAATGCTCCAGTCCACCCGTCACGACCCTCGGCATACTACCCCAACTGTTGTCCCACCTTCTGTCTTGGATCCTGAACCCAACCCAAATATGTACGGTATGAGTCTCGACTCTCGACGGCTCCTCTATAGAGCCAACCGTCCAGAAGATCCAACAATGCTGCGACGACGCCACATACCGCTTTCTAGAAATTCTCAACAAGTACTATTACGCCACCGACGCCGTCGTCAAAGTGAGCCTGCTCCTTCTGCATTCCAACTAAGTTGTAACGCCTGTTTCACCGCACTTGTGTAAGCTGAAATAGCTCGTCTTTTCAAGGATGATCCCGACTTGCACGCCGACTTTCAGATTTTTATGCCTGAGAAGAGCCAGGGTCTTTTTGACGAAGCCGAAAAAAACTATCTTCCAGCCCCAACAGGACGTCGCAGTCGCTCAAATACGCCAATCGATGGCAAGCCTCTTTGCCGTCGCACTGATCCCCATCCACCCCTTAAGGCTACTATCCCTCAAAAAAGCAAACGCGAAGTGAACGAGTGGGACACCATCTCCACATCACCCAAAGCTCCTTCCAAAGCGACTACTTGACTCCCAAATACAGATAACTCACTGACCTATCCAAGCTCAAACAACTACCCCTCCCTCCTTCCCTCCTGCTACCAGACGACGCACTTCCTCGACTACGTCAAGCACATGCTGGGGAACCGAGAAATCTACAACGAGTTTTTCAAGCTCGTCAATCTCTTCACCTAGGAGCTTATCGATACTGCACGCCTCGTCCGCGAAGCACGGAATATCCTTGGAGATGTGGAGTTGATGCGCCAGATTAGGGAGATTCTTGGTTGGCGAGGGAGGGAGCGGTGGGGTTGAAGGAGATTCAGCGACGTCCGTTTCTTCGCAAGTGCGTAACCATTTTTCTGCAACTCTCCTCTCCCCATATAAAAGGAGACACACTGACTGTTCTTCCACCAGGAACGTACCTGCACCAGCCACTGCTAGTACTCCAGCGGTGCTTGCGCATAGTGCGCTCGAAATGAAAGTGTGCGTCTGGACTTACCGTTTGTTTTTCGTTTCGGGTACCAAGGACTTTTTGAAGTGGATATACAGCAGGAAACTGGACCCCATCGAAATCTTACCTTATTGGTACGCTTACATCAAACTGCCTTGTTATCCTTGCTAACAGGCCTACCACAGGTCGGTGTTGTATAGCCTAGAACAAGGGGGTGATGGGCTCACCGACAAGGGGCAAGACGTATGATCCATACGGTAATTATTTTTTCCAGGTAAACTACGTGCTATGTTGTACAAGACACATGTAACTTACATAACCCTGGTGTCTGATTATATTAATTGACATGGTTTTTCGTACGACCGTACCCATATTTTCGTCTTCCTTCTGCAGAATCCGGACCTGGGATATGCAAACACCGTGATAATGAGGAGACTAATAAAATGTTTCTCGGCGAATAACTATTGACTGAACTTCTGAGCAAGCATGTCGCGGACTACAGTCACCAACCCCTTCACATCATCAATGCACTCTAACGCTCGCTCCTCTGCTATGCTGGAAACACGATCCACATCTTCCGAAAGCCGCTGAAGATCAGGTGTATAAGCGATGTGCATATACTTCTTTGTGCCTTCCACGAGGACAGGAAGCAACTCCTCCGCGTCCTTGACCTCTCCATACCGGTAGATCTCCGTCCATGCACGTCTGATCATACCCCACCACTGCTCCTCTGTGATAGACTCGAGCAATAACATCGGTACCTGTTCAGGTGTGGTTCGGAGGAGGACACCAACTATGTTGTAGATCTGGCGTCTGGGGGATAATTGGCAGCACTCTGCAATTATGCTAGTGCACCGATCTATATGGTGATCCGCAAACAAATGCGGGTGCCAGATGGGATTCCTCACGAGGGCAAAGACTAGTCTGAGATAGAACAAGTCGCGCTCATCGTTGAATAAGCAGTCAGGACCATCATCAGGTGTTGCGCCCGGTCGCGGACAAACCGCGGACATGATAGCAGGAGAGAATTTGGTCAAAACAGTGTCTGCGTCATCATCAACAGCATCGATCGAGGTCAAAATTTCCCGGAAATGGTGAGCAGTGCGAAGGGCAAGGTGACGTAAACGGTAAGGCATGCTGCTGCCCATACAGGCAATGAGCGTCTCGATGAAAAGATGTTGTTTAGCGGGGCTGCGGTTCACGCTCATACTGCTCATCAGTACAAGGATGTCGCATGCCGTATCGTGGTCGTTGGAATGAACGGCGTTGAGGTAGTCCACTAGCCAGTCGAAGTTTTCTTCTTCTAGCGAGTGCGAACCATATCTCAACTGAACACGATGATACCACACCCCGACATGGCTGTCTAAGCTCCATCCGCCAGTCTCGAAAACGTCGAACCTGAAGCGCTGCACCCTTTGCCACGTTACCGTATCATTTTGTTCGGATGACCTCGCCCGAGAATAAATCTTCCAGTACAAGTCCAGGTTCCACATCACCTGCGATGAATCCGACTCAAGTAGGCGGAGCTGGAGAATGTGACAGATGACGTTCCGTACTCGGTGTAGAACTCCTATCCTGTCTAGAGAGCCCCACAGAATTATCTGGAACTGCTTTCGCAGAGCCCGCACGAGTTCATTTAGAGCAGAACTACACAATCTCTTCGTTAGACATAGCAGATGGACCACTATATGAGTCAAACAGCACCTTTTATCAATCCGAACCATGTCCTTCTTGTCAAACTGAACCCCGACCATAACACAAGCAAGAAGAGTGCAGTTGGCTATGATTCGAGTTGGCGGAGGGGACGAAGGGGATAGCAGTCTTGATATTACTTCTATGGCGAGTCTTTCTACATCTTCGTCCACTCGTCCAGCAACAAAGTGGTAAGGAAGAATGTGTGAAAGCCACTCGAGGGCAGAGTCGTCAAATTTGATTAGGGGCAGGTCATGATAGAAAATCTTGTCCGAAAGTCTGGCGGTCAGGGCAAGCACGTTGTCTTGAGCTTTGCACCTCTTAGACATCTGGTAAAACAGTTCAAAGTCTGTCCGCCGAGAGCGTGATATCTCATTGTCAAGAAAGCCATCGCCAGTATATGCCTGGAGAGCACGTCCGAAATACAGATGACTCAGAGCCATTGTACATAGTGACGCCTTCTCCTCCAACGACGGGACAATGCGCGACTGCACATCCACACAGCTTTCGTAAATATCATACAGCTGATGCAACATGTCTGAGACGTCAAGATCCAGGGGCCATTCGACCTGCGGTACCAGGCGAGCAGCGGCGAAAAATACTTCAGGATCTGTAGATGTCTCGAGCAGCCACTTGATGCTAGGTGCTTCGAGATCGTTGGTGGATATTAATCGGAGTTCAAGGTCAAGGTGAGATTGATCCTTGGCTATAACCAGGGTCTGGTCAGGCGATTGTGCTTCAGAGTCCTCGACCTGTGCCGGAGAGTGCACAACCAAAGAACGCAGCCGGAGCACAAAGCTATGAAGCACGCCGAATAATAGCTGAAGATGGCACCATGCGAATGAGCAGACCGCACGCACAGCGACTGAGGAATGAAATGAGCGCTGGATGTCCTATGCAATAATAGCTAGGAATGTCACCTTCCAGTACTTCATACGATAGCATCCAAATGACTCTGATGATCCAGAGCAGCATATGCAGCACATGCAGCACACCTAAATATAACATGAAATGATCAAAGTCTGTACATACGTAAGAACACTTAACTCACTGTGCACAGACGTCATCAGCCGCTGGAAATACCTCAAGGCTGGTTTGACTATCGGGCGTAAAGTTCCTGTATGTTCATTTAGATTGATAATGACCACCATAGTTCACAACGAGCTTACTGTCAACGTGCAATATGCACAATATTGTTGATATCGGGGTCTGAAATGGACAGGAGGGAGATACCAAAGCTGCCATCAAAGTGAGGGAATAGAACAAAAATCCGAAGACCGTGGTTGCAATGATAACCCAGGCAATGCTGTGCTGCTCGTACCACATATTGGCGCTCAGGGCGATCCCAAAGAGAAGGAGGGAGAGCTGAAGTAAGACGGGAAATGATTGCAAGACAGCATCAAAATACCATGTGATGATGCCGTCGAACTTCTCTTGTCTGCGCTTCCCTCGTTCCTCTGGCGACCCGCGACCATATCGGCTTGCCTTGTAGTATCCGAGCCACTGCTTTCCTAGCACGGCCCCGAATGCAGCGAGCAAGCTCATGCACAAGCTTGCGTATGCGATCCCTTGGATCCTTACAGTCGATGTGGGCGGCGACCACACAGATGGTGGTGCTGCGGGCTCTACACCCGCTGCAGCAAGGTTGCCGAGCCCGATTTGCACGAGCTGCGTGAGAAGGGCATTTGTGGTGTCGCTGGGGTCGTAACTGAGGCTAGACTCCATTGCTACGATAAAAGACGTGCTAACAGCGGAGAAGAGACCGGACTGATCGAACATCAATAATGATAAAATGAGCATGCAATTCGGAAACATACGAAGATCAGAACAATGTCCATATCAATGGTGTATCGCTCAAGGAAGTCGCTGTCGTGTTCCTCCGCGACTTTTCTGTATACTGTCCAAAAACGAGAGCGGAGGTCCTTTCCACTCTTGGAGGCAATGGTAGAATCCTGGAGAACATCCAATACTTGATTCATAATGTTCTTTCTGTAGGTATGTCGTCAATGCGAATCAATTGGTTTGTTTATTTTCGCTCACAAGTCACTTAGATCTGACTGTTGGACTACGACTCCTGCCGCCTCGCTGGGACAATCTGTGAGATTGTTTGACATGATCGCCGAGTAGAACTTACTGAGGTAAATCGTTGGGCGAATCATTGTTAGTATCGTTCTGGTGAGGTTTTGATGGCCGGGAAGGGGCATCCGAGCTGTAGGTCTGCATCAGGGAGACGCAGAAGCATCGAGACGAACACACTCACATCCCCGACGGCTGCTTCGCCGTTGAAGGACCACTCATGTCTTTCTCGCTGTCTTATTGTCAACAGAGGTATAGAATGAAGAAAGGCACAACTTACCCCCCAGTGAGTTCTACGATTTGACTTTCAGGTGGAGGCTGCTCGTCGCTATGTGGGGTTTCATCCTGACCGCCGTCGGCACCACTCGCTGTCGATGGTCTTCGGAAATTTATTGAAGTGTTTGATGCTCTTGACATGGGGGATATGTGCCTATTTACTCGACAACAAGGCTAGTGGGGTGAAAGAAAGAATCTGCATGAGGCTGAGGTGCGCTTGCTCAAGTACTGCCAGTGGACTTCGGAAATGAACAGCCTCGTGTGGTTTGCGTTCATGCTGATATCACTGGATTGAAAACCGGCGAGCGAGATGGGCGATATCTATTTGTGCTTTTAGTTATTTAGTTGAGACGAGAGTAAAATAGGCTACGCAGCCTGCCAGTGCACTCAAGCGGCCGGGGAGAAAAGCTGTGACACCTCGCTTCTCGATGGTGAGGTTTACGATGACAATCTACCGTACACAAAGCACATGTACGACAGTGCTAGGACACTGTGGGGACTATTAATGCAGACGGACAAAACTTTTTGCATGGAGAAAGAAGTCTTCTCTAAGCGCAGGGTTGCTGAATGCTAAACTTGGATCACCTCAGTATCGACAATCACTGCGGAAACGAGAAAATGCCTGTACCCTATCTGTACGTGGTTAGGCCGTCTGCCTGGACACGATCCGTACCTAGTAGTCTATCTGCACGCAAACCAGACGTGAGGAATTTGGACGTTGTAAATGTCAGACTTTGGAGAAAACCGGACAAACAGATAGAAGATATATGATGTAAACATACCCAAACCATACTCTAGATACGAGCACCCACCACCAAACCATACATGTCCAAGCAGCATTCTAAACCAGACACCAACCAGGGTACAGACATGTTCAAACGGTGTATCTAGACGTTGGGACAGTCCAAGAGTCAAATCACGCCAAAAAAATCGCTAAGTCCTTTCTTCTAGTTACTCCACATCATGCTCATGTTTGAAGATAACATCATATGCCTCAAATTACCTCTCAAGTACCCGGAAACGATACGTGCCACGTTTATTACAGACGTACCCGGCCCCTTGGTATGTTTTTATTCTACTTACTGTCAAAAATTTGGTGTCTCATGATGTTACTAGACACCATCATCGCGTCGATGTTTTGCATCAACTCGTTGAGCGTATTCTCGTGTTGGTGAGCATGTTCCTCAGTTGTTTGCTGGTTTGCGATAATGATTTGGACTCACACTCATCCTATTTTGCTACCTCTCGTCTCTACTAAAGGTACTTTCATACTCTTGCGCTCTTGTCTTCTGTGCGCTCATGGCCAGTTCAGATAATAGAAATGCCTGATGCTACCGCTACCGCTTCTACTATTCCTTCTTCCGCCTCTCCCGCCCTATTTGTCGCTAACAAAGCTACCCATGATGCAGCCGCATGCCAGGGCGCATCACGCAGTTCTCCAACGCAGCCAACAACCCCACAAACCAGTTTTATCGAGGGGCAGCGGGGTAGGAGGATCAGCCATAGATTTCGTTGTTGCTATCTGTATCCTATCTAGACTCAATTTATACTATATCCACACGCTATCCATACCTGAGGACATATACACTTGACTGCTATCCATACGCAATTTCGAGTATGGTTTGTTTGACGAGCTTAAATCTAGACGATAGATATCATAACTAACTGGAGTATGGTTAGGGTCCAAAAATCGCGTCAATCCATAAGCTTTTTGGACTTAGGCAGATGTACTTGCTCGTATCCAGTTTTGGTATGATTAGTTCTTCTATCTGTACTCTATCTAGATACAGGCATTTTCTCGTTTCCGCAGTGAATGTCTTCCAGATTTCTGCCAGGTATGCTGGTCACCCCGACGGCAACTTCATCGTCGAAGGCCCACTCATTTCCTTCTCGCTGTCTTGATGTCAACAGAGGTATAAAATCCAAAAAGTAGTACAACTTACCCCCAGGTGGGTCCTACCATATGATTTGAGGCGGGCATTTCTGCATGACATCATGCTGAGGGCGGCCGCGCTTCGCAAATGGTTAACGAACGTCTCGGCCTCACTGTACCACCGCTTTGGTTTCCAAATTAGGCAACATGATGTGCATTCAATTTCATTTTATTTTTACAAAGTGACCCAAACACTCAAGTCACCGTGCACCGGTGACCACCCCTACCGGAACAAGGCAAGTATCATAACACCATTGACGCCGTCAACGAAGTGAGCGCACTCCAACTCAGCCCTAATGCGTGTTTTTTTAGCGCGAAGTGTGAGCTGAAATTGCCCGCCTTTTCGAAATGATCCCGATTTGCGCTCCGACTCTAGGATTTTCATTGGGGATGGGCAACGCCCGTAAACAAAGTGTGACATTATGTAAGCACGATGCTACAGAACACGATGGCAAATATCAAGAATGTATCAAGAATATGACTAGCGCACGCCAATAACAACTCCACGCGCGAAGAAATTATAATATCAGCTGTATAATGTAACGTCGAACAACTTGGCAAGAAAATTAACCATCATTCATCCTCAGCTTCGTCCTCCCCATCCCCTAGTTCCAGCAAGTGGGATGTAACAGCATTGTTGTCAAGCGCTTGCGGCTGCGAAGACGTTGGATGTCCACCGGGGGTTGCCTCACCACTCAAATACCGTCCGACGGCCTCCAGCAGCACTTCCACCTTCTTCTGTTTCGTGGTTGGTATGTGTTTGGCTGCCGGTACTGCAGGGTCAAATCGACGATGCCAACGAATTTGCAGGTCGATCTCTGGGGTGCGAAGCTTTGTGATATCTTCAAGTGTGAGACGTGGGATGACCGCATCAAGTTTTGCTCCTGCAGCATCACGGCGTGCTCGTTTCTTGAAATCTTGCTCCCGGTGCTGCCGCACCACCTCTTTATCATACTCGACCTGCGCGAACCGCCGTTTACGCTCCTCGCCACTCTCGTCCCTTTCACGAGCCTTTTTGCGGAGTTTCTGGCGTGAACTAACGTCCAGAACATTTTCAATGTACGTGTTCGTTTGATTCTTCTTGTACATGAAACGAGAATTGAAATGTGATAATGACATGTGCGGGGCACGGCGGAGGGATGTGCGGATAGTACCAAGGGCACCCTCATTGTCATCATTGGTAGTTTTCATGTGAGCCATCTGTCGTTGGGAAGGGGATGACTTATCAATTGCTCCGCCAGCTGCGAACTCGGCAGAAAATCGAATCCACGTGTCGAGAGCCCCCTGGAAAAAGGCAACGAGGAGTTGAGGGAAGTGAGGATATGTTTTGCGATCCAGTGCAAGACGTTGAATAGCATAAAATGCTTCAGGCCGCTCGAAAGGCTTGCCGTCGAGTGTCAATGTCTCGTAAGTAGCGTCGGGTGCCAGAATTAGATTAATATCATTGACGATGTGATTAAGGTGCGAGATGACCTTCATGTGAATTGGTCCAAGGTCTAGGATGTTGGCTGTCGAGTTCCGAATTGTACGCAGGTACGGGTGGGTAATACATTGATTATATGTTGCCCAAGACATCATCTCCTGCTTGGTTTTGAGGCATGTGAATCCCCGGTAGACATTGTACTCGATATTGGTGGATGTGCGGCTTTCTTTTTTCAGGGGGACGAGTTCGAGGAATGTGAGGTAAAGTGTGTCGTTTACGAGATACTCACAAGCAGCATCACCGTGGCTATGATACCGTGTGTTGCTTGTGTCTGGCCATTGGATTCTGTAGCCAAGTTCAACCTCGAAATAATAGCGCAGTGAATCCTGTTGTCCCTTCTTGTCGTCTTTGTGCCGGAAGACTGCACCCGCAAGTTCCAGGACTTTTTGTGCACCTCCTGTCGAAACCTGGATAGCACGTTGTTTGGCAGTTGACGAGCCTGCAGAAGATGCTGCAACGTTGTCCTTGTTCATCAATAAAACCGGACCCTCGACACTATTGTCTATCCACCAGGCACGCATACGAGAATTTCCCCCTTTGGCAGCGTTAAGTTCTTTGTGCATGCAACAGCCAGCCCACACGAAGAAGTCGATGTCATCCTTTTCGGACTGTGGAAGTGAATCAAATTGCTCCTGTCCAAGTTGTGCGAGCAGGTTGTGATGCGCATTGGAGTAGCACCTCTGTTGTTCATCAACGCCAAGCCTATCCCACCCATCTATCCCACCCGCTTCATTTACGAGGGATTCTGTCATTTCCCAAAGGAGGTGTATGACATCATCTGGAGGTAAGGTGGCAAGGGCCCTCTCCCCTCGAACTTCTCGCTCACACGATCGTTTCCATTCAGTAAAGAGCCGAACGAGCTTTTTCTGATCTTCCGCATGATCGGTAAGCATCCCCTTCACTTTGGAAGGGAAGTCGCGGACATCCAGAGCGCCTGCTGTACCCCCAACGACATCATTGTAGGTGTCATACATGTCCTCGATACGTGACTTCCACCCCTGAAGCTGTGTTTCACTCTTGTGGTTCACCTCGTGCAGGATACCAGCGAACCGAGTTGCAGCATGACCATCTGGCAACGAGTAAGTGACGTGATGGCTCTGATAATTGATGTTTTTATGTGAGGTTGCATCTCCACTCAAAGTTACTCCTGTTTAGCAATTTTCAGATACAATTGTTCTCTCCGAATCATGGTAAGCCTCTATACCTTTTGCAATGTTCATCTCGTCAACAAGTTGAGCCTCGGCAGCCACTCCTCCCTCAGCCACTATTCGACGGATGCTGTGTCCACTAACAGAACCAGTGATCTCAACACCGAGTGCCTCCGCCACGGCATTAATGGTGGCATTAACACTCCGTATAGGTACATCTAGGGTGGCAACCATATTGCGCACCATGGCACGGGAAGTGTCTGTGAAGATGCCTTTCTCCTTTAGTGCGAAGGAGCTTGTAGTGGCCTCGGTGCTGTGAATGCGTGTCTTCTCGATGGCGTGATGCTTTGCTGCAGATGCACGTGCTGCACGCATAGTCAGTGCACGGTTCCGTTTCGTGAGTATCTCGTTACGACTCTTGAGGCAATTGACACGTTGTAGAGTGTCCGCGAGCTGCGCTTCGGCCACCTGAGCTCCTGCCACAATATCGGAGCTCGAAGCTTGCAGAGAGTGCAGCTGCTCCTGAAGACATGCAGCAGCATTGTCCTTTCGCGAGGCCCGCTTGCGCTCGCTGCGGTAACGCTTCTCGTATGTCTTGGTCTTCTCACGTTGTGTGTCGAGCTCAATTTGCAGGTGCGCCACGATTGCAGGACTTGGACTACTGTCCCTTGCACTGCAGATCTCGGCAGGAGGACTATTCTCCTTTTCGACAGTTGTTCTAGAGTTTAAGCGTGTAAGATGAGCCTTTTGTGTTGGAGAACGCCGTTTGACTGGGTTATAGCGGTCCCTTTTGACGTATCGGGGCCGCATTGGACAGTTAATCCTTTTCTTGACGCATCGAAACGCGTCGCGTCGCGTCATTTTGCGCTGAGTCAGCATGCTCATTACTGTGCTCAAAGATCGACTGGTTCCCAGCAATGCGACCCCTCGTGTCACTTGAAAAATCCGGTGAAATGTATTCTTTTTACTCCATCCTTGTATTCTATGAAAAAAAACTAAAAAAAACGGTGCACTTCATGCCATTGTAGTGAGTAATCCTCCCAAGGCCAGCACCATTTACACTTTTTTCTCATAGAATACCTAAGTCTCGTTAATTCACACATGTTTCTCCATACAAACTTTCTGTCAGATTGTTGTGGTAGTATAGTGTCAGTCGATCTTTTTATTGGACACTTGTTTCGACTCTATGCACTGCAAAGCAAATCACGGGCGGAGTTTAAAACTGACCGAGCGCTGCCCATCCCCATTTTCATGGCTGAGAAGAGCCAGGGTCTTTTCGACGAAGCCAAAGAAGGATAACTTCCAGCCCCAACAGGACGCGACTCGCACTCGGTCAAATACACCACTCGATGGCAAGCCTCTTCGCCGTCGCATCGATCTTCAACATCTCCTCAGGCTAGAGACCATCAAAAACGCAAACGCAAAGTGAACGAGCAGGACACCATCTCCGCAGCACCCAGAGCTCCCTCAAGGTGACTATTTGACTCTCAAACGACAGATGGCTCGCCGATCTATCCAAGCTCAAACAGCCGCCCTTCCCTCCTACCAACCACCAAACGATATACACTTCTTCAATCGCGTCAAGCGCACGTTGGGGAACCGAGAAACCTACAATGAGTTTCTCAAGCTCGTAAATCTTTTCCACATAGGAGCTTATCGATCCTGCACGCCTCGTCGCGAAGCACGCAATTTCCTTGGTGATGGGAAGTATCTTTAACAAGACTCGTTTGCCTCATTTTGCGGCATGAGGAGAAAAAAGTTTTTTGAAGTCTTAGTCAATTCTAAAATGGAACCCGAGCACCGCTAGCATATGGAAAGGGTTCAGAGTCCCATTTAGGACGGGTTTAGCGTTAACGGTGCGTGCTCGGGTCCCAAACGACATTTTAGAATTGAGCAACCCTCAGCTGCAGCGCTTACTACTTGAGGGGGGTCGGTTCTGTCAGTCCTAGATCCAAGTCCCTTTCATTCCCGAGCCTCTCCTTGACACGAGTACCACTCCGCCCATAGCGCTGAAACCTCACATAGTCCGCCAGGATTGCAGTCGCCCCGCAATATGGCCATGTTGGGTCTGCCAACGCAGTCTTGGTCAGACTGGCACCGGTGTGTTAGGTGTGTTCTTGCATCTTTGCCTCGAGGCAACCCGTCTGCCATCACTGTTTGGCGCTAGATTTCTAGACTGTGCCCTGACCTTGAGGCATGTGCACGTTTTCAATGATGTGGATTCAATGTCGATTACCATTCACGATTGTGAATTGCTTGTGGTATGTGCAACTACATGTATCAGACTAGTACGGACGTGTACTTTACTTCATACCATATGCCTCGTGTCCAAAAGCCATTCTGATGCTTGTATACATATTGTCCGGCCTAGGCATCCCTCGGTTCTGAGACTGACGATGGAGATCCGGTAGTTGCAATTGCGACTTTTTTCAGAATAACGTATTGTTTATTCCTTGACTTCCCAGTCATATCTACCTTCGGCACCATCTGGTCCCTCTCGTCATTCCCAGCGTCCCGACTTCCCATACATTCTCGTCTCGTCACTTATGGAACATTTGCAGCGCCCTTCGACACCGTCCGAGTCAGTCCGACAGCAACCAAGTACATTGTTGCGCTACAACAACGTCCGTCCAAAGCGCCGTTTTTTCGTGCGTTGCTCAAGACCAAAACCCGTAACAGTCTCTCCTGAAAGATCGACAAGGGTGAGCAGTGTAAGTATCAGGTCGTCCCTCATTTTGCTGTATGTATCATCCAATCTCCAGACGTACTGCTCCCTCTGAACATTAAAGCTCAGGTTGGTCGGTCATCGTCAGCGATAGCTCGGCCGCTCGATGCACGGCCTTCTCAAACACAGTCGGCAACACAACAACCTGCGCAGGAAGGACTGTTGGGGCAATTTGTGCTTCGCACTCAGTCCCTGGTGCATTCCACGTGCCACCTCGTCGTGCTGTCTCCGATGCTCAGTCTGACATCACTCTACCAATCGTTTGTTGTCACTTCGTCAGCTGTATATCTATCTACGTGCAACTGCTCATACTTTGCATTGGTCCTGGCCTGTTTCCGGATACGTGTTCCTAATACCTGACTGACCAAGGCGTATCAGTGGTTTATGAAGACATGGGCAGAGGAGTTCCCTTTTGATCTGGGTCCTGATACTGCAATGGTAAGTGTGAAGGATCAGACGCCTGCTCCCGTGAGAGTGGTTTATTGAGTTGGCGCTGGGTGCGACGCAAGCGCTGTGTGTTAATTATGGTTACCCTACCTTGCTATTGATTTTGTGAGCTACGCACGAGTGATTTCAAATAATTATAAACTATGGCGCTGGATCTGTTCAACTATTCTTACACACAACATGCACACATACACAAAGGATTTACATAACACAGAGTCGCGTACCGTTGCCGAGATGTATCAGGATGCTTTGGGATTAGCGTGACTTCCCGTTTTGGTAACACCGCACGACGACAAAATCGAGCTCGCTGTTGAGGACAGCGAGCTCAAATAGTTGCCCAATCCTTCACCCTTTTCACTGGTTCTTTTGAGGGAAAAAAAATCAACTGTAGCTAGTTAACTATGCTTACTTTTGGACAATACAACCCTCCTTCCCCACCTCCTCCTCCCCCCACCCTGACCGCTTTTCTGGTATTTTCTGGACTCTAATTGAATACTTCTGGCTTTGTAGAAGTTATAATATATTTATACAATGAATACATCATTAATTGAGCCCATAATAAGCCCCTCAGAGCGCCCAGTATAAATACATGACAGGAATGGGTGAATATTGTAAGTTTGGAAGATATATGGTCAAAATAGCATATTTAACTAGCTACAGTTGATTTTTTTTCCCCTCAAAAGAACCAGTGAAAAGGGTGAAGGATTGGGCAACTATTTGAGCTCGCTGTCCTCAACAGCGAGCTCGATTTTGTCGTCGTGCGGTGTTACCAAAACGGGAAGTCACGCTAATCCCAAAGCATCCTGATACATCTCGGCAACGGTACGCGACTCTGTGTTATGTAAATCCTTTGTGTATGTGTGCATATTGTGTGTAAGAATAGTTGAACAGATCCAGCGCCATAATAAACGACATTTGCAGTATTGAGTCAAGTAGTGCTGTATTATCACATATATACATGCATCACAACCAAGGGGTATTTTCTTTCCAGTAAGGTACAACCAAGTTGTCACCTCAGATTCGACGTTCAGTAATCAATGTCTTCCATATGTCCGCCAGGTATGTCTGGTCATATTACAATTCAGTGAGAGCGAGATGTTCGATGCACAAACGTACCTCATCGTTCGTGTCCCTCAGACTCGGCCTTTCCAGCATGGCCTGGGCGTATGTCATAAATTTGGCATACTTGGGCACTTTCAACTCTTCCCCAAGTTTGGTACCCTGCCCAACGGGGAATGCTCCGATGTCAGTTTCGTAGGTGATTTTCAACCTCGAAAGGAGCGGCCCAATGCACGCGTCGGCGATGGTATAACGATCTCCCACAGCGAACCCACCACTCTCGGACAAAAGCCCTTGAATCATTTCGACCCCATTCAGATACCCCTCATAGGAATCTGCGCGACCATACATCCATTCGTTACCTGGTTTATCAAAGTGACGGTCAACTGTGTCCATGAAGAACAGCACTTTAGCGCGCTCGACGGGGTCTTTTGGGAGTAGCCCCGACTCTGGGTAGAGCTCTGCGACAAATTGGAGAATCACGTTGGATTCTGCGAGTTTGAACGATAGTGGGGAAGGGTCACTGGGGTCGACATCTGGACCACCGTAGGTGATCGCGGGTACCTGATCACAACGATCAGAATGAGAATCAAACTGCGGAATCAGTGCGGACCTTGCCAATGGGGTTGACCTTGGAAGCGAACCATTCGGGTTTATTGAAGAGGTCAACTTGGTGAGCCTTGTACTTGATGTTCGCTTCCGCAAGCGCCAACTCAATCTACAAGCAACATCAATGGCGATCACCAGATCTTGAAGCACACACTGACTCTGTGGCTGTAAGGAGAAATCTGGATTATCACGAGTCCATTAGTGGAATTCTAGGAGGACGTAGTCATCACTTCACCTTATGTAAGTACAGAGTCAGTTGCTCAGGCATGTCGAGTTCGCTTGCGGGGTTTCTTTAACTGACTTGCCTGCACTTCAGCTTTTATAGCCAGTTAAATTTGGTCGTGTTTAGGACGCGTTCCTATCAAGGTTCCAAGACGCGTCCTTCCGCGTGACCCGCGTGGCCCTGACTTTTTGTAATCAACACAGCATGTCGCGGTGATTATAGCCCCTATTAAACGATGCCATGACTGCGTATCGAGGCAGACAACCCTTTGACTCATTAGCGTAGCAACAGGCACGATCACCCCTATCGACCGCGGCTTGTAAGTTTGTGTCATGAATTCAGATCAGTGACTCACAGGTCATATCTGTAACCCCAAAGTGTGTTCCAAGACTAGTAAGGTTTCGAGGTGAGACCACTAATCTCTCATAAGCTGCAGATTACAGCGCTTGTAGACAAGTGCAGATATCAGAATGGTGGGAATATATAAGCGTATCCTCGTTGTCCGCACGCCAAGAGGGGAACTGATTGACATTGATACTCACTCGTGATTGATTGATCGCAATGCACTTCATATAAGTAAACGGATCCTATGTCCAACAGAGCACAGGCCGGTATAGGCTTGTCAGTGCTGAAGATGAGCGCTGAGCAACGACTTGGTTCATAGAAGATATAGACGACGTACATGCATTAGTACTGTAATTTTGGTGTGCCATAGAATATCATCCAGCACCATCGGAAGCAATGATCGAAACGGAATGTGCGGGAAAATTAATCTCTCATGCTGCCGCTGCAACTACGTCCGCCGATGGCTCAGTTAGAGTAAGCTTCTCAAGAGCATCCTCGAACTGGTCGGCATCGCTATCGCTATCTTCATCTTCCTCCTCATTTTCTTTACTTTCCTCCGACGCAGACCCCTCATCATCTGGAGGTTCGTCCTCAAAATCAAGCTGTCGCTCTTGTCAGCACATCTTCCTGAAGAAGAGCTACATGACGTACTGGATCATAGACAACTCTAATGATTAGGCTGCAGCTCGGACACGTCGCGATATCCTCGCAGTCTGAAAGCTGCTTGCGAGAGATTTCGAAGCGATCACCGCAGGGACAGGGATAGTGGTAGACGCCTTTTACCTCATCCCACGCCATATCTTCAATTTCAATCTCGTCGTAATAAGCCCCCATAATGTGATATAAGGGCTCGTTGCTGATAGCTGCTGGCCTACTGACGGTCTGACTTGCGTCCTTGACTCCGTTCAACGTTATGCACAAGCTGTGCGTCCGCAAAGTTCTGATCCGATCCGTTGGCCCCAACACAACAGTCAGTCTTCTTGGTCCGGTGAATTGACGAGTCCCGTTTAGCTCAGTTGGTAGAGCGCGTCACTAGTAATGACGAGGTCAGTCGTTCAAGTCGGCTAATGGGAAGCATTTTTTATTCCCACACAGCTACCGGGGATCTTTTTGAACCGACAATACCCGGGCCATTATGTAATTCAAGATGCATAGGCCATCAGAGGCTTTCCTGGTAGCTAGTCTCATAGCTGACGTGAATACATATACAACTGGTATGTAGTTAGGGTGTTCATTACCCCGGACATACTGAGTGGGCCGAGGATGCATAATGGAGTGGGTGTGGTGCGTTTTGGTTTTTGAGTTTGACATAGTTGTACTCACCTTTTCCCTTGCATTTCCATGTCACTACAGCCTGTATAGAGTGTGGCGGTGAGCATGAACCAAGGACTTGGAGTAGGCAAGGGCACATTGAGGAGTGTGAGGCTTGAGTACTGAGTTGGAGGTGTCGCAGAGGGATCGATTGACATCCGGGCCCGGTGAGAGATCTAGAAGTGAGTTATAGTTTGCTGTGTTTGGATTTCAACAGCTTTCCACTGAGTAGCACTGAGGTGCCGCGGCAGATCCAAAATCATCACTTTGATCGTGCCTTGCAGGCAGTTGCTTCTACTTGTGACTTCAAGTTTCTGTACTTGATTCCATACGATAATACTTACTACAGTCAGTCAAGGGAACAACCACGCATCCGCCTATTTCGGCGGTACGGCGGCCCTCACAAGCGCTGGATGGCGGTATAACTATCACTAATGTCATCGTTGTACTCCACTGGGTTCATTTCTCTCTGACGCAAATCCCCTTGAGCATGAACCGAGTCTCAAATAATCCCAGAGAGTGGCCGGACATCGATACGTATCAGGTTGTCGGCTATGTTGTAGGTTAGTGAAGAACAACCTTCAATGATGGCGGGCGTTTGACTCTATCTCTGACTGCGGTTATGCAGTGGCATCCTCGACTGCAATGATATATGATTGGGGTGAGCAGCACAGTGCCTATCAAAGCAATTATTGATGCCACCTTGTAATTGATTTAGCACTGACATTCGAACAAGAGGTATGTTAACGCCGTTGATGCCGTTAACAGAGAAGCCATCTCACTACTAAGACTGGATTTATAGGTTGATTTGGTCTGGGTGAGCAGAATATCTTATCATACTACCAACAAAACGAGACAACTAACAATTTCGGGGCAGAGGCGACGCCGGTCTGTCATGGCCGCTCTATGTCTCATTGTATGTAGCCTATGTGATGTGCGGCGGCGCACTTGGCAAGTTGTACATACTGACTTCAAAATATTATAGGTGCGCTACGTTGGAATACTATACGCTTTGTATGTTTACAAGGCTAATAAGTTGGTACTGTGCTAATGAGCCATCTCTCACCATCAGTAGCAACATACTACGCATGTCACTTTACTCCGTTTTAATTTCTTCTGACCAGCAGCATGCAGCGAGCCTCCCCGGAGTTCCGATGACAGATATGGTAGGTATTCTTTACCATTGTCTGTCTCGTCCAACTGACTACACTTTCACTCAGGGGTTAGTGAGATTCCGTTTTTTTGGGGTTCAATACAACGTCTGAAATAGCTGTAAGTTTGCCCAAAGTATTTAGTCCTTAGGGGCTCTTCAATAACTGTGTTTGTCAGGTACTATCTTTTTCCTCACACAAGCGGGGACGTATTTCGTCATAAATACCATTCTCGGGAGTAAGTAACTTAACTGCGTACCTCGGTATCGACTGGACTGAAATATCATGCAAGTCATCATGATTTCTCGGTTACATGCCATGTATCAACGCTCCAGGAAGACCCTGATTTTTCTCGTCGCAACCTTCACAACTCTCACAACCACCTGTGGAATACTGGCCATATTAACAATCCGTGAACTGTCTTGGGGTATGTGTTTCAATTACCATAAACCTTCAGATATCAAGCTGATGGAACGAACAGATGAGCTCGTCATCTCCGGCACCCATCAGTGTGTTTTCGAGGTTCAGAAATACAACCAACTTGAACTTCTGATAGCTGGGGTTTGGATACTTCGCATTGTATGGGAGGTCCTTGTTCTCTGTCTTGCAGCCTGGATTGCTGTAAAGCACTTCCGTGAATTGCAGCGGCTTCCCAGAGGATGCTATACCAGGGACTGTTTCAGGGTGTTGATAAAAACTCATGTGCTTTACTTTGCAGCGTAAGCTTTCGATTTTAACGTGATTCATCATCCACTGAAGTTCTACATGTGCTAGCTTTGCTGCTGTTTCCTGTTTCAGCCTTGGCTGCCTGTCTCCTAGCATCATAGTAAGTATGCCGATCTGTGTCTGACATCCTGCGTCTGACCACTCAGTATTTGTCTTCAGGACTCATCTTCCGTGGGTGCCCAGACCTATTATGGCATACTTCAAATCACCATGTTCGTGCAGTTATTTGTGCTGGGACCGCGTCTCATCCTTAGCATTCGAGAATATCACGCCGAGTTCGTCGATGGGGAAACTGGCATGACGTCAATTGCTTTTGAGGAGCTCTCGATTTCGACTATTAGTAGTGTGTAAACGGTCGAAATGTTCGTGTACTCTGCAGGTCCCAGGGAATATGCGAACTGAATTTCGTCGTGAACAAGTAGTACCGATTTGGAGCCCAAAGTATATTTGAAAGCGATAGGTAGGCAGCCAATATGCCTACTGTACTGCTCACTGCTGGGATTTGCCAATTTTAGTGGTGCATATTCGTCGTTCATTGCAACGTTACGTACATAAAATAACACTACAAGCAAAGCTTCGATGAAAGTCATTGCGCAAATGCGGTTCAAATGTAACCCAATTTACGGGTAATATTGTAATTGAACCAGCAGCTAGGGGTAGCTCTAAAATTTTAATGAAACTCCTCAACGACTACTGAAATATAACTTTGATGCGGCTACACTTGTAATATGAACGGTTTCCATACCCACTAAAACCCCCCGACTCCCTGGACTGACCCAGTTTCTTCATGTGCGAAGCACTGCAGTGTCAAGTTGTCAACTCAACTATGATTGATTTTTGCGAACCACCTGAAATCAGTGGCGGAGTCTTAATTTCTCGACATCAAAACCACACACTCGCTTCTAGACCAAGGTGGGCAGATTCCGTCAGTAGTATGAACAAGCCTGATTGCAGCGCTAGGCTTCCTTTGAAGGTTATCAACATCCGAAATGGATGATCATGTATGTTCGGCCTTGTGCTCTGCAGAGGAGACATGCTCCTCGAAATTCGTAATTCGCGATTGTTTTCCAGACTTATGATAACCGATAGTAGGGACCCCAGCAGTCGATCAACAGCAACGATAACACATAGCAGCGCGCTATATGTACAACCAGCGACGGCTAAATGAGATGTCACATACGCGCACAAAGTCGACACGTATCAAGTCCGACTCGACGGGCATAACCTGAGGGTCCCGACGCCATGATAAAGCATATACACACAAATAATTACTGTACAGTTGCTATTGTGAATTCTCCTCACTCCAAGATGGCATCCGAAGCTGAGCATCGAACGTTTCATACAGAAAAGGCCACCCTCCAAGCGGACAAAGAGTTCTCAGATATATCAGAAGGATTCCAAGTCGCCAAGGATCGGGACGACCCTCCCTCACCTCTACATGAGTTTCCAGAAGGTGGTCTGGAAGCTTGGGCCACTGCTTTTGGAGCGTAAGGAGACTCAAACTCTTTTGCACGGGGGCTACAGGTTCTTACTCGATTTACTTAGGTTTCTTGTAATGTTTTGTGGGGGTGGGTGAGTTTGATGTTGATGTTAGCGGAAATGGCTCTGCGACTGACTCAGGTTAACAGTTATACCGCTTCATTTGGTGTCTATCAAGGTATTTCTGCAGACGAAAGCGAACATGGAACGTTCAGGATATTAATTTCCAGACTTCTATACCCAACATTACCTCACAAATGAGACCTCGTCTGCTATATCGTGAGTTTCTACTACTTGCGTTTTCATGGCGAGTATCCTCAAGGTCTCTTGTAGATGGATCGGGAGCTTGAACGCGTTTTTAATCGCTGCTGTGGGCCTCGTGTCAGGTTCACTATACGACCGAGGATATTTGTGAGTGTAGATTTGTTGGGGGTTCTCGATGATATTCAGCAAGATTAAATAGTCACCATCTCATGATTGCCGGATCGGTTCTGCAGAGTTTTTCTCTATTCATGTTGTCTTTGTCGAAACCCGATCAGTACTACCAGGTAACATCCCCCAATTTTACAATCTCGTTTTCTGACTGACTTAGTTTAGATATTCCTCTCGCAAGGCTTAGGCTTGGGTATCGCGTCTGGGCTCATTTACATCCCTAGTATAACTATCATCTCACATTATTTCCGACGGAGGCGCACGCTGGTTATGGCGTTCGTCGCTTCGGGCTCATCACTGGGTGCTATTGTCCATCCGATCATGCTCAATAACCTCCTCAATGGTCCTGTTGGGTTCGCCAATGGCGTCCGTGCAAGCGCAGGGTTAGTCAGTGTGTTTCTCGTAATTGCATGTCTGTGCATGCGCACTCGCCTTCATCCGCCGGCGAAACCGGTGAACTATATTGTGGCGGCTAGAAAATGTATTCGCGATGTACCGTTTGTTCTCATGGTAGCAGGGTGAGACCTGCAACGCACCTTCTCTCTAATTCCTCCAAATGACCATCCTGCAGGGGCTTTCTTTTCCAGCTCGGCTTCTACTACCCATTATTCTTCTTTCAACTCGACTCTGTCAAGCACGGTGTCAGCGTTACCTTTTCGTTCTACTCTGTAGGTTCCAACACGACACAAGTAGTTTGTCTGCTGACAGGATGACTAGCTGGTGATTTTAAATGCGTCCAATTGTGTCGGGCGAGTCACGGCGGGGTTCATTGCGGGGTACACGGGGGTCCCAAACTTGATCATAATCACGTCAATTTCGTGCGGTGTGCTCATTTTGGGCATGATTGGGTTGAGTAGCTTAGCCAGCGTTATTGTGCTTGGCGTGCTTTATGGCTATTTTTCAGGGTTGAGTAAGTAATTCCCCCACTAGGGTGTTCATAGATTCATCATTGCATTGAGATATCGCGATCTCGGCTCCCCTCATGGTCATCTTAACGCCCAACCTCTCCGAGCTTGGGTAAGTGATCGTCCCAATCTTAATGTATGAGCCATCTGATCTGGATCATAGGGCACGGGTTGGCATCTGTTTCTTCATTCTTTGTGAGTAATATAATTACTTCTAGTTGTTCAATCTTGACACACGATCACTGCAGCATTTGGAAGTTTGATTGGTAGGTGCAGTGGTGTTGTGTTTCTTGCTTCAAATTCTAACACTTTATCTAGGAACACCCATATCCGGCGCTCTGCTAACAACCAATTATATCTGGTGGAAACCGGCTGTGTTCTCTGGGGTGAGTCGACCGTTGCTCTTTTATCCAGAATTTACATTGAATTCGATTGACTGCATAACAGATCGTTTCACTGGCTGGTGGCATGGTACTTATCATCATGCGACATATGCTTCTCAGAAGGCAGATCAAGGACAAGCGTACTATTACTCAAGTTGACATAATAATGTTAGACGACCTGGCTAGTGCTGTGGGCAAAACTGCTTTGAAGTAGTTCTGCGGGTAGAACTGGCAGATGGCAAGACCATCTTCTGCCAGCATGGCACATGGCAGAATCGGGGATTTTTTTGATGGTACTAGAGGTAGCATCGAGTTAATATTCCAAGTCCCGTCTTCATTTGCATCATGATCTGTGACCATAATCTCATCCTCTACTGCTGCAGGCACTAACTCTCGTCAACACTGGTGAGTCACGGTCCTTTATTTCCCGGGACCCGCACGGTGAAACTGCCGTGTATAAATGGTGTTATTCCCGGTCGTCAGAGGTGAGCTGACCCACGACTTCAACGCTCTTGCTTCTTGATTATCTTCCTGGGAATCCGAGGAATTCATTGTGATTGTATTATTTGTGCTCTACGACATACACGCACACGATCTGTATAGAATATCTGAGCATACAACGCATTCCATGAGTTTCCATGGGAAGCCGCAGACGTGGATCATACTCTACATTGGCAAGAAAATCAAAAGCGACTTCAAGATGTGTTGTACATAGACATACAAAACTAACTAAGTGGTTCAGTGTTTCATCAGACCTGGGTCTCACAACACTACGTCAGATTCGGGTATCTCCTTCAAACAAAATCTACCAATGTGACCCGCCAACTCGTCCTTCGCCACCTCGGATCCTGCGAAAAGCGGCTTTGTGCGCTTCTGATACAAAGTCTCCCCGAAAGCTCATCCCAATCCTGCACTATTCGAGTTCTCGTAGATGGGTGTGGGCCTGAGGTCTGAGTTTCCTGGAAGTCTAGGAGTGCACGGCCTTCACGGTGGTCGTTTTCCGGGACTGCGGTCGTCTCGATAGCCATTTGCCAAGGACCTGCTGTCCTTTTCTGGCTGGGCATGGACGAAAGCCAGAATAAGCGCTGCGCTGCGAACAAGCACGGCCACTGTGAGCTTTGTGGACGCGGACGCTCAAACTGCGATGGAAGGTGAGTCACTCCTCGGAGCCGAGGATGCACAACAAAGCTGACCGTGTACTCCTCAATGACGTGGGCATTGGGTTCCGAGGCATCGAGGTCGGGTCGTATGAATCGAATCTGGCCATCGTACAAACATACTGTGGCTCCTTCGTGAAACGTTTTGAGGAAGCGTCCGAATGTCACAGCTGGAGGGTGAAGCTGCCAGAATGGCGTGAGTAATGGTGGTGGGTTTGCATCGGGGTCGTTGGGTATAGTGGAGGGAATATTATACGCAGCCATTAATCGCGTGCTGACGAGCAAAACGCACGGAACCCGACCTGACAGGCGCAAGTCGTACCGTATCTATACAGATTCGTCGGTATTTTCCAATTATACTGGATTCTTCTTCGCACTTACGCGGAGTTTGCCGTCGTGTCCTTTTGGGCAGTCAATTTCAACAGTTATGTCCTTTCGAAAACCGTCGTAATTCTCGTTGAGCTGCATGATACGAAGGAGATGCTTCCTGTCGGAAGTAATCCAGCCATAAATGATATAGTCTCCTGCTGCTGCATAGTTCCGCACAAACACGTTTGTGCGGAAAATGAGGGGTATCCTTATTGAGGGTATCTTTGTATTCAGGTGCACAATCCCGAAAGCGTTGGATCTAGTTAAAATTCGTGAATATGGGGAATTAAGCCCTTGGTAATAAATCGCACCCGTCATTGCACTTGGTTCGTAGTAGCATGAGATCATCGCCACGAGACGATTTATATGGACCGTCTTGGTCGAGGAAGGGCAGCCAGCACATCTCGCTCTGAAAGGTCGTGGATGCAGCGGGAGAGTCATTTGTCCCAGATCCTGTGCTTGGTTTCATTAAGCACAAATTGGAGTGTCGAGAAGGATTGAGATTTCGACAGTGAAAGAGCAACACTAGCCATGTCCCACCCGGAAGAAATTTCAGACCTTGAAATACACCAGGGAAATCCAGCGGGAACGTGTAAAGACGCTTAGGGATGATGCTAGGCTGTGTCCATATGTGGTTAAGTTGGGCAGCGGTTTTCAGTTGGTGACGAATGTCTTCCGCAGTGCATAAACGCAGATGGGGGTAGCACTGATCAAGAAAGCGATGCTGAACGAGGGCGTCGAGCCAGACATGCCGTAATGTAGCAAATTCATGCAATGTTCGACATGTCTGTGAATGAAGCATTAAAAAGCTCCGCAAAGGGGTAAGCTGCTGCATACTCACACTTCCAAGCCTAGTGATGTCCAGGACAGAAAGATACCTCATAATCACGAGCCACACGTCGACCACGAACCTGGAGGAGCTGTAGACACCATGTTGGCTGGCTGGTACAACCATGGGTATCCAAGTCGGTGGTGTTGGTGCGTAAAGAACTCGGAAGTGTGGAAAACATGATTTTTCTGGTCATTTTCAAACTTGCCTGAACAGTCACTGGGTAAGCTATAGTCGGTGTGATCACGACATGATAGGACATGATGGCGTCACGCACGGGTGCCCGAGTTTTGCTTTTCCTTGGGGCTCGCTCTATTATTGGCACGTGTTTGCTTATGTGAGCTTTCTCGGAGCTTCAACCGGAACTTCAACTTGAAGATGGCATACCCTCTTCAGACTCGCGGTGAATTTCCTGGCGCGAAACCCTTCTTCTCAGATCTTATTTTCTCATGAGGCCAAGCATGCGGTCGACGCAGCTTGTTATATCGCAAAGTGCCTGTACGCAATCACCGGCAATCTGCAATACAAGAGGGTATTATCTACCTTAGCAAGTTCAAACATGACAGTCACGGTGACTCTAAGACCTCTGCGTGCAGCTGCCGTTCGCGTTTCTGACCACGCAGCAATTGAAAAATGCAGTGTTGTTTCGTGAGTTGCGACTGGCCACTGACCGGTCCCGACGCAGGCTACTGAGGCGCTGCGATCAGACATCATTGATTGACTTTCACTTGAAGACTTTTTTCGTCCGTACCCAAGGCTTGAAGTAATGACCTCCCGCCAACTTCCAAGGATACAAGAATCCGACTACATATGACATCGAGGTCATCTGAACATTACCTATTCCTTTCAAGAACGGACGTACGTCTGTTGATGAATATATTTGGATACTTACCGCAACCACTAACACGGTCTCTGCATCAGGTAAGTTATCTATTAGTGTTTGCTCCTAGTGTGGCCAAGTAGTCCTCATGTATTTGTAACCTTGTGACAAAGCGGATATCTCCTTCGCGCCCGCTGTCCATCACACAAGCCGAACTATTGACAGTCCTATTTCAATGTTTCTGATAAGACAGCTGTTATCATGTCATCGGACATTTACCATCACGGGGATGGACCCTGCGAGACCCTACGGGTTATTCTATGTACGCATATACTCAATCGCTGTCAACTATTTTCTAATACCCTTCCGAAGTTCCGGTGATGTAATGCACCTCCTAACACCCGCCAAGAGTGGGCTGGGGTAGCCGCTTTAGTATGGTTGTGCGGCGCTCTTGCAGGGTCAAGAGTAAATTTAGTCTTATAATCTGTAAGCCCGCCATTCGCTGCTGCATAACGCTTTACTCCCACTTACGTCTATGTCAATGAAGCTCACAACCCACAATACGTTCACGGCGAACGAGAAGTCTGATGATCTGGGAGAGCTAGGAGATATGCCGTCATCTAATTCCATAACAACTTGTTCAGAATCTGACCCTCCTGATGGCGGGTTTGGGGCATGGGCCACTGCTCTCGGGTGGTAAGTTGTGTCTCAACTTGAAATAATACCTGCATGCTGCTTGTCTGACGTTCTAAACGATGCCTAGCTTCCTCATGCATTTTTGTGGTTTCGGGTTGGTTCTAGCTCCATTCGTTCGAGACATGTCAGTTAACAGCACTTTAATAGATACATATCGTCTTTTGGAGTCTATCAAGGTACGCAGCAGTCGCATAATGAATTATATTCAAAGTTGACAAACAACCTCGAAAGATTATTACACACGAATTTATCTGACCAACCAACCACCGTCTGCAATATCGTAAGTTGATGTACTTTTATTCTGCAGTTCTTGGTCTCAGTCAGCATTAGATGGATCGGTGCATTGACCCCGTTCCTTGCTGTCAGTGTTGCGTTGATCTCGGGTCCGCTGTACGACCGAGGGTGGTTGTAAGTTGTCATATTTTTATGAGTAATTTTTTATTTTATACACAAATGACTGATAGCCATCGGTTGATGATTGTGGGGTCGCTACTCCAATCACTGTCCTTGTTCGCTTTATCCTTCACAAAGCCTGGTCAATTTTACTTGGTGAGCAGTCCGATCAATCTCGTCGTCGATGGGCTACCTATGTGTTGCGACCAGCCTTTGATGGTTCAGGGTGTCCTTTCTGGGTTTGGGATAGGCCTGACATACGCTCCCAGTATCGCGGTCGTCTCTCAGCACTTCTCCAAAAAACGCACATTGGTCATGTCTCTCACCACCTCCGGTGCACCACTTGGTGCCATGATTCATCCGATCATGCTCAATCACCTTTTCAATGGTACCGTGGGCTTTGCCAGAGGCGTCCGCGCCAGCGCGGGCTTTGTCAGTGCCCTGTTATTTGTCGCCTGCTTATCCATGCGCACAAGAGCACTTCCAGCACCAACTACCAGCTATAGTGCGGTGGCACGAAAGTGCTCTCGCGAAGTTCTCTTCATTCTCATGACCGTTGGGTATGTTGTCTCCGGAATAGGCACAAAGAACTCAAAAGTCTTGACAGCTGATTGTGTCTAGGTCATTGCTATTTCAGATCGGGTTTTTCTTCCCTGTGTTTTACTTGCAACTGGACTCTGTCAAACATGATATTGACATCAATTTCTCGTTCTACTCCGTAAGCGAAGGATTTTTCTCTTCACAGTGGACTCTTACATCGATTTAGCTTGTTATTATGAACGCAGCCTGTTTTATCGGACGCTGTACGGCAGGAATGATTGCGCCGTATACGGGGGTGTTGAATTTCACGATCGTATCCACTGTCGCATGCAGTGTCCTCGTCATATCTATGATATCTCTAAGTGACATAGCCAGTGTGGTTGTGTTAGGACTTGGGTATGGCTACTTTTCCGGAGTTTGTATGTATCACACCACAGCTTGTGTAATTTCCGGCACTGACTTTCCAAGATATTGCCCTGTTGGCGCCATTGGTGACTGTGTTCACGCCTGACTTATCTGAGCTAGGGTTAGTTTCTTTTACATGCGCAGTCTGGCAGTGTTGACCCTCATGCAGAGCGCGAATGGGCATATGTTTTGCTGTCATTTGTATGTATCATTCAGGTCTGTTTCGGATCTTCTGACAGTGCGCGAATGGTCAGCCTTTAGCGGATTGATCAGTGGGTAGTTGTTTTCGGAAATTTATCTGACATTGAACCAATATTTTCAGGCGGCCCAATATCAGGAGCTTTGCTTACATCTCAATATAGATGGTGGATAGCGTCGCTCTTCAGTGGGGTGGGTAATTCGCATTGTTCCTGCACTTGCACAAACCTCATGCTGAAATTTTTTTCTAGCTCATCGCTATTGTCGGAAGTTCGATGTTTGTGATGATGCGCTTGATAATATACCGCCGAGAAATAAACGGAAGACAAGCATAGCTGGCGGGGACACGCGAACCACTTGTTTAGAGGGGTTGTGTATAATCTCATGCTGGATTAGATGGGACTTGACGCAAATAGATATGTACGTGTATTCAACGCGTGTGCAGGCGGTGACCAACTCCCGACTTCAAATTGAGTAACAACGAATCACTTCGAGTCTCTGATTTTCAGATACCTCCATGGCGATAAAATTATGGACAGCCTACCTGCTCTAGTTTCACACATGCCAAGAAGCAAGACGACAATTAATCCTTTAAAGTCCACGCCTGTTGGGCACTCATGTCAACAAGTGTTACGTGCATCGAGCACCGTCTGCGATTTCTGATATCGAACCATCTTTCACACCTAGACGGAGAAATCAAATGACAATCTGGGGTCAGACTCGTCAAGAGGCAAAGTTAGCGACAGGCAGCAATGCCAAATATTACACACCACACTTCGACCGATAACTTAACTTTCCCTTCCTTAGGTAAGTTGTCAGCGTTCACTCCTATGTAGCATGGCCTGTCAGTCTGTATGCGTAATCAGTAAAACCGATATGGTCTTCGTGGCAGGACGGATAATAGATCTTCTTTTCTTCAAGCCCGCTGTCAACGGTCGACCTCACAAACCGAACAGTCGACTATTCAGTCCTATTTAAATTTACGTAGCAAGAGCTGCCAACATGCCGTCAAGTATCCATCCTCAGTCACAAGGGCATGGACCTTAAGTTGAAGACCCTGCAGTCCAGGATTCTTCTATGTGTAATAAATCCATCGAGATGACTTGCTAGCGCCTGTCTGTGATGTAATGCCAGGTAGCCCCTTTAGTATGAGGTTGCACGGCGTCCTTGCAGGGTCGAGGTTGATACCAGTATATCCAGCAACTATGAATAGCGAAGCCACAGCTGTAGCGTCCAAGCGGGCGGCGTTTGGTAGACCAAATGATTTGCACCTGCTGCAGGCTGTATCCAGCCGTCTCCAAGATAGAGTCCTGTTAGCGTTATACGGAGAAGGATTGGCAGCCCTCATCAGGGGGACAGCCACTAAGACTACTCGCCCTTTCAGTGTTGTTTATGGTCTAGGAGTACCAACAAATGGTTATGGATGTCTTACTTGGTTCCTTTAGCTACACCAGATATCTTGCGGGATGTGCATATATTCCTTTGGCCTATAGCCACAAAGAATCACATTTCTATCTATGGCGGAATTATCATTTTGTGCGTAAAAATGCAAACTTTGAGGGACATAGCTACAGGAAGTCACGGTAGCACATATAAGTCTAGGCAAACCTGACATTCTACAAGACGGCGTTTTGAACTGCGGAGCAATAACCCCAGCACTATTATCGTTGTTTCTGCAGCAGCTATTCATCATCTGTACAGACTTAAAAAAGGTAGTTGGTGCGCTTGAGAAGATGTCAATTGAGAGAAGATGCTCCAGCTGTGAACACATAAGATCGAATCGTGACGTCGTTGCCCTCGGAACTTCAGTATGCTGTGAGTGAGTGATTGATGGTGGGCACATTGGCATGAGATGGTCATCGGCGATACAGGTAAAAGGGCAGAGGTTAAAAATAATCGGAGGCATGTGAACCTTGCAATTACAGCGGGGGTTCATCGGCATGAGGGATCTTTTGGAGTGGGCCCACCGTAGACTCGGACGACCATGACGCGACAAATGTTTGGCCCTTCAGTCATCCCTCGGGTTTTTCCCAGCTGAACTTTCGCTATACAGTTGGTTGTAAACCGTGACAGAGGCTGCTGGATAGACAGCTTGCAGGCGACGTAGATTTGTCTCATACGTGGCAGATTTGAATCAGTCGGTAAACTCCGAAGCCAAATTAATGATGACGGTGGAGTTGACTCACTCGTTCTCAACGTTCAACCATTTACTCTCCCAGTTGAACACAATGCACATCAAGCTGTTGCCTTTATTGGCATGGCAATCCACGACGGAGCTCCGAGTACCATTGCTGCGGTGTGACCAACTCGTTGTCTAGACAGTGTAGCAGACGAAGTTTACGCAAGACCAGGATATCTTCTCTACGAAGGGAGCTGGCTCGTTCGACTGACTTATCGCCATGTGCATGCAACAAGCTTGTCAAGTCTGATCTGTGGCACAACGACATGGTGCGACCCCGAACTCGTCAAAACGTATCAGGTTACATAACCAAATCAAGGCGGCAGTAGTATCTTTTCCGCCCTCACGTCCGAGTCAGATGGATCCACATTCGTTCGCCACAATTTTCCTTTAATCGGCTCGAAATCTGGCAGTGTGGTGTGGCGGTGTCGCAGATCGCTCTGATAGAGTGGTCGCGCTAACACCCCTCCCAAGTTAGGCTCCCCTAGGCATACCCTTATAGAAGGAAGGCAGTCGTAGAATCTACCTCCCAATTAATCTGGGCGGAACCATTACCACGCGCTAACCACACAGATTGTTTTGCGCATACAAAAATATCGAAACGCCGGGAAGGTGAGCCGAATATATCATATTGTCTCATATCATTTGTTGATTTTGACAAGGACGAAGACCGTTAGCCACGAATTAAAATGTTTGCCCGATGGCCAGGTGCTTTCAGCACATGAACCACGAAGACAGTAACCGTGGGCTCCATTTGGTCGTTTCCTTCCGGCTGGACACTTCGTTGACAGCAAAACGAGCCTGCAAGCCCAGCATTTGTTGTTGCATAACGCTTCATATCACGATGTGTCTTTCGTACGTACTTTACTTTACATACACAATCACTCATCCTTCACATTTCCTTTTCATTCTCCGTCTCAAGAACACATTTATTTTCCTTCCGTCAGTCCTTCAATCACAGATCGAGGTGAGCATTCGTGTTTACCACACAGTCTCTGATAGGCCGGCATAGTCCCTCTTCTCTTTTCTAGTCCGAGCCCCTTCACTTGAATACTTTCCTCGCCAGCCAGTTCCTTCGATGTCTATGACTCAGTCCAAAATCAGCAATGCGCTCGCGTCACACGACAAATTAAATGAACTGGAAGAACTGGGACACAGGCATTCACCTGATTCCTCAGCACTTTGCTCAGAGTCTGACCTTCCAGACGGCGGTTTTTGGGCATGGGCAACTGCTTTCGGGTGGTAAGTTGTGTTTCAATTGATTCTCGTGAGCGGCATATCTCACAATCGCAATGACACTCAGTTTTTTGATACAATTTTGTGGTTTTGGGTTCGTTCTGGCACCATTCGTTTGAGAGACATTATATAACAACACTTGAGCAGATACGTATCATCTTTTGGAGTATATCAAGGTACGCAGCAGTCGCATGATTGGTTGTGCACATGATTGACAAACTGCCTTGCAAGATTTTTACACACGAATTTACCTGGCCGACCTACCACCGTCTGCAATATCGTAAGTGTATGCACTTATACTATGTATGGAATTTGTAGTCTCAGATGCTGTCAGATGGATCGGTGCATTGACCTCATTCCTGGCAGACAACGTGACCTTGATCTCAGGACCGCTGTACGATAGGGGGTGGTTGTAAGTTGCCACATTGTTCGTAATTGTATTTGCACTAATTCCTGATAGCTACCAATTGATGATCGTGGGATCATTGCTCCAAGCGCTGTCCTTGTTCGCGTTATCTTTCGCAAAGCCTGGTCAGTTCTACTTGGTGAGCAGCCCCTGCAATTCTGTGGATGAGCTACCTATATGCGTGATTAGATTTTCATGGTTCAAGGTGTCCTTTCTGGGATTGGGATGGGCCTGACATATGGTCCCTGCATGGCAGTTATCTCTCAGCACTTCTCCAAAAGACGCACATTGGTGATGTCTTTCGTCGCGTCCGGTTCACCACTGGGTGCCGTTATTCATCCGATCATGCTCAATTATCTTTTGAATGGCTCCGTTGGCTTTGCGAGAGGCGTCCGTGCCAGTGCGGGTTTTGTCAGTGCTTTGTTATTGATATCCTGCTTATCCATGCGCACGAGAGCACTGTCGACGTCGAAACCGACTGCCAGCTATAGTGCAGCTGCACGAAAATGCTCTCGCGATGTTTTCTTCATTCTCATAACCGCTGGGTACGTCACTTCTGGCATGTGCACAAGTTCGACTCGAAGTATTAAGATCCGATTGTGCCTAGGTCAACGCTATTTCAGATCGGGTATTACTTCCCTATATTTTACATGCAACTTGACTCTATCAAACATGGGATCAACGTCCAGTTCTCGTTCTACTCTGTACGTCTAAGATTTTCTTTTTTGTCGTTGAAATTTCCAACTCGACTTAGCTTGTGATCATGAATGGTGCCTGTGTCATCGGTCGCTGCACGGCAGGAATAATTGCAGCGTACACGGGGACTTTAAACTTCACGATTGCATCCACTGTTGCATGCAGTGCCCTCATCATATCCATGATAGCGCTGAGGGACGTAGCCAGTGTAGTTGTGTTAGGACTTGCGTATGGTTACTTCTCTGGAGTTTGTATGTATCACACTGCAGCTTGTGTAATTTTTGGCACTGACTTTCCAAGACATTGCGCTGATGGTCCCATTGGTGACTGCGTTCACGCCTGACTTGTCCGAGCTAGGGTTAGCTTCTTTTACATGTGCACTCTGGCAATGTTGACACTCATACGCAGGGCGCGCTTTGGGATATGTTTTGCCTTCACCGGTGTGTATTATCCAGCTCTGTTTCGGAACTTCTGACAGTGCGCGAATGGTCAGCCTTTGGCGGATTACTCGGTGAGTATTTGCTTTCCGGTTTCTATCTGCCATTGAACCAATATTTTCAGGCGGCCCAATATCAGGAGCTTTGCTTACATCTCAATATAGATGGTGGATAGCGTCGCTCTTCAGTGGGGTGAGTTCGTATTGTTCCTGCACTTGCGGAGCCCCATACTGAAATTTGTGTCTATCGTGATAAGCTTATCTCTTTTGTCGGAAGTGCGATGTTTGTGGTGACGCGATTGATGATATACCGTCGACGATAAATGGAAGAGATAATTTAGCCACCCACAGCCGGTGGCAAAGAGGTGAACCACTTGTTCTATGAGCGATTTCTGTTCAGGTTCGATATAGATTGTGTCGTGCTTGTCGATTTAACATATCCTTGTGCTCAGTCGGTGGCACCAGGATATCATGACATACACCTATGCACACTTTCACAATACATAGATTATACTCATTCGCTGCTAAACTGTCTTGATGTCACCGTACAGCCACCCAGGAAGGCAACAAGCAAAACACAAAAGGCAATCGCCGTTACGGCAGCCACGTGGAAGGCGCTTAATTACTCTTCGACATTGACTCGCACCCGGTGTGCTAGTGAGGCGGCCTACCTCTGATTCCTTGTTGCTTCTTTCTTCGCTGATATGATGGCAGGTGAAAACAATACTGCAGCTCATCCGCGAACACGATGATAAAGCGCGTTTGAACTTTACACGTTCGGAAGCGATGTGCTTCACTCGTTCCATACACCGGTTGACCGCCCGACCTGTCTTGTGACGACATCGGGCCCGTTACTGACTACTGATACTCTCACCTCGTGAGCACGAGGTCGGAGCAGATTCACTTGCATCATCCTCTAAAGCCGTGCGGTAAAGGAATGAACACCTCCCCTCCACGCCTGGGCCTTGGTCATGGTGAATGGGCCCGCCTACCAGTGCAATATCCGGATTTCCGAGCAAGCTGCAGCATTGTTCGGCGCTTCCTTTTAGGTGAGTGCCTTTCCTGATGAGTATGAATTGCCCACCAATGATTCAAGGGCAGCAAATATTACAGCTGGCATATGAAGCAACGCCTGTGACCTCACCCCAAGGAAATCTTATGAAGGGTGTGGTTCCAATCGGAATTCCACACATTTTACTTATACTGCACGCTTGCGTATCCCCTTGCGGCGGTATTCAATGAGTAGATTTCCTACCGTATTTACTCTATCGTTCACTTTCTTAGGTAAGTTGTCAGCATTCACTCCTAGTACAGCTAATCACCAGACCATTTTCATGACAGGGCAAGTATTGGATTTTGTTTCCTTCGGGCCCCTGTCGGCCATGCAAGCCGAAAATTTGATGCTCTATTTTCAAATCCCCCTGACAAGACAGCTGTTATGATGCCGTCAGGTATCTATGATAACAAGGTTGGACCCTGCGAGACCCTATGAATTATTCTATGGACGCATTGAGATCGCCGTTAACGACTTGTTAACGCCCTGCAGATGATGTAATGCATCTCTTACCGGGTAACCCCTTCAGTATGATGTTGCACGGTGTTCTTGCAGGGTTACAGTTCACATTGTCCCTATATTCTGGAATACCAGCATCTACTGGTGAATAACGCTTTACTCACCCATATATTTCTTCTATAACAGCTATGGCGCAGGCCGACTTCGATGAGCCCACGGTGAATGAGAAGTTAGGCGATCTGGAAGAGCTGGGACGCAAACAGTCATCTGACTCCTCGACACCATGTTCAGAATCTGACCCTCCGGATGGCGGGCGTGTGGCATGGGCGACTGCTTTTGGATCGTAAGATGTTCTCAAATTATATTTGCGAGTTGCGCGTCTCACTGTCGCCACGATGCTTAGTTTCCTGATGCAATTTTGTGGCTACGGGTTAGTCCTAAATCCCTTTGATCGAGACATCGATTGATAGTTCTCAAACAGATACGTATTCTCTTTTGGAGTCTATCAAGGTACACAGTGGTTGCATGATTAGTTGTATACGTGGTTTACAAACGACCTTGGAAGATTTTTACACACGAATTTATCTGACCAACCAACCTCCGTCTGCAATATCGTAAGTGAATATGCCTACTATGATATTTGTGATCTCAGCCAGCGTCAGATGGATCGGTGCATCGAGCTCGTTCCTCTTAGCCAGTATCACCTTGATATCCGGTCTGTTGTACGACAGAGGGTGGTTGTAAGTTGACATATATTCATAGTCAGTTGTTTATACACTAATTGCTGATAGCTACCAATTAATGATCGTGGGGTCGTCGCTTCAATCACTGTCTTTGTTTGCGTTATCCTTCGCAAAACCTGGTCAGTTCTACTTGGTGAGCAGCCCAGGCAATCCTGTGCACGGGCCACTTACATGTGGTGACTAGATTTTCATGGTTCAAGGTGTCCTTTCTGGGATTGGGTTAGGCCTGACGTATGGTCCTAGCATGGCAGTCATCTCTCGACACTTCTCCAAAAGACGCACATTGGTGATGTCTTTCGTCGCGTCCGGCTCACCACTGGGTGCCGTTATTCATCCGATCATGCTCAATCACCTTTTGAATGGTTCTATTGGCTTTGCGAGAGGCGTCCGCATCAGTGCAGGTTTTGTCAGTGCTCTGTTATTGATTGCCTGCTTGTCCATGCGCACGAGAGCACTGTCGACGCCGACTGTCAGCTACAGTGCAGTTGCACGAAAATGCTCTCGTGAGGTCCCCTTTATCCTCGTGACCGTTGGGTATATTCTCTCTGAGTACACAGACTCGAATTCTTTGAAGCTAATCGTGCTTAGGATCATGCTATGTCAAATGGGCTTTTTCTTCCCGTTATTCTATTTACAACTGGACTCTATCAAACATGGGATCGACGTCCATTTCTCGTTCTACGCTGTATGTCTATCATGTTCTTCCTCGTCACTGTCATCTTCTCAATGTGAATTAGCTCGTGATCTTGAATGCTGCATGTGCCATCGGACGCTGCACGGCAGGAATAATTGCAGCCTATACGGGGTTGTTGAATTTGACCATCGCATCTACTGCTGCGTGCGGTGCTCTCACCATATCCATGATAGCTCTGAGTAACATATCCAGTGTAGTTGTGATAGCCGTTACATACGGCTACGTTTCTGGAGTTTGTAGGTTTCTCACTGCCGCTAGTGTAATTTCTGGTACTGACGATCCAAGACGACGCGGTATTGGTCCCACTGGTGACTACAATGACGCCCGACTTATCGGAGCTAGGGTCAGTTTTGTTTATACACATAGTCTGGCCAATCATTGATCATCCTATGTAGGGCACGAATGGGCATATGCTTTGTTTTCACCGGTGCGTATCATTCAGCTCTGCTTCGGAACTCCTCACAGACTGCGAATCTTCAGCGTGTGGCTCATTAATCAGTGAGTAGGTTTTTTCGGTCTTTATTTGCCATTGAACCGGCGTATGGCCCCAGGTGGTCCAGTATCAGGCGCTTTACTGTCATCTCAATATAGGTGGTTGATACCGTCGCTCTTCAGTGGGGTGAGTGATCGTAATCGTTCTCGCACTCACCGTGCTGAATTTGTTTCCTGTGGTGATAAGATCATTTGTCTTGTCGGAAGTTTGGTGTTTGTGGTGATGCGGTTGATGATATACCGACAACGATAAATGCAAATATAGCTTGGCGCGAAAAGAGGTCAACCGCTTGTTCTACTTACGACTCATGAGGGGTTTCGACGGGGCCGGTATATGTACGAGACTGGGCAGCACTGGTGATTGAGTGAATATATGCGTGATGAATGTATTGAAAGTATCATGATGTGCAGACGTAGCAATATTCCCACCAATATGTAGAATCGAATCATGAATGAACACAATCACTGATGCTGCAGCTGGGCTGGCTTATATATTATATGTACCACAGTTTCCAGAAGCCAATACACTTCATGTTACGGCAGCCACGTAACAGCCTGTGACAGCCTGTGACAAACCTCTTGCCTCCCAGAATTTGTTTCTTCGCGCGCTGATGGACTCAGATGGAGGCGAAAAAATGTTATCTCGTTAGTCCCTTGGGCAATCCGCGAGCACGACGACGATGATCAAAACGCATGTGGATTTCAGATACGAGGCCGCGTTCCGCTCACTTCGTACACCGTCATATCGAACTGTCGTGGTCTACCGCCTGACCTATCTTACAACAACACTAGACGGCCCAGCACTCGATGGGCTCCCGGCCACGTACTCACCGCAGTGTTGCTTTGGACTTACCCTCGGATGGGACCCTTGCCTAACGAGTATGTGAATGTCTTCACAACGGCAGCAATGTGCTACCGCTGACCTACCTGGGCGATGCTGGTGACCTCACGCCGGGATTATGTACAAGGGATCCGACGAAGAGTTAGGTATTTTATCAATTACATTTCCTAGATCTACTCACTACACTCTCCTCCTTAGGTAAGTTCTTAGCATTCAAATATTCACTCATAGTGCGGCTGATCATTCCTTATGTGTAATCAGTGTACTGATTGCCAAGCCAGGTATTGAATCTCCTTTCCTTCGCGCTCGCTGTCAACCACCCAAACCGAACAGTAACCTGGCAGTTGGCAGTTCTTCTTAATAAGGCTGCTGTTATTATTACATCAGGTGTCTACCGTGACTGATCACGAGGACGAACCCCGCAAGATCCTATGGATTCTTCTATGCGTGCATTGAAATCGCCATCAACGACTTGTCAATGCCCTGCATGTGATGTAATGCACCTCTTACCAGGTAACCCCTTTAGAATGAGGTTGCATGTCACTCTTGCAGGGTCACGGTTAATGTCGTCCTTATAATCTGGAATGCCCGCATTTGCTGGTGCATAACGCTATATTCATCCACCATTTCATTCGATAGCGGCTATGACGCAGTCAGAAGTCCGTAATGAGCCCACGACGAACGAGAAATTAGATGATCTGGAAGAGCTGGGACGCAAACAGTCTGAATCCTCACCGCCATGTTCAGAATCTGACCCTATGGATCGCGGGCGTCGGGCATGGGCAACTGCTTTTGGATGGTAAGCTTTTTCTCCAATGATGTTTGAAAGTTGTGTATCTTACATTTGTCACGATCTCAGTTTCCTGGTGCAATTTTGTGGCTACGGGTTAGTCCTAGTTCTTTTCGATTGAGACATATCAGTTGATAGTTCTTAATAGATATATAAACTCTTTTGGAGTCTATCAAGGTACGCAGTGCTCGTGTGATTGATCATATCCAAAGTTGACGTACTAACTAACTGGAGATTTTTACACGCGAATCTATCTGACCAACCAAGCACCGTCTACAATATCGTGAGTGAATGTACTTCTACTCTGATGGTAGTCTCAATCAGCGTTAGATGGATCGGCGCATTGACTTCGTTCCTCGCAGCCAATACCACCTTGATCTCAGGTCTGCTGTACGACAGAGGATGGTTGTAAGTTGATGCTCGAGGTCAATTGTTTATCACACTAATTTCTAATAGCTACCAATTGATGATCGTGGGGTCGTCGCTTCAATCACTGTCCTTGTTCATGTTATCCTTCGCAAAGCCTGGCCAGTTCTACTTCGTGAGTGGCTCCACTAAATCTCGGGGGTGGGCTACCTATATTTGCGATTAGGTTTTTATGATTCAGGGTGTGCTTTCTGGGATTGGAATGGGCTTGATGTATGGTCCCAGCATGGCAGTCATTTCTCAGCACTTCTCCAAAAGACGCACATTGGTGATGTCTTTTGTCGCGTCCGGTACACCATTGGGTGCCATTGTTCATCCAATGATGCTCAATCATCTTTTTCATGGTACTGTTGGCTTTACCGGAGGCGTCCGTGTCAGTGCAGGTTTTGTCAGTGCTCTGTTATTGATCGCCTGCTTATCCATGCGCACGAGAGCACTGACGACGTCGAAACCGACTGCCAGTTATAGTGTAGTTGCACGAAAATGCTCTCGCGAGGTTCCCTTTATCCTCATGACCGCTGGGTATGTTCTCTCTGACATGCACACAACCCGACTCGAAGCCTTTGAAGCTAATCGTGCTCAGGATCACGCTGTGTCAGATCGGCTTTTTCTACCCTGTATTCTATTTACAGCTGGACTCTATCAAACATGGGGTCGACGTTCATTTCTCGTTCTACTCCGTACGTTCAAACGTTTTCTTCTGTGTCATCGAACCTCAATCCGATTTAGCTTGTGATCTTGAATGCTGCCGCTGTTATTGGACGTTGCACAGCAGGAATAATTGCATCTTATACTGGGTTGTTGAACTTGACCATTGCATCCACTTTCGCATGCGGTGCCCTCATCATATCCATGATAGCTCTGAGTCAGATGTCCGGGGTGATTGTGATAGCCGTCACATATGGCTACGTTTCTGGAGTTTGTACGTTTCACACTGCCGCTAGTGTAATTTCTGGTATTAATGATCCAAGTCGTTTCAATGTCGGTCCCGCTGGTGACTATGTTGACGCCCAACTTATCGGAGCTAGGGTCAGTTTTGTTCATACACATAGTCTGACCAATCATTGACCCTCCTATGCAGGGTGCGAATGGGCTTTTGCTTTGGTTTCACCGGTGTGTATGATTTAGTTCTGTTTCGGAACTCCTAACAGACTGCGAATATTCAGCATTTGGTTCAGCACTCAGTGAGTCGTTTTTTCTGGTCTTTATTTGCTACTGAACCGACGTCATACATGTTTTTAGGTGGTCCAGTATCAGGCGCTTTACTATCATCCCAATATAGGTGGTTGATACCGTCGCTCTTCTGTGGGGTGAGTGATCGTGATCGTTCTCGCACTTCTCCGTGCTGAAATCGTTTCTGGTGATAAGATCATCTGTTTTGTCGCAAGTTTGATATTTGTGGTGATGCGGTTGATAATATACCGCCAACGATAATGGAAACATGGCTTGGCGCGAAACGAGGTGAACCGTTTGGTTTACTTACGACTAATGAGGGGTTTCGCTGGGAATTGGGTTCAATGAGGGCTTTCCCTGGGGCTGGTATATACACGCGACGAGACTGGACGAAGGGCAGCGTTATCTCGCGATTGTGCGTAAATATGTACGTGATACATGACTGAAAACATGTGCAGACTTAGACATATTTCGGGACCACCGATCTACTTATAAGTCGAAAGTAGTACAATGATATGTTTGAATTGATCCCTAGATCAGTCCCTAGATCAGTGGACGATAGGCATTAATCTTCTCTTGTCCGCGGTCCGGCTTGAGATTATAGTGGGTTAACATTAGCCTCACCGAGAATAACTTAAATAAACTCCCTTTCAGTCTCAAAAAAAACTGAAACACCATGGGGAATCGTTGGGGAAAGTTCAGGCACCAGACTAATCGGAGCAGCCATGAAGCAACCCGAGGCTCGACCGTCGTTCGCCCGGTGTTACGTCACTGTAGGACTATTATTGCAGAGTATTATGACTATCCTTGTCAACAACTTTGACTATCCAGCAGCAGCTCTGAGACGAACCTTTCAAGCACGCTATTCATAGCTAGCCGGAGGAGTTCCGAGGAGGTCTGGGTCTTCCCTGATTAGTCAACTCCGTACGAGAAAAACTCCCTGAATCATTGATGGTTCATTATCGAATGATTAGCTCGCGATTCCTATGCCGCTGATGAGTGGACGGAGCTCCTGGCGCGTCGATCGCAAGCGCCCATTTCTCGACTTTTGGAGATATTGATGGAGTGGGAAGACCTGAACAAACTTTGTCGAGTTGTTCTGCCCTTGGGTGCGGGTTGGACTTGGAGCTGTCCCTCGGCGAGACTTGCTTGTAGCGTCTTCATGGATAATGCGCATGCTCCAGGCATTCACTCTTCTGCTCTGCTCACAGCCTTGCCTCGCGCTATGAATAACGCGAGGAAAGACAATGAGCAGAGCAGAAGATTCTCCACGGAGGAGTTTCATCAATCGCGCACACGCTCTATATTAGACCCAACGTGAACAGTACTTGCACGGTCTTCCTTTGATTGGTCTACCTTCAAGGGGATACCGAAGCACCCTGGTGTGCTTCTCAGGTTCGTTCGTCCTTCGAGCCACATCATGAATCATGATTCCATCGTTGTTTCAAGCCGCTGGCGATGGGTTTTCTTCTTCTTTTGACTTATGGTGACATCCGAGTCGCTGAGATGAATTGTGCGTACTGTTGTTTCCTATGCTCGTAGAAATATCGATGCACTCAACAGCAAAACTCTCGACTCGAGGCTAAAAACAAATCAAGTGGTACCAGTCGTATCGAATATTGTCGTCTCAACGAAGATGTAATTGTCAACACGAGTGGTACCACTTACACTACCAGGCCATATGCATTTCAACAACTTCCATCAACTCGAACATCGATACAACAGCACTGACATATCAATACCAAACAAGACATCAGTATCTGATCGTCAGTCGCGATGTCCATCGATGCATCAAACATCCAGGATAAGAACAACCAACAAAAAACCAACCAGACACGCCCAGGCTCAGCACCGCCAAGACTATAATCCATAACCCGCGCTCGCACGTCAATCGATCTTTCGGACTCGTGCTCGCCAGATGGCGTTAGAACTGCCCCAGGTGATCATCACCCCCCTTGTCAGGTGGGCGAGGACGTACGTACCATCATGAATGTTCAAATCACGCCCTGGGCCTGAGATGGGCGTATATAAGGGCCTGCTTGCGCGTCTCGCCATCTATCAGTTTCATTACTGTCGCTCGCTGTTGAGTGCTCTTGATGTATTCTGTATTCTATTCCCCGCTTCCCAGACGTCACGATTCTCCCTAGAGTCTACACTCTGATCAGTCACTGGTGCGCATGCTCTACAACACTCCGACCTCACCACACAAGACACATAAAACCCCTTTTATTGATATGGATACGACGCAGATAATGCCAGTAGATACGACGATAAATAGATACTCTGACACTAGACTTGGCTTTGGCTTTGGATTCGAGGAAGATCTTGGTACATTTTTTCGGTGGAGGAAGGGGTGGGTAAAATGGTAGGTGGAATGATGCGCTTGAAGTAGAATAGAGGAAAGAGGAGGGTAAGTGGGTTCGTGGACGGAGAATCATGAATGGAGGGCGGAAGAATAAAAAAAAATGGTTGGTGGATGGATGAAAAGTGAAAGTGGCGTGAAGGAACTAAATCGACGGACGGGAGGGCTTCCATGGGAATGTTGGATGGAGGAAGTGGAATAGTGGGTGGCGGACAGGCACTAATCTCGATGTGGGGTTCAACCCTGGTGTTGCATTGCAGATACCAACAAACAGCGTCAAATCATCGGGCCGCCCTGCCGCGATTGCGCGATATGGGGTGGGTAAGTTTCTTCGGGTGGGTAAAGCTAAAAGCACTGTTCACATCTTGAGGGGTAAACATTCCGTGAGACCCCTACGCTCGTATGAAGTTGTGGCGCGCGGGTAGTGGAGCTTGAAGTGGCGGGTGAACTTGAAGAGTGGAAGCGTTATGATGTAGTCAAGAACGACGAAAAGACCCAATAAGGAGGAATAACACAGGAAACCAAGGCAAGGCTATGAATGATACAGTGTGCATGGAGGCTGGTGATAAGAGAGAGAAAGAGCAGGAAAAGACACATGGAAGAAAAGCGTGCAGGCATGAAGGACGTGAGCATGAGCATGATGAAGCGGATGTGCCAGAGCGGACGAATCCGGATCTGTAGGGGGTGGCTGCGATGTCGCCAGCTGAAACCAATTCCAATTCCAATTTCCGTAAGCAACGGAAGATATGAATCAAAGTCATATCTCCATATCGCGCTCCTCCCCACTAACCACATCGCCCTCGCGGATTTTTGCACCACTAGCGTCCTCTTTCCGCGCACGCAAACGTCCCCGACCACGTTCCTCATCCTCACCCCGATCCTCGATATCCATCTCCCACTTCCTCTCGGCTTCCCATGAAGACTGTGGCAGGGACGTTTGTGAGGATGCGAGGGAAAGTCTGGATGAATCTGCGGAGTTCGAGTTGGAGGCAGATCGGGAGGAGGGAAGCGGGGGTCCCTCGGATTGCTGCCAGTTCACGCTCGAGGGCGCGGTTGCGCTCTTCGAGATCACGTCCGCGTGAAGCTTGTACACTTACAAGCTGTTGGAGATAACGGATGTATTCCACAGACTGGGGATGTGAAGTCAGTAATAGAACGACTTTCAGGTGAATCAACACGAGGAAAAGGTGCATATATGCAGGAAACGCTTGCACGTATTTGACAAATGAGCGAATACAGTGCAGCAAAGCGCATATATGGCGCATATAGGCAATGCAAAGCGCCGTCCAATCAATAAAACATGGGAAAGGGTACCCACCTTCCTCAAGATCATTCCCTTGTTCGCCTTAATCATCTGCGGCTCAGAGCCGTTTGCGGTAGTGATCCCATTGGTGGGGATACCGCCATTCACGCCACCATTTGCGTTACCCCGGCCTGTTCAGGACGAACATCAGGATCTGCCTTGCACAGCACGCAAAAGACGCACCATCATCTCCATCTTCGCTTGGATCCTTTTTCACAGCACTCCCATTAACAGGAGTGCTGGGTACCTCATTTTCAGGGACATCAGGGAGACCCTCGTCAGAGTTTGCTGCGTCTGGGAGGAGGGGAAGTGAGAATAGATCGTTATTTTCGCCTGGCGAAGTAGCACTGAGGATGGTAGGTGATGTTGGAGGAATAAGTGGCGCTGTGACGATGGATTAGATAATTGGAAAAGATCCGGGGATCGGATTAAAAATCGGGAATAAACGGTTTCCCGAGGAGAGGAAAATAGGAAAGAGAGGGTCCGAGGACCTCAGGGAAAAGTAAATGAATACCCACCATCACATTCAAACAGCACCCCTGGAATCAACCCTGCTAGTTCTCCAATTCTTTCGTTGATGTTGTCTCTCCGTCTTCTCTCGACAGCATTGTGACTCTCCCTCCTTCTTCGTCTCTTTTCTGATAGACCATCACCATCAGAATGCTTTCCTTTGGCAGTTGTAGGTGCAGGGGTAGTACTGCTCCCAAGCATGCCCAAAGTAGACACTTCACTCGGACTGATTCCCATGCTGGGAGTTCCGGTACGGCCAAAGCTACCATAATTTACAGCCACATTATTTTGCGAAGCATATGAACCGGTTTGAGGAGCGTATGAAGCGGTTGCCGCATTATATCCCTGGAAGCCACCAAAGGAATGAGAGAGACTGTCGGGTGTGGGAAGCGAGTATTCGCCTTGACCGGGAACGAAGAAGCCACCCATTGTCGAACCACCACCACGACCTGGGATAACTATAGCATGAGGTCTGGCGGGAGGGGGCGGGGAAGTGCCTGATACATGGGAGCTAATGCTATTGGCGCGGCGATCGCGGCGCGATGTTCGGGTGGGGCCGAGGCTTGGGGCGCGTGAACGGCTACGACTGCGTGAGTTGGGGTTGTGCGGGGATGGGGTGTGGCGGTATGTGAAATGTGAAGGTGGATCTGGGTGTGGTTCGTAACGCATGCTGCTGTTTAAAGCAGGAAGGGTGCTGTTGAAATGGGCATGGGTGTGTACTGGGAGATCGTTGGTGTGTTGTTGTTGGCTGTTTGGATAGATATCTGTTGATGATGGAGGTCGGTAGTGGGTTGCAGGAGCGCTGATATCAAAAATGTTGTGGCGGTATGGGTCTGCATCGTATGTGCTACGCTCATGTGATGGATGGTGAGGGTGTGAGTCGATGAGAGTTGCGAGATCGTCTGTGAATTCGATTGCACTTGGTGTTGGATGAGAGTGGGCTTGAGCAGCACTTGGGAATTTGCGAAATGAGTCAGGGAGGAAAGATAGATTTGGTGGCATGAAAAGATTGTTATTGATTGTGGGGGATGTTGGAGGTGGTGAGGTGGGTGTGTCTGACGGTGAGGAAGCAGTGTGTGGAGGAGAAGGAAGCTGAAAACCTTCTTGTCTTACGACGGTAGTATAGGACATGGGGATACAAAGTGGAGGAATTCGATGGTGTTCCGGCTAATAACTTCACTTTATTATCACTCATCTCAATTTACTATTATTCTCGGTCAATCCGGGGTCTCGGTCCGAGTATGGGAACCCCACTTCAGGCACAAATACCTTTTTATAAACAAATAAATCAAAACAATTACTATTACATCATTCACCTCAATTCTATCATTAGCTCAATTCTCTCTCAGGCCGTCCTCCCACTACTACCCCCGATCCCTCGTAGCCTCGGCACCGCGATATCCTCTCCTCCCCACCGTCCAAAAAATCTGTCATATCTTCTCCCGCGACTGTCCACGATCACCGCAAGCTTTCACTCTGACATGCAAATCATTAAGATTCCTTGACGCACGACGTGCAATCATCATCCATCCTCACACTTTTAAGTTTACATCTACCGACTTGTCAATCTCCGCGATGGCCCCCGCTATTTCACTTGACAGAACACAAAGCCAAATTTCGCAACCGCATCCGATTCTTGACAACTCCTCGCACAGCCAAGCTCAAACATACCATACAGAACAGTCACCACATGAAGCGTGTTTTTTGCTCCATCAACCGTCCTTGATCACCCTAGAATCACCTATTTTCTAGATCAAAAATCGCCTATTGGCGCACGTCTACTACCGGTACGGAGCTAAATCAGTCTTACGTGCGAGCGCGATGCCACCTATACAACAAGTTCCTCACCCTCAATCTGATCGAAACGTCGGATAGAACCACAAGCTACCAGATCAGGAAACAACAGCTATTCAGATCAACAGTACACCTATGATACCGGGAGCAAGATAGAGGAGGCAGGCACATCATCATCTCCTTCGGAATTCTTCTCTCCTCTACCGCGACGCATTCAGACCGCCCCGGGACGCCGTTGCCAGCTTCATTTCACTGGCCGATTGTAATCGAGCATACACCACTGGATTCTTTTTAATCAACCTAACCTGCTCTGTACTCCCAGGCGCGGCTCGGCGTAGCCGCCGCATACTTTAACTTTCTTTTTTTATGGTATCGGATTTTATTTCTTCTGGGTTCTGAACTCTATGCTGCATTAACCTACTCTAGAAGCTCTGTCGTAATATATTATCACACGCATACTAGACTCCATCGTCATGGATGACGACAGGGGTGAGAGATGGCATAGGCGTCGAGAAATTTTGGGTAGGCGTGGTGTCGGCGGTGGTGATGTCTGCCTTCTATCTATGACTCAAGCGATAATTCATATCATATCTCCAAAAAGTTAGTACAGCTCAGTCAGACCCTTGCATATGGCAGCATCATTCCCGCCCACAATTATGAAAGCCGCCAACTCCTTATTGACCGGTATACGTCCTAGATAAGCTGCAAACGGAAAGCCGCTGGATGTTACATACACACTCCGATGATGGCGCATGTGTAGCACAAGGAGGATCCAAGAGATCAATGTTAAAAGTGTAGAGGTACCGTAATGTCATGATGAACCGGAGGCAATGTCAGAGAGCAGCGCAGTGCAATATGGAGCCGTCCCGCGCAAGGTTTCGCATTTGGGATGCTATCTGAAACAGCCAGCGCCAGCGCCCAGCACACCAACCAATAGGAACACAGAGAACCAACACAGCCCACCCGTAAGCATCCCAACGGTATTGGCGAAACAAGAATAGTAGGCGGCAGCTTCGAAAACGGGCATCAAGTCGACTGAAAGCGGGCATCACCTCAACGAACGGTAGAAGCGGAGGAATAGGCGGGCGTATGCAGGAAAAAAAAGGCGCGGAAATTGCCGTCTGTAGGGAATGCACCTACATTAGAAACGAACATAAAAGCGAAAAGGCGATGAAGATAGATATGATATGACAGGGCGGGCCAACGATATTCCACCACCCGGTGCGCACAGTGCGGTACATTGTTAGTAATAGTAACGCCTCCACAAGCGGGCCACCCGGACCGGCAATGTGTAGGATTTCGAAGGAAACTCATTGTATTGAGGCGGGAGAAGGTATGGCAGATGTGAGATTATGTTGCGTAGAGGTATCGACGGGACTGGGAAAATCTTGGCGCACTGATAATGATAATGATTAGCTTATGATATCGGGATTCGCTGAGTGGTCTAGGCGCGTCGCACGTCTGTGCCGGGATTTTCAATGACGATGGAATGGGCGGTGGGTGCCCCCGCGGGCGTAAGTTTATCCTAAGATTAGATGTGATGAGATTGCGGAAGCGTAGACGTAGGTGATAAGATCGGACGCGCCTTTGTCTTATCATGGTTCCAAATCAGCGTACAATGTTATGGCGGTGGACGATTATTTCATCCTTAGCATATCACCATCGCTGAAATGATCAGTAGACGCTCGCGGACTAGTGTTAAGCCAACCGACACGCTTTTGGTAATTGTCAGTCATGAAAGAACACCCTTCGACTGACAGATCATGGAAGAATGAACAGAAGAATAGGCACCAAGAATACAAGGCAATGATGAAAAGCATCAGTCCTTAGGAGGCTCCAATTCCCACCTCCGCCATAAAATAGAAAATATAACATACCCAAAAATGACCCACATATCTCAGGCATTCAGTTTCCCTTGCGACGGAGGCTAAAGAAATAGATAGTCGCACCGCCAATATGCAACAACATCGAAAGGCTTGATTCCACGAGGCACAATCTTCCTCGACGATGGTTACTGCTGGTTACTGGCGAAGGTTGACATTGCTTGACAAGTAAGAAATCCGACTCGGACTCGGATAACATGCGAAACTTACAAAGACACTCGCCAAAGTATACGACCCTGAAAACGTGCTGAAGGAGCTAATCCGGTTTAATGAAAAAGAACCCACTCCATAGATGCCAGCCAAGCTAGGGGGAAGGTGAAACTTGGGATTACCAGAAAGCGCCACCGCGGATCGCGGAAGGTATTGCCCGATTAAAGCCGACGGACCGAGAGATAATGTAGGAGCATAGTTGAACCATGGAAGCATACATAAGAGCACGATAAAGTCATTAACAGGGGCCCTACGAGGCGAGATGAGTTGGCGGGAATACAGAGCGGCAATTAATCGGAGACAATCACTGTGAATACGGCGAGGGAATTCATCAGTTGTAGAACACCACCGCGGACAACAGGGGCTTTTCACCGGCAGAAGGACGGAGTAGTTGCAGCAAATACTTGGTGTGTTCAGGGGTTCGGCCGGCGTCAGGAAAACAAAACCGGCAAGGTAAAGAAGTTGTTGGGGGTTGACAGAACAGCATGGCGCACGACACCGTGAGAACCGACTGCATGCTGTCGACCGCATCAGTGTTCTGAAGATCTGGGGCTGGGCCAGTACGGATTCGCACGACGAGAAGCAAGAGATCCCTTGAAGCAGATTGACCGGCCCGTATGTCGCGCCGCCTTCTGCAGATTCGAAGACGAGCTTGCTTCGCAAAGTATGGGCTGACTAAATCATAGTTCAATGAACATATGCATTCGCAAATGCCAATCTGAAAACTAGAACACTAACCAATCCGAGCGAGCGGTGGAGCACAGTTCCAGGAATAGGGTCGAATATTCGGTCCTTGGTACCGGTGGTGTACTGTTCGTAACTGCTGCGAATAGGACGGATCCTGGATGAGGGGCAAAAATAACACTGGCTGATTAGATGAAATGTATCGAGTCAATCGTCCAAACAATCGATGTGGAGAAGGTAGCTGGTACGTGGCGTATTGCAGTGCGTTCCGTAGCATGGGTAGTGCACTTCTGGAGGAGCACGCTCAGCGGCCGTGTTGGGGCAAGTATCTGCAAGATAGGTAACATTTCGGTTGTGAGTGATACTCCACAGGACGATATAACGGTACGCGATGCTTCCGTCAATATCTTGAACCAAACATTCGTTTAGAAACGAACGTTTGCGCAAAGATGACGAATGCCCCTGACAAGAAGTTGTAACTCACCTAGGATTATCCGAGGAACCACCGCCGGCTAGTATATGGTTGCCGTGTGTCCCATGCATAAAGGTGGCTTGAGGCACTAGCATCGCTCACATATCGCACCCCCCACTGAACTTGGATAACCGAAATGTCAGAGCATCCTCTAGAGAAGATAACTCCAAGGCAAGACGTTATCATGGACCGCTGGCTTCCATCTAATCCATTCTACAGTGCCATTACGGCAATCAGCGCGAACCAAGTGCGCAGCTCAGTTGGGGTTTGAAAATCCAAAGACGTAAATCCAACAACGGGCGCAACGTATGGTCCGACGCAGATGACATGTACTCCGCTTTCTGGAAGTATACTGTCGAACCGGGCCAGACCAATTGAGATCTCTTGACAACGGGCCACAAAGCCATATGAATTTGACAGCATTCTTCCAGTCCTGTGTTGACGGCCCGAACTTGATGGTTGAAGCACAAAATGTCGACTTGTGGCCAACTATGGAGGGATTGGTCAACACCGCACTTCGCGCGCAAGGTTACTCATGCGTACCGACGAGCGTCCCTTTTCTCATATTCATACTCCTTTCTTCATCTCCCGGTGTTTCGCCATATTAACGAGGTTACCATAACCCGCTTCAGTAAGTTTATCTTGAGCTGGCCAGCATCCAAGTCGAACAGTTGCATTGCAAAGATCGTCAGAAGTGGCACTAGAGTCTAGACGAGTATTTTTTTGGTGGTGGCTAGGTTAACCCAAAGGAGAAAGAGGCGATAAAGCCGAAAATGGAGCGTGTCGCACTTGTTTGACATGATGACAAGGGTGCGGAATATGAAACGGACCTACTGTGTTTTGAAAGAACTGGGTCGTTCGAAGCATGTCAAACCAGCAGGTTCCGGGAGAGAACTGGCGCAGAGATGCCAATCGGAGACATCGCTGTAGAATCCGAGAGAGAGACGCTGAGAATGCAGTCGTCCTATAGAACGGTCTATTCGAAAGAGTAGATCCATATGCAGGCATGGATGCGGGGTAATGGGTTTGATGCGGCGACTAACGGACCGCAAGTAGTGCTAGTGATGTGTAACCTTGTTTTTGTTCAGCCCAGCGACCTTGGCAACAAATTTTTGGACGTCGTAAGTGCGATCAAACCTGCGACCCCGAAGACTCTGGGGAATTGGAAATCAACTAAGACCTCCACCAAACTCACTAGCTGACACATTTTCCTCCATCATCGCAGTATTCGAGAACCACAGATTGCACGCAAGGTTGAGTTTCTGGTAGAGTATACCGTCTCACACGATGGGATTGGTCCAATGAACTCCAGGCCCCGTGAATATAGCTGGATCGGTAGGAGCGTGTGACGTTGGATGTCGTTCTCAGGCGTCTAAATGAACTTCGGCTGCTGAATACATAGGCCGGCGAGCACAGGCAGTTCGATGTCGCGGTGGAGACGACGGAAGGCAGAAGAGATAGTAGTGTCGACAGTCTAGTCGACTACTTATAGCTTATTAACCTGACAACGCCTCCCTGATCAAGCCCGACAAAGGCTATCTCAACGTACCACCTGACATGATCATCGACCGTTAGTGGCAAATCAGCTGGTTCGCTTCTAGCCTCAGCGAGTAGTATCTGGTGACGGCGCTCTGTCATGTAGGCGTACTTGTCGGGTAAAAAGCTTCAACCAAGAAGCCACGATCGACGTACGAACGTGGTCATCTGCCGAGAATTTGTCCATAAACAGGTCACCTGCTTCACAAAATAGTACTCATCTGACTATCTGCCGATTGTCACATCAACCAGGAAGTTTGGATTACGGTTGGAGTCTGTGCGTAATGCGGTCGTCGAGGTAACCTGTTTTGTGTTCATCTATTGTCCTCACTGTATGTTTAGTGATCGTTCTAGGTACTTATCGGCGTCATCTCCCAATCTCTATGGGCCCCATGAACGAACCAAACGCAATGGGGACAGCTCACCGGCCTCCCGATCAGCGGTGATAACCACAAGAAGCACAGCAGATTCCAAATATACACTTGAAGCTGTGACGCGGTTCATTCGCGCCAGAAATCTTAAGTGATTATGATTCCGTGGCTGGCAGGCAAAGTGGGTTTGTGAAAAGATGTGAGTTTCCGTTTTCCATCAAGGGTTTGATCGGTTCTAAGAAATTGTGAAGGGTGTCGTTAATGAAACATTTGATGCCTGTCCTGCATTCTTCAACGGGATGCACCATAAATGACGTCGCATCTGATAAGCTAGCGCTCACCCTTCACTTGTACAGATATCGTGATATGGAGCAGGCAGTGTTCTTCCATAGTCTAATCGGGACCTTGTGAGAGCAGCCACTGGTATTCTTGTAGTAACATTCCTCGATCAAGCAGTCTCCAAACGCCACCTCCCAAACGCTCTCTATGACTCCAATTTGTCACTCCACGGCCTGGCCCCTCTCCGTCATGTCTAATCCCTGCACCTGCTTCTGCTGCGTAATCTTTGCCATCCTCAAGTCATATGCAAAGGTGAGCAGGTAAAAGGTGTACCCGAATCCAATGATCCACTCGATGACTCCTCCGACATTTGGAGCGTAATATAGCGTGATGCCAAAGGCGATAGCTAAAACAATGAGGATGCTTCCAATGACGGCTTTCACCAAGTATGCGCGCCGAAGCTTTGTTACGTCTGGATGATTATGAGCTAACCAGCTGTACTCCAGCACGGTGAAAATCACGGAGAGAATGACACCGAGGGCGAAGATGAGTAGGAAGAAGCGGTGGGCGGTGCTGTAATGTTTTGTGTCAAAGCCGGACAGGAAAATGAGGCCCCACATTCCGATGAATGATCCTAGGATGGCAAGAATCTCAAACACGCGCTCTCTTTTGCGCATGGAGGGATGGAGCCTGCCTCTGTGCCGTAAAAGGCGTTCGAACATGAGAGAAAGCATGAAGCCTATGCCAGTAATGCAACAGCTAACGACGAATAGTGGTTTGAGGAAAGACGCGCCAATGTCTGAGATGTATGCGACCTGTCCTTCTTGAGAGACGTATTGGGGACGTCCAGATATAATCCAGGTAAGAAGCATGGCAAGTAGGGTTGCAAACCAAAAGAATGCAGTGAATAGTGGCACACAAACGAACAGCCGATGGCTCTGCGTCGAAAGGTGTAAACCGAACATCGTAGTTGGTACTCTGACTGACAGAAAGACAGTCGCAAGGAGGGAAAATGAGTTTGGAGTTGAGGTGCGGAGTGGAGCTGTTTGGGAGCCAAATAGGAGCCATGCTAGATTCGTCTTGGACCGAACTCGAATGTTGTCATCATGATCGGTTTTGATAGCTCAAATGGCTTCACATGGGCTGGGCAGCTTGCCGTTGATGTAAGTGCTATAGGAATTTTTCACGTCCTTAATGTACATCTTCCGCCACGCCTGTCAGTCTTTCTACCCAAAAAAATATAGGATATAGAACAAGACGCACCTTTCCACTGTCCTCCCAGATTTCTGCCCGTTGTCTGCTTAGTACTTTTGAGTCAAATAACGATTTCATTCTGTTGGGACTGTCTTTGAGCTTGTCTGGCACCCGGTCTTTACGCTTTGGCCACTAGTACTGTGAAGGAAGATGCATTTTGGAATAAAAGTGCCATTGAGATTATAGAGGCAGAGAGACGGATATGGCGGGTGTATATGCGGGGAGGAGAATGGTTGATGGGTGACATAGCGTTTGAGGGTTGGTCGCAAACGCCGCCCGGTGCTGAGACAGATGACTGCAGCTGTCGGTAGCGAACATATAGATGGACCTAGTCACCCCTTCGCAGACCAAATATACGTGAATTTAGAAGGATAGCAAGCTTAAGCTCGCGGTAGAGATTCAGAAGGACAAAATTTAAAGACCAAGTCTTTCACGTCGTGTGCTGGTGAGCCAGTCACGTGATATCAGATATCAACGTGTTCGACGCTTACGTCTTGCCGAACTTTTGAATCATCCTCGATTAACGTTGACTAGGAACGTCGAGGCGCGGAACCTTCTATTGATATTTGACTCCATTATGATGCAAATCGAAAAAGTCTCAACGCACCCGGAACTGCCTTCTGTCGCTCCCCGGAGCAGCGAACAATTTGCCCAAAATATTTGGGATGACTCTAGTATACGAGGCTGATTGACCAATGGTTTGAGACCATGCGGTACTTTATCATTAACTCAAGCATGCTCCTATCTGACCAAAAACAGTTCGTTCTATTTCATCAGCTAACGGGTCGTCGTTTGATTGGGCCAGCGCATTATCTTTTTGACTTTGCCCACAGTGTCTATACTCACGTCCAGTGGTATACAGACATGGCTTCAGAGAACCTTCATGCAATCTCCGCTGACTGGCTCAAAAGACTAGAGCTCGCATCGTCCACCGGAGATGTTATGTCATTTGTGAGTCATTTCCATTCGGACGGATGGTTGAGAGGTCAGTGCAAGTTGTCCAAGCAACTCAGGCATTAATAAATACTCTCAGATCTTCTATGTATGTCTTGGAATTTCAGGGCACTATCAGGACCCGAAAAAATACACGAATTTCTCTCGGAGGTCGTTGATGGAAAGTCACGACTTGACAATTCTGGTCTTTGTGACTTCAAGCTAGACGATCACACCGTCAATTCGCCTTCGCCATTTAAATTCCCAGGTCCGCAGGGCATTGAAGGAGTACAAGGTGCTTTCAGCTTTAGCATTACGAACCCAGCTGCACTCGGGCGAGGATTTTTCCGTCTGACTCCAGACGTCGACGGAACATGGAGGGCTTTAACTCTTTTCACAAATATGCAGGACCTCGTCGGATACGAAGAGTCTTCCGAAGGCCAGCACGGTATATGTGAGGGTCAAAAAATGACTTCGGAGGAGTTTGTCGACGCAAAATTGCGTGCTATAGAGGCAGACCCCACCGTTTTGATCAGTATGCTAATTCTCTTAATAATCCTGCCGACCTGACGAGTCATGAAAAGTTGGTGGTGGACAATCCGGCCTTACCTGCGCAGCACGACTGGGTCGGTTGGGGATCCGTGCGCTCGTGATCGAGAAAACTGCGCGCGTCGGAGACTCCTGGCGACAGCGGTATGTGCAAACACAGCGATGCTATCTTTCTGTGTTATTAAATATATGCGAATCCCAGGTACCCTAATCTTACGCTGCATACTCCCGCATATATGAGCTCCAGTGTGTTATATCATTTTTCTACGAGAGGCTCTGGGCTAATTTATACACAGTACTGTATAGCCCCTATCCGTATGTGCCTTGCGCAGTTCACAGGTATCGCATATCTCAATAATGCTAGGACAAACTTCCCCAAGTACATTCCTATGGGGAAACTTGCTGATTTCCTGGAGTCGTATGCTGCTAATCAGGAATTATGTATCTGGCTGTCGAGTATCGTCGCCTCAACTCCGATATATGACTCATCATCGGCAAGATGGACTGTCGAAATACAGCGTGGAGACCAAAAAGTTATCCTCCACCCAAAGCACCTAGTACTTGCGACAGGAGGCGGGACCCCTCACATTCCTACTTGGAATGGAATGGACGAATTCCAAGGAACGTTGTATCATTCCGACTTCCATCAAGATGCGGAGCAGTTCCGAGGCAAACGCGTTGTCGTTGTGGGCGCAGTAGGTCATATGTGTCCATTTCATACTTGCGCGTGTACTCACGAGACCGTTAGGGCAACGCTAGTGGAGATATATGTCAAGATTTTGTCGCACATGGTGCTGCTGAGGTGCGTGTATGGATTGGATATATGAAAGTCATGATTTCACGAGGGAGAAAAGGTGACAATGATCCAAAGAAGTGCCACATGCGTTGTATCGATTACTACCGCAGAACAAACCTACTTCAAGGTGCCTTTCCCAGAAAGCAACCCTATCGAGGAACTGGATTTCCGCATGAATTCAATGCCTCGGGCCTTTCTCCTGCAACTGAACAAATCAGGTGGGACACAACACGTGAAGATGTTCGACGAGGAACTCCACGAAGGTTTGCGCAAGGCTGGGTTCAACTTGACTTGGGAACTTGAGCCTGGTAGTGGCGAGGTTGGGCTGGATGGCTTTGTGTTAACCCGTTTGGGAGCAGGAATCAGTGCGTTTGGATCTGTTCTTGTCACGAGTGACATTTCTAACAACATACAGTGATTGATATTGGTTGTGGTAAGCTAATCGTCGAAGGTAAAATCAAGGTCCGTATGACGTATCCATCGTCGAGGGCCTTGTGACAGTTGCGACCTGCGTGCACTAGATAAAGCAAGGCCAAGACATCAGTCACTTCAACAAAGACGGGGTCGTGTTTAATGACGGCTCTAAGCTCTCAGCAGATGTTATCGTCCTGGCGTATGGTCTGACTTGTAGTTTCTTGTCTATCTTTCTCACATGTGTTGCAGTACAGGCAATGAATCCGTCTCGAAGGCTGCCAGAGCTTTTCTTGGTGACAAGATTACCGAGCAGCTTTCATCCAAGATGTGGGGACTCGATTCAGAGGGAGAACTCTATCAGACATATAGACCCTCTGGACATCCGGGACTTTGGTTCGCTATCGGTCCATTTGTAATCACACGTTTCTTCAGTAAGCACCTGGTGAGCTACCTTCCTGTGTCGGGCTATATAGCTTTTGATGAATGTGGTGATACAGGGTCTTCAGATCTTGGCACGAGAGCTCGGTATAGCATGACAAAAGGGGTGTTGTCGTTATACATAATATACTCCAGGCCAGAATCACAGATACTGAGAACACTGCGAAGACCTGCACCCAGAGTCCAGACCGGCTGTAACTCGCACATTCACATTCGTGGGAGCCAATACCCGGATGCGCTTACAATGTCCACGCAGCAATTTAGCGCTGGCCCATTCAAGGCACGAAGATGACGCCGAGGTGAGTTTACACGTACTAGTAAGTTTGGCACAGCAACTCGTCGATGGTCGATCTCTCCTTCATCCACTGCATCGGCAAGCACTGGGAAGTCGTGTCGCGTCTCCGAGTCCTCTTTCTGTTTTCGTTTGTACTGATGTCGCCATACGTGACCGCATCATGATCCGTATACAAATGATTAAAGAATATACCACTTACACGGGCATACGCGTAAACTGTGACATTGACGGGTCGGTGTGTACCCGTACCCGTGGAGGGTACGGTGTTGGCAGGTGCGGGTATGGTGTCAACTTTCCGACTTTCAGTATTACCCGTGCGGTACTCTAACCTGGTCCCTTGTCCAGATTCCAGCTTATGAAGGGCCGATCCACGTACCGCGCAGCTCGCGAGCCGATGATGAAAGGCATACAAACGTTTCTGAGTTCTTCAACATGTTGAACGCCTATACTTACCAGGTGCGGTTGAGATTGGGGTCTGCTGATAACGATAACTGCATCGGATGATACATCCACATGGACGTACAATTGCTCATGGTGCTTAGCGGATGCGAATGATGCATCAATGGTTATTCTCTGTTTGCATGCTGCTAATCGTTATATATCGATCAAACGACATGATGAGTTTTGCAACATATGTAGCTAGTCACTATATAAGTCACGGTACTGGTGAATGAAATACACCGAAGTTCGATGTCTGCAACTCATGAGTACCGCTGCACCATTTCTTTCACCCAGGTTTTGATTAACACCCACATCGGTCTTCGATAACGTTCCACCAAGCATCAACTCGGACGTAATCTGAATCCAGCCAATTGATAATGGGCGCTTTCAAAACACGCATTCGTCGTTTATGTAAATTGTATGTAAATGTCCTCTGTGCGGATATGACACGGCACCATCCCATCAGTAAACTGGTGAGACTCAGATATTCCCAGCCGAGGTGGTTCTTACCTGTATATTGTGATACAAAGTAATATAAAGTAATGTAAAGTGATGTAAAGCAATATATGGGTCCGAACTGATCCTGAATTGGGGCGATTAGATTGCTTTAGATTGCTTTATATTACTTTGTATCGTAATATACAGGTAAGAAGCATTGGGCTTACAAAATCTGACAATATCAAGTAATATCTAAGTCTCACCGGTTTACTGATGCCATTCTGCGTGTCATACCCCACCTTCCTCGTTCCTTTTGCACCAAGAAAAACCACAAGACTCAACCTCAGCCGTCCTTCCAACTTCATCCATGAATGAATTCAATATTCCTCCTCGGAAAAAACGCTTGCCGGGGTGGCTGAAGAAAAGTCGCTCAGACCCTCATTTGTCAGAAGAGAGAGGAGGCAGGAGGGCAGCCGATGATGTATGTACTTTCGTCTTTACAACTATGCATTGTTTCTAATCATTACAGACATCCCCCCTCCCGCCTTCGAGGAATGGATCTCGTGGACGATCCCCGGGGAAAGTTAGCAAGTTCCTTGCCAAGTTGCCCAACCCCTTCCATCGAAGCGCTCGACAGTCTCCCAACCCTGAAACCACCGCTGGAAGCTCCAGCGCACAAACCCAGGTATGTGTAATCTCAACCCTGTGCATATCCATGTGCGATGATTACTGGCGCAGGATCCCTCATCACTCATCACTCCCACTCCTGAACCGAATATTGAACAGTCTTCAAACTCCGGGATGGCAGAAGTAAGTTCAACCAACGCAGTTTTGAATATCCTTTCGATAATGACCTAACGTAGGTCGATCATCTCGACCCGAAAATTGTGAATGAAAGAATCACCAGTGCCACCAAAGGTCTCGTAGGTATTGGCCTTGTCCCAACAATTATCCAAAACGCTTCTTCGGCACCTGACAACTCCCAACACCTTTCCGATGTGGTCGACACATTGTCCCCGCTTCTTCAACCCTTGAAGGTGTTCAACGCCGTTGCGAACGTGATTGCAGATGTACAGACAACCATCTCTGTTCTGTACGCAGCTAACTTTTTTACGTAGGTACATCCCTACGCGAAGGCGGCATTAAGTATCTTCACTTGCGCGTCCAAGGTGGGCCTTTTAATATCATTACCTTTACAGATTAACGAGGTTTATTGTGACAGATGATTCTCGATCAGGCAAAGCGTGATGATGCTGTTCTTGGTCTCCTCACGAAGATCTCAGACGTCTATGCTTTATTAACGGAACGGGAGGCGCTTGCCAGGATTGCATCCATGCTAGAGATATGTGGAAAGATTGCGCGACAGACACTCGAGTGTGCCGACTTCATCGTCCATTACTCGGACATGAAGAGTTTCTGTGAGTCGTTTCCATCAGTATCGCTCAATTCTCAGTCTCTCTTTACAGGGCAAAGACTTGGCAAGCACGTCTTCAACGAAACAGAGGCCGCAATTGAAAGCCATAACGATGCTCTCGACAATCTCATGCAACAGTTCCGCGATCAAATGACTCTTACCACCGTCGGAGCTGTCCACCGTATCGGTAAGAGTGGCTTTAAGTTCTTTTCGAGCTTTCTCTGAAATTCGATACCAATAATTCAGCTGAGGACCTGGACGTTAGTGGTATGGAATATGTGCCTGGTGCTGGACGGAATACATCCAAGAATTGTCTCCCAGGCACTCGGGAAGACATTCTGTCCGAGGTCAAGTGCTGGATCCGTAGCACGGGAAAAGACGTACCACAGGTCCTATGGTTGTCTGGCACTGCAGGGAAAGGCAAATCAGCCATCGCACATACCATAGCCAACTGGTCTCATGAGCGTGGGGGAATGCGAGCTTGCTTTTGCTTTGACCGCACAAGGGAAGCCGAACGCCGCCACGAAAAGATTTTCACCACAATCGCACGCGACTTTGCCGATTGCGATATTACCATGCGGGAGGCACTAGCGCGTGCGGTTCATGATGACAACGAGCTCAAGCATGCGGTAGACATCTCAAGACAATGGCAGCAGTTAGTCGTAGCACCAATTGGTGAGGCCTCGAAAGACATCACCGCACCTGTATTGATCATTATCAATGCCTTGGACGAGAGTGGGGACCCCAAATCCCAGGAACAAATTCTTCATCTGCTTGCTGGCAACCCCGACACTTCTTCCTCCCCACTATCCCCACTTCCGTCAAACTTCCGTATCATCGTCACTTCCCGTCCGCTCCAAGATATTCGTGACGCCCTGGATGCATCCCATGTCCTCTATGTCTCCATGGATGATGATATCCCAGCTGCGTCTACCGAACATGACATACAGGTTTATATTTCTGACAGGCTGAAAGCTCTGCGTCACACCTTCAATGATGCGCACTTCGAGGCACTCGCCCTGAAAAGTGATGGCCTGTTTGAATGGGCTCGTCTCGCCTGCGAGTATATCAAGGGTACAAACAGAGTTGGCCTGGATCCGACAGATCGCTTCGACGCTGTGGTTGGTGGAACATCTGACAAAGGCACATGCCTGTTAGATGTTATGTATGCACGCATCTTAGCAGAATTCATGCCAGAGGACGAACGTGGGGAATCTATCCCTGTGTTTCGCTCTGTGATGGGGCAAATCCTTGCCTCGTTAGAACCACTTCCCATGCCTGCATTGATGGCCATGCGACTGTATTTTCCTGATGGGCGTAGCCGTTACAAAGTTGACCGGGTCATTGGGCCATTGGGCTCACTTTTGGCCGGCATCACGGATTCTCATTCTCCCATTCGTCCCCTCCACGCATCCTTCTACGACTTCCTCACAGACAAATCGCGGAGCCATGACTTCTTCGTTGATGCATCGGCGGTACAGAACGATCTTGCATTTGCCTCGCTTCGGGTTATGGAGCGCAGACTTCGCTTCAACATCTGCGCATTGGAGAATTCGTACTTGCCCAATTCAGCTATCCTTGACTTGGAGAAACGCGTGAAGGATTCTATTTCTGCTGAACTATCTTACTCGTGTCGATTCTTGGGGACTCATGTGGGCGCGACGTCTTTCGCATCGTCGCTCGCTAAGGAGATTGAAGCCTTCTTCGACGGAGAGCGCCTCCTTTGGTGGTTGGAAGCACTGGCTCTAATGAAGGGCCTCAGCGGTTCAGTAGGGACCCTCTCGTCGATCGCAGACTGGATCACGGTACGTAGCTCAACTCATTCTCAAGACCAATGAAATTTTAAGAGTAGTTGGGTGGTTGTAGGGTCACGTTAAGTATACACATATCGGTGACACTGCCAAGGATATCCAGCGCTTCGTTCGAACTTTCGGGGGCACCATTGCACACAGCACACCTCATTTATACTTGTCCGCCTTGCTGTTTGCTCCAACGCAGTCCAGAATATTTCGCAAGTTCGCCGCAAAGTTTCCTTTCACCCCCCGTATCGTTGCTGGCCATGTCACAAATTGGCCTCGGATGGAAAAGATACTCCATGTGAACGACCACGTTTACTCGGTTGCAATGTCGCCAGATGGAAAACGCATCGCGTGTGGTTTAGTGGATGGAACGATCCAGGTGTGGGATATGGAGACTGGCGAGGCATTGTGTGATCCTCTTCAAGGCCACCTTGACACTGTGTCGTCTGTCACATTCTCGCCGGATGGAAAGCACATCATGTCAGGTTCACTTGACAAGACAGTTCGGGTGTGGGATGCAGTGACAGGAAAGGCATCGGGTTCCCCTCTCCAAGGCCATACTAGTGGTGTTACATCTATCGGAATCTCATCGAACGGAAATAAGATCGTATCTGGTTCTTGGGACAGAACTATCCGGGTGTGGGATATGAGGACTGGCGGGGTGTTTGGTCACCCTCTCGAGGGGCACACTGACTCTATTCAGTCGATCGCAATTTCGCAGGATGGGAAACACATTGTATCCGGTTCGGAAGACAGGACGATCCGTGTGTGGGATATGGAGACTGGCGAGGCGTTTGGTCACCCTCTCAAAGGCCATACTGACTATGTTCGGTCGGTCGCAATTTCGCAGGATGGGAAACACATCGTGTCCGGATCGGGTGATAATACGATCCGGGTGTGGGATATGGAGACTGGTGAGGCATTTGGCGCCCCTCTCCAAGGTCACACTTCCTCTGTTCAGTCTGTCACAATTTCATCGGACGGAAACCGTATCGTGTCTGGTTCAAATGACCAGACAATCCGAGTGTGGGATTTGAAGACTGGCGAGGCACTAGGATCCCCTCTCCAAGGCCATACCAGATCTGTTATGTCTGTCGCCATCTCACTGGATGGAAACCGCATAGTGTCTGGTTCAGACGACTGGACGATTCGGGTGTGGGATGCCAACACTATGCTGAGCAAGGCATTGGTTGCTGCCCTCCAAAACCACACTGCCTCCGTTAATTCTATTGCAGTCTCGCCAGATGGGAAGCGCGTTGTCTCTGGTTCAGATGATAGGACAGTTCGGGTGTGGGATATGGATATTGGTGATGCGTTGGTTGCCCCTCTCCAAGGGCACACTGACTCGGTTCTGTCTGTTGCAATCTCGCCCGATGGCAAGCGGATCGTGTCTGGTTCAGACGACATGGCCATCTGGGTGTGGGACATGGGGACTGGCGAGGCATTGAGTGCGCCTCTCCAAAGGCACACCACCACTGGGGTTACCTCCGTCGCAATCTCATTGGATGGAAACCGCATCGTGTCTGGTTCATCTGACATGATCCAGGTGTACAATGCAGTGGAGTCTGGCAAAGTATCGTGTGCTTTTCTCCAACGTAAATGGCACTTTCGTGATGTCGCGTCTGTCGCAATCTCGCCAGATAGAAACTGCATTGTGTCTGGTTCACGAAGTGGTACAATCTGGATATGGAATGTAGAGACTGGAAAGCCATTGGGTCCCTCTCTCCGGGGCCACACTAGCAAAGTTCGGTCTGTCATGGTGTCACCGGATGCAAAATGTGTTGTGTCGGGTTCAAATGACATGACCGTCCGGGTGTGGGATATCGGGACTGGCAAGGCCTTGAATGCACCTCTCCAAGGGCATACTGACTGGGTTACCTCTGTCGCAATCTCTCAAAATGGGCAACACATTGTGTCTGGCTCACATGACGAAACGATCCGGGTGTGGGATATGAAGACTGGCGAGGCAGTGGGTGCCCCTTTCCGAGGGCACACTGGTTTTGTTATGTCTGTCGCAATCTCGCCTGATGGCAAACACGTTGTGTCTGGGTCATCCGACAAGACGATCTGGGTGTGGGACCTAGAATTTCTTAACCGGCACCGACTTTTCGAAGCATCTACAATATGTTTCTCATCTGACCTATCTCACGCCCTTCATTCCACCTCGTCCTTTCTCTCAGATTCTGAAACCCCAGCTCCTTCTGGTCCGAACAAGGAGGGGTGGGTTGTAGGTCCCGAAGGACGGCTTCTCCTCTGGATCCCACCCACTTTCCACCCGACAACCTTCGCCCAGGGCAATGTATTGGTGATACCCACCAACGCCTTACAGCTGGACTTGAGTCGTGTTGTGCATGGCACGTCATGGCACGAGTGCCGGACGCAGGAGGCCGTGTCATATTGGCGATAGATATCCCTCGGGTCACGCCATATGCATGTACTTTGTCCTTTGACTGAAGATGGCCATTCTACACAATTTTAGTACGTACTACACATATTTGCCCTGTTGCAATGCTTCATTACGACTTCATTTGTGCTGTTCTGTTCTGCTTTCTTCAAGTTCACTACTCCACGATGTCATCTATAACCATTATTTCTCGCCCGTTGCAAAGCTCGAAAAAACCACCGTCACGTTCTCTGGCACAGTCTCTGATGCTGATCTTGCACTTCCGTGTAGGCACAATGACTACAAAGACAGAATATTTGTATCTCAGCCTAACTGAGACACGTATCCGATTCTGAACGCCCCCACTAACACGCAACTCACTTCACCATGCCTCACCATTCATCGATATTCAATATTGTTCCTCAGTATCTGTGATTCTGACCTGCAGTATATCATATACAATGACAACACCCCTTTTGTCATGCTATACTGAGCTCTCGTGCCAAGATCTGAAGACCCTGTATCACCACATTCGTCAAAAGCTATATAGCCCGATATAGGAAGGTAGCTCACCAGGTGCTTACTGAAGGGTTGCGACCCATGTCTTCATCAATGCTCTACCCTCGCGCTCAACGGCCCGACATTCTTCTTTATTGCCAGAGACATCGAAATCAAAGTTGACCTCTTCCCCATGATCAGAGCGGCGAGGGGTGGCGCACTTCCTGTGTTATGAGAGAAGATTAGCCATGCGGAACCAAAGCTCTGTGCGCCAGTACTGTGAGCCAGACCGGCTGTAACTTGCACATTCACATTCGTGGGAGCCAAGACCCGGACGCGCTTACAATGTCCACGCAGCAATTTAGCGCTGGCCCGTCAAGGCATGAAGATGATGTCAAGGTGAGTCTACACGACGTACTAGTAAGTTTGGTGCAGCAACTCGTCGATGGTCGATCTCTCCTTCATCCACTGCATCGGTAAGCAATAGGAAGTCGTGTCGTGTCTCCGAGTCCTCTTTCTGTTTTCGGTTGTACTGATGTCGCCATACATGACCCCGCATCCGCGTTCAAATGATTTTTTCAAGCCTGAATGTGTAATCTACATCACTTACATGGGTAAATGAATTTAGCGAATGCTTTAACCTTGGAGCTAATGCTATCCGCGCCGTGGCAGCTAACGACTAGATGAAAGGCAAGCAAACGTTTCTGCCGATTCAAGCGGTGTGTGCTTATGATAACAATTCCAGCGCCCGTACCAGGTGTAACCACCTGCCATATGATTGGCTAATCCATATTTAACATACGTGGTCAACTGCTGTCAGCGTCACAGTGATACAACACGACGCACAATGATGACCTGTACCCACGGACTTTTCCGTAAATCGCAGCATTGACGGGTCGGCATGTACCCGTGGAGGGGTATGGTGTTGGCAGGTGCGGGTATGGTGTCAACTTTCCGAATTTAGGTATTACCCGTGCAGTACTTCAAGGTCCCTTGTCCAGATTCCAGCTCATGAAGGGCTAATCCATGTACTGCGCAGCCGTGAGCCGATGAGGAATGGCATGCAACGTTTCCAAGTCCATCAACGTGTATTCTTAATATTGAACAATTCTAACACCTATACTTACCAGGTGCGATTGGACAGTGGTTGATACTGTAGAGATACGACACTAGCTTCGTCACGTGCAGCACGTGACAAAGTCACACTTAGTGTCACAGCTTCGAATTACCCTGTCACCTGTGACCACATAAAAAATAGCTTCGGAAATCGTGATTTTGTCAAGGCTTCTTGTCTGATTCATATCTTATTGTAAAGTTGAGAAGTAACAGGTAGAATCTAGCTGGGCATTGTTGTTTTTTATATGTTTTTTTGTATGTTTTTTATATGTTTTTCTGTATGTTTTTACCATGTGTCACAAATTAGCTTCGGCCCCCAAAAAATTGGTGTGACAGTCACACCAAATAGGTTCGATTCGTTGATGGCTGTGACCTGTGACGAACCTAGTGTCGTATCTCTACAGTATTAGGAAATGTGATTCGGGAGTATGGGGTTTCGAGGTTGGGCGTCTGCTGATGTGACGATAACTGCATCGAACAATACATCCACATGGACGTACAATTGTTCATGGTAAGTACTTAGCGGATGCGAATGATGCATTGATGATTATTCTCTGTTTGCATGCTACTAATCAGACGGCATAATGAGTCTTGTAACAGATGAAGTCACTACAAGTACTGGCGAATGAAATAATTGTATCCTTCGAAGTCTGCAATTCATGAGCACTGCTGCACTAGTTCTTTCACTCAGGCTTTGATTATATGACACCCACATTGGTCCTCGATAACGAGGTACTGTCGAGATACGCACCTAGGTTCGTCACACCATCACACGCCTGGCGAATCGAACCTATTTTTCGTGATGGTCACACCGATTTTGAGGCCGTTGAACCTAAATTGTGACAAGTGGTAAAAACGCAAAAAAAAACATCTAATGCATCCAAAAGTCTTTGTACTGAGTGTTCGCAACATGTCTGCGCTTGCCACGGCCCTCAGCCTCAACCTCCGTAGACCCATCAGCCGTAGATTGAAGCCCTGTCATGTCATCCAGTACCCCTTGCTCATAGCTCTCTGACTCGTTATCCACCAGCAAATTACCCAAATCATCAGTGCTATAGCCATGAGGGACAGATGATTCACCCAATGCAATGTGTTGCAGAACCGTATCCACCGAAACATCGCTAGGATCAAGCTCGACATCTGCAGCATGCGTGAAAGGTGGCTCTACTTCTTTGTTGGCTTCGGGAGTCTTATATTGAGCCGTTTTGATGCGTTCCCAAGTCATGGTGTCGTTTTTTTGCACATCACGTAGTGCATGAAGCGCTTCACGACTGGTGAGGCTCTCGAACGAGAGATTGAATGTTGTGCCAGCCTTACACTGAAAAAACGACTGCAGGAGTGTTTTAACATCAGTGAGTAAAACGAGGACAATGCGAGTGACATACCTGTTTGACCACGTCAGGCTTGTTGATAGCATGGTAACCGTTGATGAGCCACTGTAAAGATCTATCACGGAGTGTGGGTAATGTTGTGTCGAGTCGGATGACATGTGCAGCTTCATCTTTCTTCAGCAACGACAAAGATTCCTCAACGATATCAGCATGTTGAGATCGCTTGATGGCAAGCTTGAATGGGCGTTGGACGCCAATGTCACATGGCTGAGCAATTCCGGTGCAGCCGCCAGGAACAAAGCGGTACTTGATCCATGGGTACTGCTGATCAAGCCAAGTGCGAAACTGCACGGACTTGTGTACTGACCAAACATCCAGCTGTAGGATACATTCCTGGTCATCAGGAGCCCCAACGAGCTCCTTCTGTCTTGTCCAGTAGGGAACTAGAATATTGCGAACATAATCACACATGAGCTGGAATGTGGACCAATAGGTATCGGTATTGGAGAAGCACAGCTCAAAGCCCAAGTCTTGTGCGTCCTTGAATTGTGGTGTGGTTTTCGAGGGGAGTGAACGAGCAGTTTTGCCACAATAGATGACCTGAAATGGAAGAGCATCCCCAGAGGCAGAGATGCCAACGAGCACAGTGAATGCTCGTTTTTCTTCCTGTCCAATCACTGTGACTTGCTTGGAACCAACTTCCTCATAAGTAGCGGTGTTCGCAGGTTGATACACGATGTTGGTCTGGTCAATGTTGACATAGAAGGAAGCATCGAAGATCGCACAATCACGGATAGTTAAAGTCAGACGATAAAATTGGTCCAGACAGAGTTGATCAGCATTGGAAGGGGTCTTTTGTGCAGCGCGAGTGGCACGACGGAATGTCCAATTGAGAGTTCGATGTACGAATTTCTTGACCCAAGACTCAGTACATCGAAATTTTGAGCCATCCTTGGCGGTGGCCTCGAAGATTTCTGGGCAAGAGACAGTGATGCGAGCAATAATTACACCACGACAACGCATTGTGTCCAAAGCCACGCCAACTGCACGCAGAGCACGGAGATCTTCGATAATGGTCTTCGTGACTTCAGGATACTTTGCAAGGATGCCTGGTGGTGTTGCAGTCGTCAAGGGAAGGTTGCCCTTTTGAACACGAGCAAGGACACTGGCACGCCATACTGGCCGTGTCCCACTTTGGTCAATCCACCTTCCTATAACTTGGGCCGAAATACCATGAAAGCGGGAGGGATCGACTCGCTTAAGCTCGCGCTCAATCTCAATCGGTGACATTCCATAGCCGACACGAATGGCAGCTGTTTCGATGGTCGGCCATAAAAGAGGGCTCTGCCAATTGACATGACGAGCCTCTGTGTCCTCCCGCTTGCGCTTCTGGCCTGAGGTACATTTTTGCATGCTGCGAGCATGCCTTTGCAATTGACGGTATGGGCGTGAAGCCTCAGCAATGGTGACTGCTAGCGGTTGGGGAGTATGATCATGAAGAACAGATTCTACGATTGGTTTCTGATGACAGACCACGTGAGACATAAAGCACGGCGATAGGAATGAAAGTTATGCTTACCTGCTTGGCATCTTTTTCACGGGCTCGCTGTTTTCTCTTACGTTCAGCTGCCATTTCACGCTTTCGAGCAGCCTTCTCAAACACATCGAACTTTTCCTGGCAACGGGCCTGCTCCTGCTGATCCCGGTCCTTGAGCTCCCGAGTGGAAGGCTTCCAGGCAAGCTTTAAATGCTCATCGCGTGAAACCGTCGAGAAAAACTTGAACAGACCGGTGCTCAGATCTGCGTTGGTGGCACGGAGGTTGAGTTTTGGTTTTTGCTGTGGATGATGCGTAGGCAGAGTTGGGGGGGATGGTGGCTGAGTTTCTTGTATCTCAACATCATCACTGTCTGAATATGAGCTGTCGTTTGGGTCGTCATTGGGATCGTCGTTGGGATCGGAGAGCTGCAACACGTGAGGAGTGAGTCTCAGATTTGTGTCACCGGGAATGAGATATCCATACCTCGAGATGATCATAAACGATATTAAGAAATTCCTCCATACGGAGGGAAAAAGCTCTATTGTCAGTGAACAACGGATCTTGAAACAAGGCATGCTTGATAGTGTTTAGAGCTGCGATACCACATGAGAATGAGTCGAGCTGTTCGCCGTGCTGGAGTGTGGTCGCCTGGTTGAATTTGGCAAAACCATGATAGCCCAGCCAACGATGTATGGCATCAATGTCTTCATTGGGCCAACTCCAGCCAAGGGAGTCAGCATAGGAGATGCTTTGGTTTGTAGCATCGACCTCGATAGCAGCCCAATGAACATTGTCGATATTGATGGGAAGGAGGATACGATGAAGTGCACCCTCGCGTAATGCAGAGCCAATGGTACGAAGGCGAACAAAAGCCTTGTCCGTCTCGTAGCTCTTCCACCGTTTATCGCTAAGCCAAAGGACATCTGCAAAGTCGAGAGATTCGACCAAAACAGACCGGAGGTCTTCATCGTCTGATGCTTGCATACGCTGGACCACTACAGCAATCATGCTGTCCAAAACACGACCGTGAATTAGACATGATCCTAACAGCGGTCGGAGCTCGGTGCTCCTTAGATCTGTCTGAGCACCGAATCCCTTGAGAGGGGCATCCCATGGAAGGCTCTCTAAGACATCTAGAACCTCGTCAATAATTTCCAACTCTTGTCCGTCAGTAGGAACAACATCAAATCTGTCGTAGACCCAGTCGTGTGATGCGCGCCAATCACGCTGATTCTCGAGTGCATGCGACATAGCGACCCAGTATGACACGACCCACATTGGAAGCAGGTCATTGGGGAACGAAGGATGGATCACTGATTTATCTCCATCTCGAAATGCACCTCTAGCACGATTGCGAAGGGACGAGGCTGTTCGAAATGGTGGAACAGGTCGTGAAACAAAGTCTGTGGGCAACTGGAGCAAAGGGGACTGTTTGGAAAAAACAATTCTAGCAGCTAAAGCGCTGTTTTCTAACACTGTAGGCAGGTTGATAAGCAGTAATGCAGCGACGGAAAGGCTGCCCGAAGGAGCAATTGAGAACTGTGCAGGCACAGATAACACATCCTGGAATTTAGCCTCTGAGGCAACATGAAGGTCAGGCATGGTGTGGAAAACTTGGACGGGAAATGTTTCAGACCATGTCCATCTCGTGGACTGAGCTATGGCTCGCTCGCCAAACATTGGAGGATCCACACTGACAAGACTTTACCATAACATAGCGAGAAGACATTGCCATGTTGCCAGACGGAAGTCAAATTAGAGACGAAGCTCTTGAGGTGAGCATCTCCAGCCGCGGGTCATGAGGATCACCGCGGCCCCTTAGCGCTGCATGTATACAAGGGAATGTGTCTACCCCAACATTGGTCGTCGAACCTAAGCGCAGTGTGTCACGCGTCACACCCCCCTGCGAACCTTCGAACCTAACGTTCATTTGGTCACACCCAGATTGGGTCGAACCTAGGTGCGTATCTCGACAGTAATCTGAATCTAATCGAGAATGGGCGCTTCTAAATCCCACAGTCATCGTTTATGTAAATGTCCTTTGTGCGGACATGCGGCACCATTCTGCGTGCCATATACCACATTCTTTGTTCAAGCTTTTGCACCAAGAAAACTCACAAGACTCAACCTCAGCTGTCCTTCCAACTTCCTCCATGAATGAAGACAATATTCTTCCTCGGAAGAAACGAAGGTCTCATGCGCATGCATATCATTACAATCCAAGAACCTCCCCAATAGTCAACCAGCGGTGCCCTTCCCACAGCGAATTATCCTTGTTCGCCAATTCTGCGTCATCTGATTTTGTATCGGGATTCCAGCCGCAACTTGCTTCTCCGGAGTTAAACCGCTGCTGGAATCTCGTACGAACGGCCGCAGCGGGCACACCTTCAGTAGGAAGAGCATCACAATGCACCACAGGCACACTGCCTTTGTATAGGGCGCCGATCTCTGAGAGCGTTGCACGTTGTCCTTCGATGCGAACTTCAACATCGAGTAGACGAGATGGCGGTTGAGTAGTAAGAATATGAGCCACGTATCCCGCAATGTCGGATGCTGCAGTGAAGGATCCTGGCATTTTCGCTTTGCTCAAGATATGAAACTTGCCAGTCTCAGAGAGTGCGGTGAGCCAGGGTATAGCGTCGTGGAATAATCCAGTCTAATGGATGTTTCGCGTTGAGTGCGTCATGCTTGGAGCGAAGCTAGCAAAAAAAAACTTACATAGACGCGAAGAGTGGGCAATCCAATCGATTTTGCATAAACTGTGGACGGATGATGAGTCCATACCACAATCGGTGCTGCCATTGGCTACAATCACTCACCCGCAAAGTCATTTTTTTCACGACCCGGACCAGTCGCTGGTGGTGATACGCTGAATTCGCTGGGTACAAAGAGCTTCACACCCGCCTCCTTTGCAGCGTCCGCGAGAACGTCTTGAGCAACTACGCCTCCAAAAACAAGTGTAACAGCAGAGATGAGGACGTCTATTTTGTTTTCACGAAGGATCGCTGAGATCTCAGATGCAGATTTATAATCTGCACGCACAACCTTCAGGTTGGGGTCATCGTGAGGGAGTGCAGAGGTGTTTGTGGAGGTCGGCCGAGCAATGACGAGAATTGGAGCGCCAATGGCCAGGAATGCCTGACAGAGATTCGGCTGAGGATGATGCTCGAGGACAATAATATATTGAATGCTTACCTTCACGATAGGAATTCCGATGTGAGGGCCTGCGCCGACAATAGCAAAGGACTTGAAAAGCGCTCCAGACATACTGACACTGTTATGTTGGATACCGAACTTTGGATTCTGCAGTCCTGGATGCCATTGGTTTATATATCTTTTGCCAGGTCATTCGTTTCAAATCCAGATTTGCGCTGGCTGAGTGGATCAGGGGTTTAACAGGGGTTTATGTAGGGAACTAGTAAGAATTACGCAAGGTACAGATACGCGATATATAGGTTACCAACGAAAAAAAAGTTTAGCCACAACTGTAGCGTCAAGCCCGTCGTGCCAGTGACCGCGAGCTCCAACAGGAGCAGAAGCACTGGGGTAATGAGTGAATAATTCCGAGCCTAAGATTTCTGCCGGCGACAATGTCGCCAAGAATAGCTTCAAGAGACCAGGAGGCCACTAGCCACCGACTATGACGGAGACCGAGGGCTACTGGCTCCCGAGGAATGAGGACCAGACAACTGGCAAGTACACCAAAGGGGCGCAAATCGTTTCAGAGAGCACTGCCAACGACGAGTGGGGCAGGAGTCAAGGCAAAGGCCACGTACGTGACCTTCGGCGTTCGAAATTCAAGTACTTATTCACATGGTAAGCTCGGCTGTTTAAGTTCGTACAAATTTCAGTCAGCGACTTTTGATGCGAACTGCCAGGAACTAGCAACTTGTAGCAAGCGTTGGATTTCAGTCAGCGACTGACTCATTCACCACGGCTACCGAGGTCCGGCACATAACTGATTAATGAGATCTGAGCGGTAAGACTCGTTCCCACACTGTAGCGCTAGCATGCTCACATTTCTCCCTTCCTCAGGATTACAAACAACTCTAGCACCAGGAAGCGATGCGATAGCCTGAGTAACCGATCTCACAAAGCTCTGCTTGACAGTGCTTTTCGCTCACATAAATATGAGAGCTTTCTTCTGTGCAAGTCACCCAAACCACCTTAAGCCATCATGTCTGAACAGCTGACTCTGTACCTTCACAAGGTGAGTTGAACGACGGAGAGTGAAGACTTGTCTTACCTGTGACTCCTCACGCAGTTCTCGCCCTTTAGCCACAAGGTGAACTTACTGCTGACATCACCCCCCTTTTTCACGAGTCTCTGACGCAAATTGACAGGTCGAGCTGGCTCTTATCGAAGCCAATGCACCCTACAAGTCCCACCAAATCAATCTCTCCAATAAACCAGAGTGGTTCCTCAAAATAAATCCCATTGGTCAGGTATGTGTAGTGATGTCCTGTGTCTATTGCAGCTAAATGTCATATCACATAGGTGCCCGCCGTGACATACGGGGGACCCAGTGTCAACCCTGAAGATCCTTCGCCATTGTCCGCTAAACTCGCAGAATCGAATGTTATTCTCGAGTTCTTGGCGGACCTCTATCCGGACTCTGGCCTCCTGCCAAAGGATCCTGTTTTGCGTGCCAAAGTCCGTTTCTTCATCAACGCGACTACTAAACATATCGAGGTTCCATGTTACGGCTTCGTCAGAGGGAGCGAGCCATATGAGAATGTTTTGAACGGGATTGAGTTTATTCAAGGCCTTCTCGAAGGAGGGTAGTGATTTCGCGGTTGGGGATCATTACACCATTGCGGATGCGTGCATCACTCCGCACCTTGCAAGAATCAAGGCTGTCACCGAAAATGACCTAGGTATGGCATTCGCTCGCGCCTTTCCTCAAGAAATAGAGCCTAATCAATGGAACAGGGAAATTCCCTGTCGGGATGGGGTATAAGCTAGGCGAGGAGTTAAAGGCGCCCAAATTCGCCAAATTCATGAAATATCTTCAGCGAGCGCTGGAGCGTCGGAGCTTGAAGCAAACTTTGGATGAGGTGTGTATACATCTATGCGAACGACTAATGACTTACTCTACTTTGCGTTTAGGAGTCTCTGATCACATTCTTCAAGATGATTTTCGCTGGGCGTACGCAGTGAATATATACCTGACAACAGTAGGCAGCTTCGTACAACAAAGCCTGTAGCTGTCAAAAATTTATATCCAGGCGAGTAATAGATTTGAACCATATATTTAACAATCTGCAAAAAAAGGTGTACGACGTGATTGTCGAGATACATCGAAATCTTACATGAGCATAGCAACTACTCCTCCATCTCATCTCCACCACAATCATCGCTGTCACTGTCCTCACCCTCAGCAGCATCAATGGGTTCCAAACTTAGATCATGATTTGTGCCAACATACGGATTGCTTCTCGTCACGAGATATCATGGGAGTCGGTAATGCGAATTAAACTTTTAACAGTTTGCCCTGAGCACATTTGGCTAGCTTCCGTAAACCTTGCGCACAGCAGCATTCCGTACTGCCTCTTCTGGCGAGGCATATGGGACTACCACCAAGCCTGAGCAGCTCTGGTAAGTCAGGAGCGTGTTATTTAGTTATTGTGTCACCAGTCCACGCCTTGAATTCAGAGGCCAGACGGATGTGTACGTGTATCCCTCACATAGGATATGCCTTTTGTTTTTTCTTAACAATTACGTTTTTTCAAGAAGGTATAGCCGACGCGGGCTCCAGAGTTGAGATGAAGATTTGATTTGAAGATGTTCAGCGGAATAGTGGAGTTCAAAGCAAGATGCGTTACGGAGATTCCTGGATGACGATACTTGAACCAGATAGGACGGGGGTTCCTGGCTTTGCTTGTCAATGCGAGACTGCGTATTCAAGGGTCGTGATGCGTTTCCACCCCGCCAGCTGGCCATAGTGCTCTTCAAGGGGCGGGTTCAACACGTCGTAGAGTTTTCAGCACCCGTAATATTGTGCTGCGCATGGGTCCGGGAGGGTCATGGACTTTCTCGTGCTGCGAGGCTCATCGATGATTAATATTTGGAACGTCAAAAATAAAATCAAAAACGCACCCACAGCTCGCCTACACTTTCCTATTTTTCCTCCATAACGTTCGTTCGACAAGGTCCAGATAAATACAGTGGAAGGCGGCGTGGGATGCACCAGGGACTGAGTGCGAGGCAAAATTTGCCCCAACAACCAGTCTGAGGAGGGTGTGTGGCGAGTGTGACTACGCTGCAGACACCGGCCGAGCTGTCGCTGAGGAAAACCGACCAACGTGAGCTTCAGTGCTCACAGGGGGCAGTATTCTGGAGATTCGATTATATATAGAGCAAAGTGAGTCGCAATAATGCACTCGGTTGCCGTCGGACGATGTCGAAGGGCGCTGCAGGTGTTTCCGGCGAGACGAGAATGTGTCGGGAGTCGGGACGCTGGGAATGACGAAAAGGGCCAGAAAATCGATATGACTAGGAAGTATAGTGTTGAGATCAACGTGATTTCCTATCAGTAGACACTGCCCGTGCAGTGACTAGCACAGTTATACATAATATAAAGTACGAGCGGAGCTACGAGACCTACGTTATTTTGAAAGGTCACAATTGCAACTGTCACGTGACTCACGTCAACCCAAATCGCGGTCACGTGCACTTGCGTTCAGTCACGGTAAATGGCGGTGGTTTGAAGTAAGATAAGTCATTCATCATGTACGTGGAATCAGATTTCGCCCACCTTGCTTAAACGCTTTCTGGTTTTCGGGTTTCAGTCATGTGGTATGCAGGCAAAATACACGAGGCTGTTCATTTCCGAAGTAAGATAAGTCATTCATCATGTATGTGGAATCAGATTTCGCCCACCTTGCTGAAATGCTTTCTGGTTTTCAAATTTCAGTCATGCGCTATGCAGGAAAAATACACGAGGCTGTTTATTTCCGAAGTAAGATAAGTCATTTATCATATATGTGGAATCAGATTTCGCCCACCTTGCTTAAACGCTTGCTGGTTTTCAAATTTAAGTCATGCGGTATGCAGGCAAACTACACGAGGCTGTTCATCTCCGAAGTCTAGGGAGCGCTTGCTAGCGCCTTCAGCCTGGCCGCAGCGCCCAAACTGGCTGAACAAACGCTATGCCATCACGACTTATCTCTGTCCAGTCGCCTTCGACTCTTCTTATCTTCCTTTAAATACCCCACTTGTTTTGTTATGGACCAAACAGGTTGGTCTTCCCCATGTCAAGAGCATCAAACGCTTGCATACATACCCGAAGACTCTCGAAAGCGATTAGCACTGACGGCGCCCAGCATCAAAGCCCGCATAGCGAGCAGCCCCCACCTGAAAATAATATCGTAGCACCCACCGGGGGGTAAGTTGTACCTTCCTAGATTCTACCACCTCTGTTGATAGCAAAATAGCGAGAAGGAAATGACTAGAATTCCGACAGCGAAGCTGCCGTCGGGGATGTGAGTGTTTTTCTCCCAATGTTTCTGCGTCTCCCTGATGAGAACTACAGCTCGAACGCCCCTTCCCAGCCATCAAAACTTCACCAGGACAGTACTTTCAACGATTCGCCCAACGGCTCAGCTCCGTAAGTTCTACTAAGCGATCATTGTCAAACAATCTCACAGATTGTCTCAGCAAGACGGTAGATGTCGTATGCCAACAGTCAGATCTACGTGACTTGTGAGCAAAAAAAAAACTGATTGATCCGCATTGACGACGTCTACAGAATGAACACCATGAATGAAGTATTGGAGGTTCTCAAGGAGTCTGCAATTGCCTCCAAGGGTGGCAAGGACGTCCGCTCTCGTTTCTGGACGGTATACGGAAGGGTCGCGGAGGAACACGATAGCGAGTTTCTTGAGCGATACGCAAACGATATGGACATTATTTTGCTCTTCGTATGTTTCTCAATTGCATGCTCATTTGTTTGTGTTTGGATTGATGTCTAATCAGTCCGGCATCTTCTCTGCTGTTAGCGCGTCTTTTATTGTAGCGATGGAGTCCAGCCTCAGTCCCGATCCCAGCGACACTACAAATGCCCTTCTCACGCAGCTCGTGCAAATCGGACTTGGCAACCTTGCTGCTGCAGGCACAGAGCCAGCATCCGCATGGTCGCCATCCACGTCGAATGTAAGGATCCAAGGGATCGCATACGCAAGCTTGTGCATGAGCTTGCTCGCTGCATTTGGTGCCGTGCTAGGAAAGCAGTGGCTCGGGTACTACAAGGCAAGCCGATATGGTCGCGGCTCGCCAGAGGAACGAGGGAAGCGCAGACACGAGAAGTTTGACGGCATCAACGCATGGTATTTTGATGCTGTCCTGCAATCATTTCCCGTCTTACTTCAGCTCTCCCTCCTTCTCTTTGGAATCGCTCTCAGCGCCAATATGTGGTATGAGCAGCATAGCATTGCCTGGGTTATCATTGCAACCACGGTCTTAGGATTTTTGTTCCATTCCCTCACTGTGATGGCAGCTTTGGTATCTTCCGCCTGTCCATTTCAGACCCCGATATCGACAATATTGCGCATGTTGCATGTCGACAGTAGGTTCTTTGTGAACGATGTTGTTCATTTTCGATCTGATTGGACATGCAGGAGTCTTGCGCCCAATGGTCAAACTAGCCTTGAGGTATTTCCAGCCGCTGACGGCGTCAGTGCACAGTGAGTTAAGTGTTCTCACGTATGTACAGATTTTGACCATTTCGGTCCGCTCATTTGCAGGACGCTGTCTTCAGCCATTATTCAGCATGCTTCATAGCTTTGTGTGCTGGCTGCGCTCTTTGGACGTTTTAGCCAAGGATCAATGTCATTTTGACCTTGACAAACCCACCAGCGGTCTCGAAGCACCTATCATCCAGTGGCTGTTTGAGACATCTACAGATCCTGAAGTATTTTTCGCTGCTGCTGGCCTAGTTCCGCAGGTCGAATGGCCCCTGGATCTTGACGTCTCAGAGACGTTGCATCAGCTGTATGATATTTACGAAAGCTGTGTGGATGTGCAGTCGCGTATCGTCCCGTCGTTGGAGAAGAAGGCGTCAGTGTGTGCAATGGCTCTAAGTCATCTGTACTGCGGACGTGCTCTCCAGACATATACTGGCCATTGCTTTCTTCACAGCGAGATATCACGCTCTCGGTTCCGGACAGACTTTGAACTGTTTTCCCGGATGTCTGAGAGGTGCAAATCTCAAGACAATGTGTTTGCCCTCAGTGCCAGACTTTCGTACAAGGAACGCTGGGACCGTGACCTGCACCCAATCAAATATTCCGAACCTGCCCACGAGTGGCTTTCACACATTCTTCCTTACTACTTTTTTGCTGGGCGAGTGGATGAAGATGTAGAAAGACTCGCCATAGCAGTAATTTCAAGACTGCTATCCCCTTCGTCTCCGTCGACTCAAATCATAGCCAACTGCACTTTTCTTGCTTGTATTATGATCGGGGTTCGGTTTGACAAGAAGGACATAGTTCGGATCGATAAAAGGTGCTGTTTGACTCATTTGGTGGTTTTTCTGCTATGTCTAACGAAGTGATTATGTAGTTCTGCTCTAGATTTACTTGCTAAGTCTCTTTGGGAGCAGTTCCAGATAACTCTCTGGGGCAATCTCGATGGAGACGGTATCAGAGTTCGACGCCGAGTATGGGACCTCACCGATGTCATCTATCGCATGCTCGAGCTCCTACCTCAGCCGCCTTCATCGCAGGTGAAGTGGAACCTAGACTTATGCAGGAAGATGTATTCTCGGGCGAGGACATCCGAACAAGATCCATTGGCAGCGCTGCGAAGAGCACAGCGCTTCATGTTCGACATCGTTCCTAAAGCCAGGATACGGAGCAACGATGACGTTAAAGACCCTACCTGGTTGTGGCGGCATCATGTTCCGTTGAGAGGTAATTCCCACTTGCCACAAGATTTCGACTGGCTAGTGGACTACCTCGAGGTTGTTGACCATGACATGGCATGCGACATCCTTCTACTCATGAGCAGCATGGGCGTGAGCTGTAGCTCCGCTAAAAAACATCTATTTATCAAGAGGCTCATTGCCTGCATGGACAGCAGCATGCCTTACCGTTTACGCCACCATGCCCTTCGCGCTGCTCACAGTTCCCGGAAAGTTTTGACCTCGATTGATGCCTTTGATGATGCGGGCACGGTTTTGGTCAAATTCTCTCATGCAATCATGTCCGCGATTAGTCCGCGACCGGGCACAACACCTGCTGACGATGATCCTGACGGCTTCCTCAATCATAATCGTGACTTGTGCTATCTCGGACTGGTCTTTGCCCTCGCGGGGAATTCCATATGGCACTCGCATTTGGTTGTGGATCGCCACATAGATCGTTGCATTAGCATGAGTAAAGGGTACGACCAATCATCACCCATCATGGACCATCACTGTCACCTAGCGGGTATCCTCCTCCGAATCCCGTCTGAACAGGTTTCAGTTACATCGCTCGGGTCTATCACAGACGAACAGTGGTGGGACATGATCAAAATTGCATGGACGAAGATGTATAGCATCTACTGTTTAAAGGACGTGGACACGGACGAGTTGCTTCTCGTCCTCGTGAAAGGCACAAAGAAGTATATGCAGGTTGCTTCGAAACCTGATCTTGAGCAGCTCATCAAAGAGGTGGATGATGTTGTCGGAAGAGCTAAGCGGCGAGAATCAGAGTACACTAATATTGGTGATGTGAAGGAGTTGGGGACTGTAGCCCGTGATATGGTTCGGCAGAAGTTCGGTCAGTAGTTATTCGCTGAGAAACGTTTTGTTAGTCCCCTGATTATCACAGAGTTTGAATATTCCGGAAGATATGATATGGTGGGCAGTGCAAGTCCGGACTCATGCGGAAGGTAGCATAGAGATGAAAGTATGTGTGCGGACATACGAGCAAGCATGTCAATTAATACAATCCGTCATCAGGGTTAAGTTACATGTGTCTTGTGCGACGTGGCGCGTGGTTTACCTGAAAAAAGGTTACTGTATGGATCGTACCTCTTGCCCCTTGTCGGTAAACACATCACTCTCCTGTTCTAGGCTTTACAACGTCGACCTGTGGTGGCCCTGTAAGCAAAGAATGCAGTCGAATACAAACATACCGACGTCAAGGTAAGATGATGATGGAGACTGGGGCTCAGTTTCCTGCTGTGTACTTTTAGCTAGAGGTATGTATGTGAAATCACCCACTGGAAGTTCACGTATTACGTCTTTGGTCATCCACTGAATCATTTTCTTATGGTCCCCGACATATGTGATATATGTGTCATTTGGGAGAATGATACTCAGCGGAGGATTTGACAACGATTCTCCTGGTTGGTTGGATAGCCAAGTGAATGATGGGATTTTGTGTGACACAAAGTCCCATCAGCCACTTGGATGCAACACTTCTGTATATCGTCCACGCACACTGGCCAGTACATTGATGTGTTTGGGCGAAACTTTGTGCAACAGAATTCAGCGAACGGGCGTGGTGAAACGATGCTTTCAAAATACGCGTGCGAATTAGTGAGAGGCAGAGTAGTGAAGTTTGGTTCCGTACACCGCGTTTCCATTTCACACGTCCTCCAGGTATATATCTGGTGTCGTCGACAACAAACTGGCCTGCCTTCAAGTTGGCGTCCCAAATGCAAAGTGATTGATTCGCGATGCACACTCCTGATGCGATTATGTCACCCAAAGGTGAATATGCAAGAGCAAACACCCCAACTTCGACTCCATCGGGCCCATCTTGATTTCTCCACTTTCCTTCCATCAGACCCGCTTGCAAGACGGTGTCCTCCGGGTGACCACGAGAGCGACTGCTCTCGTTCACTATGGCCCATCCAAATGTCTTCGATCATCTCTTCAAGCATGTTTCACTGTTGAATATGAATGTTGAACGTAAGTTATGGTGTCCCTCCCGCATGCCATTGTCTTTCCATCTGGTGAACGCACCAGCGCAGGTGTCAGGTGTTTATGGCTCACTCAAAACTAGACCCGTGTCACAGTCAGTTCCACTTGTCCATCGTGCCATCCCAAACATTGCATCCACCTTGAGACATTTGTATCGGTGTGCAAATTGACAATAGACATCTGAAGATTATATCCGTCAGCCCATATATCAGTGAGTTCTTTTTTATGAAAAAATACCTTGTATTGCCTGCTTGAGGCAATGCCTAATGTCGGACTCGTGAGTTAGATAACGACCTGCACGAACTTCTTCGTATTTCAAGTTGTGCACGTACCAATAATGTGACGCGTTGTTCGCAAAGTGCTTGTCAACGCCACAGCAATTCTGCAAAGTTCCGTGCGTATTTCGTTCCATGTAAGACAATCACACACGCATATGGTGGGCAGTGCACATGGCCAGGGTTAAGTTACACGTATTTTGTGCGACGTGGCGCGTGGTTTACCAGAAAAAAGGTTACTGTATGGATCGTACGTCTTGCCCCTTGTCGACTGTTCTAGGCTTTACAACGTCGACCTGTGGTAGTCCCGTAAGCAAAGAAGGCAGTTGAATGCAACCATAATTTGTGAGAGGCAGAGTAAAGTTTGGTTCCGTACACCGCGTCTCCATTTCACACGTCCTCCAGGTATATATCTGGTATCGTCGACAGCAAACTGGCCTGCCTTCAAGCTGGCATCCCAAATGCAAAGTGATTGGTTCGCGATGCACCCTCTTGATGCGATTCTGTCGCCCAGAGGTGAATATGCAAGAGCAAACACCCCAACTTCGACTCCATCGGGCCCATTTTGAGCAGGATTGTGGATTTCTTCGCTGCTGCCCAGTGTTATCCGCCTTGTGGCCTCGCAGCTGCCAGCCCTTCAATGTCGTGAAAGTGCGCAGGTCCGCCATCAAATCTGAATCTGAATGGGTCCGAGTCATCGGAAAGATCTTGCGGTGGCTTCTCGTTTCATTTCCGATATCTGGTGGTACAGAATGAAACTCAGGCCCCGAGGGTGAGGCCAAAGAGAGGCCTGCAAGCTTTCAGGACTCCCACCGTGACTCGGATAAGCTCACACGTACATCATGAATGATCATGATAATCAAAGAATGCTTCTGCACACGCATGAATGATGAAGCCGATTTTTAACCTGTTTGAAGCTTATCAGAAAACGAGCAACATGTTCGGAAGGCAAGGGTTAGGCCTTGATATGAAATTGTTTGTCAACCCCACCTACGGATGTTGCATTGGCTTCATGGACATTGGAGTCCGAGTACTGCATCTGATTTAAATTTTAAGCAAAAAAAAAGCTGGCCTCGGCAAACTGTTGGCTGAATGGGGATTGCCATTGTCGGGATGACCCCCCAAACTTAGCCTCGGACAACGACGCAGTGGTATACTACTTACTCCACACAAATTCGAGGTCAACACGTTGATGAAGCTTCCGGCGTTCCGCATCAGTAGTCCGACTAGACGGACATCGTGTGCTATCATATAAATGTGATACACAGTTATGGTACAGTTGCTATTGTCAAATCTTCCAGTCCAGGATGACATCTGGAATTGACTCGGAGCACCAAACGCTTCATACAGAAAGAGCCTCTCTCCCAGGGGACAAAGAGCACTCTGAGACATCGGAAGGATCCAAAGTCGCCAATGATCAGGACCCTCCCTCACCCCCACACGAGTTTCCCGAAGGTGGTCTGGAAGCATGGGCCACTGCTTTTGGAGCGTAAGAAGACTCAAACTCTTTTGCACGGGGGGCCTGGTTCTCACTCGGTCTTCTTAGGTTTCTTGTACAGTTTTGCGGTTTTGGGTGAGTCGGTTGCTGGCGCTGGTGGGGAAGGGCTCTGTGGCTGACTCAGGTCAGCAGTTATTCCGCTTCATTTGGTGTCTTTCAAGGTATTTCTGCAGACCAAAGTGAGCACGGAATATTCAACTTATCAACCTTCAGACTTCTATACCCAACATTACCTCACAAATGAGACGTCGTCTGCTTTGTCGTGAGTTTCTACTTACGTTGTCACGGTGGGTATCCTCGAGGCTTGTAGATGGATCGGGAGCTTGAGTGTGTTCTTAACGACTGCCATGGGCCTCGTTTCGGGTTCACTACACGACCGAGGATATTTGTGAGTGTACATTTGTCGGAGATTCTCGACGATACTCAGAAAGATTAACCAGTTACCATCTCGTGATTACCGGATCGGTTCTGCAGAGTCTTTCTCTATTCATGTTGTCTTTGTCAAAACCCGATCAGTACTACCAGGTAATATCCCCCGATTTTATAATCTTGCTTTCTGACTTAGTTTAGATATTCCTCTCGCAAGGCTTAGGCTTGGGTATCGCGTCGGGGCTCAATTATATCCCTAGCATGGCCATCATCTCGCATCATTTCCGACGGAGACGCACGCTGGTTATGACATTCGTCGCTTCGGGCTCATCGCTGGGTGCTGTCATTCATCCGATCATGCTCAATAACCTCCTGCATGGTCCTGTTGGATTCACCAATGGTGTCCGTGCAAGCGCAGGGTTGGTCAGCGCATTTCTCTTAATTGCATGTCTGTGCATGCGAACTCGCCTTGATCCGCCGGCGAAACCGGTGAACTATATTGTGGCGGCTAGAAAATGTATTCGTGACGTACCGTTTATTCTCATGATAGCAGGGTCAGACCTGCAATGCACCTTCTCTCAATTTTTCTCCGAATGACCATCCTGCAGGGGCTTTCTTTTCCAGATTGGCTTCTACTACCCGTTGTTCTTCTTTCAACTCGACTCTATCAAGCACGGTATCGGCACTACCTTTTCGTTTTACTCTGTGGGTTGCAGCACCACGCAAGTAATCTTTCTGCTGACAGGATCACTAGCTGGTGATTTTAAATGTGTCTAATTGTGTCGGGCGAGTCACATCGGGGTTCATTGTGAGATTCACGGGGGTCCCGAACTTAATCATAATTTCGTCAATATCGTGTGGTGTGCTCATTTTGGGCATGATTGGGTTGAATAGCCTGGCCAGCGTCGTTGTGCTTGGCATGCTTTATGGCTATTTTGCAGGGCTGAGTAAGTGGTTTCTTTCCACTAGAGTGTTGAAATTTGTGATGAGTTCATCATTGCATGTAGACACTGGGATGGCGGCTCCACTTATGGCTACTTTAACGCCCGACCTCTCTGAGCTTGGGTGAGTGATCGTTACATTTGAATGTACGACCCTCTGATCTGAATCGTAGCGCGCGAATGGGCATATGTCTCTTCATTGTCGGTGTGTACTATAATTACTTCAGAATGTATTTGTTTAAACTTGTCGCGCGATCATTGTGCAGGATTTGGAATTTTGATTGGTGGGTCCAGTGATGTTGTTTCTCGCTTCAAATTTTGACTCTTTCTCTAGGAACACCCATATCCGGCGCTCTGTTGACATCTCACTATACCTGGTGGATACCGGCTCTGTTCTCTGGGGTAAGTTGGCCGTCGCTATTATTTCATGTTGAGTTTGATTTACAACTACATTACAGATCGCTTCACTGACTGGTGGCATGATGTTTATCACCATGCGATACATGTTTCTCAGAAGGCAGCGTGTTGGCACATTACTGTTGGACAACCAGGCTGTAAGCTGACTCCTGAGTGGAGCTGCTATTATATCTGCCTGTGTTCCTCTCACTGTTGTTATCCGAATCGTTAAATGGTTCGCACATGGATATTGTCAGTGGTGAGCCGTAGTCCTAAAACACCGGGAGACCACATAACTTAGACTAAGTTTCCAACTTCACACCATACAACATGATTCCTTTCCTCTGCCTGATTATATCCAGCGTTGTAAAGAGCGCCACACCACTGACAATGGGCTCCCCTTTGTACCTCAAGGCCTCATGGACGAGCCACCCCTTACTTTGTCCTCATTGCATATAAAAGCATGTCTAGTATACTTATAGCAAATTGACTCCCACTCACTCATCTCTCGATATCTATCACTACCCGCTTAACTCCCATTCGCACTGGTTGTTGTTGCAGCGCAACTAGACTTACAGCCTGAACACAGGTTACAAACTTTGTCGCTCCCATCCACGAAAAATGACACTGTACCAACTGTGGAGAGGATTCACAGTATTACTTTTGCTGGTGTCCATCATACGCATGTATACACTGTATGCTACCTCCATGAGCCGCACGGGAACATCGATCGACCTCTGAGTCTGTTAAGATTCGTTATACGTAGATAGAGCGCAATGTTTTAATAGAATAGCTCTGGATTCTGTGTTTTCGTATGATCAATCAGGAACGGGTGGTGCAACAAGTCCCATCAATTCGGATATCACCGTCGAGCTATTAATACTACGTAGAACTCAGACGATTACTTAATCCGATCAGTGTGGCTGAATCTCGTCAGCTTGCTCATGTATTCTCAACACTCCCCTTCAAGCTGAGGACATTCCTAGCTCGTGTTGATGTTTGGAGTGATTAGGATTAGCTAGTGCCTTTGTAAATATGTCCGCTGTCATATTTGCAGTTGGACGATATTTTAAAATGATTGTTCCTATTTTTACTTGATTTCGGATGTAATGATCCTTTATGTCAAATTGCTTCGTTCTTTTATGATACTGAGGATTTTGTGCGATCGCTAGTGATCCTGCATTGTCTCCATAAATTAATGTAGGATGACTTTGGTTATATCCCAGTTCCATATGTAAATTCCGTAGCCATTTTGCCTCTCTTGCTGCATCTGAGAGACAAATATATTCGGCTTCGGTCGTTGAAAGAGCAACTGTATTTTGCTTCTTTGATCCCCATGTGATCGCACCACCGGCTGATATGAAAGTATAGCCCGATATGGATGTACGATCATCATTGTTGGCAAAGCTGGCATCCAAATATCCGGTAAAATGGTTTTCATTTTTATTTTCTTGGGTTTTGTATACTATCCCAAGATCTTTCGTCCCTTTTAGATAGCGTAGTACTCTCTTAGCAGCTGTCCAATGTGATATATTTGGATCTGCTGTGTACGATGCTAATCTATAGACTGCATACACTATGTCTGGTCTTGTACCAACGGCTGCATACATCAATGATCCGATCAAAGAAGCATAGTTATTACTTGGGTTTCCTTTTTCGGATGTCTGCGTCAATGGTTCGAGTTTTACCTTAGGATCCAAAGGTGTAGTTACAGCGTTTGCTTCTGAGAGTCCATATCTTTCAAGAATTGTTTCAATATATTTGGATTGCGAGATTTTGAGTTCTCCTTTTTCTCGGTTTCTCTCAATCTCGATCCCTACAATCTTGTTTGGATCTCCTAAGTCTGTAACTTCGAACATATCCTGAAGTTCCTTTTTCAGGTCGTTCATAAGTTTTGGATCGTTGGTAAATATTAATAGATCATCTACCCATACGGTGATGATTTCTACTCCTCCGTTAGACTTTCTGATGTACGCGCATGGGTCTGAATATAATCGATTGAATCCTTTGGTCTCGAGTTTATTATTTAACTCGATATTCCATTCTCGACCTGATTGTTTCAACCCGTATAGCGTTTTAATTAATCGGCACAGCCTCGAGGTACCATCTTCATATCCCTCGGGTTGGTTCATGTATACCTCTTCTTTGAGAATACCGTTTAGGTATGCACCCTTCACATCCATCTGTTGGATCTCCCAATCTTGGGTGACTGCTAATGCTAATATTGTTCTGATCGTCTCTAGCTGGACTACTGGTGAATATGTATCAGTGTAGTCCATTCCCGGAATCTGTGAGTAGCCTTTCGCTACTAGACGAGCTTTATATTTCACTAACTCGCCTTGTTTATTAAATTTTCGGACTAGGACCCACTTATTTCCGACTGGGACTCGTCTCTCTGGGGGATCAACTAACTCCCATGTCTTCATTCGTTCTAGTTGGTCCAACTCCGCGCGAACAGCTTTTTCCCATTCTGGCCATTCTGGGGATTTTCTGGCCATTGCGATTGATTTCGGATCGTCTGGTGCGATGCCACAGTCATTAAATGCAGCGTATATGATCTCTGCTGGTGAGTCTTTTATTTGTTCCTCATCCAGATCATTTGCTAATTCTGCAAATTCTGGGTACGGATCATCTAGAACCCGGTAATTATGTACCGTTTTTGCTCTCTTACTTTGTCTCAAAGGTATGTTTTCATTTTCTATATGCTTCCTCTTTTGGTTCATGCTTGATCCGTTTTCATTAGTGCTTTCATTTGCGCCGTGTTTCAGCGTGTCTTCCAACTTCTCCCCTTCGCGCTGTACGCTGGGCGCGTCTCCTTCATTTGGAGCTTCATTAGGGAGTTTTTTATTTAGGAAGCGGTAGTTCCTTGAGATCTTAATGAGGCGAGTTCTTTCATTATAATACTTGATCGCTTTAGGACCATCAACAAAACCTACAAAGGTATGTTTTTCTGATCTAGTGTCTAGTTTTGATAGATTCTCGTCTTCCCTTAGTATCCATACAGGCGCACCAAATTCCTGTAAGTGGGATACATTTGGTTTTACTCCTGACCATTTTTCCTCAGGTGTACTATTTGATAGCGCTTGTGTATATGCCCTATTGCGCAAATATGCCGCATGGGACACTGCTTCTGTCCATATAAACTTTGGTAAGTTTTTAGCTATTAACATAGCTCTTGATAGCGCTAATAAAGTTTTATTTAAGCGTTCCGCTACTCCGTTCTGAGGAGGTGAGTAGGGCGCAGTCACTTCTATATCTATACCTTTCTGATTACACCAGGAGATTAGGTTTTTATTGATGTATTCAGTCCCATTATCCGCCCTCAGGCGTTTGGGAAGTTTCTCCCAGCGTCTTTCTATGTAGGTAAGATATTCCTTAACCTTCTCTGAGGCTTCATCTTTTGTTTTCATATATTTTATTGTACATCTTCGTGTACAATCATCAATAAATGTAATATAATATTGCATTCCCGATATCGAAGTGACGCGTGATTTTCCCCACACATCTGTGTGTGTTAATTCTCTGGGGATCTCAGATCGATGTTCGGCTTGTTTTGGGAACGGATTGTGTTCATGCTTTGCTTGTATACATGCCTCACAATCCGGAAATATCGGATTTTCGTCGATGTTAAATCCGTCAACTAACTTTCCTTTCAACAATCGTTGAAGTCCTGATATTCCGATATGTCCGTACTTCTTATGCCACATTTCCCAATTATCTACATCGTCTTCTTTAACGGTATTACTACTTTCGGTAGTTTGATGGATGGTTTGCGCATCTAATAATAATAATCTTTTGATGCACTTGCCACATGCAAGTATTTGTCGGTCTTTGTCTAATACTGTGATCTGACCGTTTCCTATGATTGCACGTCCACCTTTTTCATCTACCCTCGTTAAAGAAAATAGATTATTTATTGCTGTAGGTACATATAAGACATCGTTTAATGTTACTTTGATGTCTTTTTGATGCACGCGTGATTTCATTTCGATCGTACCACGTCCATGCGCTTCTATTACCGTATTTCCTATTCCAGTAATTTTCTTATGTTCTGGAATGAAAACTTTGAACGCAGATTGCTGATTCACGATATGTGATGTGGTACCGGAATCTGCTACCCATGAATAAGCGGAAAAATCGGCCTCTTCATTCTCATTCATAGGTACATCTTCTGTATCTACCATAAAGGCAGAATCCTCATCGTCGCATGCTATATTAGCAGCTTCTTTCTGCTTTCCTTTGCCAGATGACGTGCCTGGCTTGTTCCACCAACATTTTGACATCTCGTGCCCAAATTTCCCACACTTGTCGCATTTGGGTTTCCCCTTCCATCGACAATTCTCGGTGGGATGATTGGTGCATCCGCATACCCGGCACTTCTCTCTCTCACGGTTCTTCCCTTTATCCGGCTTCTCCGGCTTTTTCTCAACCTTCCGCTTCTTGCTGTTTGTCTCGGCTTTAGCACAACACCCCTTCTCTTGGGTATCATTCTTCTTGCGGCGGTTGAACTCGTCGATTATGATCGACATAAGTTCTTGGGCGGTGTAGCCCTTGATTTTATCGGACTCCATTCCCTTATCGGCATGTGCGCCCAGGTAAGATGAAGTCCAATTTTCCCATGACTTTGGCAATGACATAACCAACATAGCCTTGAACTCGTGATCGGGAATCTCACATCCCATTATATCGAGTTCGTTCCTTTTGTTGATCATATCAGTAATGTGCGTGCCGAGATCATCTTCTTCTTCGGCCTTCAAGGAGTAAAAGGTACATTTTGCTATTAACACACTCGATTGACTCCTTGTCTCATGGATGGTTCTCAGATTATTCCAAGCTTCTTGGACCGACTTCGCTCGGGACACGTGGACGACTTGATCGTCCTTGATATTGATTAAGATAAGTGTCCTTGCGATGTAGTCTTCTTTATCCCACTGATCGATCTCATCATCATCAACCTCAGGTTTTTTATTTGTCCCGTCGATATGACCATGAACTCCGTGGAGGTGTAAGATCGTTTTGATCCTTTCCTTCCACATCATCCAGTTCTTGTCGGTAAGCTGGTCTATTTTATACGACGCGAGTGACCCGAGACTAATGGATGGTCGCGTGGTGCTTGGGGTCTGATACATCGGAACCACACTTTGTGTAGTATTTGTGTTAGACATTTTTAGCGTATAGGGGTTTAGTTATGCATAGCGTAGTCTTTTTGATTTTCGGTTCTAGGCGTTAGAACCAGGGCTCATAACCTGTTAAGATTCGTTATACGTAGATTGATTAGATAGAGCGCAATGTTTTAATAGAATAGCTCTGGATTCTGTGTTTTCGTGTGATCAATCAGGAACGGGTGGTGCAACAAGTCCCATCAATTCGGATATCACCGTCGAGCTATTAATACTATGTAGAACTCAGACGATTACTTAATCCGATCAGTGTGGCTGAATCTCGTCAGCTTGCTCATGTATTCTCAACAGAGTCCCATCCGATAATGTGCCGAAGCAGCAGATGCAAAGATACCTTCTACTTCAGCACACATCTATGTGCTGTCTACGTAGCACACAGATCGTCTGATCTGAATCTGTAAAAACACTCAACCATAAGTAGTCCAAACAATCAGATCGATTAAAATCAGATGCGTATTACACAACACCTAAGCTACGCGCGAATGTCTCCTCCAATACCAGCACCAGCCCTCACAGGAACAGACACAGACACAGGCGTCTGTTCCTTCGGAATGTGCACCAGCGCCGGCCCCTTCACCATAGGATCTGGACTCACACCACAAGGCCACTCCCCCACCCGCGTCTCCCCAAGCCACTGCTTTCGTCTCATCCTCGCATATTCCCGTCCAATACACACCACATCCTCCTTGGACGGTATCAGCCACAAGAAGTCCTCGGTAGCCAAAAACAAAAACAAACGGTAAGTCCGGACGTGTACTTTCGTTTCAAGCGCACTGCGCGCAAGCACCACTGGGGTCTAGCAGTAGCTGATGCAGGTACGTTCCTGGCAAAAGAAGAGTCTGTCTGTCCCCTTTAGGTAGGATACTAAGTACTAAGGGCCTAAAACCGGGCTTTGCACATCACTAATTCTGGGAATTAGAGGTAGAGTGCGCGTGAAATCTAACAGGTAAGTCTAGTCTCTCTGGAACAGAACTCGGTGATATATCGCGGCGCCAGTGCAGGGAATAGAGTGATGTATCAGCTACCACAGGTCACGAGAAAGGCATACCAGACAGTGTGATATATTAGCTACATCTGCTGAGTCACGAGTGATATATCATGGCGGAGTATCATACTACTACATCAGACAGACCAGACAGTATGATATATCACTGATATATCACGGCGCCAGTGCAGGAAACCCAGAGTGATACATCAGACAGTGATGTATCAGCTACTCAAGTCACGGAAAAGGCATAGCAGACAGGATACATCACCATATAAGGATTAAAGGTATGGATATACCACATACCTTCTACAATTATAGTATATAATACATTATACTGCCAGGGAGTTTTGACTCCGCACAGCCAGTGCCATGAGTCAAGCTGCGAAATGAACACGAGGTAAGATTGCAATGCTGCGGAGGACTTAAAAAACCACCTCCCTCCTTATTTGACTTGACTCTGAACGCCCACTTCGTCGCAACTTTCATTCAGCATTCGTATTTCTGTGTGCATTTGGATTCTGATCAAGTTGAAGTAAGTGATAGATTCGTGCAGCATGTGATGTTAAGAGCTGAAGTTTTACCGCGATTAAGTGAGTTCCCGAACCAAAATCGCGACAATACCTTACAAAAAGATCAAACCTGAAATAGGTGGCATCGAGCACATCTTACACCTGCCCGGTAAACAGCGAATTGTTACCTATTCAACATATGGCACATTTCGAGTCTGGGACTTAGAAAGGGGCGCGCAGGTCGGGGAGACATGGGAGGACAAAGGTATAGGAGTGTGTGCCGTAGCATTGTCGCCGGACAGCAAGACAATAGCAAGCGGGTGTCGAGATGGCGCAGTGAGATTGCGGAACATTGACACAGGCAAGGTCATCAGAAAATGGATGGGGCACACAACGGATGCGATGTCTGTCTGCTGGAGTCCAGACGGAGAGCGAGTGGTGAGCGGATTCGGAGATGGAACATTCAGAATATGGGATGTCGAGAGCGGCACGACAATCCTCGGACCGATCAAGACTCGAACAAATTGCATAAACGCGGTTTGTTACTCACCCGATTCCAAGATGATTGCTACCGGCGGGGACAGCCTAAAAGTCTGGGATGCTAGCACAGGCAAATTGCTCACAATAATCGAAGCGTTCATTATAGCATGCCTAGTATGGACATCGGATGGAAAAACGCTTATTGCTGGGGAGTTACTGTCCAAGATCAGGACAATTGACACCGCCACGTGGTCTGAAATAGCTCTTCTTGAATTGGAGGAGCCTGTTACAGTCCGTTCGATTTTATTATCTCCGAATGCGCGCATCCTCGCAAGCACATCCTACGCCGACAAGACAGTGCGACTATGGAACCTTGAAACCAATCAGCCCATAAAACCATCACTCCATGATGAAGACCCTGTGAAGTGCGCGGCCTTTTCTTCGGATGGAATGTTCCTCGTCACTGGCTGCTCGGGCATACACACATGGGATGTTTCCGCTATCGTCGAAGAAGCTTGCCTTCTGTCCGACCATGTAAGCTCGGAAACATATCATGCTCAACCACATTAATGATGGATTTGCTCCCCAGGATGATGTTACACAGCGACCAGCCCCGAAGATCAAAAGTGCTCGTCGAATACCCCCAAGGTTTTTTGATGATGCACGCCGTGCTGATGTACATGATCGACTTCATCCATGATCGAATGCTTCAAGTTTGACTGATGTGTTGTTAGTTCTCTAGCTCGCGTATTCAATCACAAGGGCAACATAGCCACAACCCACCACCACGTCGCTTTCCCTCATTCTGGCACCGTCATTTTAATCGACACGGGGGAACTGACTATGACACCCAATTGTGGTCCAGCCGGACTCGAAACTTAGTCTATGGCATGCTGCACAGACGAGATGGATTGGACATCGAGTTGCGAGAGCCACCAGTAGTCGAAGTCCCGTGCACAGCAGGCAAGCCTGTACGTTCTTTTTCTCTTCTTAGCTATTCTTTGTCATTGACTACCTCTCGCGCAGAGAAACTATCACGCTAGGAGAAAGAAACCATCTTCCAGCTCGCCTCAACCTTCCAATACCCATACCACCCAGCATCACACAGTAACCCAGGACACACCATCGTCACCACAGCAACCACACCCCACTGCCATTGCCTCGACACTTCCCGCCGTTGCTAGTGCCGCAGGCACAACGGGCACAATCTCACACCCTCATATCACCATAAGGGATTCTGGATGGCGCGCTCGTTTCATGGTCTGGATTTGCTGTATACCTATTGAGAACGCAGACTAGCTCTTTTCTGATCAAGGCGTTTACGGGGCTACAGTTTGCAGTCCTAATGCCAGAAGCACCCGCAGAAGTTTACGGAATATGAAAGGGGTTCGATTGGAGCGCGCACATGGCGTCGACGCGAATTGGTTCCGCGGGATCAAACGCCTGCTCGTTACATAGTAGATATATGATTTTGTATATGTGATCATCTTACATGGAACAAAATATGCACGCGACGTCGTTGAATTGCTGTAGCATTGAAAAGTCAACTTGAAGTACAAAGCACAAAATCAAGCAGGGATGATGCCCTGCAGCCTAACTTAAGTTCCTACTACTCTTGTCGACAAAAACCATGTCAATATTACCATCACTGACTCCTCGACGTCTTCGTCTCCCCTCTCAAGGTCGCAGACTTACTCATTACCACTACACAATGTCAGGTGAGTAGACCCGATATCAGGCAGTACATATAATTCCTTACCTGTGCTCCCCCAGCCTGTCTTCATCATCGTTTGTGGTTTCGTCCTGTTGAGCCCTTGCTGGTATCAGCAGCACAGACTCATCAGTGCCCCCATCTCCTCTCTCAAGGTCACAGACTTGATCATTACCACAATCTTCAACCTCGTCTTCGTCAATGTTCTCCGTGGCTTCGACTTTTGTTGGTATCAGCGCCACTGAGTCATCATTGCCTTCATTCCCTTTCTCAAGGTCACAAAGTTTATCATTCTCACTACACCGTATCGAGTGAGTGAATTTGAGTCTGAGTAGCACGATTCCTTACCTAGGTTCATTCGTCGTCAGCATCCCGGATATTTTATCTTCGTCAATAACCTCCACGGGGTTGTCCGCCAGTTGAACCTTAATGCCCTTTCCGATTTTACGAAGGACATTTTTCCCCTCGTATTCGTCGTGTGGAATTGAGCCAAAGACTTTGGCGGTTTTCGGTAGGCGTGTCGTGAGCCAAATTGTATGAAGGAATCCGAAGCCTCCGATGAAACTCTCGTCACTGGGAGCAACCCCAGCCAATGCGAAGATCAAACCCAGAGCAACGAACGAGGCAACAATCGCCGCCAACAATGGGGCTTGAGAAACCTGAAATAAACACCATAAAACTCTACGGGTTCAAGATGGAGGATGAACTCACATGCACCATTATACTTATTGCATTTTTGTTGATTTCAGCCTGTCCGGTTGCCCCGTCAAACCCTCCCCTATGCCCACCAAGCTGTGCAGCTAGAGAAAACCTACAATCGGCTTTCCTGTGTCGCAATATATATACATGGAACTTACCCGTCCAGATCATCATCCCAAAGTACTGGGACAAAGCCCCTTCTAGTTCGAGTGGAGACAAATTGAAGGTGGGCGTGCTATTATCGAATTTTGTAGGAATCATCTGCTCCTGGGTCATGTTCAGAAAACCCATAAGCAGTCTAGCAAATGTCACAAATCCTTAATCTCATGCTCGTTGCAATATTCACAAATATTGAACTGACCTTTCAGGTACATATCCGCACGCGCTAGCATTGCCGCTGCCTGCACACGACCCGGGTAAAATGGTGTTGTTCCAGTATATTGCTTCCACTGGTGTTCCTTCGAACGGTTTGGCGACGAAAGGCGCTTTTATCTGCAAGCCGGGTCATACAATGAAGGCAGCAGGGTATGAAAGCTGGTTCCACGCACCCAATCCAAGCCCTGACCTGTGGAGGGAAAATTCCCTGGAAAGATCGTCCATTGCTTATCCGAAGAAACCGGATTATACGCAGTATCCAGAAGCAAATTGGATTGAACGTCGACGGTAGCGACGTGCTTCTCAAGAGACATGTGACATGCGACCATGTATCCTACCACTTGCGCGCCGGATACTAAATCCCCTAGTAAAATCAAACAAGATAATCAACGACGGTGTACCCAAGGGGAATCATGATTACCATTGCTGCCATATGTTGTCCATGGCATAGACACCGAAATATTCTCTAGCGCCGCTCCACTTTCAACCATTGCCGTTGTAACAAGAAAAGTAAGATAATTCTGCCGAGGTCCGTCAACAACGACCCACAATGACAAAATTCAAGTGAATCTACCTCGGCAGTCATAATGTCCTGATATAAAATCTGATCTGACCCTGCATACCTGTGGTTAGGAGCCGTGACATCAAACGATCAACAAACTTACAAGGGATCGTACCGATAAAGTCTTTGGGAGAGCCATCAGCATTAGACCAAACCGAACTTGGCAACAAGGAGCAGTTGGCATCTACGAGTGTTGCATTCACAGCCGCAGCTCCGAATCCGGGATTTGGAGATAACTTGTCGTACAATAATCCCCCTGATAGCCCCGTGGTTACTACCCCCTTGGTCCAATTTGAAGGCAAGGCCACCGAAGTTATCATATTCCAATCCAGAGCGCTAATGTTTATTGACGGATCTGGCCACGCGAGTTGTGTAGATGATGAACCATTGGTAACGAGTGTGTAAGTTTGAGGCGAAACAATGAATGGTCGCAGGATAGAAATTATTGTGATGGAAATGAGGTACAAAAACACACCCAAGATTCTTATGGGAGTCGTAAAACCAGGGTATGAGAACTGAGATGAAAAGCACAAGCAAGCCGTAGCCCAGTTGCGCCAGGAGTGCCTAACATCATGCAATGAAGAAAGAAGCTGGAAGCGTGCTAGATCATGGGGAAGGGTGACAGATTGAGCCAAGTAAACAAGGGCAGCGAGTGACAACTACAGAGTATTGTCAGTCTTCAATTTGACAAATCTGCTGCAGCTTACGGTGAAGTATCCCTGAATACACTGGCGAATGCCAAACTCCCACATCTCAAGATGAGACGCGACTGAGAACATAATGCCTTGTTTGTTATAGTGGTTGATTGCGGCGAGGAGTAGTACGTTCAGGACAGCAAAGAGGATATGTAAACCCATGCAAAGCCAGTATCGCACGAAATTATTGGGGCGGCGTGTCTCCGTCTCTGAAATCATGAATCAATGAGTTGATAAAACAAAAGACACCAATTCTAAAGCGACACCTTCATGGCCCCCCAGGGCTTCATACTTGAGGACGAAAAATATCTGTGAGCTCACACGGTGCCAGCAAGCGCTCGCGTCACTGCAAATCTGACGCCATGTTCGTTTAAATACACCTGGTTTCGTGTCTGTCTTCGTGGATGTGCAGTCCGCACCTGCTATGTTTGGGAGGTCGTCTATTGCAAAAACTTGACCAGAATCTTGAATTCCAACTCGGAACATTCCAGCCCTGCGGAGCACCTGATTATCAGGGTCTAAAATGTTGGTGAACTGGGCCGTAAGATCCTCCGAATGTTTTGTCAGCCACATGAAAGACAGGGTGTTAAGTGTCTGTGCGCTCGGTCCCGTCCCTCTTGCAGCAATACAAATAACAAGCACAAGAAGGCAGCCAGAGGCGACTAAAGAGATGAGATTCTGGTTTTTGTTCTCAGTTCTGAGATTGCAAGTGGAATATAGGGTCTCCTACCGAAGTATAGTCAAGCTGGTGTATAGATTTTTTAATCAGCGTCTCCATAGTGGCAGTGCAGGAGAAAGCGAGCAACATACTTCAAGACGGTTTTCCGATACAAACTGTGTTACCTCTGCTTCGGAGTTGGCCCGTTGAAAACCCCCTCCGGAATCGCCCAACTCCCCTGCTGTTATATAATATTGGCACCGTCTTCGTCTCGTGGTCTGCAAAGGAAAATACTAACCTATCCAGATGACCGTTGAATATAGTCTTGATAATGCGGCCTCCATCTGATGTTTTGAAATCGTGAATGATGGTGTTGAATTGAGATACTGGTTTCCACCCGTGTCTTGCGTAATATTGATAGGAACATCCGGGATGATAGCACTGAAGGGCATGCCTATCAACTGCATGAGCAGCCTGTAGAGGGTAAATAAGCAATCCACATACTTGAAGATAGGAGAATATGCGCACAGTTCTCCTACTGACGTATTTCTGTTACACGGGTAATGGTCGACCTTGTCGAAACAAGTTCTCATGCCCGTATAAGAATATTTTTGCGTATCGAATGGCATTGTAATCTTGATAGATATTGCTAGTATCAACTGTGGCATGCATGCGTATATTAACAACATACCACACTACCATTGACCATTTTCTCGGGAGCAAGGGATGTGAATGTTGGCATGGTTGTCCATTGCGGGGGGGATACACTCATTTCTGGGATGACCAGTAAATGATTTGATTGCGCATCCACAGTAGCATTTCGGCGAAGTAGCGATACGTCGCACATTGCAAAGTGCAAATCAATAGCGCTCCAGGCGCTATTTTCAGCAACTTTGTGGAAAGGTCAGCCATTGGCTAGCTATCCGATAAGTATACGTACCGTCATTTTCATAATACCAGGTTCCTTGCACTGTTGTTTCGTTAACCACGGGATTTTCAGCGGTCCCAGTCGTCAACAAGAAATTGAGCCAACCCTGGAATCCTCAACACATACATCAAAAACACGTTCAAACTTGCTCACCTCATTCAACGGGCTATCAGGAAGATATAAAACTTGGTCGTTCCCTGATAGAGATTAGTCGGTTGCAACTCGGTCAACAATGAGCTTACATGGAATAGCATCCAAAGCAAGGGTCGCCGTTGCGTTGGTATAGATTAATGGCTCATTTGCAGCACTTCTCCCATACGATACATTTTGTGCAAGGAAGCATGTGACGCTCACTTCTGTTGCGTTCACGGTTCCGTTTCCTGTCGCGCCAGGGGATATAATGTCATAGAGAAAACCATCACCAAGCCCCGTGGCTATCGGAGATAACTGCCCAAATGTCGACGCCAAAGATAGTATGGTTGGCCAGCTCCAGTTCTCGGTGTTCACAGTGGTATCTGTCCATGTCGATAGCGCAGGTGCTACGAAGGTGTTGACCTTGTCAGTTGACGTAGGGACCAGGACCAGAAGAGCATGATTTTGCAAAAAAGTGATGCCTATGATGTAGAAAAGAATGACAGTCGCCTCTGAGCATGCTGTAGCTGTCATTCGTTGGTCCCAAAGTGCGGCTAGTGCGGCGCCAGATCCATACATGGCATTCAATATGTCGTACACCGCAGTCAATCTGAATTCTCCGCAGAACAGCTGCTTGAAAATGAGCATATTTGTCAATGTATGTAGCAAAGAGAACCAGGCCTAGCAAAATTTTGATCTCTTCAATCATGGTGATGAGCTAGTACACGTACCATATAACCCATGGTAAAAAATAAATAGCCCCAATCGGCTTGAATGTGGATATACCGTGCTAGGGCAGGAATGGGTATGGCAGAAAGGGTTATCGTGTAGTTAAAATTGCGCCTGTATAACAGGAGTAAACCGGAGTGGATGATTATGGGAACTATATGGAATGCAATGCAGATAACCTTCAACAAGACCGCGCCTCGCGACCGGTTCGTTGAAACTGAGGGGCGCATCGACGAATGCGCTGGTGGGTAGGGTTCTATGATATGTCGTCAGTCTCAGAACCGAGGGGGTGCTTACTACTAGTAGGCCGGTCCATTTATATAAACTTCAGAATGGCTTTGACACGCTGCCAGTGGTACCTCAGGCTAAGCCAGCCTGACCAAGATTGCATTAGCAGACCCAAAATAGCCATATTACGAGGCGACTACAAACCCAGCAGGCTGTGCGTGTCGCAAGATAAGGCAAACAAGTCGTGTTAAAGACGTGCCAATTGGCTCGGTGTTCTTTTAATGTTGATCCCGTCCGTCCGCATTAATAGTGCCCACAGCGCCTAGCTAGCATATTAACTCCTAGGGTAAGCTGTTAGTCGTTGTAATGCAGATGGGAAATTTCCAACACAAGACGCTGGGAACGATGCATGAGCGCTTGATGACGGGGACCAAATGGTGGCGAACGCTACATATGTAAGTATGGTTTGAAGTTTCTCGAGTCTCGACGCAAGATAATTAATACGTACATATGTTGTACATAGAAACGAATTTCGCCCGCATGCTGGTTTTTCAATTTTTTTTCAGTGACACGGCGGCATGCAGGCAAACCACACTTGTGAAGGCTGTTCGCATTCAAGTTAACGCTCATTAATCATTTCCGAAGTCCAGGGAGCGCCCTCAGGGAGCTTCTGCATTTCCCTGGTGAGAAAAATACAGCTCAAACGCCCCTTCTCAGCCATCGAAAAATCATCAGGACAATATTATGTAATACTTTCAATGTTTCACACAACAACTTACATAGCTCCGTAACCACTTTCAGTAAGCGAGAAGGCCACAGGCTCACAGCCATGCGTGCTGCCCAGTCACAAATTGCTTCGACAGATATTCGGCGGATGCCAATCAAAGGCATTCATTGATGGTATGCAATTTGGCCTTTGTCTTTAACTCGCCATAGCAGTAATATCAAAACTGCTATCGTCCTCTCCTTCCACTCAAATAATAGCTAACTGCACTCTTCTCGCGTGTGTTATGATCGGGGTTCAGTTGAATAAAGAAGGATATAGTTCAGATTGATAAAAGGTGCTGTTTGACTCATTCAATTGGTGGTCTGGTATCTGCTATGTCTAACAAAGAGATTATGTAGTTCTGCTCTTCATCGACTTGCGCAGTCTCTTTGGGAGCCGTTTCGGACAGTTCTGTGGGGCCATCTCTATGGAGACGGTATCAGAGTTCGACGCCGAGTATGGAACCTCACCGATGTCATCTGTCGCGTGCTCCAGCTCAGTCTCCTTCTGCCGCCTTCATCGCAGGCGATATGGAACCTGGACTTACGCAGGAAGATTTATTCACGGGCGAGGTTATCCGAACAAAATGATAAGCAGCGCTGCGAAGAGTACAGCGCTTCAAGTTCGACGCCGTCGCTCCTATGGCCAGTATGTGGACCATAGAGGATCATCATGACGTTACAAACTCTACCTGGTTGTGGTGGCACGATGTTCCGTGGAGAGGTAATTCCCACTCTCCAGAAGACTTCGACTGGCTGGTGGACTACCTCGACGCTGTTTATTCCAACGACCACGATACGGCATGCGACATTCTTGTACTCATGAGCAGTATGCGCGTGAGCTGCAGCCCCACCAAAACAACATATGTTCATCGAGAGGCTCGTTGCCTGTATGGACAGCAGCATGCCTTACCGTTTATGTCACATTGCCGTTCGCGCTGCTTACAGTTTCCGGGGAGTTTTGACCTCGATTGATGCCGTTGATGATGCAGACACGATTTTGACCAGATTCTCTTCTGCTATCGTGTCCGCGGTTTGTCCGCGACCGGGCGCAACACCTGCCGATGATGGTCCTGACGGCTTCATCAATGGCGCACGCGACTTGTGCTATCTCGAACTGGTCTTTGCCCTCGCGGGAAATTCGATCTGGCACCCGCATTTGGTTGGGGATCATCATATAGATCGTTGCATTAGCATCATTGGAATGCACTGCGAAGGATTCTTCATGCATTACACCTGTTACCTGGTAGGTGTCCTCCGAATCGCACCTGAACAGGTTTCGGTTGCATCGCTCGTGTCTATCACAGAGGAGCAGTGCTGGGACATGATCAGACGTACATGGACGAATATTTATTCTGTCCATGTGGTAGATCTGTCCAAGGACGCGGACGACTTCTTTCCCGTCCTCGTGGGAGGCACAAAGAAGTATATGCAGATCGCTTCCACGTTTGACCTTGAGCAGCTCATCAAAGATGTGGATCGTGTTGCCAGAATGGTAGAGCAGCCAGGATTAGAGTACATTGATGATATGAAGGAGTTGGTGACTGCAGTCCGCGACATGCTTCTTCAGAGGCTCGGTCAATAGTTATTGTGCAAGAAACATATTATTAGTCATATGATTATCACGGTGTTTGCGTATCCCGGGATCAGAGGAATATATGGTGGGCAGTGCAAGTCCAGATTCTGCGATATGTAGACATTGTGTTCAATGTTAGGATCGCAGTATGGAAAATAACAAAGTTGAACATGTGCACCAGTCTCCTTCGAACTAAGTGATACAAAAACTTGATTACTCCGGCTCCATTCAAAACGCGTGATGCGATCATGCAGGTTCGAGTAAATGTGGCCTTCATTTCACATGAAATACGTCGTATACATCCACTCGAGTTTCTGACCCATCTGACATTATTGTGTGCTCCACCAAGCTCCAAATAACAGTGCTACATCAAGATTCAAAAGCCTCTACAGTACATCCTTTGTTCCAAAAGGTCTCATGCACGTACATATCATTACAATCCAAGAACCTCCCCAATAGTCAACCAGCGGTGCCCCTCCCACAGCGAATTGTCCTTGCTCGCCAATTCTGCGTCATCTGATTCTGTCTCAGGGTTCCAGCCGGAACTTACTCCTCCGAATTCAAACCGCTGCTGGAATGCTGTACGAACATCCGCGAGGGGCACACCTTCAGTAGGAATAGCATCACAATGCACCACAGGTACACTGCCTTTGTATAGGGCGCTGATCTCCGCGAGCGTTGCGCGTTGTCCTTCAATGCGAACCTCAACATCGAGTAGACGAGATGGCGGTTGAGTAGTAAGAATGTGAGCCACGTATCCCGCAACGTCGGATATCGCAGTGAAGGATCCTGGCATTTTCCCTTTGCTCACGAGATGCAACTTGCCAGTCTCAGTGACTGCAGTGAGCCACGGCACGAAGTCGTGGAATAATCCATTCTAATGGATGTTTTGCGTTGAGTGAGTCATGCTTGGAGCGAAGCCAGCAGAAAAAAAACATACATAGACACGAAGAGTGGGCAATCCAATCGATTTCGCATAAACTGTGGGCGGAGGATGAGTTAAAATTACAAAGTGCTACTATTGGCTACAATCACTCACCTGCAAAGTCATGTTTTTCACGACCCGGACCAGTCACTGGTGGTGATACGCCGAATTCACTGGGTACAAAGAGCTTCACACCCGCCTCCTTTGCAGCGTCCGCGAGAACGTCTTGGGCGGCTATGCCTCCGGAAAAAAATGAAACAGTAGAAATGAGGACGTCCACTTTATTTTCACGAAGGATTGCCGAGATCTCAGATGCAGATGTATAATCTACGCGCACAACCTTCAGGTTGGGATCATCATCAGGGAGTGCGGAAGTGTTTGTGGAGGTCGGCCGAGCAATGACGAGAATTGGAGCGCCAATGGCCAGGAATGCCTGACAGATATTCGGCTAAGGACGATGCTCGAGGACAATAACATACTGAATGCTTACATTCACGATAGGAATTCCGATGTGAGGGCCTGCGCCGACAATAGCAAAGGACTTGAAAAGCGTTTCAGACATGCTGTGTTATGTTGGATACTGAATTTTGGATTCTGCAGTCCTGGATGCCATTGGTTTATATATCATTCGTTTCAAATCCAGACTTACGCTCACTGAAGTCAGGGGTTTATGTTGACTAAGCTGCTTATCGCATGGGCTACGACAATCCATGAGTCAAGTGTACGTGAACAAGAATATAAACGAGGTGACCTTCAATGAGATAACCTGTAAGCTGACGAGTACTTGGTTGAGTGTTACTTTGGCGTTGCTCCCGAAGTTCAAGAAGCCTAGGATGTTTACTCTCCCAACGTTTTAGAAAATGAGACTCAAAGACGGTCCTAGAGATTGGGAGCACTGGCAGGAAAGAAAGAGCATTCTGAGCTGCTTGCCAGACTGACATATTCTTAACCAGAGTCAGTACATCGATGCTGGACGAGTCGTCGCAGATGCATAATAGTGTCAAAAGTACTTGTCGGACCTGCGCGTCTGAGGGTGGTGGGCACGGTGCTTAGAAAGCATTACGTACCTCGGCCTGCAGTGGTCTTGGGTTGCCGTGAAGGCTGAATCAGTCGATGAAATGCTACCGTGACGAGTAGCCGTACAGGCCTTCCGAGGAACGAAGACCAGAAAACCAAGTACACCAAAAGGACGCAGATCATTCAAGTTTTAGATGGACGATCATTTCAGATGGTTCTCGAGTACTGCCAACGTCGAACGACGAGTGGCAGGAGCTTCAGGCAATGGGCGGCAGATGCAGCCGAACGCGCGTAGAATCTTGGTAAGCTGCCGTTGATGTTCATTAAATCTTAATATAACGTGAACTACTTCAGCCAGCCTCAGTCAGCAACTGACTGACTCATTCACTAGCTAGGTGACCAAGCTACAGGGATAGTAAGACTCGTTCCCAGCTCAGATTTCTCCCTTCCTGATTACAAACTTGAACAACTCTAGCGATGCGACAACCGATGCTCACCCGAAAGCTCTGCTTGTCTCGCATATAAATATGAGCTTTCTTCAACGGTCCAAGTCACCCAAACTACTATCAAATCATCATGTCTGAACAGTTCACTCTGTACTTTTACAAGGTGAGTTGAACGATGGAGATTGAAGAGGAAGACTTATCTGACCCATGACTCCCTCAGGCCTCGCCCTTTAGCCACAAGGTGAAATTACTGCTGTTGTCATATCCTTTCGCGAGTCTCTGACGCAATTGACAGGTCGAGCTGGCTCTTGTCGAAGCCAATGCACCCTACAAGGCCCACCAAATCGATCTCTTCAACAAACCAGAGTGGTTTCCCAAAGTGAATCCCGTTGGCAAGGTATGTGGAGCGATATTATGTGCTTTGCAGATGAGCAGATGAATGTAATATCACATAGGTGCCCGCCGTGACATACGGGGGACCCAGTGTCGACCCCGAGGATCCTTCGCCCCTGTCCACTAAACTCGCAGAATCGAATGTTATCCTCGAGTTCTTGGCGGACCTCTATCCAGACTCTGGCCTCCTGCCAAAGGATCCTGTCTTGCGTGCTAAAGTCCGTTTCTTCATCAATGCGACTGCCAAGCACATCGAGGATCCCTGGTTTCCCTTCATCAGAGGGCGCGAGCCATACGAGAATGTCCTAAAGGGGATTGAATTTATACAAGGCCTTCTCGAGGAGGGTAGTGATTTCGCGGTTGGAGATCATTACACCATTGCAGATGCGTGCATCGCTCCGCACCTCGCAAGGCTCAAGACTGTCACTGAACACGACATAGGTAAAGTACCCACTCATGCCTTTTCCCGAGAAGTCGAGCCTGATTAATGGGAACAGGGAAATTCCCTGTCGGGATGGGGTATAAGTTAGGCGAGGAGTTAAAGGCCCCCAAGTTCGCCAAATTCATGAGATACGCTCAGCGAGCGCTGGAGCGTCCGAGCTTGAAGCAAACCTATGATGAGGTGCGCATACCTCTATGCGAACGACTAATGACTTACTCTACATTGCATTTAGGAGTTCGTGATCACAATGTTCAAGAAGATTTTCGCGGAGCGTGTACAGTGAACATATATACCTAATGGCAGATACCCATTTCGTATGATGAAGCTTCCTAACTGTCAGAATTTGCAGTATATCCTGGCGAACGATATATAGATAATCCATACCATTAACAACTTGAATCCGCAAGAAAATCTGTGCAATGACTGTAGAGGTACATCGAAATCTTACAAGAGCATGGAAACTCCTCCATCTCGTCCCATTATCATCATCACTATCACTGTTCTCACCCTCAGCAAAACATCAATAGGTTCCAAACTTAGATCATGATCTGCGCCAACATACGAATCACTTCTCGTCACGAGACTATCATGGGAGTCGGTAGGATGAATTTCACTTTTAATTGTCTGTCCCTGAACACGTTGGGCTAGCTTCTGTAAACCTTGCGCAATTCAAATCATAGCAGCATTCGGTACTGCCTCTTCTGACTAGGCATATGCGACTACCACCAAGCATGGTAGCACCCAATTGAACCCGCATGTAGCGGTGAACGTTATAACCACCCTGCGTTTCCGTTGAAAATGATGTGAGACAACGGCCGCCCTCGGGACAAACGTGAGCCCAAGCCTTGAGCAAGAAATTTATATACAAAATCAGAAGCAAGACCAGAACGCCGTGAGATGCTTACCTGGTAGTATTGATCGGACTTCCATGAAGATAACATCAAGACAAGCAAAACTCTGTGGAACTGATTGCCGATGGTGAGATGGCTAAGCTGAATTTGAATATCGGTCCTCCAACTTACATGTGACCTGCTATAAGGCACACGGGACTAAAAACGTGTTTGTCCTCCCAATCCATCGACAAAGAGCCTGACCTCAGGGATTAACTCGGACACAGTGACGCTGGTAACTGAAGACTCGCGATATAGTGGATATCGTTTCTTTTGTGGGGTGATGGCAGAAACCTAAGCAGAATGAGTAAGCCCCATATTTGTTGTCCAAATTCAATTCTTACGATCCGACGTCAATCGCGCAAGCTGCCGGAGCGTGAGGAAGTGTCGGGGTCTGGGTAACCTTCCACTGATAAGTAAGTCGCTGAGCGCTCATACTCTTGGCAAGGGGACTCTGCCAGTGTACAGTGACATAGCGTTTTGGGGTTGGTCGCAAACGTGGTGACGCGAGCAAGTATACTCACGTCCATTGGTGTACAAATATGGCTTCAGAGGACCTTTATGCAATCTCCGCTGACTGGCTCAAAAGACTATAGGTCGCGTCGTCTACTGGAGATGCTATGTCATTTGTGAGCCATTTCCATTCGGACGGGTGGTTCAGAGGTCAGTGCTTGTCCAAGTAACTCAGGCGCATTAATAATACTCCCAGATCTCCTATGTATTTCTTGGAATTTCAGGACACTATCAGGATCCGAAAACATACGCGAATTTCTCTCGGAGGTCGTTGATGGAAAGTCGCGACTTGAACATTCCGGTCTTCGTGATTTCAAGCTAGACGACCACACCGTCAATTCGCCTTCGCCATTCAAATTTCCAGGTCCACAGGGCATTGAAGGAGTACAAGGTGCTTTCACCTTTAGCATCACGAACCCAGCTGCACTCGGGCGAGGTTTTTTCTATCTGACCCGGGACGTCGATGGAACTTGGAGGGCTTTAACCCTTTTTACAAACATGCAGGAACTCGTCGGATACGAGGAGTCTTCCACAAATCAATACGGCCTATATGAGGGTCAAAAATTCAGTTCGGAGGAGTATGTTGATGCAAAATTCCGTGCTATAGAGGCAGACCCCACCGTTTTGATCGGTATGCTAATTCTCTTATCAATCCTGACGACCTGACGAGTCATGAAAAGTTGGTGGTGGACAATCTGGCCTCACTTGTGCAGCGCGTCTGGGTCGGTTGGGGATCCGTGCGCTCGTGATCGAGAAAAACGCGCGCGTTGGAGACACCTGGCGACAGCGGTATGTGCAAACACTGCTGATATTTTCTGCATTTTTAGAGAAATGCGAATCCCAGGTACCCGAACCTTACGCTGCATACTCCCGCATATATGAGCTCCAGTGTGTCATATCATCTTTCTACAAGAGATTCTGGGCTGATTCGTACATAGTACTTTATAGTCCCTATCCGTATGTGCCTTGCGCAGTTCACAGGTATCGCATATCTCAATAATGCTAGGACAAACTTCCCCAAGTACATTCCTAAGGGGAAACTCGCTGATTTCCTGGAGTCATACGCCGCTAATCATGAATTATGCATCTGGCTGTCGAGTATCGTCGCCCCGAATCCGATGTATGACTCATCATCCGCAAGATGGACTGTCGAAATACAGCGTGGAGATCAGAAAGTTATCCTCCACCCAAAGCACCTGGTACTTGCGACAGGAGGCGGGACCCCTCGCATTCCTACCTGGAATGGAATGGACGAATTCCAAGGAACGTTGTATCATTCCGACTTCCATCAAGATGCAGAGCAGTTCCGAGGCAAACGCGTTGTCGTTGTGGGTGCGGTAGGCCATGCGTGTCCATTTCATACTTGCGCGTATACTCACGAAACCGTCAGTGCAACGCTAGTGGAGATATATGTCAAGATTTTGTCGCGCATGGTGCTGCTGAGGTGCGTGTATGGATTGAATTTATGAAAGTCGTGATTTCATGAGGGAGAAAAGGTGACAATGGTCCAAAGAAGCGCCACATGCGTTGTATCCTCTACTACCGCAGAAAAAACCTACTTCAAGGTGCCTTTCCCAGAAAGCAACCCTATCGAGGACCTGGATTTCCGCTCCAATTCAATGCCTCGGGCCTTTCTCCTGCAGTTAAACAAATTAGGTGGGACTCAACACGCGAAGATGCTCGACGAGGAACTCCACGAAGGTTTGCGCAAGGCTGGGTTCAACTTAACTTGGGAACTTGAGCCTGGTAGTGGCGAGGTTGGGCTGGATGGATTTGCGACAAACCGCTTGGGAGCAGGAATGAGTACGTTTGATATATTCTCGTCACGGGCGACATTTCAAACAACATACAGTGATTGATGTTGGTTGTGGTAAGCTGATCGTCGAAGGCAAAGTCAAGGTCCGTATGACGTATCTGTTATCGAGGGCTTTGTGACAGTTGCGACCTGTGCGTACTAGGTAAAGCAAGGCCAAGACATCAGTCACCTCGACAAAGACGGGGTCGTGTTTCAAGATGGCTCCAAGCTCTCAGCAAATGTTATCGTCCTAGCGTATGGTCTGACTCGTAATTTCTCATTTGTCTTTCTCACGTGTGTTGCAGTACAGGAAATGAACCCGTCTTGAAGACCGCCGGAGCTTTTCTTGGTGACAAGATTGCCGAACAACTTTCATCCATGGTGTGGGGATTCGACTCAGAGGGAGAACTCGGTCAGACATATCGGCCCTCTGGACATCCGGGACTTTGGTTCGCTATCGGTTCATTTGTGGTAACACGTTTCTTCAGCAAACACTTGGTGGGCTACATTACTCTGTCGGACTATATAGCTTTTGATGAATGCGATGATATAGGGTCTTCAAATTCTGGCTCGAGAGCTCGGCATAGCATGACAAAAGGGGTGTTGCCGTTATGCATAATATACCGCAGATCAGAATCACAGATACTGAGGGACAATATTGAGAAAATCGGTCATGCGGAACCAGAGCTCTCTCTGGGACAATATGTATGATATTGCACATGTTACTGTCCAGAGAGTGTCTGTGTGACAGCCCCTGCAAGGAATATCGCGTCCCTTGTGGCCAGGTTCATACCCTGGCCGCCCGCAGGTGAATATATATGGGCTGCGTCATCAACTAGGAAAATAGCAGCGCCGAGCCGTGTAAATCTGTTCACCAGTCCAAACATTGAATTCAGAGACTAAACAGCGGTGTATCCCTCAAGTAGGACATGCCTTTTGTTTTTCCAACACTTACGTTAAAAAAAAAAGGCATAGCCGACGCAGGCTCCAGAGTTGAGACGAAGATGAAGACAAAGTTCAGTGGAATAACGGGGTTCAAAGCAAGATGAGTGATGACGATACTCGAACCAGATTTGACGGGACTTCCTGGCTTTGCTTGTCAATGCGAGACTGCGCGTCCAAGGGTCATGATGACCACACAGGACAGAGGTTCTCGACTTTTCTTTTCGATGCGAGACTGCATACCCAAGGGTCGTAATGAGTTTTAGCTCGTTAACCAGCCAGAATCCTCATCTAGGGCGAGTCCGGCACGTGGTAGAGAGTTTGCAGCGCCCGGGACATCTTGCTGCCTAACGTGTTGTATATCTGTCTCTCGATGGACGGCAAAAATAAGATAACACGTACAGCTGCCTAGCCACATATTCAACTTTCGACTATCTTCTACGGAGAGACGGAGATTTCGGGATAATGCTACTTGAACCAGATATGATGCGCATGGGCGGGAATAGCCAAGGTCCTTCTTGTGCTACAATCCTAATCGGTGGTTGATGTCAGAAATAAAAACAAAAACACACCTACAGCCCGCCTACAACGGGCGATCAACTCGCAAGTTCTAAATGAACACGGTGGAACACGGAAAGTAGCCCTCACATCATAAGTATCCATCTTGAATCAACCAATTATTGGTTTTGATTCCCGAAGAGATCCACATTCACATCGTGATATCAAGCACATAATATACCTATAAATCAGATCATACAATTGCGCACGATAGACTCGTCAACGCACCCATAGCCAGCAAGCCCGGAACGCCTTCAATCTCTCTCAACCAAGTAATCGCCCACCCACTTTCAAGCCCATCTAGTACGTAGATCACTTTTGATTACCTCACCGATACAACCAAGGACATACGAGACATTGTCAGTCCGACATTTTCGTGATGAGGTTTCGGTTGGGTCTGGGTGTAGCTTGAAACACGCAAGCACCACGCATTGGTCAAATGCTGAGTCATGTTTAACAAGCCCCTATCTCCTTCAAGTTTACATTTACGCTCTCCTTTCACCAAGATCCCTTGCACCTTCATAATGGCGACCAAGTCCGATCACAGCACACCTCCGTCATACCACTCAATTCCTACGTCCGAATTACCAGCGGACTCCATCCAATCCAAAAAACCATCTGTTTTCTCGTTTCCCAAGATGTGTTGCGAGACACCTACCTTGGACAAACCAGATTCCGTCCTATCTTGCATCTGTGATCTTGTCTCTGCTCCAGATTTCACCCCTTCCTCTGCCACCGAAATCGTTAATGCCTGCGCTGCAGCTCTTCCCTCCACAGAGTTTTCCGACTTCCTGCAAACATCCAATATCGAGGGTCACACAGCGCTATATTGGGCAATTGTGAATGACAAACTAGAAGTCCTTTCGATGTTTGCTGAATTCATCTCTGAATTCTCGTCTAATTGCCGCTCCGACTTGCGCCTCGCGTGCATGACCACTAACAACCAAGTGTTGTTTGCACAGCTGAGTCTGGGACATATCAATGGTCAGTTCATGGTAATGCTCACCCGAGAGCACACTATTTATTTGATGTGCACTCATCAGCCAAGGACAAGCTTTTGAGACACACTCAATTGGGTTGTCCGCTAGATGAGATTCAGGTGCATGGAGGGGACACCAGTAAATTGGACCACAACCAGTTACAGTTCGTTGCATCTTTCCGCATCAGGATGTTCCAGAAACGTCTGCGCATCACGCACCACCTAAAGTATGAGTTTGTTGCAGGCGGTGTGTGGTCCAGTCTCTCGGGTTTCTCCTCACGCTGAGATGAAGACCTGCAGGACGTATATGGCGGCTCCACTTTTGTGTGGACGATAAGTGGAAATGGATCGTCGGGTTTGGTCTTTCTTCACCTAGCCTTCCGGCTTGTCCAAAAGCTACATTCTCGATAGAAGCTCACCACAGAAAGAAAGGGGAACTTGGCCAAGAAACACTCCCTCAAGAGCTCAGATTCACGGATTCAAAATTCAAAGAGACACATATACCAAATGTGTAAGTCACAATTTGCTCCGACTCATTCGAACTCAAGGTACTGATGGATTGCGATTCCTATTCTTTGTTCCCCTGTTGGCGAGGCAGCACATCTGAGGATAAACAAAAATACCTTGGCAAAGTAGCTGGCACTCCATTTACCAGCACTACATGGCAGTTGGGCGATTGGGTGATGTACGAGTAAGTCTTTCGGTTCCTGAGCCCGATCCGTGTTACAGGATGTCTATTTTGCATCTCTACTTCTTTAACGCATTCAACTGACTGAATTTTTGCAGCAATCCCGTATATGTAGACTGCGAAGGCACTTTACACGCGAAGCTGGAGATGAGATTCATGAATAAATAGCTTGTTAACTTTGATTACTAACATTTGACGACGGACCAATGTACAATACGTTGAGGGTGCTATTGTGTCACCAGTCCACGCCTTGAATTTAGAGGCCAGATATCGGTGTATCCCTCACATAGGACACGCCTTTTGTTTTTCTTAACACTTACGTTAAAAAAAAAAAAAGGCATAGCCGACGCAGGCTCGAGAGCTGAGACGAAGATGAAGATGAAGTTTAGTGGAATAGCGGGGTTCAAAGCAAGATGAGTGAAGGAGATTCCTGGATGACCATACTCAAACCAGATTTGACGGGACTTCCTCAGTTTGAGGAGGGTGTTATTATTCCGCGTCTTGGATTGGGAGATAGCCGTGTATCCCTCAATGTCATAGGACATGCCTTTCTTTTTTCTTCTAAACTTCTTCTTAAAAGAAAAAAAAAGGCATAGCCGACGCGGGATCGAAACGAAGATGTTCAGCGCAATAGCGGGGTTCAGAGCCAGATGCGTGACGGAAAATCCTGGAAGACGATACTCGAACCAGACAGGACAGAGCTTCCTGGCTTTGCTTGTCAATACGAGACTGCGTATCCGAGGTTCGTGATGCGTTCCCATCCCGCTGGCTGGCCACAGTGCTCTTCCAGAAACAGGTTCAACACGTAGCTGCGCATGGGGCTGAGATGGCCACCATTGATCTTTCTCGTGCGGCAAGCCTCATCAATCATCAACACTGAAGACGTCAAAAACAAAATGAGAAAAGACACACCTATAGCTCGCCCTACAACGTGCGATCGACAGGGTCTAGATAAACACGGTGGAACCCGGAAAGTCACCCCCAAGCAAATTTCCCGGTCACAGCATGAGCATCTTGAATCGATCAATCAATTGATCCCCGGCGAGATGATTTACTTTGGACAGATCACCGTCACATCGTGATTATAGGTATATCTGCGCACGATAGACTCATCAACAATACCCATAGCCAGCAAACCTGAGAGGCCTTTCGGGTTATCTCGAGGACTCGCTGTAAATGTTCCACAAACACCTTCAATTTGTAAACGGAAAATATACTCATAGGTTGACTCATAGGTTCACAATTTGATACTTTGAATATCGAGGAAGGAACGGAGAGAAGGGATGATGGGGAGAAGTCAAGACTGGTGAGCTGAGTTTCAGAAACAAAAGGGCGGTTTCAGATTGTGACTGTGACAAGTCACGTTTTCCCGCGATGAAGTTTCCCCACCGCACCAGACATCGGACAAACATCTATTCAGAGTTGAAGACAGTTCGTACGATCAAATCACAATCAATCAATTGAAACATCAAAACATTCGGAATATCATTTCAAGGCATCAGATATGAAGTAGTAGCTACAAGAGTGGGACTATGCTAGAGGACAGACAGGCGGGACAGGTAGTGTAAAAGAACATGCCAGAGAGGATCAACGAAAGACGTATACGTGTAAGAGATCAATGAAAGACGTGCGATAAAAAACAACGAAAGACAAGATGAAATGAATGAATGCAAGTGAGAGACTACAGTATGCGTATATGTATGCGTGAATGAGCGAGTGATGATAATAGATACAATAATTACGATCGTCGTCGTCAACGAGAGCAAAGTCAAAGCAAAAACAAAAGTGCAGGGGATTGAAACCACAAAAAAACCCTCAATGAAACCCACCAAAGATATTAAACAGGAAATTCGAATCAACGAACCACGCATCACATCACCTCAAGCCCGCAAAAACATCTCAACAGGAATCGGCTTCCTCCTCAACCCGCTCCCGCTCCCGCCAGACTCACAGCTGTCGCATTCAGACCACGCCGCAGAAGATGTCGACGAGCGTGAGTTTTGGCGGCGGATATGGCGCGAGGGCGAAGCCTGAGGTGTGCTAGGAGGTGAGGGCGTCGCCGGGAACACCATCCTCGTCAAAGGCATTTTGTACGGACTCTGAGCACGGTTTGGTGTCGGTGTCGGTGTGTTGGTGGGTGATACCCTCGTGCGAGGAGGCGTAGACATGATCGGAGGCGGACGCTTGGTTCGCGACCCAAAGACCCCGCGCAAAGGACTCAGAAGCGTGCGTGGAGGTTCAGGTGCAAACGATGATATCGTAGAGCAGCTCCATCGACTGCGAAGTTGGTGAGTCTTTTCAGCGGGGGTGGGAGGGAATGAGAAGGGGGAGATGGGGCTGCTTTCTGAAGAGGAGGAGTGGCAGGAGGAGGAGAAAGAGTCGAGAGAGGAACGGGAGGTGTCGGAGTCGGTACTTGCGCGGGGGAGGTACATCTCATTTATGGGGGTTTCGGAGACTGCGGGTGAGATGGGGTGGATGGATTCTTGGGCTGGGACGAAGGATGGTTGGGAGTAGATGGATTCTTCCTCGTCGTCGTCGAACCAGACTTGTTCGATGACGATTGGGCGAGGAGACTCGTCTTCGAAGGAGATGTCGAGCTCTTCGATGTCAGATGGGACAGCCATACGAGGAGGGGGGCGGCTGTTGATTGGTGGTGGGGGAGGTGGGTACATGGGCACGGGTGGGATGACGCGTTTCCTGCGGACCGCCGACACTGAGACTGGAAGTTGTGGAACGGGTGGTACAGCCGAGGAGGGGGGCGGCGTAGGGAGAGGAAGGAGTGGGAGGGCTTTTGAGAACCGACTGCGTCCGCGGGGCTTTGGTGCCTCGACAGGTAACTTGGGTGCAACCTCGGGTGAGAGGATGACAGAGTCGGGGCGGGCGGTTGGTGGTGCAGAGACCGGCGCAGGAGAAGGCAGAGGTGAGTATAGGGAGATAAAGTCCTGGAACTGGCGTGTGTAGAAGTCATACTCGTCTTCCTGTTCTTCGTGTCCCTCAATGAGACTGTGAGCATCGGTATCCTTCTCTATGACCTCTGCGACATCGTCTTCATCTGCGCAGACAATAGAACGGGTCTTGGTTATGCACAGTGGGCGAATGGTAATGCGTTTGGGCCTCAGGCGGGGACTTGGGAGACGTAGCTCACAGATGTCTTCGTCGTCTGATACACCTGGGGTAGCAGGCATCTCCCCGCTGGTGTTGCTGTCATCGGTGGAAGAGGATGCGGAGAGAGCGGGTGAACGAGGCTCTTCATTGAGCATGAGCAATGCATCGTCGATGGAGAATGCGAAGGCGGAGAGTGTGACGCGCGGAGAAGGTCTAAGATGGACATCCGGTTGGGGAACGGAGAGCGGGGTTGAGTCGAATTCGAAGTCATTTTCTGATAGCTCTGGAATGATTTGGAGGGGAAGAGGTCTGGTGTGGGTTGAGTGGGATAGAGGACAGCCAGCGTCTGATGGTATTGAAATAGAGTTCTTTCTGGTGCGAGTGCGAGAGGTGCGCTTCAATGAGGCGCGAGCGAAAACTATGCAAGTCAGAAAGTATAACTCACGTGCGTTCATGTTGTTCGTGTGGATGAAGGATACAGTCAAGTAAGACAAGAGAAGCAAGCCAAGTACAAGTCAAGTATATATCAGCAGTGGATGAGTACCATTCAAGGTTGATAATAGACGAGCAACAATAAGATACTGGGCGCTGGGCGCTGAAATGCGGCATTGTGGTTCGCGTACAACCAGCCTTTTGTCGTTCTCTCCATTGTCCTTGTATCCTTTTCGTCACAAAAACACCCAAACAACGACTTCTTCATTTGGAATATATCAATATCGCTGACTTTCAAATATTGTTTATTCTTGTTTACACTCATTGTTTACAGTCTGGCTATTAATTAAGCGGTTGATCGATATCCCTCATAACTCCCATCCATCTTCCATCATTTTTCGGCTCAACGTTGACTGTCTTGACAGTTCGCTTTCAAAATGACCACTGTGCGAGACAGGGTCCATTCTCACCAAACACGAACACGCTCTTTCGTCCCCGCATTTATTACAAGTAACAGTACGTTCAGTTTGGTCGTGATCGCCAATTTGATTATCATCATATCGCCGAAACCCAACTTCTTGTTTTGAACTTGATATTCTGTCCAGCGCATAAGGCGGGATCTGTTTCATGCAAAGTACGTTCTATCACCGATACCATCCATTTATATTCCCATCTACTGAAAATTTCTGTCCCTGATTATAAACATCCCTGGCTTTTCACCGCGTTGCATGCCTTGAGATCTCACATCCCTCAAGGTGCGCATCGCGATGACTGAGCGCGTCAATGGCGTCGTCGTTGGTCTTTGCTCCAAGTAGCCAGTCTAGTGAAGCTCGCCTTCCCACTGCAGCGTTGTGTACTATTGAATGTTGTCGATTGTCTGTTTGTTGATGCCCATGACTTGTGCGCTGCTACACGTGTTATCAGAAACAAAAGACCAGACACACAAGTGTGATCCCATCGTCACAGCAATCATCCAGTCTGATTTATCTGCTCAGTGAACCAAGTTTTCAATTTCATCATCCCTTGTGCTCTCGAAATTTCTCGAAATTGAAGTTACTTGGTATGGTGGTTCATTAGACTCCGGCCTACTTCGGCCCTCGGCGCTTATGTCCGATTAGACTCCGAGAGCAACTGCGGCGTTGGCACTTGCTCGTCTTATACTATGATCATCCTTGTTGACTTCAACAACTTCTCAACGTTCAACCACAGCCATGAATAGTCCTATCGCTGGCATGACATATGTCATGCCTTTAGATCTTTATAAGGAACGATTCGGACGTCGTCATTTGGCTCTAAGGTCTGGCCAGGGCAAGCAGCGTGTGGTGTGGTGACAACTTGGTCCTTGGTACGAGCTACCGTGACGAGTCTCAGCTTTTCTACTCTGTTCTAGCCGGCATAACATATTTCATGCACAACACTTGCGCATGCATGGGTCCATGGCTACAATATACGGTGTGGGTGAGTTTGACTCTCGACCTGCATGATGTTCCTTGCTGGCACGACGTATGCATATGCCTTTAAAATTTTAAAAGAACGAATGTCGTTATTCGTCTTTGAAGTGTCTGGCTAGGCCATTATCATGCCACAACGCTGCAAACTACTTCTGCCCCTTCAAAGTCTCTAGCTGGCATGACAGATGTCGTGCACAGCGCTTGCATGGGTCCATGGCTACAGTATATGTTGTGAGTGAATTTGACACTCCTCGAGTTGCGACCTTTATGCTTCTTGCTGGCATGACGCATGTATGTGGAAGCTGCCAAGAGCCCGATATCGTAACTCATTGTATATTCACTGACACGAACATCGCACGACCAGGCGATTTCCGAACTTGAGTAGCTCACATGCACCCGACGGCGCGCTTCCCGACGTTCCCGAGCAAGCCTCGTACCTGTTCCTCCGCGAGCGATGTTATCTCTCCTCAGCGTGTTGGTAGGGATCGTCCTGCTCATAATATATCTCTATTTTCGCTTCAACGACCAAGGATTGTCGCAACTTCCGTCGGAAGCCTTTGCGTTTGCACCCAACCGGTTCACACCACATGTCGTCCGTGAAACTGCTGAAAAGCTTTGTAACTCGCCCAAAATTATAAAGGATGTACTTCCACCAAAGACTGGACGTCGGTATATTGTAGTTGGTGTAAGTATCTAATTGCATCCAGCGCTTAATGCTCATTGCTGATGTTTCTGGCATAGGCTGGTTTCTTGGGCGGCTGGATCATCATCCAACTTCTGCAACGTGGCGAGGATCCAAAGAAGATCAGAATCCTCGGCATACGCCGTCCGACTCGTTCAGACCTACGCACAGGGCTGGCCGCGCAGGTTGCTTTCTTCCAAGTAGACGTTTGTAATGCGAAGGCTGTGGACGATGCTTTCAGGCGCCTTGGCCAGACTGCGACCCTTCAGAGACAGCGCCAGAGGTCACAGTCTTCCACACCGCTGCCAATATACGCTTCTATGAGCGCCATCCTGCGCTTTTTCCTCGTTCTTCCAAAGTCAATTATGAAGGGACTCAAAATGTAATCAATGCAGCACGATCTATAGGTGTCACGGTATTGATGTATACATCATCTGGATCTATCTCTGTTCGTCGTTCTCGCTTTTGGCTCTGGCCTTGGGAGAAGCAGCCCAAGTACTTTGTCCAAATAATTAATGACGACGGTAACCTCATTCCCAAACACCACGACTATTTCTTCTCAAACTACGCTGCTTCTAAGGTCCTTGGAGAGAGAGCGGTTAGAGCTGCTAATGGGTCTCGATCTGGTGAGAAGACACTGCGCACGGGATGTCTTCGCCCTGGTAATGGTGTATTTGGTCCCGGTGGAGATTTGATATGGGGTGGCCTACCTGGCACGCAAGTTCAATCCCACTTGGGTTCCTAACATCATGCAATCCTTCATATACGTAGAAAACTGCGCCCTGGCCCACCTCTGCTATGAAGCACATCTCCTCGAAACTGCAAGAGGAGGATCCAACACCGACCTCGGTGGGCAGGCGTTTACTGTCACAGATACTGGTCCGCCAATCACATATAGCGATGTCTACGTTGGGTTGACGTCACTGGCTCCCGAAACTATTTTCAAAGAGATGTCGCCCACCCTTATGCTTTTCATATCGCACATCATGGAGGTCCTTTACCTCGCGCATTCTTGTCAATGCCTTCGTCGCCTGTGCGGCGCGCACTTGCACATTTTATACCCAACAAAGTTGAAGATACAGTTAATCTACAACCATCTTTGTTCGCGCTCGCGTCTGTGCATGTCATTTTTGACGATTCCCGAGCTCGATTGCCGCCTGAAAAGGCCGGACTGGGCTATCATGGGCCGTTGGGGAAAACATGGAAGAGAGATCACACTCCGGTGGTGTTGGTTTAGGTTTTCTCCGACACGAAAAGGGCCCGAAGGAGATGAGTAAGATGGAGAAGCGAGTCAGTGAGCAGTTGCATGTAGATGCCGCTGATGTGCTGAGGTGATACCGGAATGACTAGCAATTGCAGGGATGATCGATTGTGGGTAGGACATGGTTTTGCTGAGCAATAGGAGATGTTGATGATGTCACCTCCGTTGAACCGGGATTCGGGAATTGTTCGTAATCATTGTAATCATTGTGTCAGCGCGGCGTTTCATTTAGCATAAAAGGGTCTCTGCATGCTCAACAACTGCAATACTCAAGTCTCAAGTTCTTCATTCCAGAACAATGTCGACACGAATTCCTCTTCTTTATGTCAGTATGAATCTTCAACGTGTCAACTGCCTTCTAATTTGTTACACTTAGGGTGCTGCTCAGTTCGGTGTACCTGGTCCACAGTCCATCGGAGCACGGATCAACACCATCGAAGATGCACAAAAGATCATAGACGTGTTCGCCAGCCATGGCCACAAACAGATTGATACATCTCGTATTTACGGCGGTGGGACGTCAGAGGAGGTACGAGCGAATTCTCTGAAACCTTCGTCGTCGCTCAATAGCACCATCGCAGTTCGTCGGCCAACTCGATCTGAAAGGTTGTACAGTGGATACAAAGTGCGTATTTTCACTCCAATTCGCTCGTGAGGCTTATCCTCTCATATTTGCCGTTATGTGTAGGGTCTATCCAAATGCGCCCGGGGATCTTGCGCAGGACAAAATTCGGGCATCGTTAGAAACTTCTATCAAGGCGCTGGGGAAGACGAAGATCGAAACGTTCTATCTGCACGCACCGGACAGGAGTGTCCCGATTGAAGATACTCTTCGGGCCATCAACAAACTGCACTCCGAAGGTCTCTTGTGAGTCTTTAAGTAATGAGTGCTTGACTCTGCCGGATGATTTAATTTCTGGACAGTGAGGAGTTTGGGGTTTCGAACTATAACGCTTGGGAGGTCTGTCTATATTTTTTGACATTATATTGCATATCTTATTGTGCCTCCTTTCTAATCAGGTGGCTGAGATGGTTAGCATAGCGGAAACCAATGGATGGGTCAGACCGACTGTATATCAAGGCCTCTATAATGCACTCGAACGAAGAGCTGAAACAGAGTGAGTCGACGATGGGACGCTCACTCCACTTGTCTTAACATAGCGCCAGGTTGTTCTCCTGCCTCCGGCATTATGGAATACGGTTCTATGCGTATAGTCCACTAGCGTATGTTGTTCCCCATCCTATCGTTCATGGTATCCATTCATGACAACTTCTACAGGAGCGGTTTACTTGCTGGGAAAATTCTCGCAGAAGCGGACATGCAAACTGGTAGATGGGATCCCAATGTATCTCCTCTAGCAGGATTTCTGCGCGCGAAATATTCCCTTCTCATTCCTATTTTGCGAGAATTGAAGGGTGTGCTTGTGAGTCTATGAGTATCACTGCGTGGGTGATGCCTAGTTCATGACCTCGAATATCAGGACAAGCAGGGAATTCCTCTTTCTGAAGCTGCTTATCGCTGGCTTCAACACCACAGCAAGTTGCAGCCTGGTGATGGCATCATTATTGGTGCCAGTAACGTCGACCAACTCGAGAACAATCTGAAGGAAAAGTGGGTAACTTTTGATAGTGATGACCATTGTCTGACCACATCACATTGTTTCTAGCGAGGGTGGACCACTTTCTGACGATGTCGTCAAGTTGCTGGAGGATGCATGGGGCCAAGCCAAAGGTGTTGCACCGCACTACGCGTTTTGAGTCCTATCCAGTTGGAACTGTATTATGTCTATCACGCAGAACTTGAAGCAATTCGCGTAACTCCCATCTACTTGAGCTGTAATGCATATTGTACTCTACAATTCATCGCGTCGGCCGAAGGCGAGCTGATTGCGTGTAATTATCAGAAACAAAATGACCATACAAGTACCCTACCGGCATGACAGGTTGAAGGTGGAATCAGATGATGAGGTTGAGGATGATCCATCGGATCCAAGGTGAACTGATGCAAAGTACCGAGCAACATACCATGGACCCCTCTGCTGTGGGACTTATTTGGTAGTCTATTGTTGATAATCGTGCAGGACAGATGTACGGCCCTGCATGGCGTTCCAATGCATTCTTGGGTGTCTTGGCAGAAGTACAGAAGCGGCAAGATGCAGGAGAGAAGCTGTCGAATACTGGTGACTGGAGTCTTGGTGTGTAATATAATTTGATGTTTGCACATACCTACAATGTTTGTGCCGTGATTTGGGCGCCGAAGTATTTCGGACTCCAGGGTAATTACATAACACCCGGGGCACTCATCACTCTCAACTCTTCCTTGTATGCTTTCCTGCGTACCTCGTTTCTTTCTAATCGCTTCATGCCGTCCTTCCATATCACATCGGGGTTATCGATATTTAGGAGATGTTTGTATACATATCATGCCTCTAAATCGAGTTGTCGTCATTCGTCTTTAAGGGTCTGGACAAGGCAAACTATCCTCATACCACCGTGACAACGCTGGCATGGCTCCATAATACATGTTGTGAGTGATTTTGACACACATTAACATCGAGGCGCTGGTGGCTATGCGTCATGAAAATTTATGCAACATATTCAAGTTGCCTCAAAATGCGCCGATCATCATGGTACTACGAGTCCAGCCAACGTTCAATTTTTCACGATTAAGCTGGCTCTTAGTCAACTTGCGTGTGTTTCTGGTACAGTACTGCGGCTTTGAGTCTGGCGTTCGTGTTGAGAAAGAGCTTTGCGTGAGTGACTGTCAGAAAATTACGGTGCCAGTGTACAGACCAATTGATCTGAGTCATAGTGCGAGAATGGGATTCTTTTATTATTATTAGTGGTGAGTACCCACAGATTAGACTACTTCTTCGTGTGTTGTTTCAGCCTTGCGTGCCCTCGCTGTGCAGGACTCTTGGAAAACTTTGATTGGCAGGTGCATGATGTATGCAGTTTCTCCCTCCACATTCTGAGGAAGTCTTTATCTAGGAGCCCCTACGTGCGGTGCTCTGCTTACATCGATCTATACCTGGTGGATACCCGCCGTGTTCTCTGGGGTGAGTTGACAGTGGCTGTCGTTTTTCTCTTCAAGTCGACTCTGCTTAATTGCATCACAGATCGTTGCACTAGCTGGCAGCATGTTGTGTATTATCATGCAGTTAATATTATCGAGACTCGAGAAGCAGATCGAACTCGGCCGAGGGGCTCGCAATCCAGATATAGCGAGCAAGGCCTGAGCAGGTTGGGATGAGATCGGGAGACGTGCCATACACCATGATGTAGAAGTATTGAACAAGTCTATTGAAGATATGGTACAGTCATCTGTGTGCATATATCTACATTTATCTATCAGGAGCTAAGTCGTGACGTTCACATGAAGAATCATTACAGCCGTGTTGATATGCCGAGCAAGAATTCGTTACACTTGCATACTTTTTTCCTCCGTAGGACTGGAAGCAACAGTTGTGTCGCCATCCGAGATCTGTGCTTCAGCCTCAAGAATCTTGCGAGAGACCTTACTACGAGCGCGGATCTTTGAACCATAGAAGAAAAGGACCTGTATGAAAAATTGAAACCTCTGAGCATTGATCGTCATGTACGCCATTTTACCCACCCATGGAGTTGGTGCCATCACCACGGAAAGCAGCGCCCAGAGCGTCAGTCCCCACTTATATGTCATACCAGCGAACATTTGCTGTGTGAAGAGCGGGACGACCAACCCCATTAAATTTCCTTTTGTTCTCCAGTTCAGCAGAAGAAATACGCATAAAGTGCAGACTCACGAGCTAAGCTCTGCCCTGCTTGGGCCGAGGAGGCATATGGACCGTAGCTAGGTTTATCCGTCAAATATTTCCAGGAAAGGTGAGTCGGAACGCATACCAGTCTGCGAGGTACAAAAATGAAACTTGGTATATTATGAAGGTGCCAGACATGAAAGCCTGCGAATTCGACTAATCAGGAACTTGAACGATTTGGAGAAACGTATCTGCGACGTACAGTCAGTCCAATCAGAGGGACTATCCATGGAATGTTAGGTGATGCTGTCCACGCGTAGATGAACATTGAAACGGGCAGGACAAGAGCAGCGACGCATGGCATGTATAATCGTGCTTCTTGGCCTTTTGTCGCAAAGTGTTTTCTGCGTCGCATAAGCCACAATGAATGTCATGTGCTGATTTTTCTTACTGGTACAAGGTTTCCTGATACATATTCACCGTAAAACCTATGATAGCTCCGACACTGTTAAGATGAAAGATCATATGTCAGGTGTGGTGCATATATGTGATTGGATGACTTTCCTTTGACACAGGAGTACGAGTCCTGTCTTGCCCACGCTGAAGTTGTAGACGGATTGGAACTCCGGGGTGACGGATCTTTCGTGCAATACACTTCAGTGACGGACTTCTATCCAGGTGCCAATACCACTTACTCGAACAAGCAGTACACGACCCCCCAAACGAAGCCGACCCAGAGCTGCCATCAAATAACATTAGCTGCCATTGATCCCACGCAACGATAGTCACTGACACTAAAACTCTGCACAATAGGTTCAGTCGAAAGTAGATCTAGGGTTGTATGGTCAGGAGAAACTGCGGAAACGATTGCTTTGCGTACACAATGGCCGTGTACATGACGTCTTAATCAGAGATGCCATGCTTGGTTTGTCAATTTCAGCGCTGGATCGATACCTGGGGTCACCGGTCATCTTTCTGGTGTCCTTCGCGATGCGGGTAAGAACAATGGTTGGACGGGTTTCATCCATCGCCAAGATGACGCCGAGTGCAAACGCCCCCGTGAACCTGATAAGAAAATTTAAAAAGAGCCTAAAGACATGTAGTTTTGTGGACACACATAACATGCACCCATTGCACCCACCGCCATCCGAGGTCTGGACTGGAAGCAATGAGCCCCCCAAACGCTGACCCGAGGCCGAAAGAGAATATCGATGAGAATGCAAACAGAGACATCGGTATTCCACGTCTGGAACATTGTCAATGAAGAAGTTACCACAAGTATCCTGCCTTACTCATGTGGTTGCCATATATCAGCGATGCTACCTCCGATCAAGGACGCGCCAGTTGAGCCAAATACTCCTTGTAGTGCACGCGACACAACCACGGTTTGTATATTTGGTGCCCTGTCATTGATGAGCGCCTGTTTGTTGCAACAATTACATAACGACTCACAATGCATTCGTAACTTCAGCGAGCATAAATAAAACAGATGACATGATGTAAACGGGCCGTCTGCCACACTCCTGAGATGTAGATGTGGTTATCGTCAATTACATTAAACTGATCAGTTCTTACCTCGGCGAACGAGGAAGAAATCAACGGGACAATCCCAAAACCTATTGCGTACAAGCTCAGTCCCAAAGTCGCCTGAAGTCGAGTACAATTTAGGTCCTGCATCATCGACTCATAGCTCATCGAATATGATGATGATGCGGCCCCTGTTGAAGATATTAGATAGAAGAGCACCGACACTTAAAATCGAGGTCACCTGTGATTCCAGCGAATGCACAACACATCAGCGTAATGGCCCACTTCCGTGCATAAGAGAAGTTTTTTGGGTCGCGTGGGTCGCCTTCATCAAATTTAATCTGCTCGATGTTAAAACTCATCGATGTAGAAAAGAACTGTGACAATAACTTACAAGAAACAAATCTTGCTTCTGTGAAACATGAGTTATACACGAGGGCGAGCTGATGCGTTTACTGGTGTCGTCCATTGTCATCAGAACTTGCTCTCTCTATCAAAAGTTGAATGGGCTTTTAACTGTCGACCAGGCAGGATCGATAAGAGTAATAAAAACGTCAGGGCAACAGGGTCTTTCCGTATTGTGGACCGGGATGCCTCACCTATTACACCATCAAGCCCATGATTTATGCCAAGTAATATCAGCATCCTTCCTCGCCTATAATGAGAATGTCACAGGAATGTATTTGATCTTCGTCTCCGAGAGGCGAGATCGGCTCTGATCGAGTATAGACTTTCGGCCGACAAACTTGAAGTCAATAGGAATAGGAGCAATGTAACCGAGAACTACAGTGGTGCAGGAGTCCCTTTAGAAAGCGTGAGCCTGACACCACAATTCATGACATCGTTAATCCTTACATGTTTGCTATAGATTTCTGCCCTCTGGACGTTTTATAAGTTGGAGGGATTCTGGCCAGGTGATGCTCATGCGTAGCGGGGATTAGCAAGGGTAGGACAGGATGCCGTCAGGTTGCATTCATACGTATGAATAGTGGCACCTGCAGATCTACTATATCCTTGTCGGTTGTGCGGAGGAGCGCGATGAATGGGGCAAGTATGATGCCCAGAACAAAAAGTATTCTTGTCGATTCTACCGATTGAGTCGCGGTAATTATGATCGACCCTGGCACAGATTTTGGAATTTGACACCTTGGTCGTCATTATAAACGCTATCAGTCGCCTATCCCGATTGCTACTAGGTAATGAAAAAGAGTCATGGGGTTCATTGCAAGGGAAGATTTCTGATAAGGAAAGTGTGCTTACGCTTTAAAAACATGCGGCTAGATAAAATTGAATCATGTAAATCGAGAAAAGCCGATTCAGGGGTTTTCGGGCCCGCTGCATACGTGTAAGCTTCAGATCCATGTCACTGTACACGTAAAACGAACAGCGGCCCGATAATCAAAGTTCTATTATGTAGACGCGACAGCCACTGTGCAAAGGGCGCATTGATCTATCAGAGGAGAAATGTATGGCGTAGAGAAGATATTACCTGAGAAGTCCACTTCGTCAAGTGTTGGTCGCGATTATTGGCCTTGACCTCATAGTAGAGTTCTAGAGGGTTACCTAGATAATTACATCGCCGCAGGGGCATTAGCAAGCTATCTTTGACGATAAATAATACCTGACGGCATGATAACAACTATTAGGGACTTTGAAGGTTTGGGCAGTCAATTGTTCGGTCCGTGGAGTTGACAGCGCGCTCGAAGAAAAGAAGATAAAAATAACCAGCTGCAGGTTCACTGGTAACGCATACATAATAATTTGTCGCACTGGGAGCGAACATTGACAACTTACCTAAGGAACATGGTGAAATCCAGGAAACCACTAACCCCAATACCGCAAGAGTATATGGGAGCATCCCATGCAGGAGGATAATATAATTAAATACCTCAACAGACCAACGCGAAAGGAAGTGCGAAACCACGCCGCAACTACATCACAGTGTTCTAGAGCACAAATGCTGCACAGGTATGGTGTTCCATTCACCACGACTAGAGTAGATGGATATTATCGCCTTCCTTCACCACACTGAACACAAGAAGTAAATCTGCACTTACCTCATGACTCGTGACTCATGAGAGCACATAGCTAGTGGCCAGGAACTTATTTTTTATTGTAGGATATGCCGGTGTTCTATGCATGAGTGTATAAAGGTGACCATCAGCCGCGGCTGGAGAGGTCGAGGCGGTCTGCGAGGGCAACGCCACATGTCTCGAAAATCTTACACCTCATTTTATGGTGAGCTTGGAGGGTTAGTCATCGTCATCTAAATCAGCACAGAACACCACACGTACTAGTGACAGGACTTGCAGAGATGTGACTGCGGTCGCGAGAAACTTGAGATGTTGTACCACCACCTGGCATACCGTAGTGATTCGGGGCAGAGCCGCGTACTTACGGTATTGGATGTTTGCGCCCGTTGACTAGCGCCGTGAAAATATTACTATATATGGACATGCAGAACACGTTAGGTCATGTGAGCCATATGTGCTTGAGTGAGTTTATCTTATCTTCAAGCTTCAAGACTTCAAGCTATCTTGCCGGATGAAGTCGAAGTTCGTGGATTCTGGATATATCTCGGCTTTGTCTCCCTTATTTCGTCTCGGCGCTGACCTAAAAATTAGGATTTGTGTCGCGTTTTGCTTACTCGGACCAAGAATTGATTCAATCACCCAATGTCGACTACTTAGTGGAAGTACTATGACCCCGACTCCGATAGTGACTCATTTTCGTTATATCATAGGCCTGCGCCGTGTGATAACCCTCTCTTTCCCAGTTGGTGAGTGCTTTATATATGGAAAGAAGTTTTCCGAGCTGTCTGTCGGCCACAAATCAATTGGTTCCATATGGACACCAATGATCAGCTGGTCTGTGCTTCTACTTCAAGCTTTGGTAGTTCACAGCCTTCAAAAACTCTATCATGGAGTCTTCGGAATGTAATTATGGCATGCCCACGAAGGGTGTCCGACCATCAGCAACCACACGATATTGTCCGAGAACATGTGAACAGTCATGTCCGTCATATTGGCATTCTGACTAGGCCAACATTTCGAAGCTATGATCGATTGTGGAGTGTTGGGTATGACAATATTGACTTTTGGGAAAGATTAAATTTAAACTTGCGAATTTCGATACGCTGCATCACTGACCACAGTGTAAAACACAAATGTCTGGCGTGTTTAAGGCTGTTGACAATTATCTTCGGAAGGTGCGTGCATATACATATACTACATATATTGGGGGAAGTCGTGACGTTCACATAAAGGGTCATTACAGTTGTTATATTCCAAGCAAAACTTCGTTACACTTTCATACTTCTTTCCTCAGTGGGGCTGGAAACAACAGTTTTGTCGCCGTCTGATTGTTGTTCTTCAGCCTCGAGAATTTTGCGAGAGATTTTACTATGCGAGCGGATCTTGGAACCATGGAAAATAAGGACCTGCATGAAAAAGTGGGAACCTCTAAGACTTCGCCATCAATCACAATGTATGCAAAGTTACCCACCCATGGAATTGGTGCCATCAACACGGATAGCAGCGCCCAGAGTGTCAGTCCCCACTTATATGTCATACCAGCAAACATCTGCTGTGTGAAAAGCGGGAAGATCAATGCCATTAAATTTCCTTTTGTTCTCTAGTTCAGCAGAAGAAACAAGCATAAAGTCCAGACTCACGAGCCAAGCTCTGCCCTGCTTGGGCCGAGGAGGTATATGGACCGTAGCTAGGTTATCCGTCAAACATTTGTAGGACAGATGTCGAGACACATACCAGTCGGCAAGATATAAAAATGCAACTTGGAATATTACGAAGACAGCGGACATAAACGCCTGGAAATTCATGAAATCACCAACTTCAAACACTGTCAAGAAACCGACGTACAGTCAATGCAATCAGAGGTACTATCCAATGAATCTTAGGCGATGCCGTCCATGCGTAGATGAACATTGAAGCGGGCAGGACAATAGCGGCGACACACGCCATGTATAGCCGTGCTTCTTGGCCCTTTGTCGGAAAGTGTTTTCTGGATAGCATGAGTCACGACGAATGTCTCGCACTGACTCTCTTACCGGTACAAGTTTTCCTGATACATATTCGCTATCAACCCGATGATGGCTCCGACACTGTTCAGACGAGAGATCAGATACGGTGCACATATGCAATAAAATGACTTTCCTCTGACACAAGAATACAAATCCTGTCTCGCTGACGCTGAAGTTGTAGACAGACTGAAACTCCGTGGTGGCGGACCTTTTGTTTGATTCATTTTGGCGACTGACTTATATCCATGAGTCAATAGCACTTACTCGAGCAAGCAGTACACGACCCCCCAAGTGAAGCCACTCCAAAGCTGCCATTAAATAATGTCAACCGCTATCGAAAGTACACATCGATGGTCACTGACACTGAAGCTCTGCACAATTGGTTCAGTCAAGAGTAGATCTGGAGTTGTATGGTTAGGAAAAACTCGGCAGACGATTGGTTTGCGTACACAACGGTCGTGTACACGACGTCTTAATCAGAGATGCCAAGCTTGGTTTGTCAATTTCAGCGCTGGATCGATATCTGGGGTCACCGGTCATCTTTCTGGTGTCCTTCGCGATGCGGGTAAGAACAATGGATGAACGGGTTTCGCTCATCACCAGGATGACGTCAAGAACATATGCCCCAGAGATCCTGAGAAGAATATTCAAAGAGATACTAAAACATAGTTTTTTTGACACACATGACATGCACCCATTGCACCCACCGCCAACCGAGATGTGGACTAGAAGCAATGAGCCCCCCAAACACTGACCCGAGGCCGAAAGAGAATATCGATGAGAATGCAAACAGAGACATCGGCAATCCGCGTCTGGAACATTTGTCAACAAGAGAATTACCGCAAGTATCCTTCCTTACTCATGTGGCTGCCATATATCAGCTATGCTACCTCCGACTAATGATGCGCCAGTAGAGCCAAAGACTCCTTGTAGAGTACGTGCCACAATCACGGTTTGTATGTTTGGTGCCCTGTCAGTAATGAGCGCCCATTTGTTGTAACGCTTACACGACAACTTACAATGCGTTCATAACTTCAGCGAGCATAAAGAATACGGATGACACGATGTAAAGGGGTCGTCTGCCGGTTTCCTGAAATGTGGATGCCGGTCAATGTTCAACGACAGCAAATAGCTAAGTTCTTACCTCACTGAATGACGAGGAAATCAATGGGACAATCCCGAAACCTATCACGTACATGCTCAGTCCTACGGTCGCCTGAAGTTGAGTACAATTTAAGTCTTGCATCATCGACTCATAACTGATCGAGTAAGATGACGCTGATGACGCTGTTGCAAATATTAAATAGAATGTCATCAACACTAAAAATCGAAGTCACCTGTGATTCCAGCGAACGCACAACATGTTAACGTGATGGCCCACTTGCGCGCGTTAGAAAAGTTTTGTGGGTCGCGTGTGTCCCCTTCGTCAAATTTAACCTGGCCAATGTAAACCTCCTTGTATACGAAATGGAGCGTGACAATGACTTACGAGTATCGACTCTTGCTCCTGTGGAACATGAGTAATACATGAGGGTGAGCTGATGCGTTTACTGGTATCGTCCATTATCATCAGAACTTGATCTTTCGCTACCAAAAGCTGGATGCGCTTTTAAACGCTGATCAGGGAGAATTGATAAGATTGACAAGCAATCCGGGTATCAGGGTATTCCCCTGTAGTGGACCGGGATGGCTCACCCATTAAACCATGTGCATGAGTAATACCACCATCCTTTCTCACCTATAACAAGAACGTCACAGGAGACCTTTCATCTTCGTCTCGGGGAGGCGATGTCAAGAATAGACTTTCGGCCGACACTCTCAATAGGAGTAGGTTTAGCGGAACCGAGAACGACACAAGTGGGGGAATCCCTGCGGAAAGGGTGAGCACCAGAACAACACATCCATGACATCATCAATCCCTGCATTATTGCTATCCATTTCCCCCTCTGGACATCTCACAAGGAGGAGGGATCCCGGCTCAGTTATGATGACCGGAAAGGGTGAGGGAACGGTACATGGTGAGTGGGTTTATGTGCTTGGCGTGTTCTGTAGCACGATAAATGGGGAAAATATGATGGACCCTGCTAAGTAGAAGACAACGAGATTTCGTTATAGTGGAATTTGTCAGCTCAGTTGTCAACATATGCGATTTGTCAAAGCCATTGTTGGCATCACAATCGCTGCTAGATAGTAAAAGGAGTCATGGGGTCATTGCAAGGGAAGATTCTGATAGGAAAAGGCATCACTTACGCTTGAAAATGCATCCGTGCGACTAGACTAAAATGAATCATGTTCCGAGTCAGTCTCCAGAACAGCTCGGGGCTCAGGGGTTTTCGGACCGCTGCGTACGTGTAAGCTTCATGTCCATGTCACTATAAACGTAAAACGAATGATGGCCCGATGATAACAGGATGAGTGGCGTAGAGTCTCGCCGCCAATCTGCGTGAATTCCGATGGCCCAATGATCCTATTGGAGGGGAGATTTACCTCGTGGACGAGAAGACACGGCCTGAAAAGTCCACTTTTATATATCGGATGGTAAGTATTGATAGCATTGACGGGAACTCATAGCTGCGATGCCAAGAGCAGAGTCTAAGCGGAAATAAAAACGCACGACTACTGGTGATTAGATGACCAGGGCTGATGCGATAATCATTCAGCTGAAAAATCAATCATTGGACTCGGAGAAGCTGAACTGCAATACCTCTGCGGTGGCTCTGGAGTTTAGCGACGAAACTGGCAGAGTTATGCCTTCGTTATCATCTAGACAAACTGCACGCTTAGCGCTCAACCGCGTCCGGACTGTCTTCACCAAAGCGACTGAAATGATATAAAGAAAGTTGACTCCTTGGACAATGGACATGTTCAACCAGTGAGTCACCAAACAGGCTGAGGTTGAAAGCTTCGGACCAAATAGACGCGTCGCGTCCGCCGCGGCTCAGTGTTTCTCACGTGCCGCTTGCGGCCTGTCTCTGTTTACACTGCGACACCACCGTGACCGGTGCACCACTCACTGTGCCTTGTCTAGCTGTTGGCGCACTGATTTGATATAGACACAGGACCAAGTACGGAGCAGTACACGACAACATATGATTCGCAAAAAGTTGAGCTACCTTTCAGATCATGTCGAATCAGATGACGTGAGTACTAGGATCCAATTTCAGGTGATCTTCATTGACACCTACACTCGCAGATGGAAGACATTCTTGAGATGACGATCATGGACCAACGTCATGGTGCACCTGTTAATGTTGCAAATCCACCCAAGTCCGCGAAGACGCCGTCGTATCTTCAAAAACATGATGTCAACACTCGATTGTCTTCTCTAGAGGTTGAAATACAAGGGATAGATGAGCAGATAAAAAAGTTGACTGCTTTACGGGTGACCTTGATCGCTGAAAAGGATGACCTCACTCGAGAACGCAACCGTTTTAACCACGTGCAACCGTCAATGGGGCTCAATAACGCTGTCCAGACCAAGGGAAAGAGCAAAGCAGCTACAGTCGACTACACTGTTAGCTTCGACTGGTCAACACAGTTGCAGTTGACAATGAAGAAAGTCTTCAATATCGGTGACTTTCGACTGTGCCAGAAAGGGTTAGTGCGGTGCCCGACCTGCTTCCTGAATCTCAACAGACCAATAATAGCGTCTGCAATGCTAATATGGATGGCCGAGATATTGTGTGTGTCATGCCCACCGGTAGGGTAATATATGATGCTGCTTCACGTTGCTAATGTGCTGTTACAGGAGGTGGCAAGTCGTTAACCTATCAACTTCCTGCCCTCCTGACGCCAGGGTGTACACTGGTGATATCTCCCCTCATTTCCCTGATGACAGATCAGATTCTACATCTGAGAGAGTCGGGAGGTATGTCCGCTTCTATCTGAATTTTCAACTCTTCAATACTGAGGTCCTTCCAGTGGAAGCTGTGATGTTGACAGGAGGAACTCCACGTCCCCTACTCAATGAGATTCAGCAAAGACTAACATCCATGGCATCATCTCGGGTGCATGGACAACAAGGTCGGGACATTAAATTATGTTATGTCACGGTAATTCAGCAGCCGAAATTTGATCTTCTGCTGATTTATGTTGCAGCCAGAGAAAATAGCTAAAAGCAAGACGTTTATGTCTCTTCTGCGCAAGCTTGTGGAAGGTGGAAAACTTGGTAGGTTCCGAGCCCGTCACCGTGAAATCTTATGATTAGTTTGCACAAGCTCGGATCGTTATCGATGAAGCTCACTGCGCATCTCAAATGGGTCACGATTTTCGGTACGATCTTCACCTCTCGAGGAATAAAAGCATCTCACCGATCGCGCATCAGCCCAGACTACAGAAAACTGAGCGTCCTTCGCCAGTTCTTTCCTCATGTACCCATTCTCGCATTGTCTGCAACCTGCCCCCCGAGAGTCCTCCAAGACATTCTCAAGATTCTCAAAATGAAACCGGTAGTAGATGGTAAAGGTGTGTATATTTTTGAATGAGCGGACAGCTAAACTAACATGACATTGCACACAGCTGCCCCACCAGATGGGACAGTGTATTTTTCTGCGCCTCTGTACCGCAAAAATCTGCATTACACTGTCGTCCCAAAACCATCTTCGGCAAAAGAACTCATTGCGACAATGTCGGAGTACATTTTGCAGAATCACAGAGATGATAGTGGCATCATATATTGCCTCGCGAAGAAGGTATTCTAGTCCAAGGCATCGCGGCATTGAGTTCACATTGTTGAAGGATGCAGAATCGGTTGCTGAAAGCATCCAAGCGCTGAGCAACGGCCGCATTAAAACGGGCGTCTACCATGCGAATGTCGAGGATGGACAGAAAGAAAAGCTACACATGCAGTGGAGGGAAGGGAAAGTTCAGGTGGTCTGTGCTACAATAGGTCCGCTTCGTGTGTCACATCACATGGAATTCGGGCCCTGATGAAATTCGGGGTAGCTTTCGGCCTAGGGATTGACAAGGGCAATGTTCGATTCGTACTCCACCATACGGTCCGTGTTCCACTTCAGGTGTTTTTCATGGTTATGTTGCTAAAATGGCATCTAAGATATCGGTTCGTAAAATCTCAAAGCAGTGTTCTGCGTATCCACTGAGTGCTTACCATTTCACAGAAGTCTCTTGACGGGTACTATCAGGAGTCGGGACGTGCTGGGCGAGATGGCCGAGATGCAGACTGCGTATTGTACTATCGTCCACAGGATGCTACTCGCCAGGCTTCCATTACGTGCAGTGACCAGGATGGCGTGGTGAAATGTGAGCCATCTCTACATTTGAATATGAACTTTCACATTAGACTTTCCTGCCTCCCCCGTAGTGCATGACATCTTACGTTTCGCGCAAGATATGCGAGAATGCCGCAAGATCTTATTTGCAAAGTAAGCCTAACTCGTGCTAGTATCTGTCTCCTCACAAGTATGCTTGGTGATTCTTATAGGTACTTTTCGGCGTCATCCGATCTTTCTATGGCCTCATGGACCACGAACGAATCAGATGCAATGGACCGATGTGGCCATTGCGATAACTGCACGAGGCCACCCGATAGCGTGGAACACAAGGATGCCACAGTTGAAGCGTGGCAGATTCTAAAGATACTTGAAGCTGTAGAGGGCAGTGGCGGGCGGTTGACCATTGCTGGCCTCAGTGACTTGGCGCGCGGTCTGGGTGGTGGTTCATTCGAAACCGGTGGCGGCGGAAAACGCCGAAGCGCTAAAGAGAAGATACAGATTGATTATGATTCCGTGGCTGGCGGCAAAGTGGGGCTGTCAAAGGACGTGAGTTCCTGTTTGCTATGGCGAGTTTGATCGGACCTGAGATATTGTGAAAGGACATGGAGTCGCTAATTGTGCAGATGCTTGTGTTGCGGTACCTCGAGGAGGCCTTTTCATCGACGGCATACACTGTGAATGTTTACGTCGCACTCGGTAATCAAGCGCTCCGGCTCACCCGCTTCACTCGTGAAGATATCGTCAACGGAGGCGGGCCTAGAATCCAGTGCTCCTTCAGGAGATATGGGCGCAAAGCAAAGAGCAAAAAGGCTGCTATCGACAGGCAATCTCCTGGTATTCTGGATCCCCAAGAAGACACCGGTGCTGGCCCATCGCGAATTCGAAAACCAGCCCCACCAAGGAAGAAAAGGCTTTATGAAGACATCTCAGACCCTGACGAACCTGATGGAGAGGATTTTACGACCCAGATGAGAATGATTGATGCCGAGGAGTCAGATGTTGACGATGATGACGGTTCGGACTGGGCTTACTCACTTAGACCCCCTCACCCGTCCAAGAAACGGCGAAAGAGTGAAGACAAGGTGAAGGGAATTCCTGCCAGATTGAATAGAGGGACGAGTGGGGATGAACATGAAGTCATATCTCTTTCGTCAGACTAATGTACAAACATGCAAGCATGTAACTTATCATCATCATAATATTTGCTAGAGACAATATACCAGCTCCGATAAAACGTGGCGGAGAGCACCTGAACGAATAATCATCAAAAGTGAAAAGCTGATCGGAAAGAGCTTTGAAGAGTGTCCGTGTTAGAAAACGAAGTGGAGTGGCGGACTCATGGCACATCGGATTGTCACTCGTCGTCAGATGTCGGCGAGGAGGGGACAGCGGTGAGGTAACCAGCGATGATACCATCCTGACTCTTATAATTTGTTGGCTTCAATACAGAGCGCAGGGGAGGTTTGGGTACCAAACGATGGCCGATGTCAATGCGAGTTCCTTCCTCATTCTGCCACCCATTTCCGGGCTCCGGATAGCCCTCAAGATCAGGAGGGTATGCCTCTCCTGGTGCTGGTGCCCGGTAGGAACCATCATTTCGCCAGAGCTGGTCTCTAAAAACTGCGGGTCAGCCTTCATACACGTCAACGAAGTGCGACAAACCCTCTGCGATTAAACCACCCCTTCCTTCTCTGATTCGGGAAAATAGGAGATGGACATATCAAGTCATCGCACCACCGTACAGATCGTGCAACCATAGCGGGGCATACCGGCCGCTGTGGCAAGACCTGTGCGTGGTCGCCATCAAAATTTCGGCGATGTGGTACGCTAGGTGGGCGATAAATTGGTTCAGTGTCCAACACGGGTCCCTGTACAGGAGGGTACTCGTAATGACCACCAGGGACCAAGTCCAAGCCCGGAGGCGGTGGGATAGTAATGGAGAGGTTCCCCTTGAGGGACGATGAGCGCGACAGCTGCATGCCCACGTTTCCTCTCCCTTGCTGATCCGCTGGTGGAGTCGGGAATGGTATGCGTTCACCATGCTTGAGTGATGTCGAGTGCTGGCGGGTGTCATATGACATAATAGAGCGTTCGCTCGCCAAGAGAATGCTGTCCTTACGTACTCTGGCGCTCACTGGGGGCGTAGGGAGTGGACGTGAAGGATAAGGGGCATAGTTCCCCTTATTGGCAGTCCCAGATGATGTTCTAGTCGGGGGACTCGCTTCACCACATGAAGGGCATGAATGTCCTTGTGGGAAAGAGGCCATACCCCTGGGGTGGTACGAAGGAGGTGAACGTGAACGAGCTTGTTCAGGGCTTGGCGAGGCAGCTCTGATCTGAAGCATTCGTGTGTTTGGAGGGCTATCGGTGACACTGCTGCTCGATGAGCCGGAGGAGATCTGCGTGTTGACCGAGAATATGGAGTCGCATTCACTTGTTACGTCAGAAGGCGAGTAGGGGTACTCAGCCTTGGACGATATTGAGCGCTCATAAATGTATGTGTCGGGCACAGGTCCGGCATGAATGGCATATCTCCCCGAGCCATGCCTGTACTCGTGCGACCGCTTAGAAAAGCCAGGCTCCTCGGGCGGAGGAGCCTTTAATAGCTTCCTCGTGGGTTCCTGCTGGCGAGGAACGTGTCCGGACTGTTGTCTGGACTGGGAGTCCGCCCGTGCCATAGGGCGGTAGTCTAAGTCCACTTTCGCTGCATGTGGACGTGCAGACATCGTCGGGGCCTTGAAGACCTGGAGAGAGAAGCCCGACGGAACCGGGAGGAAATAATTCTACAAAGCACAGCCTGATCAGCGTGAGGCACACGGTTAATAAACGCATTTCGCACTTTGGCTGCTCCACTACGGGAGCCTGAGGGAGGTCGGACAGCGGGATTGAAAGAGGAAGCAAACATTGTGAGCGGGTGAGGCTCTTACATGGGTGATTTGTGAACGCAGCTTTTAAGCTAGAGGAACACATAAGAGGACCATTGGCGAGGGTGTCCATGAGGCACTAGGTACACGAGTCAAACAGGTTGTAAAACACGCGGCCTGATGCGTACGCGAGAAATGAGATCCAGTTTACCTATGGACGATGGGCACTTAAATACATAGTGTGAGTGTAAGCATATACAGGCTGGCTAGTGATTGAGCGGCAGTCTGGCCAACAGCAAAGCAGGTTCAAGCATCCTAGACGCTCGTACCAACATGGAAATACACAAACGTGTGGTGCGCTTGGAGCCAATCCATCCTCTCATGATCATGCATTGCTCCGGAGCTTGAGAATACGCAAACCTTATTATTATGATTCCAGTGCCAGGGTTTAGACCAGCGTTTCGGGGAGTTGATCGTCATTTTCAGTAAAGCGTGTCTTTGAAGTAAGACGTCAAACTGATCATTAATATGACTGGAGAAATGACTATATTAGGGAGACGAAGCGAAGGAGGAGACATACTTGAATCTGCGGAGGGACTTCGGGCCTGGAAGCGTCGATCAAGTGAATGCTCCCGAGCTTCTCCATGGTTCTCGCCGTCTTCACTATTCACCAGAACCTGGCAGAACCATCCCAGGGTCAAAGGGCGACATTGCCGACAAATCAGAGCGACTACGCGAGCATCTCGCTAAATCTCTTCGCGATCGAATAAATGAGCCAGCATCGCAGAGTGCCGATCGAGATGGCTCAGAATGCAAGCTAACGCGATAGAAGACTAACACAATGAAATTATCAATAGAAAGCCTCTGAAAACTGCCCACACCTCGTATCCCACATATTGTATCGGGGCAAGACGGAAGCATGGTAGACGAAGGCGTTCAGCCTTGGGCATGTTCGATGCACAGCGACACAGTTATCCGCTGACTACGGAGTGCAAGGGTGACGCGAGGCAGTATAAATCCCGTGAATGATAACACAGTGATTTTCAGGAGATTTATCCCAACTACACCGATAGGTGCCATACGACCCAAGTTCCCGAGGAAAGCATGTTGTGTGAAGTGTAATGGCAAGTACAGCATCATCCTCCATGAGTCGGAAGTATTCTCGAACATACGCAAGCTAGGGAAGCAGCGTCTACGTCTATGGATGTAATTCTGAATCCTCCGAGGCGCGGGTGGTCAGGTCGAAGAGTGCAAATACTCTGAAGTAGTAACCATAAGGGCAAGAATTCAGTATTAACTGTTATATATATATATGGTAAATAAAGGACTAAGTTTAGCAGACTTTTGACAAAAACTGCGGACAAGTTTTCGTGGATATTGACACGTCTTGAAGCTTGAAGGGCTTGACCCAAACATTCGCCATGAAGCTTAAAGAAATCTCCAGGACGTCCACTTTTGCATGGTCACCGACCGCGTCGCTCCCTCTCATTGCGACCGGCTCCGTTGCTGGCGCGCTTGATGAGTCTTTCTCAAACGAATCTCAGCTCGAGATATGGCAACCGGATTTCATGGACAAGAACGAATATGATCTCGGAGGAGATGGGTTGCCTGCCCCAAAGGGCGCGGTCACCGACAGCTCAAGGTGAGTGTGCTAGTCGCGTGTAACAATAGAAGTCCCTGAAAATGATCATCATAGGTTCAACCGTCTTGCATGGGGTCAAGTGCATAGAGACCGCTCGCGCGGTGTCATTGCAGCCGGTATGGAAAACGGCGAACTTGCCCTGTGGGACCCAGCAAAAATCGTTGTTAACGCCGAGTACGTACAACTTTCTACGAGGTTTCATCAGCTGACTTTCGTGCCCAGCGTCTCTGAATCTCTGATCCTTCGCAATACCAGCCATACTGGTCCCGTCCGTGGCCTTGATTTCAACCCCATACAGACAAACCTTCTGTCTTCTGGTGCCATCAACGGCGAGGTGCGCAGACTCTTCTGCAAATCGCAAATCATTCTCCCCCTAACACATTTGTCGTCATAGGTTTATATCTGGGATCTCAATGACCCGTCGAAGCCATACTCTCCTACGCCAGGCACGCGGAGCACAAAGCTTGATGAGATCACGTCTGTTGCTTGGAACCAACAGGTGCAATACGTGCTTGCGGGCGCTAGCAGTACTGGATATACTGTAGTATGGGATCTGCGAGGGAAACGTGAGGTGGTCGCCCTCGCTTACGGTGGTGGTGCGGGCACGCTTGCAGGCCAAAGTGGTGTTGGTAGTGGAATGGCCGTCGGTGGCAGACGCGGCATGAGTGCAATTGCGTGGCACCCTGACAATGTAAGCGCTCGCAATTTAAATTGTAACGCCACGGAGCTAACTGGGGTTTCAATACAGGCAACTCGCCTTGTTACCGCTTCCGAGGATGACCTGTCTCCCGTAATTATGGTTTGGGATCTTCGCAATGCACGCGCACCTGAAAAGGTAAGCTTTTAATTTACTAACTCATCCATTGCCAATGCCCCCCGTGTTTTTGTTCCTAGATCCTCACGGGGCACGAGAAGGGTGTTCTGTCGCTCTCGTGGTGCAAACATGATGCAGACCTCTTGCTTTCGTGCGGAAAGGACAACCGCGCCCTCTGTTGGAACCCGCAGACATCTGAGATCATCGGCGAGGTATGGATTGATTTATTGAAGTCTAATGTCCTAACTCGTCTTTAAACAGCTTCCTTCAGCGGGTAACTGGGCTTTCCAAGTGGAATGGTGCCCACGAAATCCTGATCTCTTGGCTACCGCTTTCTTCGATGGCACGGTTGGGATCCACTCTATCCAGTCCACGAATGATGCTACAGTTCTCCCTGTGACCCCCAGACCTGATGGCGAAGATGTGTTTGGCGTGCCAGGCTACTCCCGTACCACGGCTCCGACACTCAGTCTCAAACAACCTCCCAAGTGGCTCCGCCGCCCATCTTCCTGTTCGTTTGGGTTCGGGGGGCAGCTCGTAAGCGTGAGCAACCTTCCTGCAGCCTCAGGGAAGAACCAGAGTAGCGTCGTGCACATCCGAAAAGTTATTGCAGAGACAGATATTGTCGACCGAGCGCGGAAGTTACAACAAGCCGTGGATACTGATACCTTGAGCGCATTCGCAGAAGAGCGGGTTAGCTTGGAGAAAGCCGGTGAAGACGGCTGGAAGGCCCTTCTGAGTTTGTTCCGTGCGAATTCGAGGGACGAACTTGTCACCCTGTTGGGCTACTCTAAAGAGGAGGTTAAGGAGAGGGTCGAGGAAGCAGTTGCGAAGCTGAAGGAGAGTGCATCAGTCAACACATCCAGCTACAGCGTAGATGGGGCTGGCGCGGACGCTGCGAAACCTCACGAGCCAGTGGTGTCCTTCGCAGAACCAGAAGCACAATACGATGGCAGTGAAGAGGATTTGTCGACAATGGGTGCTGAAAAGACCCCCTCGGAGGTGAGCGCTAGCGTTGCATCCGACGCCGTCCAGGTCACAGACGGTGAATCCACGACTACTGCTCCGAGTCTCTTTGGTGATGAAGGTGCCCTTGGTACACCCCAGATGGATGCGGGTGCTGACTTCTTTAGCACAATTGGCGGTGCATCCGAACTCGAGGTGCCTCATCATAACTACGGTCTCGATTCAAGCGTCGCTGCTACCATTGGGTCCGGCCCTTCAAGTGTAGCAAGCGAGAATCTGAAGAACAACACGTTCAGGATCTACCCCTCTGACGAGAGTGAAACGGATGGGCTGGTGACGAAAGCACTGGTGCTTGGCGACTTCGAGTCCGCTGTTTCCTTGTGTCTCTCTTCCGAACGTTACGCGGACGCTATCTTGCTCGCGATCAAGGGTGGTGAAGACCTTCTTCAACGCACCCAGAAGGCTTACTTCGAACGACGCACCACCTCATATCCCTATCTTCGTTTATTCCAGAGCATCGTCACCAATGATCTCTCGGATATCGTACAAAACGCCGATCTTCAAGAATGGCAGGAGATATTTGTGGTGTTGTGCACCTTCGCCACCCAAGAGGAGTTCTCGAACCTCGCGGAGCAACTCGGGAGCAGACTGGAATTCCAGAGCAGTCTGATACGTGAGGGCAGTGCAGAGAACGAGGACAATGCCCTTGAGTTGAGGAAGACGGCGACTTTGACATATCTAGCCGCAGGGAGGCTGGAGAGACTCTTGAATATCTGGATCGAGGAGCTCACCGAAGAGGAGATTTTGTTATTGGATGATCAAGATCAGCTGAGCAGTTCGCGGTATGCAGCCCACGCCCATGCTCTGCACACTTTCATAGAGAAAGTGACCGTTTTCCGCGATGCTACAAAGTACGTGGACGGCGATCTGGCACAGGTATCAGGTGAAGACGCCGGTGCCAAGACGTACAAGCTCGGCGCGTTGTATGATCGATACTTTGAGTATGCGGATGTGCTCAGTGCTCAGGGTTTGGTGAAGGAGGCTGTTGCCTTTTTGAAGTTAACGCCAGCAGATTACGCAGGGTCTACATTAGACTGCGCAGGAGTCAGGGAGCGTCTGTTGATGGCTTCTGGAGAGCGCAAGGTGACCCCAGCTGCTCCTGTGGCAGGCACTAGCCGTGCTGTTGTTGCATCCGTTCCTGCGCCTACTATTCCCCCCGCACCATTTGGCCACGCGAACTACACACCAACTGTTCCTGCTCATTCATATGCACCTGTTGAACCCATCTCTCAGCCATCTGCCTATGACCCGTATGCTATTCCCGCTGCTGCCAGGCCAAATCACCTCACTTCAATTTCGCAACCAATCCAACAACTGCCACCGTCCCGTGGTCTCGTGCCTCCTTCTGGCCCGCCAAAACGCATGCTAAAAGGTTGGAACGATGCCCCCGTTATGAACGATCGTCGTGCCCCGTCTGCACTGAATCCTCTCAAGCCTCAGGCAATAGTGTCTCCCTTCCCCGATGCTCCTTCTCCCAGAATTGCGTCACCTCCTGCTCCTGCTCCTGCTCCTGGCCAGCCACACACGGGCGGACATGGTCAGAACGCTCCCCTTCCCCCTCCGCCACGGCCAGCGAGTGTGCAGAGCCGGGCTCCTCCACCCCAGGCACATCGGATGATGCACCCACCGCCTCCCTCTCAGGCTCGACCTTCCTCTGGGCCTCCTGCTCATCCACAGGGCATGCAACCTCCATCAAACCGATTAATGTCTCCTGCCCAACAGCATGCTCCTCTTCCTTCTGTTCCTGGACCATACTCGCCGTCCATGCAACCAGCTCAATTGCAGCCTCCTGGACCGTATGCGCGTGCCACTCCTCCACCTGGTTCTCAACGTGGCCCTGGGCAGCCACTCGGCCCACCTAGACCATACGCAACGCCTCCGCCTGGACAGGCCGGTCCTCCCGCACCGCCGTCAGGTCCCTATGCACCTCCTCCCGGCCAAGTTCAGCAACCACCACCAGGTCCATACGCACTCCCTCCTGGTCAAGTCCAGCAGCAACCTCATGGACTCCCACAAGGTCCACCGCGGGTGGCGCCTGCACCACATCCGCTCGCTGGACTCCCACATCAGCAGGGACCTCCTGGAATTCCATCAGCTGGAGGTGTCAGCACCACGCAGCCTCCACGTTCCCGACAAGGTCCACCCCCACCAAAATATCGTACGTATTCTCGATCAAACGCAGCAGGCACGTGGCTGACTATTGATTCTAGCCCCCGGGGACCGGGCTCATATTCCCGAGTCTGCATTGCCCATCTTCAATATCATTAACGAGCAACTCACACTGATGAAGCAGACGACGCCAGTTCGTGATTGTCTTCTGTGATTGGAGTTCTTATCTAATTATGTTCTACAGCCACAACAACGACGAATGGCCGATGACTCTGAGCGCCGAATCAATTCTCTATTTGATGCTTTGAATTGTGAAACATTGTCCAAGCCTGTGGTTGACCAGTTGCTTGTCTTGGCAAGAGGTACGTGTCTTGCATCAACGCGCTTGAGCGATTCTGAATCATGCACTGCTCGACAGCCATGGAGGCTCATGACCGAGATGCTGCGTCGTCTATCCATGTTGACCTTCTCACTCGTGGCTCGCAGACAGATGACATTGGCCTGTGGATGTCGGCGATCAAGCAGCTCATTATTCGCATGTAAAAGTTTGTCGCAAGTCTGTTTTTTACTATCCACAGGACTATTTAGATTGAATGACGTTTGGTATCGGAAAATGTTGATTTAGTAGTGTTGAGTTCCCTGGTTGGCACTGAACTGCTCTTAATGGTGATAAGTGGTATAGGCATCTTGAATTCAAGCTGGATGGTTTCTACTTCGCCAAACATCAAGAACTTTGACCTTGGAACCAAGTCATCCTTGTTGTCACGATGTCATAGTTCTTATGTAACTTAGGGCTGGGCTGGTGTGGTGCAAGCTTAAGGCTGCAAACGCGGCAGTACGTCAGATGCCCTGCGAACTCTGGTACCTTGTAATCTTAACTGTACGGATAACCCGGTTTTATTGACTGCGCGTCCCCTCTGGCCAGTACGACAAGCATTGGCTCATCACCGTCACAGATACCCAGATACCCGCAATCCAATCATCGCACAGAGATCTGACTGTATCTGACTCGGACAATTGGAACTTGTAGTGACGCAAGTCTCGCGTTTTGATAGATCTCAGCTGATAGATTTTTCAGATGTCTTTCGTTCCTCCTGAACTTGTCTTATGTATCTTAGAACATGGGTACTACACCTCGTTACGCACCCCGGACTATACGTTCCTCAAAGCTGCTGCGCTGGTGTGCAAAACGTGGTCAGGACCTGCACAAACCCTTCTCTTTCGCAGCGCAACAAAGCTTGAGCCACACAATATCCTCACATTTCATGCAGCACTACTCTCTTCGGCAAGCCAGGGGAAAGCCTTAGGTGGATGCGTACGAATCCTCGAAATTTCGATTGTGCCGGCCTCGATTTCGAATGGGGGATGCAGTCCAGATGACTTTGTGGCCCTTCTGCAAGCCTGCCCTCAGTTGTATGAGCTCGTGCTGAGCATCAACGGAATGCACGAGTTTGAGGAGGAGATACTGAAGAAGCTGGGAGATGCAGGGCGGAGACTGAAAGCGCTCACGCTGGTGAAATGTGGACTCCAATCACCCATCCTTTTCCAACTGCTCAATATATGGAATAATATCCAGTTTCTCAAAATCGGACACGAGATTGCTGCATGGCCATGGCGCACTGCTGCCACGACGCCGGTGCTACGGAGGAATACCGACCCTGCAGAGTTGGCACAACGACATGGTGCGGAGGTCTGTTTGTATGACCTTGCCTTGTCAAGGTTTCCCACCCCAGACGTTTTAACCTGGCTGCTTGAATCATCTGCCGACTCCCTCCGCATCCTAGAACTGCGAGATATACCGGGACCCGCGCAGCGAAATATTCTTTCTCTCCATGCCCCGCGACTTCGCTCCCTCCGTCTCGCGCATTACAACACCTATTCTGCTGCTCTGCTCCGCATGTGCACTGCGCTCGAAGAGCTGGTGATTTACCATGTGCCCACACATTTTCCACTAGCACCTGATCTTCCGCCCACCATCGAACACCTTTCTTTCAGAAATCCCAATCACACCTACCGCAACACGCTCCAGCCCATCATCGAAGCAGTGGACGCGCTTCCAAAACTAAAAGTCCTGACGTGTGACAAGAACGCGGAGCAACTGGTGATGGATTATGAGATATTGAAGGCAAAGTGCAGAATGAAGGGTGCAGAAGTTATCGTATCGGATATGCCATTCTGGGTGGTGGGTGTCAGATTTCATAACGATGCCTCTGTTCTGCGCTCATGTCAAAAACAGTACGAGGACCCTGTCATGGTACACCGTTTTCCTCGGACTCGTTCTGTGTCGAACTTTGACGCAATGTTTTAAATACGAGAAGGGAATTTGGGAAATTCCTGGTGCTGATTTTTTGTGGTATATGTCACAAGCTTAATCTACAATACGGGCAATATACAGTCGGAGTTCGACTTGCGAGCCTGAAACCCCTCGGCCTCAGTCTGAGTTGATTTATCTCCTCCGGCGCCGTCGCCAACGATAAGTCCCAAACCCTCGAATTCGCCTAACACCTTTCACGCAGCTTTCACATGGCGCGACTTCAACAGGTTTTGCCTCGTCTGCATCTGCAGCTTCTTCGATGCAGTCGTTACACAGGCTGACGCGGTGGCATTTGTCGCATTTGTCGATGTAGGAGCAAGAGGTGCAGAATGGCTGGTTGCAGCGCGGACAACGGATGAAGACGTCTGCCCGATCCGCACAGAGGTCGCAAGCCCACAATCTTTCGCACAGACACATCACGCCATTGGTCGCGCACTCTGGGCAGATCCGCTTAGACCAACAAAACGGACTGTTGGAGCAGGTCCGCCAGTCGGGTAGCTCGCATTCCAAGCAGCATTCAGGCTTGGGAGGGTGAGCGCCTTCGTAAGAGCCGTAGGCCATCATAAGACGGATTGTGCTCTGGCGTCCCCGTAAATAATGATTGGATTCAATGCCAACGGGACGGCCAGTACATGAAGCCATATCCTTCGCGCAGCACCAAAGTTTGCACGCAGGACACTTGTCTAGCAGCTTAGTCCCCTGATGCTTGAGGCACGTGAGACATAGCACCTCCTTTGGATGCGTGATGCATCGCGCGAGCGGGGGTTCAGAAGACCCACGACAATCACGTGACCCGCAGGATGTAACCTGGCAGCTGTCACAGTGAATAAGATCGGATGAGCATAGAGAGCATTTCCAAAAGGCTGGTGGTAGTCTACTGTCTGTGCCACCAGGAAGCTGTTGTTGTAAAACACGTTGATGGTATCTCTACAGCGCCCAATTCACATCATGATAGTAGATGAACATGAATAACACATACCTCCACTTGCAGCTGCTTCCATATCCTACGTGCAAAGTAACTCTCCGTCATTGTGTCCCATTGACGAGAGCCTACATCGGACCTCGCAAGAGCAAACTCATATATGTCCATGATGACTGGCATGAGCTCGCTAGGGACAGGGACGCAAACGTCACGCCCGGGCCATTTGTCTTTGATCTGCATGTCACGAAATACGACAGAAAAGCGATTGACATGGATGACAAGGCTTGATAGGTCTGGTGGACCTGTATTTTCTTCTGAGGATGCGTATCCGATTGTCAGTGGCTGTCTTGAAACTTCGTCGATTGTGGAGGGCTCATGTGATGGGTACAACATGTGGTAGGCAGTTTTCATGACCCGGAATACATTCATCTGCATTGGATGGACATGATGTTCCTCGTTCGGAGAGAAGATTAACCAGGTAGGCATGCAGAGCAGCAGTGGAAAGACGACAAGAACTCTTTGAGTGGACAGCGAGGAGAGGGGGTATTGCGGCCAAAATTAGTGCCACTCAGAAGGCTGTTACGTAATCGTCAGAAGTAGTATCATTGGCACGCTGGCACCGAGATAAGTACTCAGGGTACTACCATGCTCTCAGGCTATATCCTTTCTATCATTACAGCGCGATGGCGCATGGTCGGTATTACTAATATCAAACTTTGTTATTCACCAACTACTGCGCTGAGGCTGGCAGTGCACTCGGACCGTCATCAACACACTGTCACAGTGCGTTCGTTCTGACTCTGCGATGACGGATTTGATCGCCAATGCCGGCCGCACACGCTAGCAAGTGGTACAGTCACATCTCGGTTTCTTGATCGGAGCTTACTCTCCATCTTCACCTGCAGCCTTCACCGTGGCATAACGTTCTCTCGGAGCATAGCAAAGTAAGGAATATGAGTCGAGCTTACCCACGCTAACCGTGTTGCGACATGGGTGATTCAGAAACTTTCAGAAATCCATAGGACCCAATTTTCCGAAACCATACTCCGGCATCTAATCTAACTAATTAAAGCTTGCTGGCCATTTGGGAACGACTGATAGCTGCTAAATTGTTCATGCCACAGAGGCCTTTATGCCGCTCATATGCCATCACGCGGTGCAAGTTAGGAATTGTCTTATTCATGCAGGGTTTAAAGGACACCTGATTTCATTCAGATTTCCACTCCCGCACTACATTCACGTTCGCTATCTTTTGGTACAGATATGGTTTCAGAGGATCTTAATGCAATCTCTGCCGACTGGCTCAAAAGCCTAGAGCTAGCGTCGTCTACCGGGGATGCTATATCATTTGCGAGCCATTTCCTTTCGGACGGGTGGTTCAGAGGTTGGTACTTTTCCAAGCAACTGAGGCGCACTCACAAGTCCACTCTCTCCTAGATCTTCTATGTTTTTCTTGGAATTTCAGGACGTTATCAGGACGGGAAAAAATACGCGAATTTATCTCGGAGGTGGTCGATGGAAAGTCGCGACTTGCGTATTCTGGTCTTCATGACTTCAAGATAGATGATCACACCGTCAATACGCCTTCATCATTCAAATTTCCAGGTCCGCAAGGCATTGAAGGAATACAAGGTGCTTTCACCTTTAGCATCACGAAACCAGCTGCACTCGGGCGAGGTTTCTTCCGTCTGACGCAAGATGTCGACGGAAAGTGGAAGGCTTTTACTCTTTTCACAAATATGCAGGACCTCGTCGGGTACGAGGAATCTTCCACAGATCAACACGGGCTATATGAGGGTCGAAAAATGACCTGGGATGAGGGTGTCGACGCAAATTTCCGTGCTATAGAGGCGGACCCCACTGTTGTAATCGGTGCAGTGTCATTTCTCTTATTAATCGTGGTCACTTGACGAGTCATCAAAAGTTGGTGGTGGACAAACCGGCCTTATGAATGCAGCGCGGCTGCGTAGGCTAGGCATTCGTGCGCTCGTGATCGAGAAAAACGCGAGCGTCGGAGACTCCTGGCGAAAACGGTATGTGCAAACACAGCGATAATATTTTCTGTGTCACTAAATATACGCGAATCACAGGTACCCGAACCTTAAGCTGCATACTCCCGCATATCAAAGCTCCAGTGCGTCTTATCATCTTTCTACAATAGGCGTGGGGCTAATTTTTCACAGTGCTTTACAGCCCCTATCCGTATGTGCCTTCTGTAGTTCAAAGGTATCGCATAACTGAGTGATATTAGGACAAACTTCCCCAAGTACATTCCTAAGGGAAAACTTGCCAATTTCTTGGATTCATACGCTGTGAATCAGGAATTGTGTATATGGCTCTCGAGTACCGTAGCCTCGGCTCCAGTGTACGATTCATCATCCGCAAGATGGACTGTCGAAGTACAGCGTGGAGACCAGAAAGTTGTCCTCCACCCAAAGCACCTGGTACTTGCGACAGGAAACGGGAGCCCTCGCATTCCTACTTGGGATGGAATGAATGAATTCCAAGGGGCCTTGTATCATTCCGACTTCCAGCCAGATGCAGAGCAGTTCCGAGGCAAACGCGCTGTCGTTGTGGGTGCGGTAAGTCATAAGTGTGTATTTCATACTTGCGTGCGTACTCATGAGACCGTTAGGGCAACGCTAGTGGTGATATATGCCAAGATTTTGTCGCGCATGATGCCGCCGAGGTGCGTGTATGGATTGAAATATATCAATGTCATAATGTCCTAAGGAAGAAAAGGTAACCATGGTCCAAAGAAGCGCTACATACGTCGTGTCCGCTGGTGCCGCAGAACAAACTCACTTCAAGTTGCCTTTCCCTGACGGCAGCCCTGTCGAGGAGCTGGATTTCCGCAACAATTCAATGCCTCTAGCCTTTCTCCTGCAGCTGACAAAAACACGTGGGCTACAAGACGTGAAGATGTTCGACAAGGAACTCCACGAAGGTTTGCGCAAGGCTGGATTCAACTTAACTTGGGAACTTTCACCCGGTAGTGGCGAGGTCGGGCTGGAAGCATTTTTGTTATGCCGCCAGGCGGCAGGAACTAGTGCGTTCGGATTTGTTCCTGAGACGGGTGACATTCCAAACATCACACAGTGATTGACATCGGCTGTGGTAAACTAATTATCGAAGGCAAAGTCAAGGTAGGACTTGCATTCATTGTCTGAGAGCTGTAGCTTACTGTTGCCATATGCGTGTAGGTCAAGCAAGGCCAAGACATCAGTCACTTCGACAAAGACGGGATCGTGTTTAAAGACGGCTCCAAGCTTTCAGCAGATGTTATCGTCCTTGCGTATGGCCTCACTAGTAGCTCGTGTCGACCTTTCTCACGCATGTTGCAGTACAGGAAATCAACCCGTCATGAATAACGCGAGAGCTCTTCTTGGCAACGAAATTGCCGATCAACTTCCATCTAAGGTGTGGGGCCTTGACTCGGAGGGAGAACTTAATCAGGCATTTCGACCCTCTGGACATCCGGGACTTTGGTTTGCTTCCGGTCCATTTCCATTCGGGCGTTTCCTTAGTAAACATCTGGTGAGCTACCTTCCTGTGTCGTCTACGTATCTTCTGATGAAATGTGATAATCCAGGGTCTTCAAATCTTGGCACGAGAGCTCGGGATAGCATGAGAAAAGGGGTGTCGCCGTTATACATGATATATTTCAGGTCAAAATCACAGACTGATGTACTGATTACCATGGAACAATGAGCGAAGACCAGTCATGCAGAACAGGAGCTCGCTCTGTGCCAATTTGTCGCGTGATTTCATTCTGGCGACTGATACCCAATACTTGAAATTCGCTGAGGAGTTGACCATCAAGGACAGATTTCGATAAAGGCTTAGACACGGCGTCATTTCGCACAATCCTAACGGAGCCGGTTAATGAAGAGCCCAGTGCATACATAAATCACTCACCGGTGGGCTTTTGGATTCAATCCAGCGGTGTGTTGCACATTTCGTGCCAGCTGCCCTTGCAAAAGTTGTAGCCGTTTGAAAACTGCTTCATCTACGGGTGTGAGGGTGGATAGGGATCCATCCGTAAATCCTGCCGATCGACTAAGATACACCATTGATGCAGACAGAATAGGCGCCTCACCAGATACCAATTTTGCTTGAGGAACGAGCTGTTCGTCTTTCGTGCGCCGAGCAACCATGATGGTCGAGCGACACTCTTTATGACCGTGGAACTCCGTGTGGCACAATAAATGCTGACCTCCTCGAGACTCGGGATCTTTTAATCAAAATCGGGATCATAAGATTACATTTTCATCGTGTCATGACTAGGGCGACTCACCGGAAGGGTCATATGAAAATAGCCTCAGGACGCCCTCGTCATCTTCGCTGGCAATGGCCAAATCTCCCCCAGCAAAGAAGAAGTCCACAGTTGTGGCATACCTCTGTCGGACGTCCTTGGCGAGTGTGACGAGTTTATACGGATCCTCCTACAGAAGGTTTGTTCATAAGAGGTGCATAGCAAAGACGCAAACGTCGCACTTGGAAAGCCACTAGCCAGACACTCTTCACGGCATCTCCAATCAAGAGTAGATTCTTCATTGAGCGCAGTGATGTAACGTAGACGCCAACATCTAGGAAGGCAACGCCAACCAGGCGTTCATCCAGATCAAGAGCGCGAACGAAAATCTGTAGGGACGGACTATCAACGTTGCATACTAAGCAGTGAATAAAATCATTTACCTTCTGGCCCATAGATGACACAAGATAACCATTTATGCCGCATACAGCTGTGACAGGTCCTTTCGCGTCATCCTTTACTCGCAGCTTCAACTTGTACCACCTTTTTGGTGTCCAATTAGGATCGGAAACGACTTCGACAACCTCGAAGATGTATGTCTGGTATCATGAATAAACTGGACCAAGTGCATGGTGATGGCATAACATACCGCTCCCTTCACAGCCAAATCTTCGCCTCGATTGATGGTTGTTCCCACAGCAATGAAATCCTTGCTCCCGCTGTCTGTGCTTGTTGTTTCAAGGGAAACACAAGTTAGGCTGTTGACAGATTCATTGGGCGCGAATTCGTAGCTGGCGGATATATCAATACCGCTCCCGATTGCGATCAAGAGCAAACGTACCCATCCATTGTAACCCAGTGTTCTGGCGAGATCAGTTCAAGCGTCGAGGAGTCAGCATAAGGGAAGGAAACACCGCTCCCTGGAATGATTGTCAGATAAAGATATCTTGGGCATGAGATTAGGACACAAACCATCAGGCTCCCAAACGATGTTACCGTCTTCGTCATAGGAAGCAAAACGGGCTGGTAATGAAGAAGCGGCCACTATCAACGAGGCCGATTGTTCGAATACAACGTTGGAGTATGCACGAGATCGAGGAATGCTGCGGTACGGTAGACAACTGTCAAGTTGGACCTCTGGAGCCCATTCGAGGAGAGTGGGACCCTATATGCATGAACTGGTGAGTGTCTTGACTTTTCAGCTGAGGGCACACAAACCTCGTCAGAATACAGGAGAAAATCTCCCTTGGACTCCCAAAGAGAACACGCAGTGAATGCGTGAACGACGGTATGCCCCGATGGTACCACCCTTAATCCACCCTTATCAGTGGCTATGATCCAGCATGGCCTATCACCCGTGAAGAAAACACCGGCAAGGGTACAATCCATGTTTGGGGAAGTCACGAATGGAACAAATGTCCGCGAGATTCTCTTATGCTCTGCAAGCACAGTTTTCTCCGTTTCCTCAACTCTCTGGATCTCAAAGGTTTTGGACACGACTTTGTGGAACTTGACCTTCAAAAATGCAGTTCGTGGGTTAGGTAGCGGAGGATCTGCCTGTTCGGTGGAAGCAGGCGCCGGCAAGGCTTCATATACAGCCATGTTTCCCGAACGCGAGAAAACCTGTCGCAAATCTCAGTAGATAAGCTACAGGACTGTTAAATTACTTACAAACAGATGAGGAACCAAAGACGTTTCGCCTAAGGGTGCAACGAGAATTTGATCAATGTCAAGATCCTGGGGCTTTCTGGGGGGGTCTTGTGGTAAAGACAAAGCAGCAGGATTGCAGGAGTCCACCAGTATATTCTCCAACGTAGAGATAGCAGTGGTTGAGAACACAAGAGTCAACTTCGGTAGTGACCAGATCTATAGAATTCGATATTAGTTTCGTCTCAAACTGTCAATGTAAGGTCAACCTCCATGACGCCCTGCGGGCGCACGAGCACGAGCCATTGACTTCTGTTGCCGGCTGTTACAGCGGCTTGCAATGTAGATGTATTCTTATCTGCATGTGCTGCTGCAGGAGTAGTTTCGGTCGCTTCTATGTCAAAGAGACCGATCGTATCCGTGAAGAAACAACCCGCGATATAACGAGATGTCTACAATGAAGCGATGAATGGTTTGGAATAGGGTAAACGAAATCGGAAATACCTTTTCACCCATTGGAGACATATCTTTACGTCGAATCTTTCCTCGCTCCGTTTCGCCAATGAAAAGACCGATAGACTCGTCTTCTCGCAAGATGAACACAAAGGGATCACAGATACTACATGATTTAATTTTTGCTCTGGGCAAGCTACCGTCCATATCTTTGATGATTTGTCTTTCATTACCGTCTTGATTCCACCTCATTAGTCACCAACGCGAAAAGTTTTTATGGGAATCGTACCGGGCTCCAGCACACGGATAGCATTCGTCATAACATGCAATATAGTGGTACGCTGGAAGAACGGGGCTGCGCCTATAGTTGTCCCAGGTATGCGAGTCGGAATAGCCACATCGGTCTTTGCGGTTCGGGTTGCTATCTGCGAGGACTTAGCTAATAAAACGTGCCAAACAAGATATTATGTACCCGCGAAACCCCTGGCGTAGGATTAGCGTCTGTGCTGATTATTATCGTGTCAATTTCAGCCGAAAATGGGCCCATGGCCTTCTCATAAGAGAGACCGTTTACACGTTGGGACTGGCGAACAGGAAGAGACCAGATTCCTCGTGCCCCTCCGAGTACATGCAGTTTCCGCTTCGTGCGCGTCGGAAGGTCGCGCTGTGCTCAATTGTAAGTTGAATTGACTATTTGTGAGACTACAGTCAACTCACCTGGAAAAGGGTGAATCCGCCAAGATGACCTGATCCTGTGGCAGCAACAAGTTCGGGGACAAAACGTTCCTGGAAGAAATGAGCAGAGTCTAACCTATCAAATGCCATATACTTACTCCATTCTTAGCAAGAGAAAATGTCATATCAGCAATTGGGCCATATGCAGGTAACGAGTCGCATAATGAAAGGTGAATGACGGAACGAGTCCTCGTGGTAGCACTGGTTCCCGATGTTGCTCCAACAGTCGCTTGTGTGACTGTCTGTGAATCGCCATATAGATCTGTGACCGATTAGCAGAGTTTCGAAGTAATATAGCAATGCAACCAACCATCATCATCGTCTAAATCCATACTATCCGAAAAATTGATAGTGGTGGCAGCACTAGTTTGCTGCGCAGGAAGCTCTAGAGGTACTTCTTCTCTAGCCGTCTTCATCAACACCGACGGTCCAACCATGCTGCCCACAAAAAGCAGGTCGTCATTCAGTAGTCTGGCGACAGCTGGTATAGTGGTCTGAGCAATAACGGGTAATAGCACTAGTTTGGATACAGTCCTCCCGTCAAGTATTATCTCGATAGGATGTATCATGCCATCTTTTCGAATGACAAAGAGAGTCTTTTCATCGACAAACACAAGCCGGCTGCCTTCGAGACACAGTCCAAGGTCTTTATCTGCTGGAGGCATTGGGATATCGCTGACGCGCGCGGCCCAGCCATTCACAGGAAGGGCCACGCGGCGGGCTGCTTGATCGACATAAATGACGGAATTACTTGTGAGGACGATGACGCCTCCAAGTGAAGTTGCGCAGGGGAGGAGAGACACGCTGTCGTAAGGAAGACCGTCGACAGCCGTGATAATGGGGTAATTACGACTCATGAGATCCAAGGTGAAAATGTAGAGGCGAGCCGTGTCGCGGTACTCCTTGAGACGGCTATATGGAACGTTTGATTGAGTGAAAACTAAAGCACAATCATGTCACGTACCCAGCCCACGTTTGTTCAGATTGACATAGCACTGCGACTGTTGGGTTGTTGTATCCAGGGAGAAAAACAAAGTCTATGACATTGCGAATGCGCTCATCGACATCGTTGGCGAGGTCTAGTACGAAACTTGGCGAGTACGGCACGTCCCTGTTGATTGTTTTAATTCGTATAGAACCGGAATCGGACGAATTCAGCAGAATGCACACCTTGCATGGTTTGGTTCTTGCTCCACTACGTCGAGTTCCGCTTGGGTCTGAAAGAACGGAAGAATAGCGAATGCATCCTTCGGGAGAGACAATGCTGCACATCGTGACAAGGGATCTGCACGCAGTTCGGTTTTGAAAAGTGGACTGTCCAATGACACCTGCAAACTGGTTACATCTACGCGCAATGATGAACGCAAGCACTGACCATCTGAGGCGCTCGCTCATACGTATGTATCGAAACGGTGACAAGATCGTGTGCAGCATCCGACCACTCAAGGAGAGCGATCTGTAATAAAGGTCAAGAACCACAATGAGATGCAGAGTATAAGCCACCATACCTTGGCGTCCTTGAAGGACACTAATAGACGATCTAGTTGGTCGTCATAAGTTGACATAATGCGGACGCTCTCCATGCCAGTGACAGTGCCATGCAGAGTGTGCTCTCGCACAAAGTGAAAGCGTGAAACCATTGAAGGATCTTTCTTTGCAATAGCCTGTAATGCAACTAAGCTACCCTCCCTCGACTCGGGCTAGAAATTCACCTTTACAGACCCCAAATTAACCCACCCTTCTCCACCTTCGTCCATCTCTACTTCGCCCTCTACAGCCTCGGTGCCTTTTCGCACATGAGCCCTTCGCTCCCGCTCATCCTCAGTATGAGTTGAGATTTGCGGAGGTTGCTCCCACACTTCGAAAATACGCAAAAGGTTGGACCTTGAGACAACGACGTTGGTAAGAACGCGAGGTAACGTTTCTTGACTAGATGATCCAGTGATAGTTGAGGGCGTGAGTTTGAGTGTCGTTGCAAACTCAACACCACTAGGGGGAAGTATGTCGTGTCTTAAGGCATGCATTTCTCCCTCAACGACAAGTGCACCCCAGTTTCTGTCAATGAAATTCTCGGCGAGAGATTCCACGTGCATTTGTGTATTTCTAAAGGTCTTGCCAAACAACGTCTTCGCTTATGTAAAATCCTAGTTTATTCAACGTACCAGCCTCCAAAAGCTATGGTTCCATTGGAGGCATACTGTAGAGATACGACACTAGCTTCGTCACGTGCAGCACGTGACAAAGTCACGCTTAGTGTCACAGCTTCGAATTACCCTGTCACCTGTGACCACATAAAAAATAGCTTCGGAAATTGTGATTTTGTCAAGGGCTTCTTGTCTGATTCATATCTTATTATAAAGTTGAGAAGTAACAGGTAGAATCTAGCTGGACATTGTTGTTTTTTATATGTTTTTTGTATGTTTTTTATATGTTTTTCTGTATGTTTTTACCACATGTCACAAATTAGCTTCGGCCCCCAAAAAATTGGTGTGACAGTCACACCAAATAGGTTCGATTCGTTGATGGCTGTGACCTGTGACGAACCTAGTCTCTACAGTATGTCCTAACTAACTAACATCCAGAAGGTCGCATGTGGATTCGAAATGGAATATCCTTCAAGACCATACAGTATATAAGTATTCCCCGGAATCTGCACATGAAACCTGGAAAAAAGTCTTATCGTGATTCGGGGGTGTGGTCAAAATTCCCGACTTTGGCAACTGGTAAATTCATGGATCTCACAAAAAAAAAGTGCACGCGCTTTTCCTGTTTCCTATTTCCTTTCTCTGATCCCACTCTTCCCTCTCCCTTCAGCTTGCATCGCGTTTTCCCTATCCCTCGCTTCCCTGATCATCTGTCCTTCCTGTCTCCACTCTTTGCTTTCAAATGCATCCCACTGCTCGCGAGCATCGATCCAACGTTCCTGCACATCCCCAATGCTACCTGCCATCGGGCCCGCAGCAGATGAGAACAGTGAAAAGGTATTTGGTCTCGTCGATGCAGGAACAGACGAATCTTCCAGTGTCCCTTCTGGTGCTGGGGCGTCGTGCGGTGGCACGAATACGTATCCTGTCGCTCGATCGATAGCGCGGGTTAGGTGTAGCATCGATGCTTTATCCTGTTCAAGCGAATGATTTAATAATCGGACCACATAAGAAATCCTATCGCTATACCTCAACCGCTAGCGTTTCGAATCCCACAAGACCGTAGTCCTCGATTACAGAGCATAATGCCATATTGAGAGCAGTATATCGTGGTGACGCAGCATTCAGTGCGTTCTCCAAATAGGAGAGATCCTGAACTTCCGTGTAGAAATCGAGATTGAAGTCTACGAGAAAGGTAAAAGACACCGATGTGATACGTAGTCAACAACACGCACCCAGGTCTCCGTATTGAGCTATCAGGTCAACCTTTGACAAAACATTGACATGCGGCAGTTCTAATTGTAGCATAGTTCGGAGAGACAGGAGAAGTACGGAAACATATTTCGCGGCATCGGTCACATAGTGCGCATCACAGAGATGAACGGCAGCTAACTAGCGTTGTTCAGTGAATCCCAACGACGGAATCGACATCATAGAACGTACCCTGAACCCAATCTTTGTTAATCGCTGTACTATGTGTTTTAATGCCTCGTGGTTTGTGCTAAGCTCCACCTGACCAGGTACATCAAACAACACATATGCGTCGGGCCCCAGCTCTTTCAGCCGTGCCTCAAGCCAATCGAAGTTGGCGTCTAGATACTCCATACAGTAAAGCATGCCTCCATTGGGGCCAAGACCGTGTTCGTCCATGACATCCTGGAGGGTGATTAAAGAAGCGATGTCAATCGCACATGGATAAGGGATGTTGTCGTTAGCTGGATCGAGGTTCACGATAGAAATCGGGCGATTCAAAGCATTAAATAGCTGGTGCTTGCCATAGCAGTAGGTTGATTTACCACTTCCTGGCGCACCGCACACCAATTCACCAAATGGCATAGCAGGAAGGATGAAAGCGAGATGAACGCTTAAAATGGGACCACGTGATGGGGTCAGAAGCTTGCCCCGAGTCCCGACGACTCACCCCGAACCCTTAGACCACGTCGTCTGGTCCAGATTACCTTCCAAGACAAGCTCCATGATGATCACAGCAGATATTTCAATCCATGCCTTATCTTCTTACTTCTGTTCACGACTTTTAATGTTCCAATTCACCGGTCACAGCAGGATCCGAGTCGGACGTCCGGATTGCTGGGGACTGCTCGGAAGTTTCAACAAGATTACATCCACGTACATGGTCGGTGCCGGTCAGATCACAATCCGCGAAAAATGACCCTATAACTATGGGGGCGTGGGATTCTCGTGTCCATCAGGATGGAGACTCTTCTTGGCCAGAACACTTTATGCTACCCAACGGAACTGCACTTCCATTCTCAGAGTCGAAAGATGATTACGGACTTTCTGGCGCAGCGATCGCACACCCCTGCCAGACAGTTATCGCATGTCGCGGCGAGTTTAGTGAACACGGCCTCCAGCACCTGCATTCGACACTTCTTCGGCGCAGTCACAACAGATATTCTAACGGTTCTTCAAGGATCGCAGTCTAGTAATGTTCTATGGATATCTGGTGGAAGACGAGTAGTATACCATTGAGGCGTTGATCTGGGCCATTCACATCTCAAGACATCAGAAGATGCAATGGAGATCATTCTCCTGGCTTCAAGGGATGTCATGACAGAGACGAGTATTTATACCCACACCAAATTTCGTCAAGTGAAAACACTTCAGGGGAAACGCTTTGCCTTCGCTGCAGCCGATCTTTGGGAAGGCTTACCAACAAGCGTGCCGACGAAGCAAAAATATTTTGAAGGAGGCGCCGCAGAAGGATGGTCCGACACGCCGGTTCCGAGGTACTTGATACAAATGTCAGTCACATATCCACATCGTCAACGGAAGCAACTAATGTTTATTTCCCCTTTAGAAACCTTGCAGCTTCGTCGCATAGCATGAACTACCTACATACCCGCTCGAATCTCTGGACTTGTTGGCACATACAACTACTTTCTCGCCGTCAGCTATGTCATGGTATTGGTTTTGAGGAAGGGAGATCATGCAATGTCCAGGATCCTCTCACCCTCCTCTTTATTTATTGGTCAGTGACCCTATCTTGAATATGTCTCATTGTGACGAGAAGAAAAAAATCATTGAGCGTCGCAAATAGTGAGAGTGATGCATCTGAGTTTGTACGTCTTGTGCATTGAAGTCCATCCATCTCCTGCATTGGCTCAACCCTGACACCATATCAGCATGTGCCATCGCACGCAGTGATCACACAGCCTCTTCCCGCAGCATGCGAAGGCGGTGAGCCCAGTAACCCTTTCCACCACCCGGTCATCTGCATCAGGCGCATCTTCAGCGCAGTCATCTGCATCAGGTGCATCTTCAGCGGAGTCATCTGCATCAGGCGCATCTTCAGCGGAGTCATCCGCATCCGACGCTTCCTCAATGCAGTCATTGCAGAGGGAGGCACGCTCGCACCGCCCGCATGTGTCGATATAGGTGCAAAAGGTGCAAAATGGCCTGTCGCAGCGCGGGCAGTGGATAAATATGTTTGGGTCGTGTTCCGCGCAAATATCGCATGCCCACGTGCTCTGGCACATACACGTTACACCATTACTCGTGCATTCTGGACAGAGCACACTGTACGCTGACCAACATCCGTTGCTTCTGCAACTCTGCCACCCTGGCAGCATGCAATCGTTGCAGGAACCAATCTTGGGTGGGTGGACACGATCTGATTGGTAGCAGAGAGTCATCACATGCATATACTCTTCAGTGGAGGATGCGCGAGAAATTGGAGGGATGATGGGATGACCACAACACGAGGTCATATCCGTGGCACGGCACCAAAATTCGCACACAGGACACTTCTCTAGCTTCCTCCGGGACCCCTGCTCTTCAAGGCATGGAAAACATAGTGTCTCGTTCGGATGGCTAATGCAACGTGCAAGTGGGGGTTCAGAAGATCCACGGCAACGAAGCGATCTGCACGATGCAACCTGGCAGCTATTGCAGTGGGTAAGACTAGAGGTGCATATGGAGCACATCGAGCATCGCTGTGGTACAATGGTGTCTAGATCTGTGCCACCACCAACCTCCTGTCGGTGCTGTGAAACACGTTGATGGTATTTCTAGCGTAGTCAATTCACATGATGAGGATGAATACAAATTAACAATTACCTCCGCTTGCAGCTCCTGCCATACCATATTGCAAAACCTAATTTCCGAAGCTGGTTTCCACTCAATGGTGGGCCTTCTGAAGACGAACTCGCGGACAAACCCAGAGATGTCCATTATAACAGGTGTAAGCTCGCTGGGGAGGGAAATGCAAACATTCTCTCCTTTGTCTTCGATCTGCATGTCACGACAGACAACAGTAAAGCGCGTATCAATCTCTGTGGACAGGCGCAGATGTATGAAGAGGTTTGATATGTCAGGGGGACCTGGTTTTTCTTGCAAGGCTGTGTATTCAAGGGTTGCGATATGTTTTACTTCATCAACTGTGGAACTCGGTTCGTTTGATGGGTCTAACATATGGTAGACAGCTTTCATGACACGGTATATGTTCATGCGCATTGGATGTTCAGGGTCTTTCTTTCCAAATGAATTGGTTGCTGGCGTTTGTGGCGAAAATATTGTCCAGGTAGCCATGCAGAGCAGTCGATATTGATGGATAAGAGTGCAAATAAGCAAGCGGTGGACACGCGACGCACGTTCAGGGTCAATGCCTTTCCTGGAAATGATGTCGGACATTTGCGAAAGTCGCAGGTATTTTTGAAGGTATCTCAGGCCCGTCTCAGACTGTCGAGCTTACCTTGTCAATCACCGTTCAGTGGCTTCTAACTGCTTGCCCTCGTGAGTGTGAGTTGAGTCAATTTTATTGCGACCGTGGCTACCGAGAAGAGCGCATCATTAATTGAGGCAGACGATAGAGCACAACTTCCAACGCGGCATCAAGCTGAATAGATATCGGCGAACTTCCTCTAGGTTGAAGCGCTTGTTATAATATTAGCTCTATTCTGACAATGTGTCTCGATTCTCACTGAGTTTCAAGGGTCAGTCGGCATTGCAGCCTAGATCTTAATCTAGGCCCCACATCTTGAAGGGCTAACTGACGAGTGAAATTTGAATGCAACCGGGTGCGGGGGAGACTTTTTTGACCAGGCCCTATTCTCACAGATCTGTCAGCTGCAGTAGTGCTGATAAAGCAAGTCGATTGCGTCAGATATATTCCGGTCAGTCCGTAGATTCATTTAGTCATGCGACTCATCGATATCTCGACGGACCAAGTATAAGTACTACAGCTTTAGGAAGATGGTAACCAACTACATCTAGCTCATCTAATCTCCTACCTCAACGACTACCAGCATTCAACATTCATCACATGGCTCAAGCACAGATCACCCTTTACACTGCGAAGGTACTTGCAGTATGCTATGAGCCCGTCTACTGACATTGACCCATGCGCATAGGTATGCCCTTACGCTCAAAGGGTATGTTCTTATCTGCCTTGATGATGCCTGCCCTTTGTGATAACTCAACCCATACAGACTGAAATTGCCCTCGCCGAGGTTGGCGCTCCATTCAAAAGATGCGAGATCGATCTAGGGAATAAGCCAGAGTGGTACGCCCCAAAGGTGAACCTTGCCAGTAAGGTATGCACCCTACTCTTACTTGCGAAGATCGCATCTTGAAGAGCATTGATGGCAGGTACCGGCTCTTGCTTATGGTGGTCCCGATGTAGCCCCAGAAAATCCTTCTCCCGAGTCTACCAAATTGGCAGAGTCTCTCATCCTCGTCGAGTTCATCGGCGATTTGTACCCCTCCTCCGGTATTGTACCTGCGGACCCTGTACTGCGCGCCAAGGCCCGTTTCTTCATCGAGGTCGTATCCACTAAATTCAGTCCCAATTTCATGAAGTTTGCAACCGGAAACCCAGAAGCAACTCATGCCGTTCTCCTGTCCAGCGTGGAAGCCATTCAGGACCTTATACCTGAGGGTGCAAAATACGCTGTTGGCGATCAGTACACCATTGCAGACATCGCATTCACGCCGTTCTGGGCAAGATTGAGTGTATTGGCGCAGAAGGGAATTGGTGCTTACAAAGATGAGGAGAGGAAGAGCTTCTTGAAGGGTTTGGAGGACCCCAAGTATGCGAAATTCAATGGTTACGTGCAAAGGTTGCTAGAAAGGCAGAGCTTCAAATCCACATTCCACGAGGTGCGTCCGTTAGTCTGCCGATTGCTGCTGTTATGACAACTGGTCAATAGGACGTTGTGGAAGAGGTTTTCAAGAGAAGATTCGGCTTGGCGAAATAAGCACATAAGAGGACATTGTCAACTGTAAAATATCAAGATAGTGTAACCATCATTAAATTGACTCGTTCAGACTGATTTTCTATCGAGTGGTCGACGGCTCAAGGTGATGTCCTCGGGCCACGATACAAAATATTCGCTTATTGTTATTTTACCCCGGGAATATTTCTAGTAGAGTTGACGAGCTGCGCCATGGCGTGTTGCTGAGCACCGACTAAGCCTTGAACTTTGCAGCAAACTCATTTTACTTGTCATGAATATCTATCTCGCATGCAGTGCCATGCACCGAAATCTTCGTTGATATCTCCAGTCTTCTATGATTCCACGGGCGACCTACAATTGCCACTCTAGCAAGAACCTGCGGGACATTCAAGTGGTCTGCGATTGATATGCTTTGGAAATATATTGACCGTGACGGTTTCACAGGGGGGTCTCCACCGGCCCTTTCCATGGCTTAGTCAGCACGCGACTAGTAGGTTCAACCATGTGTCATGTCAAGGCAGCTTCAAAGTCAGGATCATCATCATCGTAGCCTGGTTTCCTTGATCTAGGCTGAGGCCGCTGGCCCTACTCCATCGGAAAGAAATTGGTGAGCGTGACTCACATGATGGGGGATACTCAAAATATTACACATAGACACTTTACAGTCTGTGTAAGATTCTTGGTCAATTTGAATATGCACAACGTATATGCTCCTTGGAATATCTTCTGCTACGACCTAGGCACGATCGGATTGTAAAAGCGCTCGCTTTGGCACCTTAACCCACACTGCTGTTCTCCAACCTTCTTAATGTGGAATGGCGGATGATCGAGAACGCTTTTATCCGATATTGTGCATCCTCCGTGGGCCAATCATCACGTCGATGAAGCTGGATACGGCGTCAAAATACCCCTCTTTTGCCAAATCTGCCTTTTAAACTTCACTTGGAGCTCGATAAACGATGAACGATCTGAATTGGCTGGCAAATTTACAAAGGGACTCCGGACCAACAACAACTCCGAGCGTCCACGCTTACAGGTAGTCACCCACGGCACCACCTTTAGGCACTCATTTTGTATTGGTGGCGCTTCGTTCTACCTGTCGCATAAGGTGGACCCCAAAATCATGCGTTCCTTAGCTTACGAGGCATACATTTGAGCAGGTCGCCTCACGCCATCTCGCCTGTCTCGCTGAATGTATCTACTCATCTGTGGCACTCGGTTTTGGCATGTTGCTGGCTACTTTGCTAGCCACGGGGGGCCCTGCATGTGGGTAAGTGGCTTCAACGCTCGTTTCCACCCTAAAGTTGACACTCTAGGCAGTGCCAGCCCAACATTTCTCGCACCACGCAAGAGCCAGAGAGGCAGACGAAATTTATAATGACTCTACCAAGCTCATGTAAGATAAGTTGATTTTGTAGGATGCAGAAAATGTTGACGTGGTGGCAGTTGACGCGACATAGTATTGATCGGAGCATGTGTGGTGACGTGCTCGTGACGTAGCACTGAGAAACATCAATGCAGCAGTGACGCGGCATGAGGCAGCATGGATGGAGTTTGACGCGACATGAACGAGGCTTGGCATAGCGAAGATAACGCTTGGATAATGGTTAGTGTCAGCTTCTGCAGACAACTGATGTCCATTGGAATAGGACGCCGCACCATTATAGTCAATAGAGACCGCAGAGACGCTTGCGACGACGTGCTACAATTTGCATCCTCGCTGTACGAGTCCATGTACGACCAACATTTCATCGAGGACAAAATTTTAGTATTGCGAGCTGCATGATATCTGAAGGTGGTAGGGCCGCGTCAACATATGCCGCGTTCTGTTAGCGCTGATCTCGATTGTGTCAGTTTTTCGTTATTCTGCATGTACAGATATGTCAGTCCAATCATCATTTAGTGCATGTTACAGCTCGACCTACGTATAAGTATCTTGGCTCAAGATAATAACTAATCACGTCTAGCTTATCCGATCTCCCAAATCTGATACCTCGACGACTAGCGTTCGATATCCATCTGCTTCAGAACCAACACATGGCTCAAGAACAGATCACCCTTTACACTTCGAAGGTACTGCATACTTGCAGTATGCTATGAGTCCTTCTACTGACGTTGACCCATGCACATAGGTGTGCCCAAAATGTCAAAGGGTATGCCCTTATCAGCCTTGACAACACCTGCCCTTTGTGACAGCTCAACCCGTGCAGACTGAAATTGCCCTCGCCGAGGCTGGCGCTCCATTCAAAAGATGCGAGATCAGTTTGTTGATTAAGCCAGAGTGGTTCGCCCCAAAAGTGAACCGCGCCAACCAGGTATGCGCCGCACTCTTGCTTGTAAGGTGGTCGCATCTTGAAGAGCATTGACGGTAGATACCGGCTATTACCTATGGTGGGCCCGACGTAGCCCCAGAAAATCCTTCTCCCGAATCTACTAAATTGGCAGAGTCTCTCATCCTCGTTGAGTTCATAGGCGATTTGTACCCCTCTTCCGGTATCGTACCTGCGGACCCTGTGCTGCGCGCCAAGGCCCGTTTCTTCGTCGAGATCGTATCCACTAAATTCAGTCCCGATTTCAAGAGGTTTGTTTTTGGCAATCCGGAAACTACACATCTCGCTCTTCTCGCCGGCGTGAATGCCATTCAGAACATTCTACCCGACAGTGGAAAATACGCTGTTGGTGACCAGTACACCTTTGCGGACATTTCATTCACGCCGCTCTGGGCAAGATTAATTGTGTTGTTGCAGAAGGGAATTGGTGCCTACAAAGATGAGGAGAGGGGAAGCTTCTGGAAGGCTATAGAAGACCCAAAGTATGCGAAATTTAACGGGTATGTGCAAAGATTGCTGGAAAGGCAGAGCTTCAAATCCACATTCCACGAGGTGCGTCCTTTAGCTTGCCGAGTCGTCGCTAATGTCATGACATCTGGTTCAATAGGACATTGTGGTAGAGAAATTCACAAAGAAGTTCGGATTGGCAAAATAAGCAGGATTTTCAGGGGGTATCGTCATGCAGATTGTGTCATTAACCACCATTTGACTCGTTCGGTCCAATTTTCTAGCGTTTGGTCAACAGCTCACCGTGATTTTATACAAGTTCTCTAGTCTCGAGGGTATTATGGTGTCGTATTATGGTGTCGTATTATGGTGTCGTCTTAAATTCATTCTTCGTGTATATGCAAGAACGCATGTTGTGACCTTGATACTGCAAATGTGTGAACTCACGGACCAAGAACACAGCAAGAGATAACGGCGGTGATCATTTGTTACCGCTATAGTTTGTTTCGTGGGTTGTGGACTTGTGGTGCGTGACGGTGTCTAGCTTCACCCCAATTGTACATGACCCCAGCGCAGGCGGTAACTGCGAAACGTTATGCCGAGAATCACTGTCATTATCCGAGTGACGCATGGAATGTTTTTGAATGGTTCAAACATTGCATGCGGTGTTCCGATCTCAACAGCTCCTATCATGAACCAGAAGGAGAGCAACTTCGACAAATTTGAGCACTTGATAATTGTTCCCTCTTATGCCATATGTACGGTGCATTATGAAACAAACGCCATTATCGGGGATCAATCTCAGGCTCTCTCCAACTCTTCCACGCATGGTCCGCACACAGACCTGTTCATCCATAAGTCTTTTCCATGTGCTTCGCAGTATTCTCAAGGAATGAATAAAAAATGCAGAAGCTGTGTGTGGGGAGGTGAACTACAATCGCGCATGCTCGGCAGGTGTACATCAGTGAACTGGTGAAGAAAGTAGAAGGTCATATATCACAATATATAGTACATAATCACAAGAACTAGCACAATCCTGCTATCGTGGATTAAATCGCTATGTTTGGCCTTGTAAATGACACTGATTTTCTTACAGAATTGTATGATCGGGAAAAGGTGGTAACATCACTCAAACTCAGATTTGAAGGAAAGGTGCAGTAAAAGTTGACAATTGACCTAGACGAAT